AATAGCTCAAGCAATAGGGAGAGATATGAGGATTGAATTGGAAGAATAGTTTGGTTTGCAGTATTTCCTTTAGCAGTTTGTGATGAATTCTTTATTTCTTTACTTCATCTTCCTCTGATCAGACCTGGCACATCATTGGACTTGTTGCAACTTTGGAAGAAAGTTGCTGGGAGAGGACTGTTGTGGTGGCCAGGGTGGTAGTCCGTAGAACGTGAAGTACAGTGGATCAAGGGTCCTCATACATATAAAGGATACTATTCACTTTTCAAATTCTTTAGCTATAAGCAAGAATGAAGCATCCTTTCTCTTCCTTTCAATTTTGAACCCTTTGGACAGATCTAAGACAGGTTTTTCACCCTGTTCTTGCGCTTGTGTGGCTTTAGTTTGCTGTCCTCATCTGCACAGGCACGCTTGGGTTGCACGAGCCCTTGCTCATTGCTTCAGCAGCTGTTTGTTCCTTTTTCTTTCGAGGGCGACGGCGCCCTAGTTCTGGTTCAATAGCTTAATTAAAGAATATTGCAAAGTTCTCTAGCTAATTCTGCTTAAAGATTTTATCTTTAATATCATTTTTGAATCCCTTATAATAATACTTTATAAGATTCTTATCTTTCTATAGAAATTATGCTAAGAGTTGCTTGAATTTAATTATATAAGCAGAAGCTGATTTGATCTGCTTGAGATTCATAAGCTGCTGAGCTATAGTACATTCTTTGTTGGAATTATCAAAAGTTTCCTTGAAAGCTTTCTTGAAGCTTTCAAAAGAATTAAATATATTCTTAGTACTCTGAATATGTATATTGGGATTGTTCTAATACTTCAAGTGGTTGCATAGAGAAGGCTTGTATTAGATGAAAGCATTCTTTTCGAAATGAGTTTCTGCAAGAATAACTTTTTCAGATTTCTTAATAAACTAAGTTTTATAATGCAGAAAATATGCTCTGTAGTAAATGAGAAATCCATGTAGCATCTTTTGATTGCTATTATATATAGCGAGCTTATTTATCTTATATACTTTTCCAGCACTACTGATGATTATAGAAATAAACTGCGCTTGCTAAGCTTATTAAGCTAGTTAAGCTTATTGATTAGCAATAGTAGCGCTCTAAGCCTGCTATTATTTGCATAGATTCTAAATATGCTGAATAAGCTAATATATCTGATTAACTAGTTCTTTCTGAGTAGGAGCATATAAGAATGAAGGAATTCTTGAAGAAGCTATTATATTCCGTATTGCTTAAGAGAATAATACTGAATTATTCTTGAACAAGAATTATCAAAATGTAATAAGCACTATAATAATCCGAAGATTCCTAAATATACAAGAGATTTATGCTAATAAGAGCAGTATTAAAATATCAAGTTCTGGAATACAGAACTGTACAAGTTCTAATAAGCAATGCAAATATTTACTGCTTTTAAAGCTACTTAGTATAAAAGATTGAATACTTAGATTAACAACTAAAGAGCTATATACGAGATCTATCTAATGGGAATGAATATATTCTTATATATCCAGCTCTTCAGTTCTGTTGGTAGTGTTGGTTGTTGGATCCCTTGAATTACCTGAGTGATTCAACTGATTCGGATTATCATGGATCAGCTACTGATCCATTCTAATCCTGTAACCCTAACCCTTGCTTATGTAAGCCTTAGTCCTTGAGATGTTGAATCCTTCCCTGTCTTTCCGGACAGTTGTTCCGGGTGTCCTGGCTGGTGACCTGCATGTTGGATGGGTTATAACAGAAGGCTTGCAAGCTGCCTCAGCCAGCATTTCCAGAGCGCTGATACTATGCTAAAGCAGCAATATCAACTTCCTGCTTATAACAGAAGCAGAAGATGCGCTAACTACTAGCGCAGAAGCAGCGCTTACAAAGCGCATTAGCTAAAGAACATCCTGCAAATTCTCATCAGTTAGCTCCTAATCAAAGAAGCAAGCATTATCCAGAGCTAAACCCGCTTTATAAGAAAGCTATAGTAGCTTGTAAGCAGTGCGAAAAACAAGAGGGAGCAGAAGTAATACTACTTACAGACTAATAGAAGTAGTTGCTGCAAGTATATCGAAAACAACAAGCATCAGAGCCTATAACGAATCAATATAAGAATTTGTAAAACAAGAAAACTAGCACATCTAACTAATCCCAGCACTAAATCTCAAGCTCCTGAATGCAGCAATACATATATCCCTGGCACCAGCCAGCAGAGGAATATACTGCATCCGGTTCCTCGGAAATCTTCTTCCTCTTAACAGCTTAGCAATATTAGCGCAGCGCTGTATATACAATATATATGAGTACTTACAGAAGCTGTAGGAGTGATAGAAGGCAGGGCCTCTGGGGCAGGAGTTTCGGAAGACTCGAGAAGGAATGAGAAAGAGAGCAAGAGCAAGGGAGAAGCTCTTTTGCGCTTCTTGCTAGCAGGAGCCTTGCAGCTACCACGCCAACTGCTGCAGCAGCTACGAGAGGGAGAGAATGCAGAAGCAGCAGGAGCACCCAAGAGCAGAAAGTAGCGAGAAGGGAGCACTGCATCAACAGCGCCGGAGGAGGCATTACCAGTCTCCGAAGCCTTAGGGACGGTCTGACTCTCAGAGATCTCAGGAGCTAGCGCAGCCTCCCCAGATGCATTGATAGCAGTAAAAGAAGATATCTGTAATGAATCAGCTTTTATATAATGCTTCAGAGAATAGAAATACATATACTATACTATTGCTGCTATTGTTATTATTATTGCTGCTGCTATTGCTATAATAGCTAAAGAAAGGGAAAAATAAAAAGAAAAAGAGATTCAGATACAAGAGCGAAATAAAGAACAATAGTATTCCACTAGCGTATGCACTCCAAGCAACTCTATTATCTAGCTTTAGAAGCTATTCCAAGATTGCAATAGTATGAACAACTGCACCAAGCTGCGCAGTCTTCGTAATTACGCTGCATCTGCGCTGCGCTAGCGCTGGGGAAATCTTTATAACATCACATAACTTACCAGCGGAGAGAAACTTAGCCCTCTAGAGCGAGGCACCCCGACAACAAGAACCAACTGATAAGAGAACTATTAACAAGTATGAAGAAACCTATGGATCCGCACAAGAGCAGCTCGAGCATATAGTTCCTAGGAACAGGAATCTGGAAGAGGGAGGATTCTATTAGAGCTTGTATGCGCACAAAGGAAATAGGTAGCCCTTGCAACTCCTGGTGGCAGTCCAGAGCTGCTGCAAGGGCTTTGCTCTGAAGCAGCGCTCTCATACGATGCTGCATAGCTATCAGGCCATTATCATCCCATCTAGTCCAGGCTAATTGTATACATAAGGGAAAGGGGAATAACAGGTTCAGCAGCGAAAAAGAGGAGGAGAGAGATAGGTTCAGTAGTTCCTTTGAATGAAAGCATCAACAGAGCGGCTTGGGAGCAGCTCACACCCCTTCACCTCACTTGTGTGCCCTTTTTACCCTGACATAAGCATTATAGCAATCCGAAGATTCCAAAGTATATAAGAGATTTATACTAATAAGAGCAGTGCTAAGTATAAGCTTTGAATACGGAAATACAACTGAGATAATTATGCAAGTATTTACTGCCTTTGGAGCTATTAAAATAAGAGAGTAATCTGATACTTAGATTAATAACTGAAGAGCTATATACTTGATTTATCTAATAGTAATGAGCGTATAGTTATATATTCAGCTCTTCAGTATAGCTTGCTGAGATCGCTGGCGAGTCTAGCGATCCTCCCTCCTTTATAACCCTAACCCTGGATTATGTAATCAATGCTTTGTCAGAACGTTGGGTTCTTAACACCTGGTCCTTGCTACTCGTAACCTGTTTGTAACCTACATGTTGGATGAGTTATAACAATATAGCAAGCTTATTCATCTTATATGCTTTTTCAGCATTGCTAGTAATTGTAAAGATAAACTGCATCTGCTGAGTTTATTAAGCTAGCTAAGCCTGCTGATTAGCAATGATAATACTCTAAGCTTGCTATTAGTTATATAGATTCTAAATGCGCTGAATAAGCTAGTATATCTGATTGATCAGTTCTTCCTAAGTAGAAGCATGCAAGAATAAAGAAAATCTCTGAAAAGCTATTGTATTCCGTATTGCTTAAGAGAATAATACTGAATTATTCTTAAATAAGAATTATCAAAATATAATAAGCATTATAGTAATCTAAAGATTTCAAAGTATACAAGAAGTTTATACTAACAAGAGCAGTGCTAGATAAGAGCCTTGAATACGGAAATACAACTAAATAATTATATAAGTATTTACTGCTTTTGAAGCTATCAGAATAAGAAAGTAATCTAATACTTAGATTAATAACTAAAAAGCTATATATTAAATCTATCTAATAGTAATGAATATATCTTTATATATTCAGCTCTTCAGTATAGCTTATCTTAGCTTACTACTGATTCAGATGATTCGAGCTTACTGAATCATCTAATAATCCAGTGATCCATCCCTATTGTATCCCTAACCCTGGGTTATGTAATCAATGTTTAGTTAGAACGTTGGGTTCTTGATACCTGGTCCTTGTTACTCGTGACCTGTTTGTGACCTGCATGTTGGATGGGTCATAACACAGAGATATACTCGAGGAAAGAAGTTCAGAATCTCGATCCAGGCTCTTTTCGATGAATTGAATGTAAAGAAGAGCTACCAAGAACTAATCCATTCTCTTCTTAGCTTTCAACTATTCCAGCCTTATCTATATTCCATTAATTAGCTAGCTTAATAGCTTGAATTTGAGAAAGATCAAAAAGATAGAACTAAAGCTGTATTATCTCTGTTGTAGCTCTATTGATCCGTTCAGAAGCAATCCGTTGATTCTTTCGAATATATATCTCTGGATTTCTTTTCAAAAAGCTCTTAGTTTATCTCTTTCCTAGCTCTTGAGAGTCTTTTTAAACCTCGAGAATCCTTTAAGCAAAATGCTTAAGTTCGGAGTAGCTAGATAGGAGCTCTAGACTTTCCTGAACAAGAATTTATTCAGCTAACTGCTTTTCCTAAGTAAAAGAGAGCTTTTGCTGGTATTGATAAGCTGTTTGATGCGATTCTCTTCCTGCTAGATGTTGTTGAAGAGTAGACCTTGGTATGCCATACTCGCGTGAGGCCTGTTTCTGTAACAAGCCCTTTCCGATAGCCTCGATGGCCTGGGCAAGCTCAAATTCGGTATACGGCTTCGTTTTAGGCATATCGAGGTTCTGTGAAGAGATGAAGTCATTTGAATAAGAACTGGTTGAGGAAACTTTGTAAAAGTAAAGGTGGTGGAAATGGCGGTGTGGCTGTTCAGGGGTGCTAACAAGGGGGGGGTGCCAACAAAGGGGTGCTTTGACTTACTTTTGAGCCCCAACTATGCTGGGGATATCAAATAGAAATTGGGAAGTGATCATTAAAACGGATGGCTGACTGGAATACATAGGAGCGAGACGCGGCCTCCCATGCCGACTTGACAAATGACACAGCCGTGGTCCGCTCCCATGTAGAAGGGCTTGTTAATGCCGGTCGTGTCGTGTTAGTCATCTCACACTCCTACGGCAGCCAGATCGCCAGCAACTCTCTTTTTGAATTGGGTCTCCAGAGCCGATCCAAGAAGGGCCTACCAGGTGGCGTTTCCCGCATTGTTTACATGTGTGCCTTTGCTCTCACTGAGGGCCGTTCGATGATCGACGTTGTCAAGCAGCATGGCCACGAGGACCTTATTCCCATCTCCTTCCTCTTCGACGAAGATCAGAGCGTGGTCAGTGCTGACCCCAAGAAGTGTTGGTGGGCGAGGGCGCAGACCCAGTGGAGATAGAATCATATGTCGCCTCTCTTGTCCGATGGAACGGCAAGTGTATGTACCAGGGGATCGATAGATGTGCCTGGAGGGAAATTCCCGTCAGTTACATATACACTACCCTTGATATGACGGTTCCGTTGGACTACCAGAAGTATATGGTCGCTCAGCTAGAGGCAGCTGGCCGGCAAGTCCAGACTTCCCAACTTAACCATGGCTGAGGGGGTCGTGGATGCAGTGAACAAGGCCGTGGCAGCCTAGTCAGTGCTGGTATGCGGTGGTCAAAAGTCGGTATGCCATAGCAGGGCGGAGAGCTTAGGGAACCTGATAGGAGAAGTCTAGACATATTAATACAAAACTTCGGAAAAGCTTTGCATATTCAGGCTACTAACTCTGATCTTCAATCGAATCATGAGCAATGCAAGCTAGAAGCTTCGATACTCGACTTCAATATAGTGAGCTTTTGGTATCTTGAATTGAGACTGTCTATACTGCTGAGATGGAGTTTCTATCACCCTCTAGGTTGCAATATTAATCACACCATCGACTTCACAAAGATCATATTGAACTAATTTATGCTACACTTATTCCCTCTAGTCTTCATCATTCCCTTGCTTTCTGATGAATCTGTTACCACTCTAAGCTAAGTTTTTAAAATTCATCACAGCAACATATTCAGAGATAATATATGCGAGGGCAAAAAAGCTCGTATTGCAGTGCGCTAAAGAAAAGAGAAAAGAAGAGGAAAGCCACGAGGGCAACTAACTGAGGCTATCAACAGGTCTGGCTGTTGGCTGGCGCTGGGCCGTGCACGGCCTAGGGCCAGTGACTCACTGGCCCTCGCACATAACAAGATACAGCTCGCTCAATCCCGTGTGTATTGTACAGTAAGCTTCTCAGGATGATTTTTGGCTTTTTCTCCACCACGAGCATTCGCGTAAACGCCTACCAGGCTCATTCCGGATCTCTGTCGCAATCTGGAGAACAGCTCTAGCCTGCCCCTTCGCTTCAGCTTGCCGGAAAGCTAGCTCGACGGTCAGCAAATTGCATTCATGCATGAAGACAGCAGCATGTAGTGGAGCCTCGCGGACATCTGTCTCCACGTCGGTCACGCCTCCATCGCCGAATAGACGTGGCAGGTTCGGAACCCACATCGGATGTACACGAATATCTTTTAATCAAGCCGCTCAGACATGTTGCAGCAGCTGAGACGTTGCATTGTCCTTGGCTGCAGAATTCAATTCCTCAATGTGAGGCGACGTCTGGTTCGCCCCACTGAATGTAACCGCCGGGTTCTGTTGGTTGGTTACAGCCGGGGATGTGGCAGCCCGTGGGCTGCGCCGCAGTAAAGTCGAGAGGGGGGTGTCTCACTCATGGTCTTTAGGCTGCGAAGGATTCGCGGGATGTTGTTGTCGTGTAGAACGAAGGCAAAATTCGAATGTGCACGAGATCGTAGGCCCCAATAAGGTCCTCCAGTACAGGTTGGTAGATGCCACTTCCTCAACGTAACATTGCGTGAAATACGTCCAGCACATCAAGGTGAAGTGAATTGGACAAGTGAGTAGCCATGTCCATAAGCCAGAACCTCAGAATCGAGGAAAGGTCGCATCGCAACTTCGCTCGCTATGCTATGAAGCCTCATATTTATATCACTAGGACCTCTAAGGAGATGTATAACCAGCTGAGCTCTGAACTGAAGATGCTGAATCTAGACGTGCCACACGCGTTTCTTGCGCCTTTCCCGCTACCCTCCCCCAATCTGTTGTCTCTCCCTCTCCCAGACTGAGACGACAAGCAACAAATCATATAAAGCGTCTCTTTTTTTCCATCTCTAATAAGACTCTGATTGTCTGCCACTAGATGGTGGTGTCCGTCTTGTTGTAATTCTCGAGAGATATACGAGATACTTCTTTCTGAGAAGGGGCTTCGACTGAATCACTGGCCGTTTCGTTATCTTTCTTTCCGAAAGCACGCTGAATCCAGAATATAAGAGTATGTCGCTCCTCGATAATGGGATAGATTGTGACGCCCATGAAAGAGAATATGGCCCAAAGTAAAGACACAATGACCCATCCAGTAAAAAAGCTTTTCGAAAACTTGTACGCTGTACCGTAAAGACTATTGTTGACATCAGTAATCATATCAGAACATATGTTCACTAACAAAAACCTCAAAGGAAATACTAACCTGAGCGGCCAGATTATAAACAGAGCTAAAAACAAAAAGAGAGTAATGCCGCGAGCAATGTAAGCTGCTTTCTTCAGCTTCTTAGGGTCGTAGTCTGCATCTTCGCAGGCGAGATCTCTAACATTGCCTTCATCGTCTGTTAAGCGAATGGCGGCGAGAGTGTCCCATGTGTAATGAGCGTTGTGGAATATAGATATACTGAGAGTCACAAGAGCAGCTGCCCCGATCCCTGCGATGCAGCCATATAGACAAGGATCTGTTGCTCCAACAGACGCAATGCTCACGACTCCCGAAAACCGCTTAGCCAGTGTCAACTGCGTGAAGATTCAAAGTTAGAGCAGCTGCTGAAATCTAGGTGTGGAGATAATGTGTGGATAAATGACCTTACCCAAACTATAATAGCAGTGCAGAACCCCGTCCATATAGATGCGGTTGCTGCCAGCGATCCTTGTCGCGAGGAGAAAAAAGTAAGAATAAGTCCAGGTAATGCTGAGCCCGTGAATATTCCCGTCATATTCTAGGATGGATCAGGCAAAACAGGTCAGTGGCGATAACTGATACATCAGTTCCATGGAAATATGCTCACGTATATGAAGCCGAGGTCGATCTGACATCCGTGCAACATAGATCCGAAAGCTGCCATGAAGACCGCGAACCCAGCGACGCAATAGTGACCCGAGCGTAGCACTTGAGCATCAGAAGCTTTTGGATTGAGATCTTTGGAGAGCTTGGGTTAGCGAGGCTGGAACTGAGCGTGTCCTTATACAAGGTCTTGACTTACATGTCTTGTATACATCATAAGAAAGAACAGTGGACACGCCGATGAGTTGACTAGAAATCGCACTAGTACAGCTCATAAACATAAGTACAAGCACTGGATATCTGATGTCAGTGTATGCTCAGATGGAACTTCTTTTCTTCGCGTGCATATGGGCATGAGCTTAAACAGAATATACTTGCCTGCGCCAGCACCGCCTTTTCCCGCAATTGTCTGAGCAGCGTATGGCAGGGTCAGGCCAGCACTGATCTCCGACGAGCTCATTCTCCTAGGGTATGTTGGGAATGCCTGCGTGTTCTCCAATGCAATAGCCGCGATTCCCATTGTCGTAGCTAGGGTAAAAGGCATTGCGTACCACGCCAGTCCTCCGAGAACATATCCGGGGATGGTGGACGCAGGATCCGCTGCAATGCCCTTTTGATGAAAGGAATTGTCCAAAAAAACGACCCCGGTATATTCCAGGATACTGAGAATAGCAAATTTGAGTGCGGGGAGAGATCTTATTGTAAGATAACTGCCGTCTTGAGTAGGCGCTGAGAAGTTGTTGCGTTTGGCTGCTTCGATAAGCATATCCCACATAGCTCCTGGTGATCCTATCTGATTGCCAGTTGCGTAGACTTTGAACCAAAACACGAAGATAACAATCAGAATGATTGCGGTATGAACCTAATCAGAGTCAGGCCGTATTCATTCATTGAAGGAGTCACACAATAAGACTTACGTAATCTGTTAGGATCGTTGCTCGCAACCCCCCTCGCAACGTGTATGCTGCAACACTGACAGGAAGCAACCAGAGGCCGGCGTACACGTTCATTCCAGTAAGGGAATTAATTGCAGCCGCACCTCCTATCAAAATTGACGAAACAACTAGAATGTTCGAGGCTAGGCTGAAGAACATGAAGGAAAAATGCGCGGTTGTGCCGTATCGAATTCTGATTATCTCCAGGAATGTTTTGGCATTGGGTGCTTTTCGCTTGGATTGCTTTGTTCCAATCAGTGAATCGTGAACGCGAGGTGTGTAGGTCAAGATACACTTACAATAGCCAGATTGCTGAACACCATAATTTGTGTGCTATTACAAGCGGCGTAGAAGAATGACCCAGCGACACCATATTCATACGCAACGGTTGCTGAAGACAGTAGTGTCGTGCTCCAAGTCCATGAGGATATCACACCAGCTGCGGTCAGGCCAGTCCCGAGAGATCGCTTGGCAACTTCATAGAGCAAGTCCATAGCTATTAGTATCTTTGCATACGCGAATGTGAATATCAACAGGCCGGTATCCACCAGCGTCACGCACCGGTAAACTCTTCGGCGTTGTTGAAATTTCCTCGCTTTCTCAAAAGCGCAGTGACTGACATCATACCCAGGGCGAAGAGTGCGCCCAAACCAATCACAACGCCATATCCGGCGCCCTGTGAAGACGGTTATCATGTCAGCCCTCTGATGCTTTCCAATATGCAATTCAAATATGGAGAGAAGAATGAGCAGTTACGGTAGACTTACCTGAGATAATGGAATCGCTGGACTTGTGTCAGACATTCTGTATGAACAAAGTGTAGTACGGAGGTTGCGATAAATCGATCTTCAACAGAACTTCAAGCTTCAAGCAGCTAGCAAAAGCTCTGAGTCTATGCTTTATGTTTGAGTGCGCAGTCAGACTCAAAAAGTAAACAAGAGTTCATGTATGCTAAGAGCAATCTCCAGCTCGAATAACGCCATCTCCGCAATAATTGCGCTAGCTATCTCTATTGCCATGCTCATTTCTTAGTACACTAAACTGTACTGAATCAGTCATCGTGACCTTCGTAAGTGATTATCCTTCCTAATGCCATATGAGGTAAAATGACGCCACACACTACACACGATTCTACACCGTGAAGATAGGTGAAGACCCATGCTTAGTGTAAACCCTAGAAACCTTGAAGTGGATCTTGAGGATCATGTGATAAGCACTGCAGCAATTCGCAGACACTGAAATACATCTGATTGCAACCATGTAACAATACCTATCATCGAACACATCGGCATAGCTTGGTCCTTATGGACAAAATGCAGGCACTGGATGAAGAATCTTGTAGTCCTGGATAAGGACATGATTCCCGTTTAGATCATTTGTCCGATTTTGTGCTTGGCCTTTTTTTTTTCCTTGATGTGCTGAGAGACTATTGCGACATCGTCTGCAGGAATTACATGATCTTTAATCGGGCACATTCTCTCTGTCTGTAAACAAAAAAAGTTTCAAGAGATCGACGGGATCTTACAGATAACGAGCAGTACCTGACTCTCTGTGACTCAATCTTCATCACGCATATCTACTTCAGATCTGATAAAAGCTAGACTCAAAGATTAGACCTATTGGCTCAGCAGCATGGGTAGCAGGAGACAGCTTATATAATCACAAGTCGATTTCTCGATTGGTGCATACAGATGTATTCATCAGTACTTGTAGACATGCTGCGGACTTTATCTTGAAATGCATTGCAGAATGAAAGAATGTTGAAAAAATATGGTATGACAGAGAATTCCTGCGAGTCAGTCTCCAACCTCTTGGAAGCCGTTCAATCTGCACTCTGAATGCTTGCTCGCTCATCTCGAATGAACTCTTTGTATAATTTTTCAATGGCTCTTCCTTTGAGAATAGAAGACTTCCACTTTGTCTCAAGCTGCCGAGCCTCTATTTCAGTCTCGAGCTCAATACCAATCCGACCGAGCCTGCCAACAACATCTATGGTCGATTCAACACCACATCGCTGAACAGCATTTCATGTCTATATGAGATCAAAAATGTTCCATACCTAGTGATTATGTATTATTATGTTGGGCTATTAGTCCAGCTGTTCGACCTCTTTATGAGATATCACTATATGCACGTATTGCGACACTGGCCTTCTCAGAGAAGTCGCAAGCCTTATAGCTCCTGTCAACCTTCAATGCATTTTGTGATCATCAAGCTTGGGAGAATGCCGCGCAGTCCTTTCGACCTTCCCTTCTCCTAGTTTCTCGAAGGGTGGGTAGACCGGACAGTTTGGACTTTCTATGCAAAGGATCGAACTGGAGCCAGGGATCGTTTGTGCTATGCAGCGGAGAGACTTTCGGCATAGGGCCCTGCAGGTAGGTGCATCTTTTCCACCAACGCGCCAAACATGACATCTTACTGGTAGAAATTCGGTCGTGTTTATATGGCACTTGATACTTATTTACACCTTTCCCGCCTACATACTATAGGGGCCTCCTGGAGACCGCATTGCTGCTGTTAATCATCCGCGAATTTCGGCAATATGGATCGGATCACGGACCCCAAAAAGGCGATATCGATTCTTATTGCTCTCTGCAGTGAGAGCCCCTTAGTGCGACATCGAGTCGAAGGGTTTCTCAACCGGATGGACAAAACGGGCTCAAGCGCAACCTCTGCAAAGCAGCAGGGCCAAAAGAGAAAGACAACCTCGGTCATCAAGATCTGCACCCAGTGCCATGAGCCATTTTAAGAAGAAGACAACACGGACGACGCGTGTCGGTATCATGACGGTGAGTTCCTCATGCTCTATTTCTTCACCTCGCATTCTCTTGGACACGGACACATTTCAGGAACACTAAAGGTGTGACAGGCGAGCTCGAGGGCGATTACGACGCCGATGTTTGGGAGGATCACGATGAAGACTGCCATGGCACGATCGATACAGAGCAAAATCGGATGGAGTTTCCCGAGCATTTGTGTGGGACTGTTGTGGGAAGGAGGGATACCGTTCCGGCTGCACTCGAGGGAAACATAACGCCTTAGGTGATCGAGGAAGATACAGCAAAGTACCTGGCACAATGTGTGCGGCTGCTGAATCCGAGATAGAGGACGATAGCCTGGAAGAGGGTGAAAGCTCCGAGGATGAAGAAAGTAATGATGACTAGGCTTGTCTTTATCATATGATATGCATCGAAACACCTTACGAATTTGACAATAACTGCCTCGATAACCGCATAGTGCGAGAGCTTTTCAATGGAATTACCTGTCGCGTATTGTGATCAGGCCATCTCGTGAACTGCACAGACGAGAACGATCTTCAGCCAAATACAGTTTTTCTCACTATGAGAGTGCTTTGACTTGGAGCCCAAGCATAGATGACCGAACCTGAGAGAACCACCTCGTACCATATTTAAATAACTACCTATCTTCGACTGCACAGCCTCCCTTTTCGCAATACAAGTGAACTGGATACAAGAATAGCACCTGCTGCTATGCACACACCGGCCCAAGTCCAGGACACCCAAAATCCAGCTTGGCGCATAAGAGCCCCAGCAATAGGAGAACCAAACAACATGCCAAAAGACATGATTGTGAATGCCATGCCAAAGCGTGTGCCAATGACATCTGGTCTATGAGAAGACAGGCAGACGTAAACAGAGGGCTGTAAAGCAAAGAACGCCCCTGTTAAAAAACCGTAAAAACAGACCAAAGCCACCATGCCGGCCAGATTTGATTCCACAGCCATAAAGCAAAATGTAACGACGGATGTCAATCCGGCCACGATGACAATCAGGTTTTGAGGGCCGATGTTAATGGCTAAATAGCCAGCGAGGACTCGACCGACAGTGGACACACCGTTCAAGATCGACAGTAAATCGTCTCCATTGAGATGACTTTGCTGTGAGGTCTTGGTGAGAATCGCGGTAGCATAACTCGGCACATAAAAATATGGCACATATAGGCCGAGAAACACAGTAAAGCATCCAACCACGAAAAGGCAGTAGGGCGCTTCTCGGAGGGCTGTCGGATCATACAGGGCGCGATGTTGTCGCTTCGTCCTCTTCCCCGACTGCGCCGACGTGGATGGTATTCTCATCGTGGTGTTCGCGAAGCCGAGTGTTCCCAGGGCGATGAACCCAATGACCCTCACCGCCCATCCGAATCCAACAGCAGTATTGAGTCTTCGAAACACAATCGGAAAGACAACACCACCAACTCCGCTTCCACAGGCAGCGAGTCCGTTAGCCAGTGGCAGGCGAGTGTCAAACCACATGCTCGGCACCCCAACAGACAGAATCGCCAGACAGCCCGTCCCCGCGCCAATACACGCACCCTGTGCGAGAAGAAGCTGCCAGAGATTCGAGCATGTGCTCTGGGCCATAGTGCCACCAACAATGAGAAGGCTACCAATGACTGAGAGGTGTTTGAAGTAACCCATGTCGAAGAGAGGCCCGGTCACGACGCCAAGAAATACCATGAGGAACGACTGTAGCGAGCCGATGGTGGATATCTCGAAGGATGTGTGACTGGACAGCAAATCAGAGGCATAATATTCTTCGAATGCCCCGAAGGAGGTTAGTAACCCTAGATGCAACAGTAAGCCAGTGTACGCGCCGCAGTGAGCCCAGATAATGATTATCTGAAATATCGTGGCCAACCCTCTTTCACTCTGATGTTATAGACATAGAAACGCCGCGAGAACTCACCCCATGTATTAAAGTACAACACAAAAGCCCCAGCGACCTGGAGCCAAGCTTCAAGTCCTCCATTGGGTCGGGCCTTTGGCCGAGCTGGCCCCGTAGCGACTTCAATAGTGGTTTCAGAAACCTCGGCCGACTCTTCGCTGTCGGCATGCCCTGTGCTCATGTTGCAGGGTTAAGATGACTGTGCTGACGTTGTCTACTCGTTTCTATTCGCTTTATGTCTTCATCGGAAAGCAGTTCTCTAATTGTTAAACATGGTAGAATAATGCCGTCTTATAGACATTTAATTACAAATAATCTTCGGATAGAGCTGTGCAGATCAGGTCAACGGCGATTTCCAGAGAAGTGTTGATACGAATGCGAAGCCTGACCCACTGATCCTTTCTTGGAAGGTGACAAGCAAACAGGACACTCCCCACAATGGCCTGACGGGGTGGCGGTATTTCGGCCTCGTCTGTGTTTGGCACGTCTGGATGCCGGGATGCATGAGGTCGCGCGAGCGGCTGCGGCTTGTCTTTTTGCACGGGTGATCCCGATGATCCATTTAGGATGCCACCTCTCGAAGTAAGCGTTCTGGCAGGGTCTGTCCTTGCCTGTGCTATGTCCACCAGCTGTGCCTTGTCTTGTGTATGTACTAGTGAGGCAGCAAGCCAACGTTTCAATACCTAGTACGACGGAACGATCACCCTTTTATGCTACTATGTATCTATGAACACCTTCATGTAGGGACTGTGGTGTGCTGTGCTGCTTTGAGAGATATTGAATTAATTTGAAACATCCTTGAGATCAAATGGCTATGCCAAGAACCACGATCCGTAACGGAATGGTTTCTTGCTCAATCAATTGTTGCGCTCCCACATATATATTATGTAGAGGGATTTATACACTGCTGTACTAGTTAAAGGAACTCTACAAAAAAAACTCTCCGCCCTTTAGTAAACTTCAGGCTAATACCCCAGCCAAGTACGATAGCCAACTGTTCCCCTCCCCCACAAAACCAATGTACATATCAGGTCTTACAACAACAATGAAACTGTCCAAGGCACCAACTACAGGCTCAGCCACGCTCCAGACCACGTCCTTAATCTCGGCGACCGCAGGAGTGTCAGCTGGCAGCACCTTGTAAAATAAAGCACGCGAGGGTGGAGGCCAAGTGGTATCCATATCTAAGTTCCCTTTGCCGAACAAAAGAATGCAGAACTTGCCATATTGGGCAAGGGAGTAGACGCGACTCGTCTTCCCATCCTTGTCCACCAGTCGCAAGTCAGGGCATCGCTGGCCACAGGTCCAGCAAGCGAGATTTTTGCGACCGCCCGTCTGAACCAACTCGGATCCTACCGAGTCGTATGCGACGCCCATACCTGTAATATAACCTGCATTTGTTTCAATCGTTTGTACGTATTCTTTAGCCGTGCGCAGAGTGTCCCTAACCAGTCGAGACGCAACGTCGATGACACCCTGTGCTACAGCGCGGCGTTCCGTATCATAGCTGCGCAAAAGCCGAGTTTCGGCACCAGGGGCGAGTTTTAGCTGACCATGGACTGCGGCTGCGATATACGCCAGCCGCCAAGCCAATGCAAATGCGTCGGCTATACCCGTATTGAGTCCCTGGCCGCCATTGACGGAATGAACATGGGCAGCGTCGCCAGCCAAACAAACGCGACCTTGTCCTGATTTTGTTACGAAGGTGCCGGCGATGCGTTCCTTGACTGTCGTCATGTTAGTCTCAGAGCCTTGGGCTCCATCTCATAAACAGCAAGAGATCCATGAGACGAGCAGTTGACACTCACTTTCGAAAATGCTGAACCACTCCGTCTTGACAAACTTAATCTGATGAGGGTGCATATGCTCTCGAATGGACGTTTCTGAGTTCATCTGAGTCTTCTCTTGATCCTCGTCCAGCAGTGTGTAGAACCTTGCCATGCCCCTTTCTCTGGGAATCCAGCTCACGCGACTTTTTCCTTGGCGCTGGAAAGTGATAATTTCGTCGGCGCGGGGGAAATCCGTGTCGATGAAAGTGTCCAACACAGTCCACACCATCTCTGGCTTGGTGCCTTTGAAGCTGATACCCATGAGATGTCGCACCGTCGAGCGAGCCCCATCAGCCCCAACAACGTACTTGCTGTGGATGACCGGGTGGTCTTCATTGTCTGTCGTCGTCTTGACCGACGAGTCCGACTCTTCCATTGCGACACAGCGCGTATCAAAAAGTAATTGAGTGGTCTGTAGGCGAGAGGCAAAAATGCGCTCCACAACCGGTTGTCCGATCATAAGAAAATTCTTATGCAGCGTATGTTCGAGACCAGTCCACCAGTGGCTCTGGCGCGAGGTCCAGGCACCGTTTTCGTATGTTGAGCTTGCTAGGTCATTACACTGTCAACAACGAAACAGGCTGCCCTTCGACCTTAACAATTGCACTGGTGCTAGTGCAAAACTTACTGTTACATTTGAGACCCTGTGGAAGCAGTTCGTCGAGCACACCAACTATCTCGAGATACTGTTGTGTCCGAGCATTAAGAGCATCCGCCCGGCCCAGGTCCAGTGTCGAAGGCTTGCTGTCGATGATGCAGACTGAAGCCCCTAGTCTTTCACACAGCAGGCCAGTGAGCAGACCTGTTGGGCCACCTGAGTGACAAAGTGTGAGCATTCAGCGCGTGGATTCCAATACATGTCACGTTTTAACACAGCTATGGAAGTTCTGACTTACCTCCAACGATGGCTACGTCGACAAAGATCTCCAATGGATCGAGAGATGGCATTGTATTGATTTCTTTTTTTAAAAAAGAAAATCAACAGCGTGTTTACTTGAGCAAAGAGCAGAAAGCTATAGTCCCCATTCACGACCTGTCCTAGACTTATAGCAGATAAATATGCTGAGTAATGGGCTTCGCGCGTGCTGTTATCTTTGTGATCGTGATACTGCAAGTAAAGGTACTACCGGATGACGTGAAACCGTCGTGGCGTTTAGTTTAGGCTCGGGGAGTAAAATAGAGTTCTCGGATAATCCTAGGCGCTTCAAGTATAAAAGGTGGCAACAGGCCAATTAGAGTATGTGGGTTCCGATGCAGTTACATTGGAAGGGGGTTCCTCGGGATGTGGGATGCAAGTAGCACTATGCATTGTTTGATACTCGTATAGAGGCAAACTCCCCGTTCCAAGATCTTTCCACAGTGCTTCTGATGATGCTGGAATAAACCGAGTTCAGACTGTAGCTAATAGTAGTAATAGTTGCTCCCTGTCCTTAGGTGAATACTTAAGTACTTACTTGCCTTCTTTCAGCAATGACGTGTCCAGTCTATATTAGCACTGCCGCCGAATTTTCTTCTACAATGATAAGTTCCGCTAGTCAGGGACCTGTAGTCAATAATTTAGAATCAAGAGCAGAAGTGTTAAAGGCGGGAAGCTTGCTACCTAGTTCCTTGTTCGAAGCTTCTTCGTAACTTGCATAGTAAACTGTTTATAGTACTTCAGAACAATTCAGAAACCCATGATGTGCGCTTGAAGATATAATGTCAAAATACGATTGAGTATTTGCCTTATGCAATATCATGTATCTTTTGGGCCAGTTGACCTGTGGCCATCAGCACCCCTGCTTCGACATCAGGACTTGATCCGCAAAGATCTCGTGATGTTCACGGATTCCCCCTGTATATCGCAAGCGCGCGGGCTTGGCTTCACTTCGGACTCGGCTTAATGCATCCTACCTGAATACAACCCTTTTCGTCTATTGGGGCCGGACCATTCCAGGTTCGACAATTATAGCCCGTAAAAAATGCTAACACATAGCTCTGTGGTTGCAGATTTACCTATCTTTCCGTTAGGTCACTGTGAGCCCTTACTGTTCGGTGTTGGCGATCTTGCCACTCCCTGCTCGGTTAATCTGGCCCCATCCACACTGGTCCCCCACGCGATAAAGGCAGTCAGGGGCTTAATAAAGAAAAAAAACACTCAAATGCTAAACAAGTTGTGTAGTAGTACCACCTAACATTGTCACAGCCTTACCTGGGTGAGGTGGACAAGAAAGCGGGTTTTTCTTCGCTTCCACCTGAAGACACCGAGACAATGTCCGATCCAAGGGGTTTCTTGCAGCATCGATAGTATGAAGTAACCTGACGAGACGTCATCCATTGGTAAGCATGAGCTAGGTTGACTGAACAGGGTTTTACAAGTTGGGCCTGTTATCGAGGTATTTATGGATGTCACTCCTCATAGGAGTGGGATATCATTCATGACCTGACAAAGAGCAGTTCCTCCCAATCAGTCAGCTTCAGCCACTTTTCCCTCTGCTTTTTTCGCTCTATTTCGTACAATCCTTCCCTAATATCCTCCTTATTTTCAATAACACAGGTCTGTCATCACACATTCCATAGGTGCAAAGAAGATGATCGCAGCCGATACTGTAACTATTCAGAGTGAGCTGGTGCAGTCGTTCATCCACCTGCAGGCTCCCAAATCACCGCTTGGCCGTGAGAAATCCAAGCTTAGTCAGTTAATGACTACGTCTTACAAGATTCTAGATGTCTTGTGCAGCTACCGCATGGGTCTAGGGGGACAATGTGGCACGCGAGCAGACGAAGGGTATCTCAGATTTCTGGCCCTTGTCTATGGCCATGTAAAGGTTCGTTGGTTGATCTCTTTACGCTTTCCCTTGCGGTAATAGATACAGTCACACTAATTACCGGTCTGTTTCTCATGACTAACACTCATAAAATGTACAGGCTAACAGGCCTGTGCCTCTTTGTCTCCCGGCCTTTCCCTTCAAGTCGCCTAACACACAGTCAAAGGTCCTCGGCCGACTGCCAGATAAAGGGGAAGAATATGCATTGGCTCATTTGAACGGACTTTGCCTGGCTGTCAAGGACGTATATGAGCCAGGCGCTAAGTTGGTTATCATCTCAGACGGATTGGTATATAACGGTGAGTTCATCTTTGCCGAAACAGAGCCAAGGTTTTCCAAATGTAATTCCACTCATTGACAGCACCAGATCTTCTTGGCGTTCCGGACAGGGATGTATGGGCATACGGCGAGTCGCTGAGAGACATGTGTCTGGAGAACGGGTTCGATCAGATCAGCTTTGCTCGTCTGAACCAACTCATCCATATCGGACACGATATCAAACTCAGTGAGATTACATATGTGGCAAATGCTACACGGTTTCGATCAGCGCTCGTCAACACATATTCCAAGGATGATTGGGATCCAAGCAAGGAGATCTCTCAAAGCGAAGACACCTGTCTAACGTACCGTGGCTACATCAAATTCCTTCAAACTGACTTGCAACACGTCTATCCAGTGGGGGAGACGAGAAGCAACAAAAGCTTCAAGACTTCCATTGAATACATTGCCAAGCAGATGTTAAAGCGTGGGCAGGCTTTTGCTCACGCTGTTCGCGAAAACTTTCCCGACCATATACGTCTGTCGATTCATCCATCGACGGGAGAGAACAAAATATCCATCAGCACACTCCCAACGACATCGTCCACTTTCACCACTCCTTGGCATTGTGCCGTGGCATTCGACATCGATGGTACCCTTCGCTCGGGCCACCGTGCACATTTCGACGCCAGTGAAGAGTACGATCTGATTTACGAGAACGGCAGACCAAGCTATTACCGCCACAAGTCACTTAGCGACTTGGTCACTTGGGAGAAAGCCTCTGTCACTGCGTCTCCTATATATCCCTGCGGAATGATGCTGATACCTGATGGCACCCGCAAATTGTACATCGAGGATATCGACGCATCCAAGGTCAGGGCTCTTGCTGAGCATAACTCACCGGTCGTCCTCCGCGGCTTCAAGAAGACCACAGACCGCATAAGATATGAGGCGAAGGCCCACGAGCTCGGCACTCCAACTCCTTGGCTCTTTGGTCTTGTTTTAGAGGTTAAGGATGGGGGTGCAGACACAAGGGGCCTGAACAATGTGCTTAGTGCAGAATGGATGCCTTTCCACTTCGATGGCATGTTCAAGACCGCTCCTACGGGCCGTCTGCTTGAGGATGGCAGCGAGGAAGTCAGGCCTAATCCGCCGCGATTCCAGATGTTCACAAGTGTCACACCAAGTCCTAAGGACACCGGATTCACCCTCTTCTCGGCGAGCGCCCGACTGTTCAGATATCTGCCCGAGGAATTGCCGCTCGACTATCTGAGGAAGCTGTCATGGAGCGTAACGACGACCAGTTTCGGTGCGCCAAAACTGCAGAATCTGCCTCTAATCCTCGATCATCCTACTACCGGAAAGCCTATATTGTCTTACCATGAACCTTGGCCGCAAAATAAGACCAAGTTCCAGGCCACATTGGTGGACATACAAGGCGATGGCGTGGATGCGGAAAAGAGCGCTGTCATCTGTGCTGCAATTGATTCTTTACTACATGATCGGCGAGTAGTCTATTGGCACTCATGGGAGAAGGGCGACTTTTTGGTCAGTGACAACCTGGCGATGTTACATACTAGGAGCGATTTCACCGCCGGATGCGATCGCGAGCTGTGGCGAATCCACTTTGACTAAATTCGCAGCAAGTCTCTTTTTAACATAAGCATCTACTTGTTATATAATAATGTACTTGATATCACTATAAAACGATAGCTGTACAGTTTTAGTCGCTACTAACTGACCTATAGCAAGAATATTGTTCCCTCCCACATGTATGATTTCAAACGCAGGGACGGTAACATCAAACCGGCAAGCATGGGGCGAGTGAAGGTACGCGTCGACTTTGGCTTTTCTCCATTGGCACAATTGCACTGGTGTAGTTCCCCCGACAAGAACTTGAGTATGCTTGATCTTGAGAGGACGAAGACACGGATCGCAGTAGTGATCAAGAAGGGCAAATAGGTCAGCGTCCTTGGCTGGATTCAATATACCAGCGTTCTCCTGATTGAGATGGTATCATTCGCTCTCTGCTATGATGTCAATGGTTCTTGTCCAGCCGAGATCAAGATACAAAAAGCCTCGGTAGCCTTTTGCGGTGCGCCACTTAGCTAACGTGTCCTGAAACGTACAATGGGCGGCATAATTGGCTTAGCGGGGAGCTCCTTATATCCTGGAAAGAGACGCTAGCAGAATAAAAAGTCCATATCTGAAGGTAGAAGCAAGTAAATTCCATCTATAATCACCTTGGAACAGATTGTTGTCGATCATTGCGCGAAGGTCATGTTCTCAAACGTGGAGTCCTGTGTCTGGATTAGGTCCCGGTTCTCAAGAGTGTGCCTGAGAACGCCTATTTGCAACGCCACAGAACAATTGATGTACCCTCAAATCGGGGGTATGCTGGCTATCATGACCTGCAAGACTGCAGAGAGGGTAGTGGCAGAGGCAATATCGCAGCGAGGGGTTGCAACACGCACTCCTGCTTTTATTAGCTCCTGCATTACTTGGGAGCCTGCTTACCGAGAGGTAGTGCCGGAGCGAAATAGAATGATAATGCTCTTTGCTTTTCTGGTGAGCATCCACTGGAGAATGCCACCACCGAGACCTCCAACAACGACATATGATGATTCTGGGTCGAACTTCCAGAGCGGCTGGTGTTTCTGAGACAACGTCAGCATATCAATTACTTCGATACTTTCAAGGGCCGGCATTACTTACCAGCAAAGTCTCCTCGCCATTCCAGTCCACGACAACACATCCCGATTGGATCCGCTTTGAATGAAGCGGAAGGCTCTTTCAATATCCGAGACAGGATAGAAATACAAGGGCTTTGGTTCATCAATTTTGCCCTGTGACACCAGCTGCATGATCTTTCGAGGTAGACCACGTATTAACTTGTAGTTGACCTCGCAGATATGATGAAGGTCCACTGCGGCAATTGTGATATTTATCTCACGCTGGCCGTTGGCAATCACGAGTTCGCTTGAACGTCTGCTTGGCCGCTCTCAATAAAGCGTCCATATGGTGCAATACATTCCCAGCTCGCGCGTAGACCATCGCCTGACAGCGAATTCAGTACCACATCGACTCCACGACCAGCTTGTCATACGCATGACCCCTTTCTCAAACAATGAATCACGAGTATAAAAGATGTGGTCTTCAGGTATGTCAAAACTCTCAAAAAGAAAATTGTTCTTCTCGTCAAAGCCTGTCGTAGGATAGACCTCGACAACTATCATATGAGCAATAGCGATCGCCATCTGACCAGTGTTGCCAGCACCAGAAGAATGAATGAGTACTTTTTCACCGTGTTGTAACTGCGCAACATTGATGAGGGAGTAATATGCTGTTATTCCCAGGCTTATGATCCCACTAGCCTCGTGGAAGAGACACCATTTGGAATGTTGATCACAAATTCAGCAGGTGCTCTGAGGCAACCTTCAATGTTTCCAACAGCCGATGTTAATCGTTATGAGTCGGTCACCAGTGTGAATCTCGTCTGAGATGGCTGCCTCTATGTGTGAGACAATGTCTGCACATTCGAATCCTGGTGTTGGAAGTATGGTTCAAACAAATCAAACGAGGAATAGGATGTGCGTTCCTTTACCGTGCAACGCGGCTACTGAGTTAAATACAAGCCAATTTGCTGCTGGCCTGGCTACTGGACCTGTTGACCACACGCACACGCACTAGGATTAGCGGAATTGTGGAAGAATGTAAATAATTGGGAAACGCACCGTACACAAGGCGGTCGCGAAATGTCGCGAGATGAAATCTTTTTTGGAAAGCATGATATCCGGCATAGCCATAAGAGAGCTTGGCGATCCACGGTCCGGGAGATTTACTCAAAGATTAGAGTAAAAGCCGATAGCATAGTAAGAAAAAGGTCTGATATGTTGCAGAGCATGCGATAACATTATCGTATCGTCGATTACGATGCTCGAGGAGCGAGTCTCTGAAGTTCTTACATAGTTCGCTGCTCTGCTAACGGGAGACCAGAATATCATAATGAAGCTTTCCATCATTATTTTAAGTGCCACATGATGAAGGTCAATAGTAAATAGCTAGTTGGATGAGGGTGTGTTGAAGAATTTTGGGTACATTGAAGAGAGAATGGGGCATTCGTTCTTGTATATGTCATGGGATCGAAACAACCATCTGGTAAGTTTTTTTGAAAATGGAATATGAGTACTAGGCAATATTATAAGAGGAAGGTGTTGGAATCGGACTAGAGGCTAACTAATTAGCGAAGTGGAGGGAGAAATCTCAGCCAACAGCTGAAATCTGCGATGAGGAGTAATTTACTTCGAACTATATGCACATTCTACTGTTTATACTGACAACGGCACGGCTAGTTCACAATTACATTGTTTGTTCCCGTTCTCCAGTTAGTCTCTACTTCTCATCTCACCTGGGTAACAGCTAAGTCCGCCATGATTATGATTTAGTTGTTATTGAGTTAACACTTAAGAATGGCAGCCTTCTTAATTCTAACCTGATCGCTATGTAAGCATATCTAAGCTTTTCAGAGATAAGCTCGTCATATTGCATATTGGAATCGCAGCTACCCAATCTGCGCCATCTATAATATTTGTGTGAGGGCAAAAAGATTGCATTGCTGTGCGCTGAAGAAGAAAGAGAAAGGAAGAGAAACGCCACGAGGCCAGCTATCTGAGGCTATCAACAGGTCTGGCTGTTGGCTAGCTGGGGCCGTGCACGGCCCTGGGCCAGTGAGTCACTGGCCCTCGCACAATATTTATATTGTTGGTTTAATACCAATTATTGATTCTGTTGCAGTTGATTTTTAAGACAGCGGTTTGGGAACAGATTAGAGTCCTCACCTCTTTCGTATCCTCTTCGCGTTCACAGTAAATTGGCATGCTCATGACTGTTCTAGGGTAATTCTATTTTGATACAAATTTATGCCTGTTAGGTGATGTTTCTTCTTTCCTTTTTATTTCCACTCTTCCGTCGCTCTAAGCAGTCTTCGTACCGTGACTCAATGCTTCCATCACTGTGTCTAGCTTTCCAGCCAGCTCTCTCCTATAAGCTTGGCAGCCTTCTCAGCCACTGCATACACATCCGTCTGAATGTTGCCTCTAGGAATCAGCGGGAAAACACTAGCATCGACGATCCGTAACCCATTGACTCCATACACCCTTAACTTCGAGTCAACAACTCCTCCAGCCTCCCTCGGCATCATCGCGGCCGTGCCACACACATGATAGTGCGGCGTATACCCATTCTTCACAGCCTCCTTGGCCTCCTCCAGAGTCTCCACCCTCTTGCCTCCATTGTGAAGACGCCGTCCACCCTCCTTGAACAACTCCCTTAGTGGGCTGGTGTCTCTCAGTTTCTCGAGGAGCAGAGTGTGGCGAGCATGGAGTTCTAGATCCAGCGGGTGTGACATGGTGCGCGGGTCGAGAACAGGCGCCTGCTCCGGATCCCCAGAGCGAATGTGTACTATTCCCCTGCTGAATGGATGACTCAGCACTGCGACCATGGAAGCATAGAAGCCGTCTTCCTTCATTGCGAACGTGACCTGCGGCGACGGATCCGTCATGCTCGGTGTGATCTGGAAAGGAGCCAGTGTGTATTGCGCGGAGCAGTCGTCCGGCGCAATGATTTGCTCGCGGAGGATCTCAAATTGTTGCTTCAGGGCCGGAGGAATGGGTTTCTGATCAAAATGCTCGGGCAACAGGTCTTTGACAGCCGCCGAGCTGAAGTCCTCATTCTGCAAGGGCAGAAAGGCAGACGCAAGTGAGTGTGTGCTAAGCGGGCCTGCCTTGGCCGTCGTGAAAGCTTCCAGTGCCATCTTGGCCACAGCTGGATCGCGCATTGCATCCGCGGACGTAGCTGGGTCGGCAACTTCCCAGCTGAAGGGGACAAAACCGTGGTCCTGAAGGTTCTCGCCAACGTTGGGGTTGTCTACGAGACAATCAATGCCGTGCTTTGCAAGGATGTCTTTGTTTCCGATGCCAGAAAGCTCGAGGAGTTGAGGAGTCTTAATAGCACCAGCTGCCAGGATGACTTCGTGCGTAGCAAGAACACGGCACAGTTGTCCGTTCTTAGCTTTGAACTCGACACCTGTTGCTTTCACAGCACCGCTTGCGTCTGTTCCGAAGAGAACCTTCGTGGCAAGAGCTTCTGTGATGACACGCAGGTTGGCTCGATTGGCGACCTCTTCAGACAGGTAGGCGTTACCAGCATGGCTTCTCTCCTTAGTGACAGGACTCATTGTGGCTGGGTTGTTGAAGGATCCCACCGCGACGCCAGAGATGGGGTCACCAATCAGCTTGCGGTTCAGGTTCGACCAAGCCCGTGGCCAAGCAGTGCTGAAGGGTGGAAAGCCCGCTCCGCTTCCGTACGAGACCTGAATCGGGCCACTAGAACCCTGAGCTTCCTTGACCTGGTAATCGAGCATCAGTTGTTCTTTGACGCCTGCTTCGGGCTCCGTGTAGGTATGGAATTTCCGAAGGTATGGGGCCATACCATCCCATCCCCAACCTGGGTTCCCGAGCTTCTCCCAAGAGTCGAACCCAGATTTGGAGGGATAAATGACCATACCGAGGTTGATACTACAGCATGTCAGTAACAGCATCTTCCCCTGAAAGAAGGGATATTGTGTTGCCAACTTACGCAGATGAGCCTCCCAGAGTCTTTCCGTACGGCTGACCCAGCGGCCTATTGTTTAACCCAGCCTATGTCGAGACGAGTCATCAGCTTGATCCTCAGTCATCAAGGTCATTGCACACTGAGAGGAGGGACGCGAGATTGTTTGCTCACCTGAGGCTCAGTGACCATACACCAGTCAAAATCGGGATTGAAGTACGTGGCGAGGGCGAGGCCTTGGCAGGAGATTCTTGGATCATCGCGACGATCTGCTCCTGCCTCCAGGACTAGGACTCGAATCTTCTCATTCTCTGTGAGGCGAGAAGCGACCACGAGGCCCGATAGCCCGCCGCCAACAATGACGAAGTCGAATTGTTCGCCGTCTAAGCCGACGGCAGTAGACGCATCAACAATATTGGAAGGCATGGTCACAGTAGGCAACTTCGAACTGTTCTGCCTGGTATCTGTGGTACGTGGTATTGTCGCTCTTGGGAAGTCCTATATAATATGCCAGGGAGCAGGAGACAGACCGGGATGATGAGATCAGCTGCTCGCGGCGAAAAAGGTGCACGGCTTGGGGGCATGGCCTTCTTTCTGATGAGCCAGTGAGGTTTCCAATGCGTGCGGCAAAATCACAGTGGCGTCCACCCTCAGGGTGACTGCGTCCTTTTCCGGACGTCCGTGGTTGCATCCGCGTAAGGATCTAATTTCCTTTACCACAATATTTGGATCGTTGCGGACTCCCTAGGATCTACAATCACCAAATTCGTAATCGGATTGGCTCCTATCGTCAGTATGTACTTAATACGGTTTGTACTATACTACATATGGTCCCGGATTTTTTTCGGTCCCCCAAACGAGTATGCGTTGTGGGTCATATGGAGCATTGAACCCACTGATCTGTAATATCTTACAGCCAAAAAGCTATACTGCTCGCAGAGCAGAGGCCAGCAAATTGTACCTGACAAGGGTTGCGATAATCCGACCTGCAGCTCTAGTGTATCTAATAGGGGAAGTCAGAGACGACGAAACGTTCTGGTACTGATCGGTGTTTCCGGCCTCAATTGAAAAACCCTTGCCCAAACCTAAGGTTGGCTCCGTAGACGATGATGGTTCAATTTGAAGAATACATATCAGAATGTATTGAAATTTTGACACGGTTGGCTTGCGCGCTTGAATCATCGTGAACGACTTGCGGGCCGGACCAAGCGAAACTGAAAATTGTATCGAGCAAAGATGCAGCTCGAATATGACAGATCAACCCTCGAATCGACGCTGTATCACGTCACCCCTGTGTACCCCATAGCACCAAGAAAATAGAAAAATCAGCCCACGAACGAAGCATTCCGCTATATCGTTCCAAGCTAATCCCCTCATCACCCCAGTCTTGGATTCCTGCCCCTTTTCCGTGGGGGTCAAAGAGGTGATCAGACTATCATGAGTAGCCGTAAGATGTTATTTGGAAGCTTCGGGAAGGGATCTTCGTGCTGATAAAACTACCTAGGTTGAAGTGTTACCAATGCCGCCTGAATTCAAAGTCGACAAATCTATGATGTCTTCTCAGGCGGACTTACTCGAATTGTAAGTACGTACATTCACATAATCTATACTGCTGTAAAGTCGAAGTTAGTTTCACAATGGGTTTAACAACCGCTAGTTGGAAAGCGACAAAGTTCTTCTCCCTCATACATGGGATGCCTCATAAGAAGGATTTTAATGAATCATGCAAAGTCGCAGAGCAGAGTTACAGCGTCGCAGAAAAAGAGGGGCTCTGCAGGTTCTCGGGGCTGCGGAGTAAGGCGTGGAGGGCCAGGCATCCACTCGCAGACCATACGCGTGTCCAGGGTAGCAATCAAATACATACCGAAGCTTTCTGTGGGGACTGCTGATCGTATGAACCAGAGTACGAACTGCCAAGCACATAGTAAGATAGAGAACAGCTCTACTATGGTACAGTCCGACTTCCTAAGCCTGGGGGCCTGCAGTGGGGATATTAAGGGGTTTCGGACTGAGGATCGATCATTATGAATGATGCAGAAAGTCCTCCATACTGTTACTCCGCTGCTATCGCATAATAGTAGTTGACTGCAGTGAGCAGCCAAGCGGATCACCTTCCGGACTAACCCTGGGTGCACGAGTTCTTTTAGTTCAGGGGACACAATTTTGTCTATGTTGGTACGTATGGGCCATTGAATGGATTTGCCAGAAAATCTTCATTGAATCCCAGTCTGACCTCATAAGTCGGTGTCAGATAACTGAGAGCCACTGTTCAAGGCTGGCAATCATTACCGGATATGGCTCAGAGACGGGAGTGGATGGGTATCAGGGCTTACCTGTAGGCGGGGGCACAAAAGTTTGCCCTTTCCACAGGTCCTTCCTTGTGTTCTTCTTGAATCCAAGCACGGGGCCTCTGACTCTTGAGGACTTCGCATCTTACACCCTCTACAACCAGACCGTGGCCTGAAGCCAGAGGAGACTTCGAACCATGACTTACTACTATCCGGACACGTCCGAAACACGCGATCCCCTCATAGTATCAACTGTTTTTGGGGTGCTCGCCTTTCTCAGTTTCATCGGCCGCCTATACGCCATTTACCTGCGCAACGATCGACCCAAGGTCGAAGAGTGGTTTATCTTCGCGGCCCTATGTTTGACCTACGTCTCCCTCGGCCTGCAATGGGCGTGCGTTACTCTCGGCGGAACAGGTCGCCACATCACCGACGTCGAAGCCATCGACCCCAACTCGGTCATCCTCACCCTCAAACTCATCATACCATTTGAGGCGTTATACGGCATAACTATTATGCTTATCAAGTTCGGAGTACTGAGTTTCTATGGGAGGATGTTTGCGCTCACGAGTTGGTTCAAGCTAAGCCTGCGAATCACGGCCGCCACGGTATTCCTCTGGATGGCTTCGATCGTGCTGGAGACTTTCTTACTATGCCGTCCACTGGCATATAACTGGGATACAAGTATCGAAGGTGTATGTGGGGACCGAAACGCCGCGTATGTGATTGCCGGCGTGATGAATATGATAACGGACTTCATGGTGCTGCTTTTGCCTGTGCCAGCGATTTGGCAGCTGAAGATGCCAACAGGCCAGAAGGTTGGCTTGGTTGGAGTGTTCAGCATGGGTGTCCTGTATGGCCTCCTTCTATCCAATCCTATGCACGTATTTCAAGACTGACACAAATTTAGTATCACCGCCATCTCCATTGTCCGCTTGCATTCGCTCATCACCATATCGTTCACCGATCCTACGTGGACGTTGCCAATGGGTCTCCTGTGGACAGTCCTGGAGCCTGAATTAGCCATCATCAATGCCAACCTTCCATTCATGCGCCGCTTCCTCGCCCAAATCATCCCGAAGGCCTTTTCCTTATCTCGAAGCTCAAGAGGATATCCGACTAAGGGTAGCAGGCGTGTCGATTTTGAACAGATCCCCGAGAATGGTAATGGCTTCATGCTGCGAACCATCGGTGGCGGCTTTGTTCATAGAAGTGCCGCAGCTGTAGGCACTGGAAACTCACAGAATCCCTCTACTCTACAAAGCTTTGATGGGAAGGGCATTGTGCAAGAGCGGTCGGTGCAGGTGGAGTTCGAGAGGGCGTCTGACGAAGAGATGATATCTAAACCTGGGAGCGCATTCTGAAAGATCACGAAGGACTTCTCACTTGATACTTGAACATGGTATCGCAGTGACCAACGTGTTGGACCCCAGCACAAGGAGGACAGGTGGATTCTGAGCATTTGTAATATTATAATGGAGCCAACTGCTTCCATCTTTTCTTCTGATAGACAGCAACAAGAAACATATAATGGAAAGAAAACTAAAGGGGCGAGCTAGAGAATTAGAAGTCGATTTCAACTGATTATGGTGAATATAATACAGAGAGGACAGAGTCCGTCAACCTGGCGAGTGTGCTCTCGTATGAAACGAGTGGTGTGAAGAATGGTGCGTAAAAGTGGCCGTTATAAACGAGTGGGTCGAGGTGTTGGTTTTGGTTTTCTTCCTTTCTAGGTAAATATTCCGAAACCTGATAACCCGTTTTCATGTGCATGTTTGGTAGTAAGCTGTCACTTAGCGGATTCATGCTGACAGTGCAGGTTGTCAGTATATGCTTATACTCCGGGAGAGTGAGTACCTTTGGAAGCCAGTAATAGCAATAATCAGGCTATTCAACTTAGAAAGTCCGAATTCGAGGGTAGACTGCTGATCAGTATGGAAACGACAAGTGGCTAGATGGTGTCCTATTACTTGAGATAATCTGGCTGGGAGATTGCCTCTGGGTATAGCATATCGAACGCGTTCCAGGAGTCCTCTACTTCTGCTTTGTTTGGAGCTTGGTGGCCATGATGAATCCCCAGGTGGGACGCTGACAGGACTATACTGGAGTATCTGGCTCGTCCCGTATTAGAGCAGCCATGACAACGATGAATTACTGTCCTCCACCTCATCGGGCCTTTGTACATCATCCAATGTTGTCAAATATCTCGTGAACATAGGACTCGATGTGGCGTCCCGAGCCTATAACGACTACACCCTTTTGATGAAGGAAGCGGATGCTGGCATCGAACCTAGCCAGCGACATCGACAATGCTGGTGAGCTCATAGGCATTCTTGTAGTTATTTATTCATGGATCCGCAAGTCAAAGGACGAGCGCAGGGAGTGAATCGACACTATCGTTGTCAAATGGCTGTCCTATTTTGCTGGTATGGGCAAGCTCTTCATATTCGCGCGTGCATCAAGAGACCTTTGCCATAGATGTCCAGGACGGCATGATAGTGCGAGCACCGCTCACAAACTGTATCTCTGGGGGGGAAGAAAAAAAAAAAAAAAAAAAAGCCTCTACCTATCTGAGCTACGGAAAGCGAACTAAGGAAAGATTAGCGAGGAGAGGTGTCGTCTGAAATTGTCTAAACAATGCAGGTGTATGCCAGGCAAGCAGTGGCAAGTGCGTAGTCACAGGCGCTCGTACGTATCATGCCGGCCTTTGTGTGTGACTAAATCTGGATCCCAGATCAATCTTGCTGCTACTGAGGCACAGCAATAACAAGGCAGTTGTGGCTCTCGGGAGCATATTCCCAGATGTTCTGGATCTTAAACCCAGCTTTTTCGAGTAAAGTTGTCCACTGGGCAGCCGTACGCTCCCATGCAGCCAGACAGGTCATCATAGAAATGTCTAGATTTGTCGCTCGCCACGCAGCACCCCGTTCAGGAAACACAATCTCATCGACTAAGAGGTAAGAAGAGCCTGTTTTCATGGCGCCCTTCAGGTTTTTCAGAATCTCCTCGCACTTGTGATCAGGCCAGTCGTGGAGGATACAACTGAGATAGTACGCAGAGGCACCTGTTTGGTGGCATCAGCAGGCGTTCTTGTAACATTCAGTGCATCTGAAAGAAGTAGTACTGTGCTACACACCTTTGATTGGCTGCGGTGTAAAGAAATCATAGGCCATAGCTTCGATGCCCTGGAATCCTGGCAAGGGGCTCGTCTTCACTTGGTCAATGATGAATGGCTGGTCCTGGAGGATGATTCGCCCTTTGAAGTCAGGATACTTATGCTGAAGGGCAATGCACTGGTGTCCCATCGCGCCACCGACGTCAACAAAAACGGGTATCGTATTGTCTGTGTTTTGTAGTGATGACAGGATCTCCTTCCGGAAGTCCATCCCATCGAGAAAGCTGGGCTGCCCCTCTCTCATTGTTGCCATCCAAGGCAGGAAGAATTTCATGTACTCGGGATGGGCTTTCAACCAAGGGAAGGGGTTCATCTCCGTCTTGTGTCCAAGATGCCAAGGTGCATGGTTCGGATCGGAAGGATTCTTATATCCATTTTCACGGAGGAACTGTGGAATGGCGACGAAAGATGGATGGATCATCTCGAAGCTGAGAGGAGCAGTCAGTCAAAGTTGAGGTCATCTCCACCCTCTTACCCCAAAAGAGCGTAAGAAACATGAAGCTTACAAGTAGCCTGTCCCCGATTCCCCTATAAGGGTTGTCGGGGCTTTCGTGATGTAATTGGCCCTGTACGAATCATCGCCAAGCTGGGAGATCATTTCCTGAGATTGGTAGTACCGCAGCAAGCGCTCTATATTGAGATTGAGACAACAATCAACATCGGGTGGCGTTCGGCAGAGAGACCTACTCATCAAGACCGGGTCGGCCTGGGTCTTCTTTGATAGCTCAGCATTGGTCATAGCAACAGCGTGAGAAGCAAAAATACTGAATATTCCCTTCTCTACACCAACCCGGGCAAGTGCGAGTTCCAATGTCTAACACCAAATTAACGGTATGTTAGATAAACAGGATGATCTTTACTGACGGTATTGTTCAGGCGGTGTGTCGTGTCTCCCGCTGACTCCATGGCACGGCTGAGTTTCCGGCCCGCCTCGCGCAGCCGTCGGCGAAGCACATCGTCTTCAAGCTGCAGGACGAGGTCCGGGTTTGCTACGAGAGCATCAAGCTTTTCAGCGAAAGAAGCAGCGTCTTGCAGGTTGAACTCCATAACTATAAAACCACTGTCCAACGTTATACTAGTGGTTGCCCTATCGTTTGGGGAGTTGCAATGAAGAAACTTGAGGCAATTTTGAACAGATGAAGAGAGGAGAGATTCCAAACAGCATTTTGTCCAGGATTTACTAGTATTTATGGCGCAGTGTCGGTGATGCTGCGGGGCCTCGTAGTCATATTAGCCCGTGCCGAGGATCACAAAGGACGCCTCGTAGACCTTCCTTTGCCCGTCATTGTCAACGACCAGGGTCCACTTCTTAGAGACAAAGAACAGCCTGGGTTCAAGGGATCGTTACTCTACATTTTCTATCGCGTTTCCAAAGTTTTGGTCCGGGTCAGCCTCCAATCCTACACAAGGGGCGGAGGGTTCACTGGGGGCGATACAATATTGCAATAGATCCTTACTTAGAGCATATCATCCAACATCACTAAGTACCTTAACCCTGTCCCAACCGCATGCACCCTTGATGGGGAATAATAAAGGAGTTTGGTACGAGTAAAATAAGTTGAATCAAGAACACTGGACGTTAACTCACTGATTGACTTGGGCATTGCACCAGAGTATGTGCTCGGCTGAGGTCCCATCGGCGCTCTAGTTTTGATATTCATATTCCACGTGCCCTAGCTCGTCTGTCGTTGAAACTGGAATGGCTCTTACTATAACAATTATTGCGTTGGCAACCGCGGTGTTTGGGCTTCTCACAACACTCATCTACACTAAATTGCACTTCAAGCGGTTTGAGGAATATCGTGGCATCCCTCAGCTGCGACAATCCTTGATTTTGGGAAATCTGAAGACTATATATGACTATACACTGTATGGAGAACGCGATCGCCACCTTGGTATGCTCGTTCCACAGCCCCCCGTCTTCACATCTATTTCCTAGTTCTAACGGTGTGCCAGACCACGGTTTTACCGAGATGCTGGAGGCTCTCGGACGGCCTCAGTTGATGCTCGTTGATATCTGGCCACTCAGATCTCCCTTGCTCGTCGTAGGCAGCCAGGAGATTGCCGAGCAGCTTTGCAGACCAACAAACCTTTTCCCTTGGGGCTCACCAAAATGGCCAGGGACCGCGGCAGGCCTTGGGAGGCTTATTGGCGGCAGCTCAATGCTGACAGCTGGAGGCAAGGAATGGCTTGTTCTTAGGAAAAAAAACAACCCAGCATTCTCACACCAACGAGTACTGGTATCGGTACCGACAATCATCGACAAAGTAGAGATATTCATTGATAAGCTCGATCAACACATGTTTACCGGCGACGAGTTTTCCCTATTGGCGCTTTGTGCTGATCTCGCCCTTGATGTAATTGGTCAGGTGGTTTTAGGCATTGACCTCGACGCCCAACTCCAGCGCCCGAGCAAGCTTGCCCGCGACTTCCTCGAACTTATGAGCACATACGACGGCCTTCTCACCGTGATTTCCCAGCTGGATGGTGCCTGTTGTTGAAATGAAACGCCGGAGCCTAGAAGAGTCAGTCGACAATTCTCTAGCTGAGCACATTCGGCAAAAATTTAAAGCGAATTCGACGGAAGCTCTGCGCCAAAACCACAGCGTCCTTTCTCAACGGCTTCAGGATATTCCTGCCCTGGATCCCTTGATAGTCGCCGAGATATCGGACCAACTCAAGACTTTTCTCCTCGCCGGCCGCGATACAACTGGGATCACGCTCGCCTGGGCACTCTATGAGCTCTCGCGTACACCCGGCGCCCTACGACCCGTACGTCTCGAGGCTGACGCTGTCCTCGGGCCAGGTACAGACTTGGTCACCATACGCACCACCCTAGGCAGTGATCGTCGCGATTTGTTAGGACGGATGCCCTTCACGCACGCCGTCATCCGCCAGACACTGCGTCTACATCCACCAGGGGGTGCCATGCGATACAGTGATAAGCATAATGGCTTGACGGTGTGTAACGCGACTACTGGGCAGACCCACTGCCTGGATGGGCTCGCCATTTATCTGTGCGAACCTGTGATCCATCGAGACGTTGCTGTTTATGGAGATTCCGCCAACGTCTTTGTCCCGGAGCGATGGGCAGCGTTGGGTGCTGCTGCTAAGATTCCTCCATCAGCATGGAGGCCATTCGAAAGGGGCCCAAGGGCTTGCATCGGGCAGGAGTTGGCCATGCTGGAGGTGTGCCTTGTCCTCGCACTGGTGTGCAGGAGGTATGACTTTGTCAAAGTGGGCCTGGGCAGAAATTTGTTGGGTGCAAAGGGTGAGGAAGTACTGGATGAGAGGACAGGGCAGTTCAAGGCGGCAAGCGAGATGTACAAAGTACGTTATGGTGATGTGAATACTTATCATTCCCGGAAATAAACTTGTGAACTGACCCTCGCTTTGCAGGTATTGAAAATGACAGCTCATCCTGCCGATGGGGTAATCATCAAAGTGAGAGCTGCAAGCGCTTCCACATGGAGGTCATATTTATGAAACAGTTATTGGGGTAGTGATTTTGATGTTCGCAACTAAGTACTAAACATGATATTATATATGAGCTTTTGAAAATGAAAATCTGATTCTTGGAGTGTTGCAGACCCTCCTCCCGCCCCTGAACCCCGCCAAGGCTTACAAAACGAGGTTCCAAGGCTTGAAAAGACGTAAGCTTGAACAATTTCCAGTAACTGGAAGAACAACTGGAACAGGGCAACTATAAATTCACAGAATTTAGAAAGTCACAGTTGTAACCTCGTTCTACGCATAATTACCAAGAGAAACAAGCGTTGAATTTTGTCTTCACAACCCGTGAAAAGCATCGAGCTCGTCACTAACACTTCTGAACCCAAGTTAAGTTCGCTCATAGTTACCCTCCACTTTCATCATCATGCCACTCACTGGCTTGGGCGTTACTTGCCGTGTCTGCTGTATATATCATGTCAATTAGAGAACACAAGTAGGACACGAAAGCTCTTAATCAAGCTCGAATATACTGGGTACATCTTGTGAGCCACTTGGAAGAATCCCTTCTCATCCATTATCGGCTGCCCGCTTGCATTCAGCGTGAGCCCACCAATACACACCTGAGCAATTTCGTATATATTTGCGCATACTCAAACATCACGCATCAAATACACTCTCACCTTTACATTAAATCAAACGCTTTAGCAACAAGCGCGAGGACTAGCCTCACCTCCAACAGGGCCAGTTCTTGGCCAATGCAGTTTCGGGGACCCCTTTCTAATGCTCTCCTTGATCAGGACATCGGCATAAGGTATACAGTTGATGAGATCCCGGCCAACCGGTGACAGAAGTGCAGTGCGTACGTTGAAGGGGCAGTGTCTGGGGGTATTGATTTAGCAGACCCTTCGAATAAGTGTTGTGTTAGCGAGCTACACAGCATAGAGTAGGAGGAGATGTTGATAAATCGGGAAGGGGAACAGGAAAGCCGAAGAAGTACTCGGGTGGCCATTCTGTTTTCCCGAGCGAATGAATTGGTGAACATGTTGCAGGTGTCCCAGCAGAAGAGACGGTTTCAGCTGTGGAAAGGTTGCAAATTGATAAAATCTCTTGTAACAGAGCCCTCTGTAGAGGTAAGTGCCCTACAGCACGACTACCGTAACGGCCACTCGCTGTACTAGCGTCACGTCGACTCGGCATACGCAGAACGAGAGGTTTTGGGTACCTTATATCACGGGCGGTGCGTGGTTATTTCTAAAAAGGTATATTCAGCCTTGATATTGAATCTTCGGAGGGGTCAGCATGAAATGAAGGAGAAGCAGATGTCAGATCAGACGCACACGAGGGCGGTGGGGGTTCGTTAACGTGTTGGTTCACATGCACGCCACTACCTCGAAAGTACTAAGGTACCCCCACTCCCTCCCCCCTCCCAGCCCCTTCAAGTCGCAGCACAGCCTTTATTGATCCTCTGATACAAGCACGAAAGTACAATATTCATGTTCGCCACTTATCTCATAAAAGAAGTGCCTTGAATGGCTCTCTTTCAAAGTGATCTAGGACATAACGGATGTGCTGCTATCTAAGCTCTTCGGTCTGAAAGCTGGATACATGGTACACGTTCATTACCATCAAAAAGATTCATCATTCTTCAATCTTCTGTCGTCAGTCTAAGTATTGCTTGTACTATATTGCAATAGCTTCACTGCTAATGAACACTCGCACCCGTGCTTGACTACTTAATTAGGTAAGTACCTAGGATTGTTTTCGTATTCAAGGACTGGGCACCGCTAGGATAATTAATGTGAGAGATCAAGCCAGTGCAAACACATATGCTCCTCTGGGGAGTACCACATCATGCCATAGTACACGCATTCGCCTAGCTGTTGGTGTAGCAGTACTTACTACAGCTGCAGCAAAATCATGGTGGCAGTGGAGCAACCCAAGGTTTCAGTGGAGTCTATGTTTGAGTTGGGTACTTTTTTATGTTTCATCGGGGTCCGGTTCCACCTCAGCTTTTCAATGCGTCCGACCTCCTGCTTGTGCTTGGCATCGATGCTGCCCAACTATCAAGGCTTTGCGGACCGGGTTCCGGAACAACTAAGAGCGTGAGCTCAGCTGTAGGCCTCCTATTCAACTCGCGCCGAGTTGGGACACCATGGCAGGTCAAGAACACTCCATCGAATGCGGGCCTTCAAATACAAAGCCGCACAGCTTTCATCTTCAGCCGAATTGCTGTTACAATGCTGGCATACCTGTTCATCGATATTATGACCTCCTTGCCACCACCTGATCTGGTCATGGTCCGGGCCGATAAGGGGGCTCTGTTTCCGGCGAATGGCTTGAGAATTGAGGACATCATCTTCCGTGTCGCGGCGACAATCTCGTACTGGGTCACAACTGGCATCGTCCTTCTAGCGATGAATAATGTGGGCGCTATCATTGCGGTGCTAACAGGCCTCAGTAGGCCAGGCGACTGTCCGCCTCCCTTAGGTCCGTTCACGGAAGGGTATACTGTTCGGCGCTTTTGGGGGTAAGTCCGAACTGCTGTCTATATGAACTGCCAAGAATACTTGTTCAGTCATGATCGATAGCGATTCTGCCTTTGCTAACATTTAACATAAAATGTAGTATCAGTTGGCATCAGATGCTCCGCTCATTTCTGACAGGGCATGCTGATTTAATTATTAACAAAACTCTACCCTTTTTACCACGCCACTCAGCAGCTGATCGATATATACGCTTGACGCTTGCTTTTCTTATCTCCGGTCTAATACACAGGCGCGGTGATCAGGCTCAGGGTGTGCCCGATGCTGAAAATGGGGCTTTAGCCTTCTTTCTTTCACATGCTGCTATCATTATGCTGGAGGATTGCGTTGGGCATGTTCTTGCCGCGTTGCTGCCCAGGCGCATTTGTTATGTGATGGGATATCTCTGGGTTCTCGCTTTCTTTGCCTGGACTAGTCCAACCTACATGTACCCTGGCATGAGACTTGGGTTTGATGGGACGGCCTTGCTTCCAATCCGCGTGATTGGGCCTTACTTGAGCAGGTCATAGATAATGATGAGTAATAGTGTCCAGAACGAGATTCATGTGCCGACAAGCCTTAACAAGAATTGCATCAAGCATCGTAGTTAGAGTCCGAGTTGTTATGAATTGAAGAAAAGGAATGCAAAGAGCTAAAAGAAAAAGTGTGCCAGTCCGTAGAAAATGTCATATGCTTCTCACTGGGCACTGCACTTACTGCAATGCCATTTCTAGCCTTCTTCGTTCGTTCCTTCCAAAAGGATGCAAGTGGCTGTAGGGAAAGTGTAAATTCCTCTCCTTGCTCCAAGGAGAGTGTGAACGCTCTGGATAAAGAATGCGCCGGACCAGCAAAATACATACGCGAGAGGTTGTATTTTAAATCAGCTGTTGACTGCGAAGGAGTGAGAGATGCCGTTCGTCCGCTCTCATTTTGAAACGGGTCTTATCTTTCCTCTTTTTTTTGGGGGGGGGGGGGGGCGCTGGTCGGATCATTTGCTCATCTCACGATCCTATTGTGGCCAGGCTGCTAGCAACTCTCTTTGGGAGTTGGGCCTCTAGGGTCGGTCTGAGAAGGCCCTGCGAAGTAGTGTTTCCCACACTGTCGATATGTGTGCCTTCGCTCACCGACAATCGTTCCATGGTCGAAAGCGCATGTCCGATCTAGCATTGTTCGTACAACCGGCTTGACTGCAAAGACGTGCCTTATGCCAATTTGTGGAATGATGATCCCCTAAGTTGTGAATATTTGGTGGTTTGACTTAGTCTTGTTTGTGATTCTTCTGTCGCTTTCAGCATTCAACATTCTAGACTTGAAGACTTCATACGTATATGGACCTCGTCACCTGCCCACCTGTTTGTCCAGTAAAATCTTCATTATACTAAGCTATCAACCGTCATGAAAGGCTGAACCAGGGCCTAAATTGTATTATGGGAGAAAGAAATCCATGAACCTTCTTTCTTCCGCCTTTTTATCTCGAAAATGCGTCAGGCTCGAGGGCCTGCAGATCCCGTGTTTCGAGAATAGCGAGTCTGTCAGACATTCTACCCTCGTGTACCTCTTCGAGCCTAAATACTGCTGTGGACATTCCGCCTCGTCGCCCTAGCTTTAGAATTCGCGGCGTAACTCGCTTCCTCATCCGCTTCGCCCACTCCTTGATTTCTGTTGCTCTGGTATGAAGCGATTGGTAATGCACAGTGTGATGAGGAGTGGGCCATATACGCGGGCCCTGCACCATATATATCCTGCATCGTTCTTTTCTTCAGCCTGTTCCTTGTTCCTATAATTTAGAGAGCCCGGCACCACACACGGACTATTCATCCGACTGATATAGTTATCTATCTTCTGACCATTCATTCTCCAGACGTATCTGCTCCTCTTCCTCAGGCGTGAAGTCGTTGGTTATGTTGAATGTTTCGCGAATTTCTTCAGGTGTTTTGCCTTTGATGAGATTCGCGATCGCCTTGCAACCACCGTTCAAGAGTTGTTCGATGTCAAGGTAATTGGCGGCCTGTGTTGCTCAACTCAGCCATACGCACCAAAGCGAAACGGTATTAGACAGCCGCCCAAGGCAACAAAGATCTTGGCGGACGTACAAGAACAATTTCAAACAATATGTCTGTGTCAATATCGAAGTAATTCCGATCCCACTCGTCCACACCGGGGCTGTTGATGTTATAGCTTGCGACGCTGTGAATATTGGTGTTATCCGCATCATGCGCGTGGTATTCACACCACTCGAGGACCTTCCGAAGAACCGGCTCCGTCACGCTTGGGAGTGGGATAAGTTCCCTAGCGATGATCTTCTTACCAAAGTATGTACACAAGTGTTTGATGAGGACAGAACACTCGACAGCTTTCTGATCTGCAGCGTTGTTAGCGGCCAGCGGCGACTGAGGGGTGTTTTCTTTGCAGCTTTCACTTGCCAGCCTCAACGACGACCAAATCGTTAGTGACAAGTCTCACCGTGCCAGTGTCACGGTCGCCGCCATTTGGAAGTCGCTGGTCAAATCCAGAATGCCCCACCAGAGTGACAAGTCGCTCTTCTATCTCTTTACGAGCCAGTCCTCCTATGAACGTAGATGTTGTAATCGGTCTCTCATAGAGAAATGCGGGCAGGTCTTGATAAGCAGAGGCTTCGAGGGCGATGCGCAATGGAGTTTCCAGGAGGTTTCCGTAAACCTCGCGGGTAAAACCCGACACTTCCGTACCGCCAGGCTCAAGCGAGACGATGAACTCAATGAAGGCATTGCTTGTGCCGATCTCTATCATCGCTTCTTCGTGATGCTTGTCCACCAGCTCCGAAACAGCATCTACCAGCAGGGGAGCTATCTCCTTGAAAAGCTCGTTGTGCCAGAAGACGAAATGCAAGGTGTAGACGTCGTAAATCGATTTCTTGCCTTCATCCAATTCGCGCTTGATCCAGTGACGATTGAGATATCTGAAGACATGATCGATGATCTGGGCAGCATTTGTATAATGGGCGCACTCGTCGAGGTAGCGATTCAGGAGCATGTGACCGGAAAGTGACTTGAAACGTTGTCTGATTGTGCCAAGGTACTGATGAAGGTAGTTTTTCAAAAACAGGTATAGCTCTTCGCCTACCAGGTGAGCTGAATTTGTTTTTGGTCAACGGTAAAGCCGTAGGTGGGAGAGAGAGAGAGAGAGAGAGAGAGAGAGCGTGCGACACTTGTTGACGTACCTCCTCGGTGCGACGAGCTGCTCAGCGTATTTCCGGCGTTTAAGCCTTTCTGTGACGTGCAATACTTGTGCACGGCCCTTGACTGCATTTCAGCACCTGGGAAGGCCCAATTCGTTCAAGGATGGGGCAAACTCACGTATACAGCCCCACAAGCGACGGAATATCAGTACCCCAGGTGGGCTCAAACATGATGCGATCGAGACCATTCTCGATATAATGCCACCTAATGGCTACTATTAGGAGAATGCACACCTCCCGCGGGCGAATACATGCTCACACTGCTTCAGAGTCGCCGTAGTCGACGCCCGGGGGCATTTGCAGGACAGCTTCCTCACCAGCCTGCGATTCTCCTGGCCACTGAGAGGCCATGGTGACTCTTTGGTTTGCCGATTGCAAGGAGGCGTCTTTGAGATGAATGGAGGAAAATCCTGGATTATATCCTGCTTGGAAGAAGTCAAGAGGAAGAAATTCTTTCAGAGGTTCCAGTTCAGCAGCGGCGACAAGGTCCTTGAAGTACTCAAACAGGAACCTCAGCCAAGAAACGCGCTACAAATCGACAGGAGCTGGACCAGTCGTTGTGCATCTGGGATGGTGAGTTTCCAGTGCGAATATGTCGAATAAGCGCCGGATAATGCGGGAAACGCGGTCACCTGTAATGGAGAGGGGAAGGGACCAATCAAACTTCTCAGAAGTGACCACTGAGGCTCGTACTTGCCTTGTATTACTTACTCGACGCTAGTGGGGGAGGCTATGCTGGGCTGTGTGCTGCAGCAGTGGCTGAGACGGCAGGAAGGTTGTTGTCATCCATGGCTGGAGCGGCTTAGCGCCGCCCCTGCATCACAGCATCTTCTCTGCCGAGTTCTTCACGACGAGCTTTGATTTCTCAGCTGCTTGCTCATTTCAAGGCTTTGGTACTCTAGGTTCAATCATACGTTTAACTTTGTGTACATCTAGCCATAGTATTAGAAGTTACGACTTCCGTCAAGAGCCCGGCCGAGCAATGGATTCACTGTCCGCTGTTATCGGTCCTGCTGCCGTGGTCTTGCAATTTATCAAACACGCTGGCAAGGCTTGCCGATTCGTCAACGCTTTCTGCGAGAATAACTATGACGACTTTTATGAAGGCGTCTTCCACGAGCTGACAAGGCATTTCCTCACATTCTCACACCATTTCAAAACCCAACAACAAGCCGCTAGGTTCAACACACGCTCTTCTCTGAGCCAAGAGGTAGGTCGGATGCGAATGTGGGGGTGCAATGATTAAGTACAGAGGACCATTTTTCTGACTCTATTTGATTCAGGCGCAGCTGGATCGGTTGATTGCAAAATGTCAAGCCGACTCCACATATCTGAGGGATACTCTATATCAGATCGCCATAGATGAAGAGATCAAAGACCGCAACGCCTACCTTGATGAGCGAGCTCAGAAGGTCAAGAAATTCTGGAATCAGCCCGAGATCGACCGCCTGCTCGCTAAGCTCGATGACTATGAGAAGCAGCTAGTGAAAGGCACCCTGGCCTGCCTCTCGACCCGTCTGAGCGCCGTCGACCTCGAGAATAGCATCACAATCGGGAGTGGCTATCGTACTCATGGCAAGATTATGGAAATTTTGGCTGTTGTCGCCAACGTTTTGGATCCTTCAACCAAGCGCGCAAACGACCAGGGTTGGCAGCAAGGGACTAAACTCCCAGTCAACAGTAATAGTGTTGCCACGTCTAATCTACACCATCAATCCGAGATGGCACTGGCCGCCGTCGTGACGTTCCAGAGCGGGGAAACGAAGTTCTTAACGATGGCGGGTATTCATAGCAATGCCCGCCATCCCTCCAGCGAACAGCAGATCATCATGACTCTGCGAGATACGGATCATATCGTTGTAATGGACGATTTCAGATCTGTTCAAGATCTGGTGCTCGACAGTCTGTATTTTCGTCAGTGTCATGAGCGTCTCAACACGGTAAGGGTTGCCCACCACGAGACTTATGAGTGGGTTTTCTGTCCCCCCGAAGCCGACAAGCCTTGGGCACCATTCGTCGAGTGGCTCGAACGCGGCAACGGCTGCTATTATATAAGTGGCAAGCCCGGTTCCGGGAAGTCTACGTTGATGAAGTTCGTGGTCTCGCACCAGCGCACCAGCGCTGCACTCGAGAGTTGGGCAGGCGGAACCCCCATTAGAGCCTCGTTCTTCTTTTGGAACCTGGGTTCGCCCCTGCAGAAGTCTTCGGACGGCTTGCTCCGCGGACTTCTTAATGATTTGCTCACGCAGCTGCGGAGCCTAATATCCGTCGTCATGCCAGATCTCTGGCAAAGGGCTGCCGTGGCCGGTGCCAGTCTCGACAAGTTCTCTTTGGACGAGCTAAAAAGATGGATTCGGAAGCTCCTGTCCCAAGACACTACATCGCTAAAATTCTTCATCGTCATCGATGGCATTGATGAATTTGAGGGTGATCATGACGAACTAGTGGAGCTGATCCGTGACGTTGTCAAGAATAAGAATGTCAAGGTCCTCCTCTCTAGTCGGCCTACCACTTTTTCTGAAGAGTCATTCAGGGACTGCCCGGTTCTGCGCTTGCATGATCTCACCAGGGGGGACATACAGAAGTATGCAGGAGATTACTTGTCTGGAAAACTGAGGCAACGGCACGGAGCTCAATGGGCAGCCCTGATTGACGAAATTACAGACAGGTCGCACGGCGTCTTTCTTTGGGTCGTACTGGTCGTTCGATCACTGAGAGAAGGGCTTATCGATGGTGATTCCATCAAGGAAATGGGTCAGCGACTGGATGAGTTGCCAAGGGACCTTAAAGCGCTATATGACCACATGATCCGAAACCTTTCGCCCAGATACCAGCAGCAAGCGTCCGAGATGTTCCAGCTCCTGCTCAAGGCTCAACAAGTACAGTCTTCTGCCGGGTACCCTCTGTTAATTCAGCTCTCATTCTGCGACGATGATCCAGAGGACGTCTTGTCTTTGCCGATAGGGCCCCTCGACATCAGTCACTATAACGACAAATGCGAACAATTTGGCAACCGCATCCGCAGCCGGAGTCGTGGGCTTATCGAAAGCCGCGAGTGGCAAACGAACCGCATCAGTGGCATCAACCAGGACGTCATCTCCTTCCTTTGTGTAGACTTCATCCACCGCACCGTGGTTGAGTTTCTCCGCTTGCCTGAGGTCTGGAACGAGCTGATCAGCCTCACATCCACTGGGGGAGAGAAGTACGAACCTAGTCTCCAGTTATTCCGCTCCTGCGTCCTCATGTGCAAAACGCTTCCGACACCGAGAGGAATTGACACGGAAATAAGCATCCTTTGGCACATGATGGACCGAGGACTCGTCTACGCTTCCTTGGCAGAAGATTCTGGGAATCCGGTTCCGCCTGAGCACCTTAGACAACTCGATACTGTGCTCAAGAGGCACTGGGTAGACATCATGAAATGTTTCTCACGGAACGGATCTTGCGACATGCAGGGCCACTGGGTGAGAGGCTATACGATCGATCCGCAGAGACAGCATATCCTCAATCCGGACAATTTCGCTTCGGTAGCCTTGTTCCACGGACTTGAGCACTATCTTATCAGCGAACTTGCTGATTCTCACAGCGTTGCCTCGATGGATACTACACGACTCCTCGTCGACGCCTTGCAATACGTCGGCGCTCCACCATGGAACACGCAAGCTATCGAGTTCAACGGGAGTCTTACAAACGAAGCAGCTATGTTCCAGGATCGGGAAGTTGTGTTACGGCCGCGGTGGCTGAACATAGCCATCCGGCTGGTCCAAGCAGAAGGCACAGATCCCAACAAACCAGTCACAGGCAACACCAGTGCATGGAGTCTAATGCTCTCGTACGTAATGGCGGCGTCAGGGACACAGCGTGCTAAGCAGAGCTTTCATCGAGACCTGGGGCCTCAGGGATTCGCCAACCTTTTCTCAAAACTCCTGGCTGAGTTCATCAAGCAGGGCGCGGATCTATACCTCTGTACAGCGGCTGGGGTGGAGCCAGCATGGAAGCTCATCGAGCAGCTATTCTCGGAGGAAGCTACTAGTTCTTCACAATGTCTGGACCCATGGGCCCATCAACCAGTGGTGCCAAAAGAAACTCAAGTCGCGAGGATGCGAGATTATTTCAAGTCTCTTGTGGCGGAAAGAAAGTAAAAGTACAGAGTTGTCAAGAACCCCAATACTCAATAAATTCAGTCAAACTGATACTAGTTACCAGAGGTTTGTGTTGATCTTTCAATATTGCATTTCGGGATACCTTCCTCATGGTGCACTGGATGAATAAGCCCGATGATGCGCGCAGATTGCGGCAGAGTAAGGAAGACTAGAGTCAGATCCGATCAATGTACATAAGTCCTACTATAAGAAATGATTTTATTTATGCTTTCCTCTCCGTCATTGCCAGAATATAGTCTTGTACCTGAAGTGAGAGGGCATCAAATGCAAGGCTGTCCTACTTCACATTCTTTACTACCACCTTCACATGATCGGCGTTTCTACATGTTCCGTAATCTCTCCACTTCATGGTCTCCGTATCGGTATTGTATAGTTCCATGTCCATCAAGCCGAAGAAATTGGAAAGACACGTGTAGAGTTCAAGATATGCAATACTGAAAATGATCTGTTCAGCCTTGAGGTTGAAACAGGGGAGTTATTCGGGAGACTCACTTGAACCCTATACATGACCGCGGACCTTTTGAGAATGGAACATGCCATTTTTCCAGAGCACCTGCTTCAGGTCCCAGCCATCTCTCGGGGATGAAACTTCTGGGGTCTTTATAAATCTCGGCGTTGTAGTGGATCAACCGTGGGCATACAGAAACGATCGACTGCAACACTTAGTCAACAAGGAAAGGAAGGAGAGCAGAAAAAAAGTCTTTTTCTTCCGAATGGAGGCGACAAACCTTAGGTGGGATAAATGTGCCGCCCACGTAGGCGCCACCTTTGGGGACGACTCGAGGCAGGTTTCCGGGGATGGGAGTGGACACTCTGAGAGATTCCTTGATCACGGCTGTCTGCATAAAGAATTAGCTCATCAAACCTGCAAATTGAAGACGAGTTTGGCAATACTTACTAGATAAGGCAGGTTCCGGACGTTCTGGAATTCCAGCATTCCCTTGGTATTTCTCGGCACGGTATCAAGTTCTTCACGAAGCCTCTTGAGCTTATCTGCGTGAGTCAAAAGGTAATATGTAGAACAGCTCAAAGCATAGCTAGTTGTGTCTGTGCCGGCAAAGCAGAAGATGAAAGCTTCATCAACCAAACTCTCATGGGTAGGAACTTTGTATCCCTTAGCCACGTTCGGCCGTAGCAGGAGGTCGAAAATGGTATGCCGACCATCTTCAGCGCAGTAGACTCCTAATTCGTGTCGATCAGCCACTTCCTGAATCCAGTTGTCACAATCCTAAGGAGGCATGTTAGAGACTTGCCATCTTCTCAGAGCCCACCAGGAAGACTCACAAGTCGAAATTGAACATAACCTTTGGCAACAATGTTTGCCCAACTCAGGGGCAATTTCAAGGCAATGCGATTGAGGACAGGCAAGTGCTTCATAGTTTGGACCCTGTCGGAGAAGGTGTCCATACTCTCCAGGAAGGGCGGCGTCGCGTCGTCGGACTCGATCAGGTTCATGCTCTTGTTGAAGAGAACTCGAGTAATTGTATCGACCTTGACAATTGATGTCAGCGTGCTATTTGAACTGCATGGAGACATGGCATAGTACCGTGACGCAGCGGTAGGCCTGTTGAATATCCCAAGGTGTACCCTTCTGCAAAGACTCCTGGGCTCTCCGTAGACCCTTTTCGACAATCTCAGAGACAAATGGCGCCAATTTCTCAATTTTCTGTTTAGCAAAAATACTTTTGATAATGTCATATCGTTCCTTATGTTCTGCAGGATTGGTAAACATGAGTAACGAGTGCTTCACACCAAAAGTCTCGTAGAACCCAGGATCCTTGAGATATTTTGTTCCATTTCCGTATACTCTTGAAGTGTAGATTAGCCTTGAAAATGCATCTGGATTAGTGGGAGAAACAACACTTACTCTTGATAGTACGTCATGTCCTTGACATGGACGTGATTCGGTGCAATTCTCACAACAGGACCTTCCGTGGGGATTAGACTGGTGATCAAATTCCGGATAGATGGATCGCTCGCCACATACCATACTTCTCATGAAGCTTTGGATATTCTTTGACATAGTTGCCATCAAGAATGACATCTTGGTAGAACTCGTACCAACCCGTGATGGCAGCCAGACGAGGACCAGGAACTTGGCAGAGTCGATGAAACCATAATCTCCAGGCAATTCCAGCAAGCACATAGACGGCCAGGAAAATGCCAACTTGGACCACAAAGGCCATGAAGTCGTACCTAGGGGTCAGTATCATGATCATAATCTGATCTCAGGATGTAATGTATGCGCACGTATGTGTTTGTGAATGTGTGGGCTTAGAAGCTGGTGTATGCCAGATCTTGGAAAACTTCGACCGTCAAGACCAAGTGTCTTCAACGTCTCTGCATGTAACATCGCACCTGAGCATGACTACTATGTAGAACCCTTGCTCAGCTGAACTGTGGGACATGACTCATCTGCGATAGCCACTCTACTTTCCTGCTTATGATGATCACGGAACTCTGGAAGAAATTATATCCAAAAGTCCTCTACTTTCTACTATCAAAGCCGCTATTGCAATCCTTCTGCAGACTAACTGCATGCCACGCATAGTGCTTGCAATTGATTCCTCATGCGTACCTATCACAATTGACGAGGCTGACAACATTCTCAGGTTGAGAGATTTCCACTAATAAGTCAATATCCTGTGGAGATTTGGGCTGAATGTATGGGTCACTGATTATGCAAGCCTTACTCAGGGCTCTGAGATAAGCTGCGGGTAGATGGGGACAAGTGTGTGGGAGAAGCCTCCGGAGTAAGACTCCTAGATCGCATGCAAGATGTTCCTGGTTATGAACTATGTGCTAGCAGAGTCACACAACATAAGCAAATGAGCGGTATATGGACAACGCATCTGGTCAATCAGCCCTGAGGTTGGAACAAAGGTGAATTTAAAGAGGGGTGGTGTAGTGCGGGTATGTTTTCTTGTGTTCCCTTCTCCCCCTTCCAAAATAGCTGAGAGACAACCCCATATCTCTTCGTTTTAGTCCTCTTGCCCACCAGGTTCTCCATTCAGCCTAGAAGCCCATCCAGTGCCTGTCACGGGCAATCTACTCAATGGCTTCTCCTTTCAAGATCACGCCGCTCTTTAAAATCGCAGCAGGTGTCACAAGCACCTTGCACAAGCTCACTACTCATATGAAGGGCTCTCCGAGTCCGAAGCATGAGACCCTCAAGGCAACAAGGGAACCAGCGGCGCTGGAGACAACACACTTGCCAGAGTCTCACGATCTGTACACAGTAAACTCTGTGCACCTGCCTGACATGTTCGCATCCATCATGTCAGTTGACCCGCCTGTGAACAAGCATCATGAAAAGGTCAAGCGGGAGGCGGAAACATGGATCATCAAGTAATGTGGCTATCTTGTAACGCATTGGGACTTCATACTAATTACGTTTTGTACATTGATTTCTAGGACGCTGAAACTCAAGGAGGAAGAAGCAAGGAAAATTCCAAAGATGGACCTCGCTTATGTGGCATCAATTTGGGTTCCGGACGCAGACGAAGAAGGGCTCCGCATGGTAGTGGATTGGTTGTATTGGGTATTTATTGATCTCCTGAGTTCTCAAGTAATTTCTTTTTCTTTTCTTTTTATACAAACAATCTCTAACCCTTAACATTCAGATATTTTTTTTTGATGATCGTAAGTGGAATCGCCATATGTAAGTATTCAACTATTGTCTACAGAGTGTGGCTCACCATATGAGTAATCAGAATTCGACGAAGGCCATCTTAAAGATGACCCCAAAGGAGCCAAAGAGGAAATTTCTGCTACCTTGTCAATCATGACTAGTAATCAGGCATTTATTGCGGTCGATGAATATCCACTCAGGCATGTTTTCCAGTCAACATGGACGCGTTTTCAAACGGTAAATTTATACCTTCCTACGGCTACATCCAGCGCTCTTTTATTCACATGAAGCTGTAATCAGAGAACATCTCCAGGTATTCTGCAACTCCACCTCCCTGTTCCTCCAATATTGTGGCGCTGCTAAGATACTTCCAGCCCTCCAAAAAAGATGGGTGAAGTCCTTAACAGAGTATTGCGACGGTCTTCTCGGCCAGGTCACAGCTGTACACGACACACGGGAGTTGAATACTGATGAGTACATGACCTACCGACGACTGTCGATAGGGGCCTTTCCGTGTCATGAACTTGTCGAGTATGAGCCTTATATATTGGCAAATCGCCTCTGAGGCTGACCTCTCTTGTAGATACGCCCACGGCTTCGAGATTCCACAAGTGGTGGCCGACAATGATTCTGTCAAGGTGTGTCGCACGATTTCGACGGATCTAGTCTGGCTGTAAGTGAATATATCTCGGAAACAAAATGTGCATCATAAGATGTTAATGGTCTCTAGCCAAAACGACGTCTTGTCATACCGAAAAGATCTGGTAACTTGATATAAAGATGGTGCTCTTTTTCTTCCTTCGTTGTTCTAACGCACCGTACACAGATACAAGGCGTCAAGCACAACATTATCCACGTCTTGCGAAATCAGAACTTGTCTGAACAACAGGCCATTGACGAAATTGGGGAGATGTTAGATGAGCGCTACAGGGAGTGGTATCGTGCCCTGGCTGAGATGCCGATCTGGGGGGAGAAGGTGGACAGAGATGTGCTAAAATACATCTGGGGCTGCCAGGCTGTTGCACTGGGAAATTTGCACTGGAGGTAAGTCTTCACTGCTAACAATGAAGTTTCGCAAACCCCCAGAATTACGCTCTTACTCACGATTGTTGTCTCAAAATCCAGCTACAAGACTGGACGGTATCTGGGGGCGGAGGGTGAGCAGATTCGCACGACACGCATCATGACCATTCCCAATCTCTAAACACTTAGGCATGATTTTGAGAAATCCTTAGTTGGTAGATCCAAACTCACTTCGATCCAAACAGAACGTGTTTGTAATCCTTTTTTGGTGTCATTGCCCAGATCTAACCTGCAAACATATTGAACAAGGAACACAACGCTTGGATGTTAATAATACACCCTTTGTTTCTAAGCCTAGTATCATCTAGTTACAGTTTAAACTTTTCCAACTGGCGCAGCCGCTTTCCAAAGCGATTGAAAATAATCGGCAATGGGATCATGAGTATGCACAAGAATCCCAACAAAGAATTGCCCCAGCCTAGGCCCAATGCGTTGTACATGGGCGTTCCGGCGAGGGGCAGAAGGGCGCCAACAAGACTGCGCAGTTCAGTATTGGCAGCCATTGCCGAAGCTGCATACATTGGATAGCAATCGACAAGGTATCTGTTGACTGAATGAGTTTTTACCTGACCAGTCCCATTGAGTGCTGGTGGAATGAACTTACGTGTTAATGGGAAGGAAAATACCCATGATGCCGAAACCGAAAGGAACCAAGCTGAGGATAGCTGACATCCAGTGCACTTTATACTCGGCGCACCAACCGTACCAGAAGAAAGTGATAGGCAACGCCCAGGAGAACCAGATGGCGAGCCAGAGTCTCATCTCGGGCTCAAATTCGCCATCTCTCTTCTTGGCGAGCCGAATCACAGATTTGTCCGAGTAGAGGGTGATGACGAGCCACCCAATGGTTGTGCCAGTTCCAAGTCCCAGATAGACGAGACCAGTCAGACCGATGTTGAAACCGTACGTGTCCTCGAAAACGGTAGGAATTGTGGTAAAGAGCAGGTAGAGGGTGCCGTAAGCGAAAGACATGTAGAGACTCAAAAGAAACACGATAGGGGACAAGAACAACATCTTGATGGGTCGAACGAGACCATTGAACAAGATCTGACCCCTGGAGAGCTTGTGCGCCTCGGCACTATCGTAGCAGCTCCTCAGGTCGTCCCTACCAAATTGCTTCTTCAACTTGTTGACCTTGTTTTGCATGAGAACACGATGACTTGTTTCCTTGTTGAGAATCTCGATCAGAGTCGTCAATAGAACCCCGACGATGAGGACGATCCAGAAATCCCATCTCCACCCCAAGGTCTCGGCAACGAAGCCTCCTATGAGCGGACCGATAGTAGGGCCTGCAGTATTACCTTGTTAGTGCTCGTCGCCGTCAAGAGCCTATAGGCATACCATACAGCCGAAGAAGAAGACAATACAAGAGGATTACTGACCGAAGAGTGGACCAAGAACCCACATTCCCATGGCAAAACCTCTTTGCTCTGGACGAAACAGGTCTGCGATGACGCCTCCGCCAAGGGTCATGCAGCCTGAGCCACCAACACCGGAGAAGAAACGAAAGACGATGAGTGCGCCGATGTTGGGAGCGAGAGCACACCCGATCTGCCAGCTACAAAAAAAGATATTCGCAGCTGTCAGTACTGGTCGCCTCCCGTATATCTCAGAGAGCGGCGCCAGGAACATAGGACCAATCACGTAGCCGAGCAGATAAATGCTAACCGTCATTGCTCCTACAATGGCGTTGGGCTCGTCGAATTCAAGCATGAGGCTTGAAATTCCCGGCGAGAGGATGGAGGAAGCAAAGGGCGTCACCAGGGTGATACCCGAAAGCAGACCCACGAGCAGCCACTTCTTGAACTCTGGGAAGTTGAGTGGCATTTCTGGGTCATCCTGCCCATCCCAACCCACGATGCCGGCGTCGAGGTCTGATTCGGGGATGGGATCATGCTTGAGACCCTCACCCTTGTCGCCCTTACGACTCAGCCGGCTGAAGACCCGTGATACCTTGGACCGAAGGCTGTGTTGGGTTTCGATCCTTCGGATGCTCTCAATATCAGCAACCTGTGTGGGTTGGACATGCCCAAGAAAAAGTTAGCTACATCACTTGCGACGTCTGGAGGCGCGTACGCGTCGTCTTTGTGGAGTACAGACTCTGCTCAGCTGGAGGTCGAGTTCGTGCCCAGCCACTATCTCCTCTGCCTCTTCATGCTCGAGGTCTGGCTCGCCGTGGTCTGTTTTGTCTGAGTGATATCCGTCGCCATCGTCCCTGTCGGCATTCCTCTGTTTCTTCTCCGGATCTTGAGCCTCATTTTGCTGCTGTGGTGGAGAGCTTACAGCTGGAGCGGTGATCTTGTCATAGTCGACTTCGGTACTAGTTGATCCTGTGAGCGATTGTCTGTGGGACACTGTGGCAGAGGTTTCAGCAGCCTCTTCTATCCTGATTTTTTCGTCGTTCTCATCCGTCATCCTGTTTGTTACTGATCCGCTGCTGGTTCTATCGTGTATGTTGATACTTTCGTATCGAGATCAGGTAATTACGAGGTAAGCCCTTGGTAAAAAACACAGCTGAAGATGAATGATTGAACAATAGTCAGTCAACATGAAATGGGGGGGGGGGGAGAAGATAAAGGATATTGAGAGCGCGGCCGACGGCAAGAAAACAAATCTCACAACAAGGCACTTGAAATCGTTCGGAGATAGGGGAAGAGAGAAAAGAGAATGTGTGTGAGAGGAAGAGAGTAAGACAGTACTGCACAGTCACTTGGATTTTGCAAGCCAGCAGTAAGCCGGCAATTCAGGCAGCCTCTTGAGAAGTAGGCGAGCACAACCTGGATCAGCACGTGCAAGCCAAGTAAACAGCCAAAACACTGCGAAAGGGCGCACGAGAGAGCTAGTACATTACTCATCCAGATGGCTTCGATTAATCCCTACCTTGCCTCCAAATCCCTCCAAGCCACCGGTTGCCCACAGCGGAAATAGCGGTCTTAAAGGGTCGTAGCTGAGGAATCAAAGTCCTGTAGCTGCGGCGCCTCATATCATTTCCGGCGCCCCTGTTGGCGGCAACTTGCTGCTGCAGAAGAGCTGAGACTAGTCTGGGAATAAGTCTTCCACACCTCGCAACCCGGCTTCGGCAATCGATTGAAGCGCCGACCCGGGGCAAGGAGGCAGGAGATCCTTCCTGGATCCCTCCGTTCTGCCGTCTGACGAGGTCATTCAAAGCACATGCATGGTAGGTAAGATTCTGGAAGCTGTGGAACCGGATGGGCGACAGGGAGAGATGGGAAGAGAGATGGGCCGGGGGGCGAGGGGGGGGCCAGGGGGGGGGGCGAACATTGCTGTTCTTGTTGCGCTCACGAGTAAGCCTCCATTCAGCTGCTTCTCTCTCTTTTCAGGAAAGACAAAGGAGCTGTAAACATCCTTCTCGTGGATGTCGCCAAGTCGGACTAATGTTGACACCCGCCTTGCCAACCTTGTAGTCCCTCAACAACGAACGGCATTTGACCATCCAGATTTCTGGGGAAGGGTTTGTAGTGGGTCTTCCGCTACTCATGGACATGAAGGACAGTACTATGCTAGTAGGTATAATAGTAGGAAGCAGTACGATGCTTTGTTGGTTGGCACCGAAGTATGTCATTCATCTTCGTAGTTTCACTTGGACTGCGGTTTCTCAACGGTCAAGACTCCAAGAGCATCCTACTGCGTCGTCTCGGGGTCGAGGCTAACTCGTACGAAACTGCTTAGATACAGCGCCCGCGAAGATACTTCGCCATACTAGTGACGTGGAGTAACTACCAGGCCGACAGCAAAGAAAAGAAACGGGGTGGAAATGATCTTAATACTATTTATCTACATGCAGGTACTTTGATACAGTAGCTGCAGTTACTACTCACATTTATTTGCACGGACGGAGCAAGCCTGGAGGCCAGCAATGCCGCTCCATACCCCACTCTGCACGTCCTCCTGATGCATCGACGTACGCAATTGGGTCAGACATGACAGGACAGGGGGGAAGGGGGGTTGGGAGGAAAAAAAGGAGCCCCTCGCTGCTTAAGAACGACTTGCATAATAATATCTTACAGATGCAAGGCCGTTTGTTGCCTCTTCACGCGCACAAACAACATATCAAAATGTCAGGGTTGTCATCATTACCATCACAACCACCACAACAACCATTCCAAGAACAACAACAACATGCTCCCGTGGCGGCCATGCCAGACAGGCCCAAACCACCATCCAAACCTGGGCAGCGATTCAACAAGGCATGTGATTCCTGCCACATCTCCAAGGTACGATGTACGCCTGACCCTCAGTCGCCCAACGGCACCTGCAAGCGGTGCACCAAGAATGGCACGCCCTGCGTCTTCTCACCTGTCGGGCCGAGGAGACGCCCCGTGAGGACCAAGAACGACAGGATCGCCGAGCTGGAGCGCCGCGTGCGGGACATGCAGCTGAAACTAGAGAAAGAAGTCGAGAAAAGGTCATCATCAGCCGCCGTGCCCAGCCGTCGTGATGATGGTCAAGCCCGAACTCATGCCCCATCCAAGCACGGCGGCGGAAAGGCTCCCGTTTCTGGGCTGAGATCCGCCGCCTCCGAATTTGATCCCAAGTCCAACTCCTCCGGATCCACCATCGCTGCTGCTGGTGCCGCTCTGGCTGTCACAGGTTCCGATGTCCAGCCATCTCAGGTTTCTTCTTCTTCTGCGTCGTTTGGGGTGACAAAACGCAGCAGCATTGCAGCGACGGGCCATTATCGTGCTGTCTCCTCCACTACCTCATCCTCTGACTCGTCTCCCTCCTCCACCACCTCGTCTTCTGCGCTGCGTATTGCCACTGCACAAGTCGGCGCTCCTATTTCTGAAGAACCACTCTCACATGCATCCTCGACGCGAGAGGCTGATGTGATCGATCGAGGGCTGATAACACAGGCCCAGGCGGATCAGCTTCTACGCGAGTTTCGGCTTCATATAGCTGACAACTTTCTCGGAATGTGTATCCCGGACGAGATGGGGCCAGAACGGCTCCGCCGCGAGAGGCCAAAATTTTGGCTCAGCATCCTCGGCGCCGCGTCGACTGGCAGCATTGAGCTGCTCAGCCTGTCGCCTGTCCTATTTCAAGAGGTGCAGAATAAACTAGACCTCGGCATGATATCGCCACCGGCCAAGCCAGACCTTGACACCCTCCAGACATACATGAATTATACTGGCTTCTACTATGACCATGTCTGTTCGACGGGAGTCAGGGTGGTGGAAATCTGCTACAGGGCCATCACTATGGCTGTTCAGATGGCAGAGACATTTGCTGTCCTGCACCTCCCTGACGACTGCACCCTATCCGAAGGCGATGTGACCAGTGAGGATATACAGCTCTCGCGCGAGCTGCTGCGCTGGTACTGGGCCTGCGTCTCCCTGCTCATCAAGAATCGTCAGGTCAAAAGCCACCGCACCACCGTGCTGAGGCTGATGCACTTTGTCAACCCCTGCGTCCGCGTCCTGCGCACAACGCACAAGCATGAGGATATGCGCCTGGTCGAGTGGGTCAAGCTCGTGCAGATTACAGCGAATACCGTCTTTGCGCTCCATGAAGGTCACACGGGCGAGATCGGTGGTCTAAGTGACAAGGCTCGCGATGCGATCCTGGACTCGTTTGAAAGGAGGAGAAAACAGTGGCTCGTAGAATGTCCTTTCGATCTCGTAAATGGTACGACAACAACCACAACAACAAACTCTTCTTCGTCCAGATATGTTCTTGATACTCCCCTCCTCCCATTCATGTCATACGAACAGGCGTCCCCTTGCTTACGAAGAGTTGTTGACAGAGATCATGATGCTGGAGTATCATTACTATGTCTTGCTTGTGTGAGTTACTCCTATTGTTCTCCCCGTGGTTTTTGCGACTTTGTGTGTCTGACCAGCACCGTCTCGTCGTGCTTTCTCAACTTCTCAGCTCCGAGTTCATCTATCCAGCAGGTTTTGCAGACTTCCAGAGCCGCAGCCAGGGATTGCCCTCCCTGTCCACGATTAAGAGGAACAACAGTGAGCCAAGTCCAGACCAGAACTTCTTTGCTCCATACAAGATCCAATACACTCGAAAGTGCATCCGCGCTGCCCAGTCCTGTCTCGATGTGGTGACAATCCACAATGAGTCCAACGACTTCAACTCGACCACACCTCCAGACATCTTCCGGCGTCTCGGCGCCTTCCCATACAGCAGGATCTTCTATGCTCTCCGCTTCCTGCTCTTTGTGACGCATGAGATCTTCAAGACCCAAAAATACAACATTATCAATATCGAGGCCCTCAGGGTGGACTCCTATATCGCTTCCCTCAAGAGGCGGCTCGCAGCTGCAGCGGCCGGAGGAAGTTATCGATATCCCTCGCTCTGGCTCTACGCCCTGACGACAAGAATCGAGCCGTGGTACCGCGAGCTCAAAGCCTTGCTGGAAAAAGACAGGCCAACGCGAGAACTGGGTCGACCTCAAGGCGGCGAGTCCTCGGGGTCGTCATGCGCTGGAACCTCGCCTGACAATGAACGCGGTCCTCCTGCAGATCTTGACCATTTGCCGTCCAACACCGACGAGACCTGGTTCAACGGACCCATGTCGCCTCTGTTGCTCGAGCTTCCATTCGAGTTCTTCTCCTCGCCCGAGGCCTACACCATGCCACCGCCTGCTGCGGTCCCAGGCCTCTACAACAACAATATCTCTGGGACGGCGGAACCTCTAGGGTTCACGACTGCCCCTGTTAACTCATCCACAGATCCAACAGGGTACAGGCCTGCTCAGTTGCCAGACTTCACGAACAATATGCATCCAGTGCAGGCTGGCATTGGTCAGGCAGATCCCACCGGCGAGCTTGATACGTCTCTCGGGAACATGGACCTAGATTCCTTCGACAATTTCGATTGGGATGATTTCAGCAGACTAGTGCCCAGCTCGGATATGTTCTTCTCACAATATTCTCCATTTGTGCCTGGGAGCAATGCACCGTCATATCAACAGCCTGTACCGGGTAAACAAGGACTAGGTGTTGATGGCGAAGGAGAGAAGGATGACACGTAAAGCTAGAGGCAGAGGGAAGGGTGAGTTTAGCAAGATTGAGAACCTGGGACGACTATGAGTGACGTGACTAGTAGTCTAGCTGTCATGGCATTATGATACGAGAGCAGGTGGTGCTGCAATGTTTTATTTGTGTGTGTTTGTGGGAAAACACCATGACTTCATTCGAAATAAGCCCACGCATCAAGGCAGCAGTGGGGTATCATTGTATTCTCGATGTTTTCCCTGAAGCCAGGACGAATAGGGTAATTATTCAAAACGCTTCTACTCCGTACATATGCATGACAGACACCCAAACCCCCCCCCCCCCCCCCAAATTTTTTACGCATGTGGTACGCAGAAAGAAGATACTGGCAGAGCCTAGGGCGCTACGCCCATGCTACCAGGTTTGTCTGTGGTGACGTTGCTTATCAAAGCCTGCGAAATGCTTCACCAAAGATCTCTCTGCTGCGGAACAGATTCAACAACCGTATGCGCTCATTCTCCAAGTGTGCCGAATCAGTTGCTTGCCCGCAAGGCAGATGCGCAACGGGGGCTCCAAATTCCTTCTCGAGGAAGCGAATGGCCGGGATCGAGCCGCCCTCACGAATGTACAGTGGCTTCCTACCCTTGGCAGGAAGACCAGTCGCTCCATGCCCAGCCTCTGGATCTGTAGCGTCTGGAGCAGCATCCCGCTCTGGGCTGCTGCTGTTCCGCCTGCCACCATCCTCTCCTCTGCCTGCTCCTGAGCCATTTGCCGGCCCAGACAGACCCCAAACTTTGATGATGGCCTCCTCCAGCGTTTTGAATATCTGGTTATTTGGGTCTCCCAGCCATGGCTCGGCCTTGTTGTCGATCTTGATGGTCAGTGTGTTTTTGCTTTCGAGCTCTGCAAACTGGGCCCGCAGGTACTCTTTCAAGGACGCAACAATATCATCGACCTGCTGATCTGGCACAATGCGGAAGGAGATGGTGGCGCTCGCATGACTGCTCACGACACTTTCGTCCACTCCCGAGACCTTCGTCCCATGGATTGTCAAATTAGGCTCGCGCCACCGTGCCATTAGACTCGATTTGAGCTGTTGGACGGTGCCGCTTTCGGGGTTGCGGCGGCTGAGAATCTTGACAATCTCCTCATAGCGAGCCTCCTCATCTGGCGTGAGAGGCAGGACTGCATCATAAAAATGTGGGACCATAATCTTGTTTCGTGGCCCTTTCAGTGAGGTCAGCACCTGCATCAGATCTGCAAGCGGTTCGTCCAGCATGTGGCTGCCGTCCACACCGGAGTGCAGGTCTGGGTAGGCGCTGTCAACACAGATAGTGGCGTGCAGAACGCCACGTAGGCCGTAGGTCAGACACGGCGTCTCATCGTCGATCCAGTAGCTGTTTGCAAGAAGAATGTAATCCACATTTCCAATCAAATCCTTGTTCTTTCGGATGGTCTCGCGAAAATTGCGACTGGTGGATTCCTCCTCGCCTTCGATGAGAAATATGACATCGGAGTCGAGCTGCTGAGCCTGCAACAGGTCGGTCACGGCGTAAAGCGCTGCCATGATGGGGCCCTTGTTATCACTGACGCCACGGCCATAGAGATAACCGTTGATGCCCTCCATCTGGAAGGGATCCGTGGCCCACTTGCTTTTGCCGTCACGGTCTGCCGGAACGACATCGTAGTGGCCATAGAAAAGAATGCGCTTACGCCGTTCCGCGGGCTCCAGCTTGCCGCTGAATACGGCGCAAACGACAGGATTGTGCAGCTTCTCGGTGGAGAGCATGTTCACCTGCGCGCCCAGCCGCTTAAAGAGGTTGCACAGAAAGCTGGCTCCCTGGCGGCATTCCTCGGCGAACTCTGGGCGGGCGGAGACAGTCCGATACGAAACGAACTCCCGTAACGACGAGAGCATGGTACGCTCGGATTCGTCTGGGTTGTCCTCGGCCTCTTCCCGTATCCCGTCCACGCGCCACACACTGAGATTGTTATCGTTAGCACCGGTGATGTAGTAGTTGTGTCCCTGGTAGGTAGTGCACGCCGACGACAAAATTTTTCCCTCGTGTGCCTGCCAACGAGAGAGGCACCGATACTTCTGGCTGACCTTCTCGGAAGCTCTGGAGTGGACGGTACTGTGTCTCTGCGCTCAGGTCGTTAGTAACTCTGGCTACGAAGCCGGGGCTGAAAGCCGTACGAAGGCTTATGGCTTCAAAACTTACTGCAACCGTTCCAGTCGTGGCTGCGGACCAAAGGTAGCCCCAGGCCATCTGGAGGGACATGATGTCGCCATAGTGATCGTTTTCGCCTCGATGGTCCTTGATGACCCGCAATTTCTGCTTGGTATCGAGATCCCACAGCTCAATAATGCCCCTCTTCTTGCCGCTATAGAGAAAAGAGCCGTCAATGGCGATATGAAAAACGGACTGGGCGTCTTGTTCGCCGAGACACATAATCTCGCGGTGCTCCCAAGCCTCCCATTCCTCCATGCCGTCATATTTTTCGTCCTGTTTGATCTGCCATAGCTTGATGCGTCCCTCGCCACCGCCAGTGATCAGCACCTCTTCATCGGGGTCCACGAGGACGGTAGGACCCTTGGCGATGAACATGCTGTAGATGAAGCCGGAATGCGCACGGTTTCCGATGGATGAGCGGTAGACCTCGAGGGTCTCGTTCGCTGGGGGGATCAAGGCCTCCCTCTCGTCTCTCTTCCGAGGTGTGCTCTTCCCTCCGATGGCCTTGGAGTCGAAGAAAGTGTCTATGCGCTGGTCGGGGTGGTTTGGGTTGTCATGAGGGACCCGGCGGCTGGGATCGCTTAGCTTCACCCATTGGATCGAGGTGTTCTGTGCGCCGATGTAGACGGTGTCCTGCTGGGTCGAGTAGGCGCACGAGAAGACGTCGCCGATGTGATCGGGCCAGTAGATCTCGTACAGGCGTGCGAACGTCTTTGGACACCACACGGAGACCAGGGCATCTCCACCGCTGGAAACCAAGATGGACCTAGATATTGTCTCGGCGGGCGGGGTGGGCGAAGAGGAGCCCGCGTCAGTGGTGGTGGTGGTCGAAGCTAATTGGGAGGCAGGATCGGAGAGGTAGAGCCACAGGACATGACGCTTGTGGGCTTGGAAGCGCTTGACGAGCTCAAAGGTGGCGAGCGACCAGACAAAGATCTCTCCAGTATGAGTGCCGGCGAAGATGTACTTGTCGCTGACGGCAAGGGTCAGGACGGTCTCGTCATGTTTGAGCTCTTGGATCCGCTGGGGAGCATTGAAGAGATCATCGTGGGACTGCAACGGGCTGTTCATGCCTGAGTGGAGGGTCGACTTGAGTGAGGAGGTCATGACGCTGCTGGACGCATCCGCGTCAGTGATGATGATGTCCGTGTCGGTGTGGGCGGGAGCTGGAGCTGAAGAGTATATCAAATTAACGAGGGTCTCGAGACCAAAGGTAAATACAGCGTGGTCGAGTAGGACATCAGAGGAAGGAGAGAGAGAAAGAGAAAGGTCTGGAATGCTTCGCTCGTCCGTAGAAGGACAGTCTTTCGGGGTGAGCTGGACAGTCGACGGAGGTTGATGGACATTGAGCCGTCTTCTCCCATCGTCAAAAATGACGCCACCGCCAGCCTAGGCCCACTGGACCATTTCACATAGTAGCGGTGATGCTATTGGGCCGAGCGTCAAGTACACAGCCACTATGGTTTTTGGGGGGTATGCATAGGGTATTGCGTACGTAGGAAGAAGAAGAAAAAGGGCAGGAGATCACAAGGCTGGCAAAGGCATTTTTGGGTGACGTGAACGCCAATTCGTGGTCAATCAACAAACTAGACTTGTCCAGTATGTTGCGGCAGGTGCTAGAGTACAGCTTAATCTGACTTCTTGAGTGCCCTCGGGGACTAGTCAGAGATAGGGAGACCCCGGGTTTTCTGGGGCTGAAGACCCACTGAACCCTCCATCTTGAAGCTGCAGCACTTGGTAGCATAGGTGCTGCCCCAGGGCCGGGCCAGGCCAGTGTCACGCTAAAGCCCGCGTGGGGGTGGGGGGTTAGGGGGCGGTCCTTAGGGGAGGCTTCACTAGAAGCTGAGTCGAACCATACACGTACTTGTGTGTCGCGCGCTCTCTGGAATGATCGAAGGAAACACATCAACAGACTCACCATCCACGAGTTTATGATGTTGCTGCTGCCCATACCTCCTAGCTTCCGTCTCCTGGATCTTTCTACAGCCCGGGCAATCTTCAGATCCCCCTGCGTCCCCAACCTCTGAAGCTGGTGGCGTGGGAAAAGGTGCCGCGCCGTGTTGGTGAAACGGGGTCATCATGGAAAAGCTTCCACCGCTAAAACTAACATGCAGAAGGTCGTGTGTGTCGAGTCGTTGAAAATCCAATCATCGAAGGCTGAGATCAACCTGGAATGGACAGATCATATACTGTCTAAAGAAGAGAGTGAAGGGGAGGGAGGCTTGATTTCTTTTTAACTCGTCCGCGCGGACGAGGCCTTGCAGGGCATGGACTTGCTTTTTATTATGTTGAGCCGTCTTCGGTCGTCGCCATCGCATCATCAAAATACTCATTTCGGATCGTAGCAGGTCAGGCTCAAGCTAGCCCACCGCCATTTTTTATTTTTACCTTCTCGCCTTATTTTCTTCTCTCTTTTTCTTCCCTGGTGTGACCCCAGCAAGGGGCGCCGAGGCAGAGACACGCGTAAAATGGCAGCCAGATCGGAGCTCTTCCTTACAAATGACGCACTGTCCCGGCGCAATGGCATCACGCAGTCCGGTCCCAATGCCCGAGTGCTACCAACCAAATGCAGTGGCCCGACTTGTCACTGTGATAATATCCTTCGCGGTATCGGACTTGTGGCTGACCGCCTTGACAGAGCCAAATTGGGAGAAATTGACCGCCGAGATCACTAGGTTACTGTTTTTCCCTTTCTGGTCGATGCCTTCAACTTTCGGGTATTCGTCCTCTATTGGCTTTCCCTTTGAGGCCATCACAGGTCATTTCTCTTTCATGTCAGTATGGGTCCTCTTGTCTGAGTTGCCTGTGTAGTCACGAAGAACACAGGCAAGTGGCATCATGTCCCACTGACGAGAGATTTACAAGGGCTGAGCAATATGCTGTTTTCTCTTTCCGTCTCTCCCTTTCTCTCAAACTGCATGGTGGCAGCCTTCCGCACCTGCCCCCCCCCCCAAAACAAACAATTAAAAAAGAAAAAAAAAGGATGTTCGAGCCCCGGCAAAGACATGCCCGATCAGTTTCTTGCTTGAGCCCAGCACTTAGAATGACTGTCCTGCTTTATGCTTATATGTATTCGGGCAAGAGTCTCAGGTATCGTGGCTTGGAAAGGCTACTTTTGGATCCTTTTCAAGGCATTGCCTATACGCTGCTGCTGCTGCTGCGGGTAGCTCATATGCGAAAATATGTATATGTACATTTTGATTGTCATCACCAAGCAAAAGACAGTTGTGTGGAGCTATCAATTCTAATGGCCAGCTTGTTATTACAGTGTAAAACTTCATAATCTATCCAAGTAAAACTCATGCTTTTGAAGATGGTGTTTCTGCACATAGCGCCTTCCCTATAGCATGATCTTCTACAGGGTACAAGCAGATGGGCCCACATCTTGCGGGACAAGGTAGGGGGAGGAGGAGGGAAGGCAGGGGCTCAGAGCTTGAACCAATCAGTGGGGAAGTCAAGGCAGGGATGAGATTCTTGCCTCCCGGCAGGCTAAACATGTCGTTAGATCCTGGCTACAGCGAACAAATTTCTTTGCGACTCTGAGGTCACCAACCTATCGTCTTGTCGTTTCCACATCTCTAACATCTAAACAGAACCCCCACGCAATACCATTACTTTCAGTGACAGCCCCCATCAAGACGACAGTCAATACAACAAAGACTGTGTCAATAGCCTCGTGGATCCTCCAAAACCACCATCATCTGTTCAGCATAGGCATTGTTGGATTCATCGACCAGTGCTCAACTACCTGCCTTCTACACATCGCCTGAGAAGTGCGCGCAGGGCGATCCATTCCACCACCTAGACAGCCATCCTCTGGTCAGCCACCATGGATCACACACGCGATCCTTGTCCTTGGGTCATCTTGAATGACTTTGGTGGTGCTTTCTGCATGGGTGTATGTTGACCCTCGCGCTATCCTTTTCTCCAACTTCTTCCGGGTTGATCTGCCCTGGCTGACCTTGTCTGCTTTTCCCGTCCAACAGGCAATCGGTGGCACGATATGGCACGGCATCAAGGGCTTCAGAAACTCTCCCTACGGCGAGCGACGGATAGGTGCCATCACCGCTGTCAAGATGCGTGCACCTGTGCTGGGGGGTAACTTTGGCGTCTGGGGAGGTCTCTTCTCCACGTTCGACTGTGCCGTCAAGGGCGTCCGCAAGAAGGAGGATCCGTACAATGCCATTATTGCTGGCTTCTTCACAGGTGGCTCTCTGGCCATTCGTGGAGGATACAAGGCAGCCAGGAACGGTGCCATCGGCTGTGCTGTGTTACTGGCGGTCATCGAGGGTGTGGGCATCGCCTTTTCCAAGATGATGGCGAGCAGTACCAAGCTAGAGGTAAGTTATGACAAGAGAGGCGTTTATCCCATCCTTTCTTGCAACCCTGTCTGTCAGAGTTCTAAATCTAACGTTGGCCCTATGTAGGTACCACAAGCCCCTCCCGCAAACGATGCGGCGATTGTATGAACGAGCAACGAGCAACGCTGAAAGTTACGACAACAACCTCTCTACTCCGTCGAGCTACGCCCCTTCTCCAATCTGGGTCAAAGCCCCATGTATTTTCTACAAAACTTGGTCATAATCTTTGCATAGAGCTTTGGGGATGATTGAGGGCGTCGCATTATTCTTGTAGTATTAGACATTGGTCTCAGTCAGGTCAGCAAGGCTCACGATACGTAGTAACGTACTAAGAGGAATGAGCAGAGCGACCACCGAGATATCAGGCCAAGACGCAATAATACCTCCACCTTGGCACACTCCATTACCATATACTCACATATCTATATTTATTTTCCCGAGGTGTTCAGCAAGTCTAATTAAGACTCGCGGGTCTCTACGCTCACGAGTCTACAGAAACCGCCTTTTCCGGAAGCCACGCGCTGATCTCGTCGCCCCGATTCTCTCCATAGAAACCCAAGTGTTCCACCTCTGCATCGTCGTGCCATACCTGGAAGATGGCCTTGTCGTGATCGTCGAGCCAGGCGCGGAACATGCCAGGACAATTGTGGTCCTGGATGACATGTGATCGCGTCTCGACGACGTGGCCAGTAACGTTTCGCACAACAACGCTCTCGATGCCAATCATACCGCCCTCGCCCTCGCCAGTCACCATCCACCGATCTCCTGCGCTTCGCTGCAGCTCCCCACCAGGGCCTGTGACCTCGGTCAGGGCCACAGCGGAAGAGACGGGCTTCCAGCGCGCAATTGCGGCAGCCGTCCGACCAGCATTGACCCGCAGGAATGAATCTCCATTGCCAGTTCCCGAAGTTGCAAAAGATCGAGTGGTGGTCAGCCCGTTCTTCGGAGGAGGGGGACGAGATGACGACGACGACGACGACGACGACGACGACACCACCAAAGGCGAATACACAAAAGGAGTCGGCAGACAGTCAGCCATCCAACCCTTGATTGCACCAGCAAATTCCAGGACGGCCCCGGGCTCTCGTACAAGATCCATGCTCCTGTCCCAGAAGCTCCATGTCGACCTCGTCGGGTCGCCCTTCTCCGTCCACTCCTCGGCCCAGTATCCGGCACCAGGCACAGGTGTGTCCCCGATCCGACCCGTCAGCTTGTTCGTCAAACCTCCCGTGCTCGTGGCGCAGCACACTATTCCTTCCGAGTCCAGAGCCACCGCGCCTGTGGTGCCCTGGGGCAGATACTCGTCTGCGCTCCATGTCGCGAGCGTCTGGGCCCCGGTCTTTTCGCGTTCCAGCGCGCGAATGTGCTCGTCCCAGCGCTGCTGCGTGAAGAAGTACTCGGTTGGGGCCAACTCGAGACCATACTGTTTTGCAAGGGCTTCGGCCACTGCACCGTACAACAAAGTATGGCCCTGGGCCGAGGGTGCCGACACATCTATAGGTTCGAAACAATGGCCTGAGGCCGCACTCGGCTGTCCCTTGTCTCCTTTCTTACCCCACAGGTCGTCCTCCCCGTGCTCGAGTATCTGGCGCGCCAGCAAGATAGGGTTCTTGACATGCCGCAGGCCGAGCACCCCGGCTGCTCTCTTGGCATGACCTCGCGAGACCATGACGCTTGCTTCGAGCTGTTGGATGCCATCGCGCGTGAAGACGGCGCCCTTGCCAGCATTGAACAGGGGGTCATCCTCGAGGAGGGTCACAGCATAGGTGGCCACCTCGAGAGCAGAGGGCAAGACCGGGCTGGACGAGACTGACGAGGGGGACTTGGGTGTGGACATATACCCGTGGGTCTTGGCAATCTAGAGATGCACCACAGAGATTAGCCGTGAGGTCTTCTCTTCTCTGGCACTACACCTTTCTTTTTTTTCTTTTTGATTTTGGTTCAAAGACTTGCGACTGACCATTCCGAGCAAAGACTTCCGGACGGCCTGGTACCTTTCAGGCGTCAAATTTGTTGGCTTAATGTTGCCAGCCCCTCCATGAATAATCAGCCTGGGCTTGATGACCTTGACTGGTGCTGGTGGTGGTAAATGCTGCGCTCTTTTATACTCCATCTTATCGGCCATCTCTTTGTTCTGACGTAGTTTGACGAGAGAAAGTGATGTAATAAGAGAGAGACGACGAGAAAGAGGAGCTTGGGTTCATTTACTTCGACTGAGTACCTGGAAGACCTGCTGCTGTTGTTTGAATGCTGATCGGTTGTTTATCATGGATCCCCGAGGTCGGCTCCGGCAGACGGCTGAGGGACGTCAAAAAGAGACCGTGGATCCAGGGTCGGTACCAAAGGTCCCGGCCCCAGCATCGAGAAACCAGGTCACATTGGTTACATTGCTACCCGTGCCGGCAGCATAGTAATAACATCAAGTAGTCCTTATCACTGTGCAGTGTGCATCCTCCCCCTGCTCTGATGAATCAATCACATCATTCCCTGAGCACACCGCTGGGAGAGAGTAGGAATCTGACAAACGTCCCACTCCCCTCCTCCCCTTCATCGCAGGCTTGTTGATCTTCTCTTCCTTTTGTCTCTCATTTATAATCTCGTGCCCGGGTAATCTTCGTACTAATTCCACGTGCCATCTCTCTTCAGTAGTACGTTCATACGCATTAAGTTCGGGAATACGGGACGTCTTGACCGTGCCATGGAAATTCGCCAACCAATCATGGCCTCTTACTGTACAGGCCCTTTTGCTCTAATGTCCTGTACTTGAGTGTATTTCCCCGCGAGTCGTGCCTTTCTCACCCCTCCATATCATGGTTCCAATAAAACTGGTGGTGGACCAAAACCAAGGCGCTGCTGAGGGGAGAATGAGATAAATTCTGGCAAGATTTTCGTCTTATACTATTGTATCAGAAACCATCCCCTTTCACATTGTTGATAGTAATTCTTTCTCTATAAGTATTTATTATTTCACATATTTCAGGACTATCAACTACACAATTTCATGATCAACCTTATTGGCCCTAGTTTTCTTTAATCTAGATCAACGACGGTCAATCCCCGACCTCTGAGTAGAGGTTGATCTCTTTCCCCTCCTCTTCCCCTCACACACACACACACACACACTGTTTGCTTTCCTAAAAGAGAATGCCTCATCATGACCATCGGAGAGAACATGCCCAAGACGAGCGAAGGACACCCGTCCAGGCCAGCCCTCACTACCACCACCACCACGACGATGTCAGCGACGATGATGCGTTCCCAACCTACCAGCTTACCATCCTCGCGATATGCCGCTTCTCGGAGCCCATCGCTTTCAATTCGATCCTCGCGTACACCTACGTGATGGTCCAAGACCTGAACGGGAACGACATCAACGCGTCTTTCTATGCCGGCCTGCTCGTCTCTGCGTATGCCGTGGCCGAGGCCCTCACTGCCATGATGTGGGGCGCCATATCAGATCGCTATGGGCGCAAGCCGGTGGTCCTGTTTGGCCTCTGTGGAGTGGCCCTTTCGAGCCTGCTGTTCGGCCTGGCCAAAAAGTACTGGGTGGCGCTGCTGGCCAGGTTCGTCGGAGGCTCTCTCAACGGCAACGTCTCTGTGATGCAGACTATGGTCGCCGAGATGGTTATGGACAAGCCGCAGCACGAACCTCGCGCCTATGCCGTGCAGCCCTTCGTCTGGTTCCTGGGCTCCATCATCGGCTCTGCCATGGGAGGCTTCCTTGCGCAGCCGGCCAAGTTCTACCCCGACATCTTTCCAGAAGATGGCCTGTTTGGCCAGTATCCATATCTCCTCCCGAACCTGGTGGCCGTGGCCGTCATTGTTGCCGCCGTCATCCAGGGTATCTTCTTCCTTGATGAGACCAACCCTCGCTTCAAGAACAAGAAGACCAGGAAGACGATCAGGAATACCACCATCGCACAGAAGCACCACCGATCATCTTCAGGCACGGTTGCAAACGCAGACGATGACGACAACCACATTGATGTTGACGTTGACGCTGACGACGATGACGAGACAACTCCTCTTGTCCGCGCCGTCAGCCAGTCAAAGTCCATCACCGAGAGTATACTGCGGCGGGGTGGGCCATTCTTCAGTGAGGAGGGACTGCCGACCGCTACTGATCAGCGATTTGACCTTCGTCGCAACTCCTTTGGCACGATCCACTCCATCAGCGTGCGTCCAGACCTCCGCGACCCGTCACAAGACGCACGAGGCCAACAAGACCAACGATCGGCTCACAATCACCATCATGATGACAAGACGACCCAGAGGGCATTCAATTTCTCCGTCATCATGCTCATCATCACCCTCGTAATAGCCGCCTTCCACCAGATGGCCTTTGGTGCCATCTTACCCATTTATCTTTTAGACGCCCCTTCCTACAGCGCCGTTGGGCCTCATCCTCGTCTGGATCTAGTGGGAGGCATGGGGTTCAGCCTTCACGATGTCGGTGGTTATCTGGCTGTCAACGGCTTCATCGCCCTGTTTTGTCAGGGTGTCATCTTCCCCGTCTTTGTCGAAAAGGCTGGCGTCTGGCTTTCCTTCCTCCTGCCCACCTTGCTCTATCCCATCTGCTACATCATCATGCCTTTTCTCTCTCTCCTGCGGCCCAGCCGTGTGGACGACGGCGTCAACACCACTACCGCCGCTGCCCCTGATGAATCCTGGCTTCTACCGGCTGGTATTTACGCCTCCATGTTCCTGCAGAACCTCCTCGGCATCATCGCCACGCCTTGTGCCCTCATTCTGCTCAAGAACGCCACACCCTCCCCGCTCGTCCTCGGGCGGGTCAACGGCCTTGCCATGAGCGCCGTCTGCGCGGCCAGGACCGTGAGCTCACCGCTGGTGGGAGTTGTCTACGATTTCGGCGGGAGCGCTGCGGCCTGGGGTAGCTGTGCTGCCGTCGCCGTTCTAGGCGCCGTGCAGCTGTGGTGGGTGCCGAGGGAAGGGAACATGGCAGGGACGCGCGAGGCAGAGGTTCATGTCGAGAATGTGCTGGTGGGTCACGCGTCTGCGATAGAGGAAAGTGCCCTTTCGGACGAGGACGAAGGCGAAGATGGTGGCGGTGGCCATAGAGCATGACGGTGTGGCAAATGGCAAGAAGGCAGTAATTCCCAGAAAGTACACGAATAAAGTCAGAGCAATCATTGGCAAACATTCTTTTTCTCAATCGGAAAACGTGGGTGAAGGGCTGCAAAAAAAAAAAAAAAAAAAAAAAAAAAAGGGCCCAAGAACAAGCCTGTATCACACATGCACCATTGCTGTCTCTTAATGCATCACTGTTGACAAATTGTTTGCGTGAAAGCCGTTACAAGATTCAGACCTGACACTTATCCACTCGTGCGTCTTCAAAGAGACTCTTGGGGCCCAGAAACGAGATCCTACCGTCTTCCCGTTCATACTTGACAAGAGGGATCCCGCGAACATCTCCCCCATCCTGTGGTTCGACGAGACCCCTCTTCACCTTGCTGAAGAAAACTTCGACTTGCCCCACGAAATCACCAGCGTCCACAGTGCTGGTAATGTGTCCACAGGCCAGCATGACCCTATCTCCTTCAGCAGAGGAGGCCGCGTTCCAGCTGCTGATCAGATCCCGCAGTTTGAACAGGGTCGACGTGTAGGCGTGGAGGTTGCCCCCGCCAGGCGGGAAGATTATTGGCGCCCACTCATACATTGTGTCGCCCACGAAAAGAACCCTCTCTTGGGGGTCCCATATCGCAACTTCATCTGGCGTATGGCCTGGGGCGTGATATATGACCAGCCCAAGATCATGGGATTCGCTGCCATCGTCATGTCTCATTGTCTCCGCGTCGCCCGCCCAATGTCTAACTGTGTATCTGGGCGTGTCCATCCCGACGAAGCGACACAGGGAGTTGCTGGGCAGGTCACCTTGAATAAAGTCTTTATCGTTTGCGCTGGCCCATATCGACGATCTGGGAGTGTCTGTGAACTGCTCTATACCGCCTTTTTCGGGAGGGGGCGCGATGTTGATACACATTGGGTCAACCTTTACGTGTCTCAAGATGCAGAAGCGAAAGGGCGAGAGTGCTCACCGATATGATCATAGTGACAGTGCGTACACACGACGGCATACCCCTTCTGCCCTTCAGGGTTCAGCGGCTGGCCCTCATTGCCCTCGACTGGGTATGTCTCGATGAAACGGCGGAGTGACCTCAGCTCGACAGACGGATCCCTTGCCGCACCGCCACAGCCAGTGTCAACAAGGACAATGACAGAAGCATAAATTTTGGCATATATGAAGGGATGCTCTCTCCATTGGTCATCTTCGACAATGAGAAAGGTCGTGGAGTTGAGACGCGTGCAGGTAAAACAGGTCGATGGTGGTGGCTCAGCGTGTGATTTCCCTCCGGCCGCAACGCGGCTGGCCGTGTCGATTTTCGCTGACGTCATAGAGTAATTATTACTGTACAGAAAATGCCTTGGACTGGACGCGCTGCGAACTGAGTATCTGTATTGATAGCATGAGGTGTGATGAGGTTGTATTCAGGCGTGTAGGAGGTCAGTAACAGCGAGCCCTGAGAGGTAAGATGAGTAAGTAAAAAGTACTTACGCAGGGAGTAATGGCTGCCAAGAGAGAAGAAGTAGGGTCTCAGGGACCGTCTGCAAGAGTGCGGGGTGAAAACGTACAGTCCCTACTAAGTACTTATTCACGGATCGCAAATGATTTTATGTCTATTTTTCCTGTCATTATTTGTTTCTTGTTCCTAGTCCTTCCAGAGTTTTGTAATGAAGATTGGCTTAAGGTAATGGCAGCTCGGGGCAATACGAAGTCATTTGCTGGTGTACTCGAGCACCTATGTACACGACATCAATACTGACCCGTTGTTATTCTCTTGCTGTTGCATTCTACTCGTTATCCTTTCGTGTATGTTCTTCGTCCTCTTCTTAACCATTTCTTTTTGTCATTTCTTTTCTGGCCTCTCATAGACTAAAGCACTTACTCCTGGAGATCAACCACCGCCTAATTCAGACCAGTCATAATCCAAGCAGCGCAATGGCTATGTTGGGAGCTTTATGCCCATTGTCTACAAGGCCTCTGATATAGCACAGCCCATTCCTTGTGATACTTCTCTCACTCTTACACTGCTTTTCCTGAGCTCGAACCAACACTGGATTTCCTTTCAAGCGTAAGGAATCTCATAACTTCTAATACCAAAATCACTGTTAAAAGAGTCCAGATTGCCGATTTCACGGATGTGGCCGGCGCTAAGTAACAGGCCCGGGAGGTTTCAACGGAAGTTTCCAGGCCATCGGATTTTCCTAGAATGATGCGCCTCAAGTACCGAACCTCGCCTTTGCTCAGAATATTATCGTTCCTTCGGCTATGCGGATTCTTCTTCTTCCAGCGAGAGACAAAGATTGGTCAGCAGCTGCAATGCGTTGAGATCAGAGACCATCGCAAGAGGGGAGGAACAGGAACAGGCATGATAGAGATCTCAGCATGCAGCACACCGAACCATTTCCGAGAATGGTCCTTGAGCCGGTGCGAAAACCTGGGAGGCCAAGGACTGCCCCTGCAACTGGCAAGTATCGATGACGCCGTCTTTTTTATGTACGTCCACGGATTTTGGCCTAGGCGCAACGTTCAGTCTTGAAATCATGGCGTGCACAGCATAATTAATATAGCAGGGCTGCTTCATTCATCTGTAAATTAAATAAAAAATAAAAAATAAAAAAAACCCCCCCCAAATAAAAAAAGAACCTATTGTGGAAAGATTTCCCCTTTGCCCAAACGACTTTTTACTCAAATACATGTTCATACACTATTTTGCTACGCCAGCTTCCTATAGACTTTGAGTCTTGTCTACCTTCTATCTTCATCTTTTATGTTAGGATTCACACGCAGGCGTGTCATTGCAGCCATGCCATATGTAGCCAAACGAGCCAACAGGAAAGGGGTCGTCATCGTGGGATCTGGTTGGGCTGGGGCCACTCTGTCAACCGCTCTGGATGAGCACAAGTTCAAGATCACGATCGTCTCTCCTGAGGAAACAACTCCCTACACACCGCTGCTGGCGAGCGCCGCTTGCGGTCTCTACGACTTCAGGTTCGTACAATTTGATTCCATGAAAACTATTGTAATGGGGTGGGGAAACATCTCATACAGCACATGTTCTGATCGGGCACAGTATCGTGGAAACATCCATTCGTCATCAGGCTCGAGATGTTCGCTACATCAAAGCCAGTGTTGAGGATGTCGAGTTCGACTCCAAGACTTGCAAGTGCATGCCGGCCTTCGACGAGGTGGCCGACACCGCACCACAACAGTTCGGCCTGCCCTACGACTACCTCATTTTGGCACCAGGATGTACCAACAACACATTCGGCACCCCAGGTGTGGCAGAGAACGCCATGTTTGTCCGTACAGCACGGGACGCCAAGGCAATTCAAACTCGCATCCGTGATTGCTTCGAAATAGCTTCAATCCCTGGTCTCTCAGGAGAGCAGAGTAAGTAATACTTTCTCAACCTGGCATCTATAATCCCTCAGTCTCTGTCTTTCCTTCTCTTTCCCTCTCGATATGTATATGACTACTTCTATAGATTAAGAAACTGACTACTTGAAATATAGTTCGAGACATCCTGCATTTTGTAATTGTTGGAGCGGGGCCTACCGGCGTTGAGATATCAAGCGAACTCTCCGACCTCTTCCACGGTGATTTCGCCAGGCTATACCCACATGTCAAAAAACATGTGCGCATCTCGGTACACGATATTGCACCCAACGTGCTGGGTGGCTTTGATCAGAACCTCCAGGAGTATGCCATGGAAAGCTTTGATAGAAGAGACGTTGAGGTTGTCACCGGCAGCCACATCGAAAAGGTGGACAGCAAGGCCATCTACACCAAGGAGCTGGGCAGAATTCCTTGTGGTGCAGTGATCTGGAGCACGGGGAACAAGGTCACTCCGCTTGTGGAAAACCTCAGATGCAAAAAGTCTGAGCACGGGCTGCCACGGATGCTGACGGATGAGTTCCTCCGGCTGAAGGCTAACAAGGGCGGCATCATGTCCGATGTCTTCGCTCTTGGTGATGCTGCAGATATCGAGGGCTCAAGTCTGCCAACAACCGCCGAGGTTGCTTGCCAAAAAGGGAAGTGGCTTGCAACGGCAATGAACGCAGAGTTCAAGGAGAGCAGGGTTGGCCATTTTGAATACAAGCAGGCACCGATTGTTGCGTATCTGGGCCATAGTGATGGTGTGATTGCTGGGAAGAGTGACTACACTGGAGCAGAGGCCTGGGTCGCCTGGAGAAGCAAGAACTTTCTGTGGACGCGAACATGGAGACAGCGAGTGCTGGTAGTTGTGAGCTGGGTGCTAGATCGGTTGACCGGCAGGACAATTGCGCCAAGGTAATGAAATTGTCTACCTTTCTTATACTGAGGTGTTTTCATACACATTTATAGACGCATAGTATAGAAAGAAAAGAAAAGAAAGGATTGTATTGGTCTCTAGGGTTCATTCTTGTAACCCCGTTGTATTCCCACTGCACACGCCGCTACATAGATATAACCAGCTACTCACGACAGCAAAACTGACTATTTGCCCACCACTAGATATAGAAGCTTTGGATTGGAGTCTCTGATCACTCCTGCAGCATTCGCTGTCGCGTTGTCGAGGTCTGAGCCGGTTGGGTTGGTATCATCATACGGGAATGCGTATCCCATACCACCATACTGGTTTTCGTGTACGAGCCTGGCATAATGGTTGGTATGTTTGACTTTGTAGTATTGCTCGGCGGTAACGTTTGCATTGGGCTGGAGTTGGCCGTGGAAGATAAGGAGCGTGCTTCGTTGGAACGCGGCGCATAGTCGAGGTACAATCTCGGCCTGGGTCCGGTCGATATTACTTCCGTTGACATGAAAGGGACTGCCCAACTCTTGTGTACATCCAAAGACTTGAACAGTGGTTGGTTTGCCAAAGATGTAGTCATTGTTACCTCGACGGCATACAAGCTGTTCGTCGGCACTAATGTTGCAGGTGACCACCGTGCTGTTTTCGACGCTCAACCCGTCTGGGTCGGAAGAGCTACTGTCCTGGGTGTCGATCCTTAGGTCCACCGTTGTGAAGGTCTCCCAGACTTCTTCAATGTAAACATCGTAATATGTGGACAAGTTGTCGGTTGGGTTCATGGCGAGGTACTGGCTGGGCGATAAGACGCGGATCAGCTTGTCACCAGCACGAACACAAAGTTTTGACCAGTTGTATTGGTCATTCAGAGTCTGCTTTTCTAAGCCCTCACAGACTGACTCTGTCGCATTTGGAATGAGCCCGTAGACAGTGGTGGTAAGTCCTGTCTCTGAGACCACTCGTATACCCAAAGGAACGGATACAGAATCCACGCTAGAAATATCCGCATAGAAATTGCCCTCGAGATATGTGAACTCCATGAATGAGAAGGAGATGTTGTATTCTGAAAGACCGGGATTCGAGACGGATGGTTGTACAAATCCCGAGTTCGGTCCGCCCCCTACCGTGCCAAACGCAAGTTGCTCTTCGGCGACGTAAATGCGACCACTGGCAGCGTAACTTGGTAGGAAGAGAGACGTGTTCTCGCCCGGGGGAAGTTGGATCTCGTAGTTGGTGTCCTCCAGGGTGTAGTAGTAAGGGACAGAGGTGTTTCCGTCCGGCTTGACCTTCCAAAAGAAAGAGCTGTCACTGCCATTGTATAAGACGTAGTAGGCCCCGTTGTCAGGATCCAAGGCGGTCACGTAGGCGTAGAGCTGGTTCGTTCTGCCATTGTAGATGGTGACATCAAGTTTCGTATCATTTCCAGCCACATCGTCTGAGTTTCGATGTAGAAGGACATGTCCTGTGTTCATAGAACTGGTCCCGGCCTCAGGTCGGTAGATATTCGAGCCCGTCGCCAGACGTGAGAAAAGCAGCGAAACAGGAGCCATGAGGCTCAATGCTAAAGCGAGCAAGGATCGCATGATGTAATGAAATGAACAGGTGATGGCTTGCTAATTACTGGAACAATGTACGTGAGAGAGAGGAAGAGAAAGAAAGAAAAGGAGAGTACCTGAAATAATATAGCATTGGCAGGGAGTCCGTTTCCCGTTTACTCGCAAAAAATCGGTGCTCTGGACAGAAGAGCACGTATTTATAAATACTGCCCAAGGTTGTGACGAGGCCCTCTTCTGAGTCTTCGATTTTCCGACGCTCATATTGACAGTGATTCAGAGTGGGTTATGACTGACTAACAGTAATGCGTTTGACGTTTTGGAACAGCAAACATGCCAATCATTGTCCAACAAGACCGCTCATTATAACATCTGCATGCAACACAGTTTTTGGATACACTCATCGAACAGATCCTCAAAGCCAAGTACGCATGCAAGCCTACTCGAGTCACGAGAGCTCATTAATCAAAGTTTGTTGTCTCTGCCATCGCCATTTTTCCGGCAGTGAGTGATTCTTGCGTAGGGATTTTAGCACTGTTTGATATCAATAAACTAGAGATGCGGAATATAAGAATCCAGAAGAACTCTCAAGACCTAGAATAGGCTGCAACTCATGCCCAGTACACATGTTAATCTATCAGTGAATTGAAATCACTACGTGTGCAAGGACCAAGAAAATGGTATTGCATAGATGAATCATTCTGTCAGTTGTCCATGTGATATGAGGCGTGGCAGCTACGCACGATATTATATATTCGACAGGGCACTTTTTCCAGGTCCTTCTTGGCGCTCTAACCGTTGTGTGATCAACATAGCTTACCTGCATACTTTAAATGGGTTTGAGAGCACCTGGCAGACTGTGATTGGCTGTAAGCTGCAGCAGTGACTTGTCAGAAACACACTTGCGCGGTACTAGGAAAGAAGTTGTAAGATGTATTAGTATGGATGTCAATATCCAATCGTAGCAATGGCCGCGCTTAAGAATGAGGAAAAGCAGCAAAGATGCTCGAAAGCGGCTATGGACACACCAATGTTAAGACTTTAAGGGAAACAAATGCCGAGCCAGGTTGAGACTGGCTAACTTCAATGCTGAGGCAGGGGCTAGAAAAACATATAACACGACATAATTCCTTCCAGTGTTCACTTGGCATACTGCCCATACAGCTGCTCACACCATTCCCAGAACTCTTTTGCCTTTCCATTCCCAATGGCCTTTATGATCCCAGTGTTTGTGGATTTCTGTTGAAGCCGCCCGAACGGCAAGACGTAGGCGCCGTTATTTTCGAGGCTGACCTCGTTAGAGAAACCGGCGTACAGCATCGTATAAGCCCCCATCTGTGCTGGATAAAAGGTCGGGCTCAGGAATGTCATCAACCAGCCCGGCTGGTGTTTCCAGACGGGCGTCGTGATCATGCCAGGGTTCTGCGTCACGCTGACAATGGCATCGGCTTTGCCAGCCTCCGTCTCGTGGCCCCACCTGCGAGCCCCTTCGACACCCAGGAGCCAGTTGCCCGCCTTGCTTTGTGCGTAGTCGCGTGATGCGGCTTCCGACCCTGTCTCCTCAGCATTCATTCTGTTGAGGGCGTCGAGGTCAACGCCCTCCTCGGGAGCAAACCTCTCGATGATGAGAGAAGCAGTCCAGACCACACGCGTGGCGCCAGGTGGTGACTGGGACGCCGCATTGCGCAGTTGAGGGAGCAGCTCCTGCGTGAAGAGCAGTGGTGCGACACAGTTGATCCCGATGTGACCCTCGATGCCCTGCTTGGTCTTGGTCCCAATAGGACTTCCGGCAATGCCCGCATTGTTCCAGAGGATGTCCAGACGGGACTCCTTCTCCGCGAAGAAGGCGGCTGAGGACTTGATAGTAGCGAGATCGTCGAGGTCGAGATGCATGTAGGTGATGCTTCCCGGCGGGCCAGCCGTACTGTCGTCGTCCCTGGAGGCTGTCTTGTATTCGTCCAGAACTTCTTTGATGGCGGCTTGGGCACGCTCTTCGGACCGACAAGCTATGTAGATCTTGGCACCTTTAGGGTACAGCAGCTTCACAAGCGCCAGCCCAATGCCCGAGTTGCCTCCGGTAATGATAAACACGCGGCCATCTTGACGCGCCACAGATGTCTCAGTGTAGGTCGGTTTAGGGGGGAACCACTGGTCCACGATATCAACCACCTTGTCGCGAGACAGGCCACTAAAGAGAGTAGAAAAGTTGATCAGAGTGTTCGGCATGGTGGATGTTGAATTGGAGCCCGATCTTGTATGCTGTGGAACACATGGGGATCATAGTTCAGGGGAACCAGGTTATCCGTCTCGATTTTATGGGTTGAGAAATGGTCCGAGGTTCAACAGCAGCTTGACCAGGTTCATAAAAGGGGTCCACTCACCAGGACATGGTGATATCAGGACAGATAATGAGTCGTGCCGGTTCTTACACAGGTTAGTCGTGATTCCTGCAATGTCAAGTAAATATAGCCGCTCCGATCATACCTAACTCGTGATTCCATCGCGCTGAGGGCCTCACAGCTTGACTGACACCTTCACCAGAGAACAGCAGAAACATTGAAAATGAAGCAAATGGCAGATTTATTTCAATGCCATTTTGGTGACCAAAAAGCCTTGCCCATCAAGTCAACAGATATAATCAAAATTGTCTACTATGGTAACCAAGTAAATAAACTCAAATGAGCCACTTGATTCCATGGACAGGAAATCAGTCTCAGATCTTATTACCCATATTGATGTGCACAGCCTTGGCCTGCGTGTAAGCCTCCAGCCCTGCCTCGCCCAGCTCTCTACCAATGCCGCTCTGTTTCACGCCGCCAAAGGGGACGCGAGGGTCGCAGTCCTGGCTGCTATTCACCCAAATCATGCCTGCCTCGATCTGCTCAGCAATGCGATGGGCCCTGACGAGATTCTCAGTGAAAATCGCAGCGCCCAGGCCGTAGGTTGTATCGTTGGCCATGGCAACAGCTTCCTCGTCGGTCTTAAACTTCCCAATGACAACAACTGGTCCGAAAATCTCTTCCTTGAAGATGGTCATTGAGTTCTGGACATCTGTGAACACAGTAGGAGCTACAAAGTACCCCTTTGCAGGCACAGCGTCGCCGCCCTCGCCGCCGCACAAGAGCGTCGCCCCTTCTGCGCGACCGGTCTCGATAAACGACTTGACGCGCTCGCATTGCTGTTTCGTGACCTGTGGCCCGTGGTATGTCTTCTCGTCAAAGGGGTCGCCCAGAATGCTGACCGATGCGACGCGCGCCTGGAACGCCTCGATGAATTTCTCGTAAGTGCCCTCTTGGACCAGGATGCGGGATGTGGCCGTGCAGATCTCGCCCTTGTTCGACATGATGCCCAGGTGGGACCACTTGACGGCCTGGTCGAGATCGGCATCGTCAAAGACCAGCAGGGGCGACTTGCCTCCAGTCTCGAGGGTGATGTTCTTCAGGGTCTTGGCGGCGCCGGCCATGATGATGCGAGCGGTTGCAGTGGAGCCGGTGAAGGCGATCTTGTCGACGAGCGGGTGCTCGACCAGAGTAGCCCCGGCCTCCTTGCCTGTGCCGTTGAGGAGGTTTACGACGCCTGGTGGGAATCCTGCCTCCTTGATCAGCTGCCCGAGGACAAGGATGCTGAGGGGCGTCTGCTCGGCCGCCTTGAGCACAACGGTGTTGCCGCAGGCGAGGGCTGGGCCGAGTTTCCAGCAGGCCATGGAGATGGGATAATTCCAGGGAATAATCTGCCCAACCACGCCGATAGGCTGTCGTATGGTGTACGCGAACTTGTCCTTGGTCGTCGAGATGGTCTGGCCAAAGACCTTGTCTGCCCACCCGCTGTAATAGCGCATTGTTCCGATGGCCTCTGGCATGTCTCCCTCCAGAGCATCTGCATATGGCTTTCCTGCAAGAGATTGCAATCGTATTGTTGATCAATAGTTAGTCTCTGTGCCGTTCTTCGTCTTCTCCTCTCCATCTCCTGGCAGGGGGAAAGCTTTTCATTACCATTGTCCCATGTGTCAATGGTGGCGAGCAGCTCCTTGTTCTGCTCCATCAGGTCTGCCAGCTTTGCCATGAGGATGCCGCGATCTGTGCCAGGAAGGGTACTCCATGGCCCCGTCTTCAGGGCGGTGCGTGCCGCCTTCACTGCTGTGTCTACATCGCTAGCAGAGGCTGCCTGTACTGTGGCAATCTCCGATTCCGTGCTACAAGGTAGGGCAGTGGGGGAGTACATCAGCACGACAGAACAAGAAAGGTATAAAGACGCGAGCCATCTGTCAACTTACTAAGGGTCGATGGATGTGATGGTCGAACCTGAAGAGCTCTTCACAAACTCATTATTGATGAAAAGCCCCAGAGGTTGGTCATACTTTCGACCATTTGGGGCTGTGAGCGAAACAGTCAAAGCAGCCATGTGGACAGTGGGAAGTGAGTCAGCCGGTTGTGATACTGAATGGCAGGACTGGTATGTGTGTGTTTCCGAACTTCAATGCGTCAAATCATCGTGAGGCGACGTTACGACGGTCAGACGCCGACTTTATTATATCGTTGGCCAGGAAGCAACTATTAAATTTATAACAAGAGGTCCACATTTCGTACAGTACATGCATCTGCAAGTTGTGCTCAAATCACTCGGTTTCAAGGGATGCCGGAAGGTTAGCCGGTAATTATCTACAGAGTCTGATAACAGCCTCCAAACATGATAAAAATGCAGCTTATTTAAAGCACAGAAAGTAGTCATATTGTCTCGTAATTCAGCCCTTATGCTGACGATTCTCTTTTCGGATGCTTCGCCCGGGAGCCCTAGCGAGTTCCAGTTAGTGCAGCAGGGAGAAATGCTGGAGGAAACTCAATATCGAAGATAGAATGCTGCTTGCGCTCAGTTACAACTGACCGAGGCTTCGCTTCAGGGCGGAATTATAATTGGATGGGCTCAAGTGCAGTGTGCCGCATATAACTTATGCAGAGTGCATATGCTAGACCAGTGACGACCCAGGAAAAGAAACTGTATTTGCCTTCATTTCTTTCTCTCTGTGTCTCTCTCTCTGTGTGTCTGTCGTGTTCTTTCCCAATTCCGTGGCTTCTTTTTTCACTTTCTCCTTTCATTGCGGTGGGGATGGCGACCGAAATTACCTAAGCAGGTATGCAAGGCCATAGTGACTTGCACGGTCATTCAGCAGGTGCCTCTTGATGGTACATTTGCACGGATCCGGAGGCAAGACAATAAAGACGACTGACTTGAAGGCGCAGCAGTAAGTGGGACTGAGGTTGTTGCATGGAACAAAGACGGGCGGGAAAACGAACGAGTTGGGACAGACAAAGGCTCCAGCACAAACAATAGATAGACAAAGACTATCTGCTTTATCATCATCAATAGACCTGCTCGTGACCTTCCTTACTTACTCACATTACTTACTCGGTTACTCACTTACCAAATAAACGCCTGTCTGTCGTGTTTGTCTTTTCATACCCTCTCCATCATTTTGACTGAACTAGAATTGTCACGCCTCACGTCTGCCACTGACAACTTCGCCATGGCTGAGACTCGTGACGAACATCTAATCCCTCTTGTCACGCAGGACGATGTCGATGCACAAAATGCTGCGGATGCAGCTGAGAGCCAGTACGAGCTGGTCCGGGAGCTTGCTGGGGAAACGCACCTGTTTCGACGCCGTGCTGATGGCACACTATTCCTTGGTAGCCCGTTGAACTTCGAAGAGACGGCACCAAAACTGGACACACTGCTGAAGCGGGGCGCAAACCAGGCGGTGACTGCACTTCTCAGCCACCCGAACCTCGTCAGCTACATCGACACGATCAAGACGGGCGTCGTCCGCGAGAGGACAACCAAGCCTCGCATGTTCTCGGCGTGGGACTACTGTGACGCAGGTTCCCTGGAGACGCTGCTCCGAAAATCGACACGCCCAGTGCAAACGAGCAGCGACACTGGACAGGTTCGGGGGTGGCTTCCTGAGAGCTTGTGCTGGCACGTGGTGATCAGCCTGCTGAGCGCACTGGCCTGGCTGCACGAGGGCCATGTGGAAGTAGACGTAGTCGAGGACCTGGGCACGACGCCGCGGCGTTCAACAAGAGACTATACCGCTGCAGACCGGGAGCAGGAGGACTGGATGCCCATTCTCCATCGAAACGTCATGCCGAGTAACGTCTTTTTCCAGCAGCCCAGAGGCATCGAGACGTATGGGCTGTGCAAGCTGGGCAACTATAGCAGGGTCTTTGTGTCCGGACACGTTAACGGCCGGTCTCGCGGGCAGGTGGTGTGCTCGCTGGACGACGAGAGCAGCATGGCCGAGGTCCAGAGCGTCATGGCCGTTGACGATCTGTACAAAATTGACAAGGTAAGCCGGTCAAAGCTGCTTCAGACACAGCGCCCCTCTGCGAAGCTCCCTCCAATTCCCTCCTTCACACACATTGCCTCCGTAAGAGAGGTTAGCACAAGGCTGATGGAAAGGCATGACGTGGTTATAGTCCAAGAGACCATATTTCAGGGGCACTGAAGTCTTCTGGGTCGGAGCGATCCTGTACGAGATGATGACAAAACAGGAGCTTCCCGACAAAGAGGAGTGCACCGTGTTCGGCTGTGGTGGGCGGCACTGGGTCGATCAAAGCACGTGGCCACAATGCGTCTTCTCTAAGGATGGCAGGGTGTTTGACCTGGAAGAGAAGACGGAACCACTGATAGGCGTATACACCCGTCAGCTGGTACTCTGCCTGCGAGATCTGCTGCAGGCATACCGTGCTGATGCGCATGCCCCGAGCCTCTTGCGTGATGCCAAAGCAGGATACATGAAATGGCGGACTGGGACCGCTGCTGGTGCTACGTATCGCGACCTCTGGGATGACATGGTGCTGCGGCAGCAGAACAAGAAAAGAAGGGACGACGAGCAGAGCGCTATAGCACACGCACAGAGCGGGCCCAATGCTGTCGATGTCGTCAAGCTGGCCATGGACACACAAGATGCCGTGGCAGCTGCGGTTTCGGGTGCGAACGACGACGCGAGCGATATTGATGATGCAGAGAATGGTGTGTGGGCAGCAAGGCTGGAGAATCTGAGGACGTGAGAGTTACTGCTGCTGGTGGCGGATACATGATGATTGTGGCTTTCTGGTCAGTGCAAGACATTGATGAGGCTGGGTGGTCCAAGGCAGAGAAGATGGACGAGTGTTGGACAAGGTTTGAACGGATTCAGGGGATCAGAGTCAAGGGTAGCATGTACTATGTAACTACAGTACTCTATATACTGCAGTGGATAATTGCAGGGGTTCGATGTGTGACATCAGCGCTCAGTTTCAGCGCCTGCAGCTGCCCCAGCATGGTGCATCTGCCAGTAGCTTAGCTTGTCAGCCAATCTTTACCTCTACCAACTTTTCCTTCTACCACCACAACACCAAACACCACCGCCGATGCGACGACGACCACTTACTTTATTTCCCATACCACATGTGTATGCTGCCTGACTGATGGACTGACGACAGCCTATATCTTGTACAACATCCACACCACCTGCTGACACCCTCGTCCCACGCCTCATCTTGCATCTCTCCATTTCTCCTCTTACTTCACCATTTTCATACTGTCTCTCGCTGTGCCACGGGGCCCAACATCAACCAGCCTGACACCACCGCAAAAGCCAGCCAGTGCCTCCGAGGCTCGGACCAGAACCCCCGACTTGTCTCTCTGCGCGCGCTTTAAGAGGAAGAGAGACTCAACCCAGGCCAAGCTCAAGCCAACCGACCGGATCCCACCTCAAAGAGAGATCCTCTCAGCCACTCTTGAATTCTGACAAAGAGCGACAGAGAGCGCTGCGGTCCCTAGCGAGGGCCACACGAGCGAGCCATGGCAGGCCGCCCGCCGCCGCTCCTCCTCACCAAGCGCCTGACCTCCTTCCTCCACCTCAACCTCTCCGCCCAGATCACCACCCTCCTGCTGCTCAACCCAGACGGCAAGCTCCTCGCCTACGCCTCGAACCCACCCATACCCGTTGCCACCCTGCGCACCCACGGCACCGTCGCCGCCTCCCTCTACGCGATCCATAGCAGCGGCACCGACAGAGACACGATCGATGGCGCGCTGGGGCCGAACCGCACGGATGGCGCAGGGGGCAGCGGCAGCAATAAAAATAGCAAGCGGCCGGATAGGACAACAGGCCACCAGAGAGACGGCCCACTGGCGGTGACCATACAGCTGGAGACGGGCATTGTACTAGTCATACGACGGCTGCGCTGCGGGATGCTCTTCGTCTGCATGGGCCCTCCCGACCCCCGATTACAGGCACAGCCGAGCCAGCAGCAACATTCACAGTCCTCCTCGACAGGCGCGGTGCAGAGCAACGCCGGCACCACCGCCGCCCCACACGATGCTACCAATGGCGGCATCCATCACAACCACCACAACCACCACACGCCGTCCACGAGCCCACCTCCACAGCAACCTCATCATGCACCGCCAACAACACCAGCTGCTGCTGCTGCTGCTGCTGCTGCTGCTAGCGCGGCCCATCTCGGCTCCCCCTCCGACGTCGCCAGCGTCCTTAGCGCCGCGACCGCCCAGACCAGCGCAAGTTCCGTCATGTTCGGCGCCGGCACGGCAGGAGTGATGGCCACTAGGAGACACGCCGAGGAGCTGGCGCGCTGGCTGGACGACAAGCTGGGCTCATTGGAGCTGCCGGCCGATGGACTGGGCGGGGCTGTGTGAAGCGTGGGTGCATGTGGAGTACGACAAACGGAAGGTCAGATGTTGATTACTTTGACCTCGGGGAGGTAGTGAGCTCGACGCTCCTCTGTCTCACTGCCCACAGCGAACCGCGTCCTATATTGCTTGGCCCAGGGGGCTTTTTCGAGAAGGCTCTTGATCCTCGCTGGGTGACGTTCCATACGAGTCGACCCGTGAGTGGCGACGCAGGCACAGCACGCCGAACCGTGGTATGGAGAGGAGGGTAAAATGGGCATGCAGCGTGCGAGCCCGATAATGTCGCGCTGTGCACATCTAAAATACCATTTTCCTTACCGCTTTTCGCGTGGCATACGGGAGTCAGCAACCGGCTGCGCCCAGGTTCCGCGCACGAGAAAGTGATGATAGATACGCAGATCTTGGTCTCATAATCAGAGGGAGCAGACATGGAGTTTGTAACATAATAATATATGCAGCTGACCACTGAACGGTTCTTTACAGAGCTGGCAAAGTGTCCAGCCGTTTTACTTGTATTAACAAATCAAGCAAAAGTATTCATGACCCAAGCAAGCCTCCAAATATCTCCCTGACGCCATCATGATCGTTAAGACAGGCCTATCTGACTGAGAGGGCCCTCTCTATCACCTCCGTATAATCGCATCTGGGAGAATCAAGTCGTCGCCTGAAGTCGTCGCTTGAGGGTTTCGGCAGAAGGAACACCCCATGGCCAGAGCGTGGGCCCTTCTGCAGCCTATTCGATGCTCAGCCGCGTAATGCCGTCGTTCGTATCGATCATTCCCTGGTATCCCACCCGCCCCTTGGGGATGCTCGCTCTCTTCTCGTTGTTCGCATTTCCGCCGGTGCCGTTGTCACTCGGTGTACCGTTGCCACTGCCACCGCCACCGCCACCGCCGCCGCCCCTCTCGACACTGCCGTTGCTGCCCGGCCGTGGTCCCCACGGCGCATGCTGCATGGGACTCTGCATGATAGGCGAGCTGTGCACACTCAGCCCCGGCGAGACCGCCCGTCTCTTAAAGCTGACTGGGTCGAGATCATCGTCGCGCCTGCGCTTGCCCATATTGAACCGGCGTGTGATCTCGGCTGCCGACGGAGGGGGGTGGTCAGTTGGTGGCATGAACGAGCCTACCTGCTGAGGCGTCCCGCCGCCCGAGCTGCTCGTGCCTGTCATGGGAAAAATAAACCCGTTATTTCCTGTCGGCCCCGTGTTGACCAACGGGGAGTCCATATTCACATCGTCCATGCTGATCCCAGATGAAGACCCCCGCGGCGGCCCTGGTGGGGGCGGTGTCGTTGTAGCTCCCCCGACGCTGCTGGTCTCGGAAAAGGTGTCCCAAAAACCCCTGCCCTTGGAGTTCTTTTGGGCCTGCTGCTTGAAACTGCTCGACAGGCCGAGCGCGTTGTCCACCATCATGGCATCCTCAGACAATTCCTCGATCGAGTCCTGTGCGGGCATGCTGGGGCTCGAGACTGTGGTCGTGGCCACAGAGACAGCTTGGGGTCCGGCGGGCCGGGGCGGTTCGAGATCGACGTCGCTCTCGCGTACCTGCCGGACAACCTCTGCCTCACGACGGAACTCGGACTCGATGGGCGTTCCCTCCTCGGCAAGCGCGAGCCTTACGCGCGCAAAGTTCCTCGACTTGGGCTGTAGTAGCATGGTTAGCGGACCGAATCACCCTGCAGATAAACAAGAGCTGTTGTCAGGAAATTGAGCACCTACAAGCAAGTTGCTACGCCTCGTAACGGTCCGCCGCACGACCCTATTCTGCGGGTCTGCGCCAGGACCAAGCACACCATCGACGTTCACCCCTGGCTTGGGGCTGTCCTCACTCTCGCTTCCTGAGATGTTCAGCTGGTTGGCGGCCCAGCTGATGCTTTCACGGCGGGCATGCGGGGTAGCAATCTCTTTTGCCATGCTGCTGAAGGGAGATATGTTGGCCGGAGGGGATTTGGAAAGCGAGGAGGTGGCAGGTGTCGAGGGGAAGCCCATCCCAAAAGGGCCTCGGGGTCTCTTCTTCAGCGGCTTGCGAGGCCGCTGCCGTTGTTGAAAGGACAAGATGTTATTCATGGCCGGTGAGCCACCCCCTGCTGCAGGGCCAGAACCCGACTGCGAGCCCACCGAGTTGTTTCTAACAGCCTGAGGCGTCATGAGGTAGGGCTCATCCATGTCCTCGTCCATGATGTCGTCCTCGTCTGAGTCTGAAGACGAGTCGGACATCATGTTGGCAGCGCTCCCGAGCGACGTCGAGATGTGGTGCCGGTCATGGTTGCCCATAACTGACCACAATGAATTAGACGTCTGCTCAGGGGCGCCGAATTCACCGGCTCTCCTGCCTGGTATGTTCATGCCTCTACCGCCAACAGTCGGGGAGGCGTCTGGGGAGGTGGGCTCGGCGAGGGTGGTATGGTGTAGGCTCGTGGCGGCGCGGGAGAAGTCGAGGCCTCTGGATCTTCGTGGCAGGATGTTTGTAGGAGACGAGTAGGTCTGGGAATGGTCGAGCTTCGGCGACACGGGGACAGGCTTGGAGATCATGGCACTGGGCTGTTGGGTCGGTGGCGTAGGGACAGGCATCTCCAGAGGGAAGCCATGCAGGCTGGTAGCGAAGTCGGCTCGATGAGGCGTAACAGGAGTGGTGACAGCCTCTGGGACCGAGGACGTCGAGGTCGTGACGGACACCGCATCGCGCATGGGGATAAAGACGGCGCTATCATCTTTGGAGGTCCGTCGAGCATCGGCTAGGTGTAAGGCTGGCGGAACCCTCTGAGGTGTACCGCCTCCGTCAGACAGAGAACGCGTCTTCCTGGCTGGTGTTCTTGCTGCTGTCGATCGGGAAGCAATGCCCTGGAATCCTTCAGGTCCCTCGTCGCCCTCATCCCCATCATCCATCACAGCAACATCATCGTAGCCCAAGTCTGGTGTCCGCACTGGTCGGAACTCCATGTCTGCTGGGGTTCGTGTGGCCGTTGTGCGCGGAGGAAAAGGAGATCATTCAAGAAGAGGTGTGATCTAGTCACACAGTATCCTGGGTGTTCGTCACTGAACAGTAGACTGATTTGTAGCCTTCTCCAGACCCAGACCAAGCAGTTAGGAAGCCTCACTGTTTTGTTGATGTCGTATTGTCAAGGACAGGCAACTTGCTTGTGAAAAGAGCGGTATCATGAGAAGGGCAGTCACGCGCGACTGCACATGTTTGGGGGGCAGAGATGGCAAGCTGGGTGCATAGACCAACCCTCATCTCATCATTGGAGGTTTGTGATCAGGTATAAGACCAAGAAAGCCTAGGTGCTATTGCTGTTGGGCAAAGTGGTTGAATTGGTAGGCATTTATTGGTGTCTGAGTAGAATGAGGCTGGCACCTGCTGCGGCATGTTCCCCGCCGCCAAGTCACCAAAACAGAGGGGCGCCCTGTAGTGTACCAGCACTAAAGCTAACAGAGCACGATTTAGAGTTGCAACCGCCTAAAGAGCTAGGGAAGCTCCGGTACCCACCAAGTGCCCACCAATGACGCAGGTACCAGTTCCTATGGTAAAACACCATATTCACTGCGCGGGTACAGCACACATCCATTCTCATGTAGTGTTGATATATCTCCTGTCTGAGCAGTATCTACATATGGTGTCTACCTCTCACTCTTTCCACTTTCATAATGATATCCATATACTCCTCCTTTAACAGTATCCCCAAGCACCACATCTCAAGTCATATTTGTCATGTAACTTTAAGCATGAAGGAAAAAGAAAGGCGGAAAGAGAGAGAAAAAGAAGAGGAAACAAGACAAATTCACTAGTAGCACTCAATAGAATACTTGCTGCCAGCAGCTTGACAGGTCCTTTCATATTTGCACCTCATGATACATAGACTTGATCTTCTCCTGGAGGTTATCGTCTGTCCTTCCACAAGAGCGCCAATCTATCCTTGCAATTTCACTGTTTGAAATATCATTGCCATGAATTGAAACATGTACAATGAGATCGCACATCCCCTTCCCACACAAGAGCTGACGACCTACTTTGCTAGGCTTATCAATGTCTCACAGTGGAGCTAGGATCCCTGCAAAAACGGTCCCCCGAGGGGCAATGCTCATAAAGTGCAGCCTTGCTTCACTCACCTTGGACTCATATGAATCAATTTTGATGGAAGTTTGCTCCCCTCCATGGCGACAGAACTTAGCACTCAATAAAAAAAATAGTCTTCAAGGATGTCAGGATTTCCCATGAAGAGATCCAAATCATGTATCACCACAATTTATACACGGCCAATATGGAATATCAACTCACTCATCCCAGCGAAGGCACCCGCAATGTAGAGTACACATGTAATGAAATATTGGTGTCTTCTATTTTGCAACATATATGCACCAGGGACTAATTTCTTCTGAACTTGGTTAGTGAGTGCTGGGCCAGCTCTGACATAAGCCTGGCCATTTAATTTTTTGTACCAAAGGCCTTATCAAAGCCGGTCAGAGTGAAGCGATAGTGCACTTTATTCTCCTTGACACGCTCAACAGCCTCCCTGCACCCATCTTCGGAAATGTCAATGGTTTCCACCCAAGCTTTGATACCCTTCTCAGCAGCAAGCTTCAACATGGCATTCATCTCCTCTGTGCGCATCCGGGAATATTAGCATCATTGGACCAACATGCAGAGTATGGCTGATAATGAATGAAAGAATAGTGGAACGTACGGTTATTGCCCAAATGACTTCCGGTCAACTTGGCTGCATTGCCCGCAAAGGCTTGGGCCATCATCTCGGGCAATGGCTCATCAGGCAACCCAACCATGTGAAACTCGCCTCCAACCTATAATCATTCATGTCAGCACCATCGTCCATAGAGACATACACACTGATGTGAGATGGGTAGATTACGCACTTTCAACGTGGACATGTACGTCTTGAGGTCGAACTTGTGCGTCATGTCGCTGCAGTTGAGGATAAAGTCGAACGTGAAGCCCCACTGCTCGGCCCAGTCCTTCTCGTTTGTGACGATGGCCTCCTTGGCGCCCAGCTTCTTGATATCCTCAGCTTTGTGGGGCGAATGCGTGAACGCATAGACTTCCGCGCCGAGAGCAACAGCCCACTGAATACCCAGATGCCCCAGGCCTCCGATGCCACAAATGGCGACCTTCTTACCGGGCCCAACTCCAGCTCGTACCAAGGGTGAGTATGTAGTGATGCCGGCACAGAGGAGTGGCGCAACGTCGGCAGTGGCCAGAGCGTCGGGAATTTTGAAGGTGAAGTACTCGTGTGCTCTTATATAGTTGGCGTAGCCACCATGAGCCCAACTTCCATCCTCATATTGAGAATTATAGGTATCCTGGATGTTCTCTTGGATTAGCATACGTATTTTATTTTGCCCCAGTGCTGAGGGGCTTCACAATACGACAAACCAAGACGGGTGAGCCTTACGACGAGGTGGGGGCAGTAGTTCTCGTTTGCGCTCTTGCACTGAGCGCATTTCAGACAACTCCAGACCTGTGCTCCCACGCCTACCCTGTCACCCTCTTTGATCTCCTTAACGTCTTTTCCGACCTTTACGGCCTTTCCAACGACTTCATGGCCGACGCAGAGAGGACCCTCGTAGTCACCCCAACCGCCGGTGATTGTGTGGCTTTGGAGAAGAACGGCGAATGTCAGCGGCTGCAAGAGAAATCGACACAGCATGCATTGGCCATTATAAAGTATGTGCCTAAGTATAAGGAGAAGGGGAGGAAATATAAGACACATACACATCACTACCGCATACACCACAAGCTTCGATCTGCACATCAATGTCGTTGGGGCCGAATGGTTTCGGCTTCAGCTCGTGCTTCTTGAACTGGTTCCACGTTTTGGGGCCCGCAACGCAGAACCCCTCGAAAGTATCCGGGTAGCCCATCTTGGTGTATGAATGATGAGCCTGTTTATAAGGAGACGTGTGGTAGGCAAAGAGTATCAGGCAGAATACTGGAGAAGGAAGACGGGTTTGTACCTCTAGACAGATGTACGCACCTCCGTCGAACCTTGGAGCAACACGAGAAAGCTGATCCTTTATAGCCCGCCATGTTTTCACACGCGCCGTTCGCAGATTCCTCGGAGATTTAGGATTATGTCAAAGTTGATGACGTCGGGATGGACAGCCTCACATCTCTGCTGGTCGACAACGTAAGGCCGCACATAGTAGGCTCCTCCTGTACGGCTTCAGACCCGAGACATGAGCTAACTGGACAAGAGGTTCTGTGCAACATCCGCAAGTGTGCTCTAGGGGCTTTCCCGATGCCAATGAAGGCCGGCAGCATGGCCTTTCTTCTTCTTTACTAGTCAATCTAGTCTATGACGATGCAATACCTAACATAGTAGGCGTCAGACCTAGAGCACCCCAGACCAGGCTACTTACTTACCACCGTGCCGGTACGGAATGGCCCACAAGGCCTTTTTTAATTCTTAAGCTTATTGACCTGTGACGCCAAAGTCTGCCATCTCCGGAGTCATCGTTCCGAAAGGATGCTCTGTGCAAAACTCTTGTGGCACTGGCTTCTGGCCAATATTTGAGTGTCAATGCACGAGGGAGAATGAGGATGTAGCCCTTCTCGAGACGGCACGATACCGAGGAGGACCCACACTCACAGAAATGTTGCACACGACTTTCTTGTCCTGGCTTGTCTTGTCAGCACATGCAGTGGCCCATACTATCTCGGATGCAATATGTTTGAGATACCAAGTATTGATCATGATGCAATTCAATCTTACTGAATGGACAGTAGTATAAATTTCTGTATTTTGTTGAACAGCCAAAAGACTGTCTACTATGAAAGCCCACCCATGGAATTACTAACACTTTGTGTACGTCCCTACAGTACATCACTGTAGAACACTCTGGAAATTGATTTTGGTGGCACTGGTCGCCATGTGGAGGGGGGCTTTACCCCACCTGACGTCAGCAAAGCTGCCCGTAGCTATCTATCGGCGGGGAAACTGCGCCCTGCATTGCCCATGGCAGGCGCTGAAAGATTTAGGCGCCCTCATGAGACACCGTATGCTTTGAGTGCCTGAAGTACCTCAAGCTTAAGGAAAGAACAACGTTGAAAGTCCCTCTCCAAGTGCTCCTCATACAATCGATTTCCGAATCCCTCGCGATAGCCTGGCTCAACTGCATCACTGTTCACTGTAGTGAATGAGGTCCATTCGAGCCCTGCAGCGTCTTAGACTGCAAGCGTCCCTACTCGCCAAATCATCATTCAAATCAGGCCCACGTATGTTGATATCCCCTCACAACCGAGGTGGATGGTGTTCTCCTCCTTCCTGACGCTCACTTGCTTCTGGCACTGACGTACCTCTGCTGTCTCACACAGCCCTACAGAGCGTTGCAGCCTCATCAAGGTACCTGGCAACCATGGCGTCGACAACGGATTCCAAGAACTACAAGTTCAACCACTCGATGTGCGTCAGGTCCCGATAGATAGATGTGCACGTTATTGCATGACTTACTCACCGTTCACTGGTCAGGATCCGGGTCAAGGACCCCAAGGCATCCGTCAAGTTTTACGAGCACCTCGGCATGACCGTCGTCAAGAAGCTGTCCTTCCCAGACAACAAGTTTGATCTTTATTTTCTGGGCTACGACTCCCCGCAAGCTCTATCCCACGGCAAAGCCGCCTTTGACAGAGAGGGTCTTATCGAGCTGACGTGCGTATCTCACAAAACCTTCCACGTTTATCACCTCTCCTGAGTGTGGGTCATATTGATGTGTACTAACCAGCCCTGAAATCTAGACACAACTACGGTACTGAGGATGACCCGGAGTACAAGATCAACAACGGCAACGCCGAACCTCACCGCGGCTTCGGGCACACCTGCATCAGCGTGGACAATATCCAGGCCGCCTGCCAGAGGATCGAGGATGCTGGGTACAAGTTCCAGAAGAAGCTCACCGACGGCAAGATGCGCAACATCGCCTTTGCCCTGGATCCGGATGGCTACTGTAAGCGGTTTCTCATCCAACACACGACCACCTAAATTCGGCCCCGACGTACCTAACTTTCTTTACGCAGGGGTAGAGATCATTGGCCGCAAGCCTGTCGAGGAGACGGCGGACGTTAAGGAGACTGACGTATCCACCTACCACATGAACCATACCATGATCCGGGTCAAGGATGCTCAGAAGTCCCTCAAATTCTATCAGGAAGTCATGGGAATGTCACTCATGAGAGAAGGCGGAAACCCCTCGGCTGGCTTCACGCTGTACTTCCTGGGCTACCCGGGCGAGCAGGGCATGCCCCAGGACGGCAAGACAGCTGGCCGCGAGGGTCTCCTAGAACTGACGTGGAACCACGGTACCGAGAAGGACGAGAGCTTTAGCTACCACAATGGGAACGACCAGCCGCAAGGGTTTGGCCACATCTGTAAGTCTGGGGGTCAATACGCTCTGTGAAGCTTTGATCTGAGTCGAACCAATACTAACATGGGCATTTTGAAAGGTGTTTCTGTCGACAACATCGACGCCGCCTGTGAGCGGTTCGAGAGCTTGAACGTCAACTGGAAGAAGAGGCTGACCGACGGGCGCATGAAGAACGTGGCTTTTGTCCTGGATCCTGATGGCTACTGGATTGAGATTGTCCAGAACGAGAAGTTCACCGGCAAGGAGAACTTCTAGGGGACAGGACGAACACTTTGACTTTTTCCTGCTACAATGTGCTGTGTAACATAGCAAGGTCGAGTTATGGTTGTGAATGAAACAACTCGGAGAACCTAAGAGGAATGCGCCCTTGGATACTGACGTGGCCAACTTGTGGAACCTCTGCTCTGAGACCGATATCGCTTTACTCCCAGGTGGGAATTTCATGTGGACGTGTTTGACGACAGAGAGAAAGAGAGAGAGAGAGAGAGAGAGAGTCTGCGGGTGGGGTTAGTCTCAAAACTGTGGCCAAAGGCACAGCAAGCCGCGCTGACATGCATTAGTCTCTTGCTTCCCCCACGGGGAATGCGGTCACTAGACTTGGGGGGTAAGGAAGGGATGTAAGAGGGAAGGGAGGGGCAGAGAGGGGGGAGGGGTAAACCCCCTACCTCTTTGGCATGACGGGGCGGGAAGCCGGTGAAGGCATGGCGACATGACCCATAGTGGGATGAACTCTCTCATTCTCTCAGCATCAGGCGCCTCACCATATACCATGCTTAGACCATGCATGGGCTGTTGGCGCCCAACGCCTTCCCTTCGTTGTTAGGCGGCTACTGCATAGCTGCAGGTGCTACCCCAGTTGATGTTCTTGCTTATTCTTCATTGCTTATGGCTAGGAAGGCACGGAAGAGGCCCGCATGTGAGCAATGGGAAAGAGGACACGGCCTCTCTTGTTTTCATGCCCCTTCCTTCCTCCGTGATCGCTCCCTTCTAGGCCCTCCATTTGTGTCTGTGTGTGTGCGAACTTGACACTCCCTCGAAATCACTTTCATCTAAAGCCGCCTGGATCATTTGGTCGGCCCCTTCCACCTACAATCATCCTCATCGCCAACAACATGGCCCCAACTGCCCTTACAGACTCATCCAATGCTTCCCAGGTTGATGAGACCATCCCTCGAGTTCTTGTCCCCGAAAAGCTTTCTCCTGACGGCCTGAACCTGCTCACAGAAGCGGGCTTTGAGGTCGACAACCGCCCAGGACTTGCAGCCCAGGAGCTGCTCTCCCTTATCCCTTCCTACCATGCCCTCATCGTTCGGTCCGAGACCAAGGTGAACTCTGAGGTCCTATCTGCGGGCTCGAGGCTGAAAGTCGTCGCCCGTGCGGGTGTGGGCGTCGATAATATTGACATACAGGCGGCCACGTCCTACGGGATCATTGTAGTGAACTCGCCGGCTGGTAATATTGCCGCCGCTGCTGAGCACACCATCGCCCTTCTACTGGCTACCGCGCGCAATGTGGGAAGGGCGGACGCCAGTGTCAAGGCCAAGAAGTGGGAGAGAAGCAAACTGGTGGGCATCGAAGTGGGCAGCAAAACGCTAGGGCTAGTAGGCCTCGGCAAGGTCGGGATGAAGGTTGCCAGGATGGCGATCGGGCTCGGGATGAAGGTCGTGGCAGTCGATCCCTACATGAGCGCCGATGTTGCGAAGCAGAACGGTGTCAAGATGGTTGAGGGCCTGCAGGATCTACTGCCTCATGTGGACTTCTTGACCATCCACACGCCACTTCTGGCCAGCACGCTGAACCTGCTGGGCGAGAAGGAGTTTCAAACCATGAAAAGGACCGCCAGGGTTCTCAATGTTGCTCGGGGCGGCATCTACAACGAGGAGGCACTGATCAAGGCCCTGGACGAGGGCTGGATTGCCGGCGCAGGCATCGACGTCTTTACAAGCGAGCCACCCGAGCCCGGTTCGAGCGCGGAGAAGCTCACGCTACATTCCAAGGTCGTCGTGAGTGTTCTGTCCTGACTGTTAATATAGATTCTGTTCTATCAAGGGCTGTCTGACTCCCTGCCAGTCCACACCTCATCTCGGAGCGTCGACGGTGGAAGCTCAAGAGAACGTCTCATTGGACGTGTGTAATCAGGTTGCAGAGATCCTGCGCGGCGGTCTACCCAGCGCGGCCGTCAATGCGCCGCTCATCCTGCCCGAGGAGTATAGAAAGCTCCAGCCCTTTGTGCGGCTAGTCGAGCGGCTGGGTGATCTCTACACGCAGCATTTCGTGGGCGGAAGAGGAGGCATGGTCGGCGGCCGCAAGTTCGAGCTCATCTACCACGGCGAGCTGGCGGGTGTGTCCAACACTCGGCCTCTGCTCGCAGCGCTTATCAAGGGCTTGACAAGCAGCATCAGTGACAGTGGTGGCAGGGACGTGAACATCGTGAACGCTCAGCTCATCGCCAAGGAGAAGGGCATCGCCATCAACGAGACGCATGCCCGAGAGGAGTCTAAAGATGTGGGCTACGCCAGCCTGGTGACCCTGCGCTCTTACGATAGTAATCAAGGGGCCGAGCAGATCATTGAGGGCTACGTGAGCGGACAGGCTTTCTATATCAGCAAGCTGGGCCGGTTCAGCGCCAACTTTGTCCCGGAGGGGACCATGATCCTGCTGCACAACTACGATGAGCCGGGCAAGATCGGGAATGTTGGCATCATCCTCGGGACTCACAAGGTCAACATCACCTTTATGCAGGTGGCCAGTCTGGACCGGGCAGTGCTGGCTGCTGGCGACGGCAATGGTGCCAAGAAGAGGAAGGGGGAGAATGAGGCCCTGATGATTCTCGGGGTGGATGGTGATGTGACAAGCGAGGTGCTCGAGGCCTTGAGGCAGTCTGATGGCATCCTAGATGTCAACCTGGTGAAGCTGTGATCCTACCATCTGTAGTTCGAAAGCCTTCGCTTACAGCAGGGTCTGAAATAGAAATTCCCGCGTAGACGGAGGAGAAGGAGGGCACAGTGATGGGTCGGATGTCCTGGGGGCGTGCACTTACAGTGGTCGTGGCTTGACATAGGGTGTCATGGGGCCACTCGGGTAATAGAACCAAGCCACAGGTCTCAGGCGCTACGCTCCACCAGTACCATACTATTAAGGACCCGATTCTGCAGTGTTGACATCGCTAACCTGGGTGAGGAGTAGACATATTAATCCCGTACGTGTGAAGGTCTAGAAAATGGAACCATAATGTCGCTCAGCCGGACAACTCTCAAAGTGGGAAATTAGCACGGGAAGATACTTTCAATGAGGGCAGACGCAGGCACCTGGCATCGTTGAGCCACAAGCTTCTGGTAGATTGCGTGTCCCATGATGTTCTTGTTGTCTGGATCTCGACCCATTGGCCTCTTTCTTCGTCTAATGCAAACATGCGTGCCGGGACGGCTGTCTGCTTGGTGAAACGAGACGAGATGATTTCTATGTCGTGTAATTGTTGAAAGAAAACAGCGCAGGGTCTCGCTGGAGTTTGGTCTTTTTTCTTTTTTGCCAGTTCCTCTCTCGCTGTCCTATGCCTCTCCCTGCCTTGCCTTCTTCCCCTTTTTCTCTTCTTCTTCTCCTTCTAGTCTTATTTAAATCACCTTCATATGAACAGGATATTGCATGGCAACCGGTGTTTCGTCTCGTAAAGGGGAACACGCCACGTTGAACGAGTCCCATCCCAAATATCCCGATGTGCGTGCCAACACTTGCAGTACATGTGCTATGGTTGCAATGCAGCTGGCTCAGATATATTGGGGAATCATTGACGCTACACACGGTGGTGGTGGCGCGCGGCGGTACCTAGCAGCATGTACCGTGGGAGGTACGAAAGGTACTACGGTATACGCTAGCAGGTACAGCTACCGAGGAATGGTCCAATCAGGGCGCCGCCTCTTTTGGAAGACATTATCGTCATAGCTCCTGTGTTTCCTTCAGCGAGCCTCTCCCCCCGCCCCAATCCTCCTTCCCCCACCCCCCTCACAGTTCCTTCTCGACCCACTGATCTTCCAGCGGACCAGTTGGCACATTAGGGGGTCTCCTTGCCGCGGACAACGCTGTTCAGCGGGCCGTACATAGCACGTTGGGGACCCACTGGGCCACCTGGACCCCATCCATTGACCAAAGATATCGCGCGCTGGATCCTCACAATAATTTTCGTGTGTTTATCTTTCTTCTCCTGCTCCTCTCATTCCTCTCCACCACCACGTCTGCCCCGGCCTGTCCGGTCATACACTACCTCGCCAAGGCCTCAAGCGGCAGTAGGGGTAAGTAACAGTCCTTGTCTTGTTTTCTCTCTTTCAATGATAAATACCTGCCTCTGGAGGACACACTGTTGAACCGACCTGGGTCGAGCTGAGAGCTGGAGCTAAACTGACGCCGTCTCGTCCGTACGCGTGCTTGCAGGAGGACTTTGATACAGCCGCGCGAGTCTTCGAAGACTTCTTCCCTCCGCCTCTTCAGGCGATACACTCACCTCAATATGAGGCAACAACACCATGGCCGTCAGTCCCTGATGGCCTTCCGCCCTGCCATCCTTGCGCTTTCCAAGGCCCTCTTCACCATTGGGGCCGCGGCCGCTCCCGTCCACGTCATGGACAAGCTTCACGACGGCAACGAGGAGGAGGCCGGCACCGACCTCTGGGTCCTCTACCTCGCCTCCATCTTCCTCGTTCTCCTCGGCGGTGCTTTTGCCGGCCTTACCATCGCCCTCATGGGGCAGGACGGTATATACCTCCAGGTAATCGCGAAAGATCCTGCCGATCCCCAGCAAAAGAACGCGAAGAGGGTCTTCCAGCTCCTACAGAAGGGAAAGCACTGGGTTCTCGTCACGCTGCTCCTTAGTAATGTCATCGTGAACGAGACCTTGCCCGTTGTGCTCGACCGCTGTCTTGGAGGTGGCGTTGCTGCCGTCGTTGGCTCTACCGTCTTGATCGGTGAGTAGTTCATACATCCGCCAAGAGACCTGGAGTGTGACCTCTATTATACCACCCCGCCCCTCCCTCCACGCCGTTGCCGTCGTTAGGAATGTCTTGCGCTAATTACGTGTCTGCTTGGGTCCTTCATAGTCATCTTCGGCGAAGTAGTTCCTCAATCCGTTTGCGTCCGCTATGGCCTGGCCATCGGTGGCTTCATGTCCAAACCCGTCCTGCTGCTGATGTACCTCATGGCCCCTGTGGCATGGCCGACTGCGAAGCTGCTCGACTGGGCCCTAGGCGAGGATCACGGTACTGTCTACAAGAAGAGCGGCCTCAAAACCCTCGTCACTCTGCACCGTACTCTGGGAGATGTCTCGGAGCGGTTGAACCAGGACGAGGTCACAATCATCGCCGCAGTCCTTGATCTCAAGGAGAAACCTGTCCATGCCGTCATGACGCCAATGGACGATGTCTTTGTCATGTCCGAGGAGACGGTGCTGGACCAGGAGACAATCGATATGATGCTGTCGGCTGGCTACTCGCGCATCCCTATCCACGAGGCCGGGAACCCCACCAACTTTATAGGGATGCTGTTGGTCAAGATTCTCATCACCTACGACCCCGAGGACTGCAGGAAGGTCAGGGACTTTGCTCTGGCCACCCTACCCGAAACACGACCCGAGACAAGCTGTCTGGACATCATCAACTTCTTCCAGGAGGGCAAGTCACACATGGTTCTGGTGTCCGAGTCTCCAGGAGACGACCACGGTGCCCTCGGTGTTGTCACCCTCGAGGATGTCATTGAAGAATTGATTGGCGAGTATGTGCAAGAGTTGACACATCCCCAGAATCATATACACAGATTGTGGCTGACAAGACGATTGCTGCAGGGAGATCATTGACGAGTCAGACGTATACATTGATGTACACAAGGCTATCCGTCGCATGGCCCCAGCTCCCAAGGCTCGGTACCAGCGTCGTTCTTCTCACACCGGCCGGCCTGTCGCCGATGTGACTGACGGCAAGTCTAGTGAAGACACAAAAGTCGGCGAGGAGGATGGTTTAGAGAACGATGCAGACGGGAAAGGACAGCTCAGTGCGAGGCCCGAACAACGCACGCACGGTCGTGAGAGGTCTGGCAGTCCCATGACGAGCACAGTATTGCTGCGCCGAAGCTCCGCTGGAATCGACGGCAGGATGGAGAGCGTGTCTGTGCGGGCGAACTTTGATGATATCAAGCAGCATCTGAAGCACCTCGGCCCGTCGAATCGGGCCTCCAACCCGAAAGTCACGCGATCGACCACCGTCAAGATCAAGCCCGGTCTTGTTGTACATGAGCAGCCCCGGTCGAACTCTGTGGCAGAAGAGATCATACCAGAGGTCGCGAGCAACGAGGAGGGTGGCGAGACAACATCTCTGCTGGGAGGCGCAAAGGATGGTGTGCATGCCCTGGCCCAGAGCTACGGCGCAATCGGGACAGGGGCGCTCTCGAGACCTCTCACTCCCCGAATCCAGACAACCGATCTATTCAACCAGGAGGACCAGGCGACGCAGACATCGGCGCACCCCAGCATCGCAGAAGCCAAGACAACAGCCACATCGCCCGGAGCAGAGGAGCAGCGGTCGCCAAGGTCCACCTCGGGCAGCGAGACGGAACGACTCGAGGCAGGTCCATACGGTCACCGGACAGGACTCTTTGCCCGCAGTGGTAGCATCACAGAGCAAGTCGTAGAGACACGGGGCATCAAGAAGACCGTACTCGAGACCACCAGCTCAACTGACGAGGAAGAAGACCAGCGGTACCGTAAGATGGCCACCCGGTCGAACGTTAGTCTCTCATCGGGAGCACTTCTCTCTCCTGTGCTAGGGGCTGAAGAGGAAGAAGATGAGCCTGGTAGTGCTGCTGCGGCATCGACACCAAGTCTGCCGACCGAGAGCACTGGAGATGGCAGCAATCAGAGCGGAGGCAGCAACGGAGGCAGCAATGGAGGCAGCAAGAAAAAGACGCGCAGAAAGAAGAGAAAGGGCAAGTCTTAGATTGACTTCCTGCTCGCCTGGTGATGTTCCTGCCTGAGTACTCACTATTTTTTGGCGCTATTCTTATTGGGACAACAAAAAACGAAACTGTTTTGTTTTTCAAGTCTGCATCGGACAAAAATTAAGTGGTCGTCTGCATCGTAATCATATGGAAGAGGGAGATATTATGTATCATTAACACATGGCTGGGGGCGGAATTGGTAGCAATGGCATTTACACAACCACTGTAGTATGAACTCTGAAAAGACATTGTGGACTTTTATTCTTCATTGATTCCTTTCTCCTTCCTTTTTCCTTCCTTTTTCCGTCTTAATGCACGCCGTATGATGAGCTGCTTATCGCTATTCGACAGGGCAAAGGGTCTTTAAATGTGACATTATAATACCTATCGCTTTGGACGTGTCCATTTCCGCTGACACATTGGTGGAAAAGAAGCGTAACTCATTCAGTATTTTAATGTTCCACCACTACTGACATTCTGTAATGTCATTACTAGTCCGATTCGAAGAATTTGAGAAAAGAGGCAAAAGAATTAAAACCAAAGTAAGGAACTCTGGCCTTATTTGGTCTCACATATGTTTTCTCATATCATCACATCCCCATAGCACGGTCCTGCTATGTACCCTATATATAGACAGATGTCTCTTTCTCCATTCGTACGTCCTCAGTGGTCAAAATTCTTGCCCTGATAGCCCTTGGGTGAGAGTGTCACGTTGTACTCAAGATCCAACTCGGCCTTGGGGTCATTCTTGGAAGGATGGAAATCCAAAATAAGGTCATCTTTTACAGCGAAGACGGTGTCGGTGGTCCTTTTTTGGTAGGAGTGGGCGTTGGTGTCAGCCAGTGTCAGTGGAATTGGATGACGGCGTGTTTTTATTGCAACACAAAGATTAAGAGAGACTTACAGCCACTGATCATCGCGGGGGTACAGCTGGGTGGTGCAACCGTTGTAGTCAGGATGCGTAACCTGGCAGAAACAAGTCGTCAACATACATCCACGCACGGGCAAGGAAAACCTTAGACAGTCCGCTGACCATAATATGGATATGAGCCGGCCTCATAGGGTGGCGGTCCATAAGCTGCAGCAGCTGGAAGGAGGGACCATCCTGAGGCAGGCTATAGGCGGTAGGGTGAAGGCAGTAGAACCAGTACCGCCCCTGGTCGTCGGCGCGGAATTTACCCCGGAGGTTGTTGGGAGACTGATTCTCCGGGTCCTGGAAATCATACTTGCCGTTGGCGCTGGCCTGCCAGATGTCGAAGACGGCACCGGAGATTCCTTTTCCGTCGAGGTCGGCGATGGTGCCGTGCATCAGGGTGATTTTGGCGCCTGGGGGCGCGGGGTCGACGATGATACTGCCGCCTAGGTCGCGGAAGGGGGCGTCGGGGGACCAGAAGGGGCCCAGGATCGAGGACGAGGTTGGGTCGGCGCCTGTTTCAGAGACGACCTTGTGGGCGATCTCGTCTACGAGTCTTTATTTCATATATATATATATATATATATGGATCAGCGAAATAAATTTGAACTCACTTGAATTAATAAAGACATTGTGTATGTGTGTGCGTGTCTTTTGTAATTCAATGGAACAAAAATAGTGAAAGTACAAAGTAAACAGCAGTAATAAACCTACGTCTCAAGGCCGAGGATATCAGACAGCCGGTGGGCCTCGTTTCTTTTACCATTAGACTCCTTGTAGATGGCACCAACAGCGTTGATGTAGTGGACACCAGACATCCACTCGTCGATGGTGAGCTCAGTCTCGCGAGCAAAGTCGTGGATGTGGCGGATCAGGGCTCCGAGGAGTTCACGATTCCTTGGAGTTGTCTTAGGACCCATGGTCTCGACAACCTTGGAGGTGAGGGTTGGGTCGAACCGATGGGCGGCGGGAGGGCCTGAACTGCCTTCGTTGGTAGCCATTGCCGTGTGTATTGAATGATCAAATACAGAACAGTTGCTCTTCCCTTCTTCTTCTCCTCTTGGTTTATTGCTATACGCCCGTTGTGCTAGTGCTGTCTTTCTATGTTGTTCGTCAAGCAGGTGGGCGTTTGATGCGACTGGGTACAGACAGGATATATGTGGAAGGGGAATAGAATAATTATAACATCAACACCAAATCACTACCCCCAAGAACAACAAGAACTGGAAAGATCAACGAGAGGGGGTGAGATGATGGCTATATAATTGCCAGCTATAGCAACTCACAAAGTAATCTAAGATGTATACGGTATCGATCCATAGCTTCTGTCCATCCATCATCATCATTCTCCTCCTTCCCCTCCCGGGTCATTCAAGCCACAGGCTGCAATGGGTGCAGCGTGCAAGTAATGTCACGGTCAATAAGGTATGAGCGTTGAACCAGGAGGAAGAGGAGAAAAAACAACCACCGCCACCACCATAAGTACTCAGTACCTTTATATGATATCATGTAGGCTCCGATCAAGGATGCTACCCCACATTCGGCATAGCAAGATGAGATGGCAACTGCACGTTCGACAAGAAAGGGGGGGGGGGGGGATGGCCAGCATAATGAGTAGAGGACTTTCTTTCGACGTGCCGTGATAGCCACCTTGAGAAGGTCTGCGCTTCTTCTCTCCTACCCCCCATCCATGTCAAGTCCTCCTGGGGTTTTCTCGCTCAGACGGCCGAATAATAGCAGCCGAATTGGTTATAGTCAAGAGGGATGGGGATTGTTGGTATTGCATTGGCCCATTCGATCATCGTTGCCGTCTCTAACTCCCGTGGACCTCGCCTCGGGATCAAATATTGACCCTAGCTGGCGGGGAAGAAACGCCTCACTTATGTACTCGTATAGTAATAACAAAAAAACCAAGCACATAGTTGGTCGCAATTCTCCTCCCCCTCTTGATGAGACGACTTGTACCTTTTTATTCCCCCCACCCCCCAAGAAGAAGATGCGACAATCTTTGGTATAATTACTGTGGGATGATGTCAGATAAAAAGCTCAAGATGGATATGGGATCTATCCGAGGTCTAACAAAACGCGGGGCAATAACATGACTGGGGTGATTTATCACCAGGGACTGATAGTGCAGACGGGGCCTATACATGAGTACTGTACGTTGCAGGGCTGGCTGCCGGAAGAGTGTTCATCCGCAGACATTGGATATCCCGACCCGCTATGACCTTTCTTCAACTCGACAGTAAAGTACATTCGTTACTCTATAGATGACAAGCTTTCCTCCACCAGACCTTGTCCACATCAATGAACCTCAGCATTGTGCCACCATAGAACCTCATCTCACGCAGGATGTCCTGAAACTCACGTTCGAGCAAACATTAGCACCACACTTTTATGTGGGTTGAACTACATCGTCTCTACGACCATCTGGCCAACACCTCGTCTGAACGTTCATCCCACTTGACCCCACAAACTCGTGGCGACAGGGGTAGCTGGCTTAATTGCTGAGCCCGGGACGGTCGTACGGTATTAATACAGGAGGAGGAGGAGGAGGAAGAAGAAGAAGAAGAAGAAGAAGAAGAAGAAGAGAAAGAGCGAGTCGGTGCCGGAGTTTCTTTCCGTGGGACGACGACTCGTCGTCGATGCCATCGTATGCGCACATTAGATAAGACCACGCACCCGCCCTGCCCTGGACCTTCCCTCCTTCAAACCTGCACCTTCCATCCCTTTGCAATACAAAAATACCATCCTGTTCCTTCCTCGTGGACGCTCGTTCCCAGCCAGCCGCCAAAGTGAAGAGCTTCACTCGCCTCCTCCCCTCCGGCACAGCCCGCCGACGACATCACCAATTCTTCTCCTCGTTCTCCTCATCGTCCTCTTTTTCCACCAGGTCCAACAAGATGCCCCTCCATCACCTAATGATCGGCACCTGGACGCCTCCAGGTGCCATCTTCACTGTCCAGTTTGATGACGAGAAGCTGGAGCTTAAACTCATCAAGAGGACCACCATACCCGAGGACGAGCCCATCTCGTGGATGACCTTTGACCATGCCAAGAAGAACCTGTACGGCGCGGCCATGAAGAAGTGGTCCAGCTTCGCTGTCCGTTCGCCCACCGAGATCGTCCACGAGGCCTCACACCCAATAGGCGGTGACCCGAGAGCCAACGACGCCGACACAAACACCCGCGCCATCTTCCTCCTGGCTGCCCGCCAGCCCCCTTACGCCGTCTACGCCAACCCTTTTTACCGCCACGCCGGCTACGGCAATGTCTTCTCCGTCAGTGGCTCAGGCAGCTTGGCCACCAATGTCCAGAACTACGCCTACCAGCCCAACACGGGCATTCACGGCATGGTGTTCGACCCGACCGAGACCTACCTCTACTCGGCCGACCTGACCGCCAACAAGCTGTGGACGCACCGCAAGAACCACGAGGACGGCTCCGTCGAGCTTGTCGGCTCCGTCGACGCTCCAGATCCGGGCGACCACCCGCGCTGGGTTGCTATGCACCCCACGGGCCAGTACCTGTACGCCCTCATGGAGGCGGGCAACAGGCTGTGCGAGTATCTGATCGACCCGGCCACTCACCTGCCAGTCTATACCCACCACAGCTGGCCCCTCATCCCTCCAGGCATCTCCACCCACGACCTGACCACGGGCAAAGGCCTGTACCGCTCCGATGTGTGCACCCTGACATTCTCGGGTCGCTACCTCTTCGCCACAGCCCGCGCCAACAGCTTCGACCTAACGGGCTATATCGCCGCCTTCCGCCTGCGCGACTGCGGGAGCATCGAAACCCAGATCTGCCTCAACCCGACCCCGACCAGCGGCGGCCACTCCAACGCCGTGGCCCCCTGTGACTGGAGCGACGAGTGGCTGGCCATCACGGACGACCAGGAGGGCTGGGTCGAGATGTACAGATGGAAGGACGAGTTTCTGGCCCGCGTCGCCAGGTGTCGCATCCAGGAGCCTGGCTTTGGCATGAACGCCATCTGGTACGACTGATTAAAATGGGCTGCCTGACATAAAAAGTAGGTAAAGATTTAAAGGGGGGTGGGGGGGAGGGGGACTACGCTCCGAAGACAGGTAGCAAGGACAATGACCGACATAGTGTACAAGAAATGCAGAAGAATGGGGCTTTTAGTAGCACGTCATGGCTTAAATGATATGTTGTGCGGCACTGAGATGAAGAGCACGAGCTAGAAATAGAAACACAAAAGCCGAGAACTTCCGAGAAAAAGAAGAAGAACATTCCGAGAACTTCTCAGACATGCAAACTTGCGTCCATAAGGAGGTTAATTGCGGAAGATATAATGAATATAAACAGGCCTAAGTAGGTCGAGACCACTCTTGAAAACAGAAACCCAGACTTGAATACTTGCTTATCATTAATTTCTTGAAAACAGAAACTCAGACTTGAATACTTGCTTATCATTAATTACTTCACATCACTAGCAAGCGCAACATGGTCTCGCTTTGGCTCTCTCAGAGACGCAGACAGAGCGGTAGGATCGAACCTGCGTTCTGGTTCTGTTCAGTACTGATATCACACCAGATTTGCCCTCATTTACAGTCAGTATTGCTTCTGGTCGGCAAACCCGTTTCGATTCTGGATGCGCATGGACAAAGAAGTCCCATGGCGTCTTCAGCAGCTCATGAAAGTAGAGTCTAATTATATGCCAACTCGTTGGGACTTTTCCCTTTCTACACCCTCATTCTACGCCCAATGAGCAAATCTAAATGAATGTGAAGGAAGTCGAACAGTATCTCAAGAGAACGGTGCTTGAGGTTCCTTTAGGAAGCTGAGCAAAACCGAAGAGAGGTGTCTCGACGTCAGCCCCGTGGCCAAAAGGCCCAACAATTTCCTGGAGGTGGTGAGACCAACACCAGAAGACAGCAAGAAATAATACTAAAGATCTAGAAACACAGAGGGCTGTGCAACATGAGATATTATACAATACGATCATGATCACGGGTGTATGATGGTACAGATGTCACTGTGACAAGAATATGTACATAAATCACTATAAACATACGGAATACCACCTTGCTTGTCTTCTCTCTTTTCTAATTTTCACTCGTCTCTCTGCGCCAGAAAACACCACAACAAGGCCATCAAAGCAGTCGGCACCAGATAGAACCACCAAGCAGCCCCAATCACCTCGTGGCGCACCCCCAAAGCAAACACCCACCCGCCCACCGCCGGCCCAGCCGCCCTGGCCAGACTCGCAAGCATCCCTCCCGCGCCGTGCACAGTCCCCAGCACCGCCCTCGAGGGAGCCGCCTCGGTCAGCAGGACAACCGTGCTCGGAATAGCCAGCGTTCGGGCGCCAATCTGGAACCCCGCGACGAGGGCGAGGCCGAGCCATTGCCATACCGTGTCTGCGGGTAGGGCGCCGAGGAAGGGTGCGGCGGCGTACACGGCTGGGAAGAGGAGCAGGCTGAGGCGGAAGACGGCGAGGGTGCCGCCGAGATGGGATTGTAGGCGTGGGTAGGCCAGGAGTTGGAGGGCGATGCCGCAGATGCCGAAGAGGGACAGCCAGAGGCCGATTGTCCTGGCGTCGAGGGCGAGGCCGCCTGTGAACAAGGCTTCGGTCCTGGTGGTAGCCTCCTCGGCGTTGTTGGCGTTTTGTTCATCGATCTCGCCGCCGCTACCACGACGGGGTGTGGAGAGGTAGATTGGGAAGATGTGCATGAAGGCTGAATTGTGCAGAGGCAGTAGACCAAACGAGACCATGGCTGCAACAACCCGCCGCGTCCAGATCTTTCGGAAGGACAGCTCGGTTTCTTTCCTACCAGGAGGGGGCGTCGCAGTGTTATGAAAAGCCGTGGAATACCTCTTGGCCTCCTCAGACTGCTGCTGCTGCCGTAGTTCAATACCTTCCTCCTCCTCAAGGTGATCTGGATGTTCTTCTTGTCCTTCCCCCTCCACACCGCTGCTGAGCAGTTGATATCTGATGCCTCTGTTGTTGATATTGTTGTCATGTCGAGACAGTAGGCCCCTCCCCCTCATGAATCCCATAAATGCCCGACCAGCCTTGATCCCAAGATCATAATCAGACTCATTCTCCTTCCCTACCAACGTCTCCCTCAACCCAAGCACAGCCAACACGAGAGCTATACTCAGCACAAAGGCGTTCATCAGAGCAGGCAGCGCAAAGGGATACCTTGTCATCCACACGACCCCTTCCTCATTCCCTCCCCAGTTGAGGATGCCATCGGGACCAAACAGACCAGGCATTTTCTCCACAGGCTCGGCCAAAAGACCGCCCAGTGCCAGGCTGGCGACCATACCGCTGTTAAACACCAGAGGCAGCACAAGGAAAGCCCGCGTCTGCAGCCTCCTGTCCGTCACCAGCTCGGCCGTGACGGTCCTCATGAGACCCACATTGCCGTTGGCCACACCCGCGACACTGCGCCAGAAGAACAGCCATCCCAGGCTGCGGCTGAACCCAAAAGCCGCATTGGCCATGGCGGAGACCAGCAGGCCGAGGAGGATGGAGGGCCTGCGCCCGTGGTGGTCCGACAGCCAGCCCCACGGGAGGGAAACGAGGAACTGGGCGAGAGGGAACGAGGCCACGAGAAGGCCTGAGGTGTAGCTGATGTCGTCTGGCGTGGGAGGAGGATTCGTGCCACCTTTCAGAGAGTCTCCAGAGGTGAGCGCGGACCGGACCAGGTAGAAGAGGTAGGGGAGGAGGCACACGTTGGAAAGTGGTTCGGACAGGCGACACAGTGCCAGGATGAAAAGTTGTGTCTTGTTGGGAAGATCACGCCAGCGCACCGGAAGTGTTGGAGCTTCTGCTGGTCTTGGCTGTGGTTTATCAATTGCTGGACTGTCTTCTCTCTCACTTGCAAGAGCCATGCCTAGGCCTTCTTCGGCTGCATGACTGTCAATAACTGAGATCATCTGGTGCAAGCGATGAGCTGAGGGGCCTCACCATCTTCAAATAGTAGACCAGGCTCTCCTGTGGATGGGCCGTCTTGCGACGCTCGTGCATCATGATTGTTGACCGTATTCATCGCCTTTCTTTCTTTCTCTCCCCTTGCCGCCTTTGGAGAGGATATTCGAATCTGATGCTAGATCTCTTGTCGAACAGAATCCTGTTGGTGAGAGATAAGAAGCAATATATCCCTGTGGCGATGGTCTGCAAGATAATGATATCACGTCTTGAATCTCATCACATAAACATCAGAGGAAGAGAACAGATTATTGCAACGGCATATCGCTTATCATCGCCTGCATGTTTTCGATAGCTCGGTTATCCGCCTCAAACACTAACGATCATGTGGTAAAAGAACAACAGAACAACAGAACAAAAGAAGACGGAGATATGTTCATTTGAACCCCGGTCAAGGCTGCCTTCATGCATGCGGTCAGCGTTGGTGTGCTAAGCTGTTGTGAGATTGGCCTCTGCAGTGCTTGGAGGACCTGCATGGGTTGCAGTGTACTGTACTTGGTAAATATGCATGCAGTGTGCAAACCCGAGCATCCATCACGCAGCATCAAATCTCCCGAAGGACAGTCAGCCACGATGGTTTTTTTTTGGTTTTTTTTAAAAGCCATCTAGAACCCAAGAAAATGATTTTCTCAAGGGGCTTTCATGGTTCTACATGGTTTTTTTTTTTTTTTTTTTTTTTTTTAATTCTCACTGCAGTCTATTAAACGCCTGTTCTTCTTCGTGACGCAGAACATAAGCAAATGTTTTTCTCACTCTTATTCAGGATCAGATCATGCGTTACTCTCTCCAAGTCGATTTCCTCGTCGTCTGCACCCTCCCCTAGACCTGCTCAGACCTGAATCGACACACAGTTAAACATGACATGCCCAGACGGCGGACAGTCATTTATGATCGCCGGGCCCGTAGCCGACCTGCCATGCATGCTGAGGCGCACAGGACCCGTCCTGCCCTCCACCTGCACGTGTGCGAACGACACATAGCCGTGCCGCTGGTGGTGGTGCGGTCTGACCTCTTGGTCGCCGATGCTGATGGTGACTGCGGTGGGGTCTTTGCTGATGGACATGACCGAGATGACATCCCTGGCTCCTTGGCTGGCTGATCGACTACCTCCCTGGCCCCAGACGGTTCCTATGTTGGCATTATTGTCAGCCAACCTGTCCAGAGCTCCAAGTACGCAACTGGTGAATCTTCATTACCTCCATCTGGTCCACACTCAGCCGGTGTTGTCCGATACCAAGCGATGGCACAGTCTTCCTCAGGCCCATCATCATCGCCAGAACAAGAAGCCAAATCGTTACCAGCCTTGTACGCCTTGATAAGAAACGGCAGCGTCGCTCGAAAAGCCGCGTGTGAGTGCCCCGAGACGTAAATGTCTGCACCAGGTACGACCTGTGAGGGGCGCAGCGGGTCACAGATATAGCTGGACTCCCCAAAATCATTCCACGAGATGATCTGGACCAGGTCGGGTTTGAGATCCAGGATCTGCGACCACCTGTCAAACCAAAGGCTCTCGCTTGTCGAGTACCAGTTTTTGTTCCACTGCGGAAGTCCTTTATAAGAGAAGAAGAAGAGGATGAGCCATCATTTGTCTTGGGTTTTCTTCACGTTCCTTGTCATCCAAAGATAAATAATGTAATGATAGGGCCCAACTTACTTGTATAGAACCAAGGACTCACGCCCGCCATATAGATCTTGCCCTTATCACGTAGCGTCTTCCCATAGGCAACGTCCTCCTCCGTCGTCATGCGCTGCTGGTCTGCACGGGGCCAAGCACACCACGAGAACGCCCCATCGATCAAGTCGGCCTTGTTCCCGACGCCGTGCGGGCCCAGCGAGCTCCAGTCCGGCACCAAAAAGATGCCTCCCGCGGCCCTGCTGACGGCAGGCCAGTTGTCAGCCCAGCCTGGCCCTTCAAAGGTCGACACCAAGGGTTGCCCGTCGACGGTGTAATAGACAGGCGAGTCGCGAAACTCTCGGATGAGGGCCACGAGCTGGTCGACATCCCAGTGCCCAGCCGCCATGTCAAACGAAAGGAAGAGCACAAACTCGTGCCCTCTTTGTCCTTGCTCGTGTCGTTGTGCCTCGGCAGCGGCAAAGGCTTGACGGAGCTGCGTCAGTGTGTATGGGTCCGATGAGCCGATATTGAGCGCGAACCCGTCAATACATGCTGCGTCTGCCGTGCGTATCTCTTGAGTCCACTCCTCTGGCGTCTGGCCGTGCGTCAGGCCGACCTATAAGGGGAGAGAGTACTCAGGTCAGAGGACACTTTGTTCTCATCTCTGGTCTCGATCGTTTTTTTCTTTTGGGGGGGGGGGTGACTTCTGACCATGTAGTGCGCGAATACCATGCGAGCTTTACATCGAGAAATAGGTAGTGTTAATAAGACAAATATTTTAGCATAAAAGGATGGTGAAAATACAGAGGAAGACAGGGAGGGAGAGAGAGAAGGCACACCTGAACCTGATTGCTCATGATGATGATGGTCATGATGATGATGATCATGATGATGTTCATGCTTGTGCCTCCTGTGGAGGACATTTCTCGCAAAAGCCCGCATTTTTCTTTTTCTCCTGCACAATTAAATGTAGCAGAGGGGGTGGTGAAGTAAGTATGGATCACGTTACACCAGAAGCGTATTTGTACTTCGTTGCTATTGTTGTCGCCGTTGTCGTTCAGAAGACAAAGAGTCAAGGTGTCTTAAATCAATCAAGAACGCAGCTTGGCCGGCCGCGGTAAATGGATTGAGCTTTGGTAGGGAAACAAAAATACGGGTCTGATTTCGTGGTCGAGCCAATCACCATTTTCCAAGATGAACACTATTGAGCATCATTGGCACGGATTCAACCTTTTATTTATTCATTCACTTCACGATTGGTAAGATCCATGAAAAGGTCAGTCAGTCACTTGAGGTTAATTAATGTCGGAATAAAGGCATTGGTCTCATGTGGGTGAAAGGGCCTTTCAGGCCCCTGACACCAGGGCCCTTTCACTAGGTTTCAGGCTAGCCGGCCCTTTGTTGTACTTTTCCTATAGAAACGGGTGCACCAGTACCTCTGGCCCCAGGATAGTTAGAAGGATTGGTGCAAGAAATCGATGACCTGGCTTTTCACCCATCCTTCACCCCGATGAGTTCACTGCCCCACATTTGACAATTAATAACAAAATCTTGGGAAGAAAGAGTCAATAATAATAAAAAATAATGCATTGCAGGCCGTAGAATCTTTTCCAGACGAAGCAGTCAAAAGAACACGGCCATGGGGGGAAAACATAAAGACAACCTTTATCACGCCAGCCTTCCTTGCCAATGATGAGAGGGCCACACACCAACTCCATGCGAATCCTAGAATGCACTTGTTGGCTGTAGTTGCAAGCCTCCTGTCAAAAGAGAAAGGAAAAAGAAAACCCCATCCTACGATGCCACCTTCCAGAGTCAACACATCTTTCTGCATCGCTATGCCCATCCATATGAGCCATAACCTTCCATCTATCCATCCGCCCGTCTTTCCGTGTTCCTCACCAGAAACTGCACCAACCAATGTAGTGCTGGCAAAGGTTCTCGAGCTTGGTTGCCTCGACAATGAGCTTGTCCACCTGCGTCAAAACATCCAGCTCCTCGCCCGCCTTGAAGTCTCTGCCCGTCAGCTTCTGCGACACCCGGTCCAGGACCTCCAGCGCACGAGCATTCTGCATCTCCGCCGGGTCTTGGTTCTGCTGCCCATTGATGCCGTTGGCTCCGTTCATGTCGAGACTGCCCGGCAGACCAGCAGACGAGTTGGTGCGCGCCCGCAGCCTGGCCCCTGGAGGTCCGCCCGGCATTGCCGCCGCCGCCTCAGCCGCGTTGCCCACAGCTGCCTGTGCCGCGCGGAGGGCCGCCGGATCAGCATCGAGAATAGATGCGCGCCGTCCCCTATTGGCTTGTGGCCCAACGAGGTCTGCTTCTCTGACTGATTCGAAGTTTGGTCCAGCCGGGCTGGCAGCGTTGGTCAGACGCCACGTCAGGAGAGGGTCGTGGATGAACTAAGCGGGTTGAAAGGATAAAGAGTCAGTAAGAAACATTCAGCTGCCTGAGAAGGAAAAGCAAACAAAGAATGCAAGCGAGAGAACTTACGGCTTCCAGAACCGCCATGACGCTCTCCTTGTTGTCCCTGAGCACCCTCATGACGTGCTCGCACGTGATGCGGAAGCTGCCCTCGATGTTGGACACCTCCATTGCGTAGGTGAGCATGCGCGTGAGACGGAACGGCACCCGCTCCGGGTACTTCTCCCGCTTCATGGCTACCTCGAAGCAGTCACCAAAATCAATGTGAATGATCTTGCCCGTGATTCGATCCAGCATCAAGTTCGACGGGTGACGATCGCCCAGGCCGAGGATGTAGCCCACCATACTCATCACGCCCAGGCTGCGCGTGTAGTTGGTGCGCCGCTCCAGCCACGCCTCGGAGCTCTTGCTCTTCAACCACAGCACACGGTACAGGTCCTGACCCGTGGTGTTGTCGAGCGCATATCCAAACACCTCGACCTTTTGCATGAGCGTCAGGTTATCATAGTCAGGCGCCATCTGCAGCATGATGCGGTGTTCGATGTTGAGGAGGATCTTCCGGCTCTCCCGGTACTCCCTGATCAGCATGTGCACCGTGTCGCTGTTGGGCACCCAGCCCAGCAGACCAGAGCTGTGGCTGAGCGGGATCGCCGGGTATCTCTGTATGTTCAGGTGACGCTTGTAGCACTCGGAGTCATTGGCGAGGAGAGTGTTGCAGAGACCAAACAGCTGCATCACACGCTCATCCTGTCGGATATCCTCGTGGCCCTTGAGCAGGAACGTGTAGGGCACGCCGTCGCTTCCGTTGATGATCAGCTTGCGCGGCCGCTGCTTGCTGCTGATGACGGTAAAGGTCGAGTCAAAAGACATGATCCGCACGATCGGATGACCGCTGCGGTATGTGCCCGGTACTGCGAGGTCCAGATCTCTGGCCTCCAGCAGCTTCGGTGAGCAGTACGTAAGCTCGAGGGATGTCATCTGCGGCAGCTGCCTATAGATGCGCCGATAGACTTGGTAGTATAAATCCCAGGCTTGGTTCAGATCATTCAAATCATGACTGACTTCGTACTGTCGACACCACTCCCTCGCTTCGGTGAGATCGCGCCCAAACGTCTGCACGAACGAGATCTCCCTGAGTGTCTCCGGGCCCCGGTCCAAGAATGCGTGGAGGGGCTCAAGGGCCGCAAACATGCCCTCGATGTTATGGACGACGAAATAAAGGCGCGACGCTTCCTCTAGACCTTCGTGCCACAGCTCATGCCACAGCACGGCGACGCGGATCAGCTCGTGACTGACCAGTTCTGCCTGCTCGACCAGCTTGGCACTGTGCTGGCGCATGCTGTCCATGATCTGCGCTGCAGACCGCGACCGACGGCTGCCCTGCCAGGACTTCATCGCCACAGTGAGTGGGTACACAAGAGCCTGAGGGTGTGCTCTCCCAACGTCCGCCAGGAGGTGGTGTACGGACTGCTGTACGCGCTTGTTTGGCTGGTTGATGCGCGCAATCAGCTGCGGGATCACCTCGAGCCAGGTGTCGACGCTCACGCGCGTGAAGCCCTCCGTGACAGCAGCATTGACCTCAGAATACCCGCCGTGCGTGAGCCACAGCGTCAGCAGGCGTAGGGTGTCCTGCAGAGAGCTTCCCTGAGACAGCGAGATGGACTCAAAGAAGCCGTGGACAGCTGGGACCACGTGGTTGGCGACAACGTTGTGGTCGATGCGCGCCGGAGCCCCTTCGCTGCGGGCCGCGATGGACTGGACAACCTCGAAGTTGGCCAAGGCCCAAGCATGCCATGCCTTGTACCACCGTGAGTTGTATTTGGTGGCTTGCGAGTAGCACGTCAGAATATCCCGGACGTGCGTATGCTGCCAGTCATCCTTGTGCAGTGCGATCATCCACTCGCCCTGGCGCAGGTAGCACTTGGCCAGGAGGACAGCATCGTCCACCGACATCCTGGGCGGATAGTTGGCTTGGAAGGACTCATGATTGGCATGGTCTGCGTAACCGTACGCCTGGTTCAGGAAGGCCGCGTCGCCGCCGTTCGCCGCATGCTGCTGGGTTGCTTGGCGAGCGTAGTCGAACGACTTGGCCGATTCTGCAGTGAACAGACACAGGCACCGGAGCGCTTTCTCCGAAATATCCGAAGCCCTGTGGGCCGGCTGCTGGCCAAGTTCCCATTGGTATTTCAGGACAGCATAGACGACCTGGCTGGGCACTGTGGCCCGTGTCGTACTTCGTTCATTCCAGAAGGGGATCATGGTGTCCAGGGGCGCATCGCTGCCAATCAGCTGCTTGAGCGACTTCTCGGCAATTCCCATCCGCCCTGACTTGCGACACAAGTTTGCAAACTTGATCCACATCTGCATGTTCTCCTTGGGCGTCATCACCAGAGACCGGAGTCGGAGCATCCTCTGCCAGACGTCGACGTAGCGCTGGCACCCCTTGAGGCGTTGCTCCCATGTGCGACGCAGCGTGGCCTGCTTCTTCTCGTCCGTCTGTTTGTAGACAATGAGTTCCTCCAGCTCTGCCAGCATCTGCACTCGAACAATAACCTGATACGCCCGGTTGTATGACTCGCTGACCAAGGCGCTCAGCTCCGTATCAAGGCCTTCTCGGGCGTTCTCGATGTTCTGGGCAGCTTCTCTGAACTGGTTGCGATGGAGTGCCAGGATTGCGCCAAAGAAGGCCCTATCGGGCGAGAATCGCTTGAGGGACTGCAGATAATTGTCCATGGCATCCCATTTGCCAAGACCCCAGGCAGCTGTAGTCGCCAGAGGAGCGATCCGACGCTGGACCTCTGGCGACGAGTTCGCCCAGGTGTCGCTGGCCAGTTGACCCAAGGTATCCCACTCACCCAGGGCGTGCAGGCAGCGCATCTTACCCATCACAATCTCCACTGGTGCGGCGACGTCTTCAGGTATCTCGGATGCGCGCTTGTCGTAGAAAGCCAAAGCCTCCTCCCATCTCTCCAGCTTTTCGAACCACGTTTCCCGCAGCTGGATGCCATCCTTGTAGAGCTGCGCCTTGCGAAGGATACCAATAGCCGCATCGGACTGTTGAAGCTGGTTGTTGATGACGATGAGCGCTTCAACGGCCCCACTGCTCTGGTCCTGGAGAAACTCCAGTTCCTTGTAGTGAAGAGCCTTGGCGTAGGCGTGGCAGCGAGCTGCCTCCCTGCCCAGAACCCGGATGTCGATGGGCAGCGCCTTGTCGTCGTGCTCCATAAACTCTGCCAGGTGGAGCAGCAGGTTTAGGAGGTCTGGGGTCACGTTCTCGGACTTGATGGCGTTCTCGAGGTTCAAGATGAGCTCCTCTTGGAAAGACTCGTAGAGGTCACTCCAGCAGCTAACAAACGCTGAGTTGAAAAGCTCTCGTGCCAGTGGCAAGTACACGCTCGCCAGCTGCGCACATGCTCGGAGGCAATGATTTGGTGACTCTGTCAATAGCGTCGTACTGAAACGGCGCAGCCATTCCTGCCAGTCTTCCTTAGTAGACTTGCCTCTGGTGTCCCAGGCCGACTTGAGGTGGATCGCATTCATCTCAAGCTTCTTTGTTCCCAGGTCCGCAAAGGGGGTAGCATCAACCTGGTCGACGAAGCGCGGCTCCGAACTCAGATCTTGCGGTAGCACACCGCCCTCCTTAAGGCGGTTGACGAGCAGATCATAATTGTTGTGCTGGATACCGTTGTCGCGTAGGATCTTGCCGACGGTGTGTGAGAAATGCAGGTAATCGCGCCCCAGCTGTTGGATGAGCGCGCAGAGCGTCTCCATGGCTGCTGTTCGAAGCGTTGAGTCGTTCTCCTGCAGGATCCTAGTCAGAGGATGAATGATCTTCGCCGCGAAGTCGTTCAGGTTGACCTGCCGCGAGATCTTTCCGATGGTTTCGATCGCCACCCGGCGTAGGAATGTCGGGTTGCTAGGCTTCTCAAATGTCCGCACGATGACAGGAATGATGAGATGCATGTACTCTTCTGCGCTGGAGCCAAACACCAGAAAAGCATGCAACACCTTCTCCGAAGCAATACGCTTGGCCGACACCTCCCTCTCCAGCACACCCAGCATCAGCGGTAGCAGGCCAGCGAGGTAGACCTTGAACTCTCCCTCAAGCGACCGGGAGATTGCCTCAACAAGAGACAAGATCGTGGATTGCAAGGCAGCCGACTCCCCCCAGAACTCCTGGAGGACCTCGACAATTTCCGGCAGGAAATTGCGGATGTGCTGTCGAACGATGCTCACCAGCGTGGCAAGCTGGTTGAAATAAGACTCTCTTCGTGGACCGCTCGTGCTTCGGATCACCATGAGGAAGGCCGGAATAATGCGGTCCAGGAAATTGACGCACTCCAAGCCCAAGGTGCGGAAGATATTCATGATAGCCTCAATTACTTGGGCATGGTACGACACCAAGGACTGATCCTTGAGTATGTTGAGCAGGGCGTTGATGACGACGGTGGGATAGTACTCTTTGTTAGAAGGCGTCAATCCTGACATCATCAGCGACACATCTGTCATGGCCGTCGACTCGACACGTTGCTGGAGCTCGGGCGTCCGCTCTTCAACTTGTTGGTATCTGTAAGGGTCGAGCGCACCCAGAATGCCGAGTAACTTGATAGTCTCCTGGCGCAACGCCCCGTTCTGGGGCTCGCCGCGGATGATGTTCTGGAGAAGTTCCAGAAGCTGGGGATACTCGAGATATGGGTCGATCACATATCCAGAATTGCTGGCCAGCTGACCGAGAGTATGAAGGGCAGCTTCTCTCTTCTGAGCCGAGCTTTGGTCCTGAAGAGCCTCAATGATGATAGGCATCAGGCTGTCCTTGTACGGGAGCATGTCTTCTCCGCCGACAGCGCACAGCTCACCAAGCGCCTTCAATATGGTAGCTGCCACAGAAGTAGCTGGATCGCTGGCCTTGGGCAGAAGCACCTTCACCATGGCATCCACGTAGGGATGAATGATCTCCTGCGCGTTCTGGACGAGCAGGGAGAGCAACTTGGCACTCTCCTCCTTGTTCCTGGCCACATCAGAAAACTCGAGTTCGGTCAGCATCTGTATCAGGGTCTTGCGGAGCGACGGGGCCACATAAGCCGGGTTATATCTTGCAAGCCTGCCGATGATAGAGATGGCCACTTCTCTGATTGGGAAGTGCTCGTCGTTGAGGGCGAAAAACAAGGTGCGGATATTCTCAGCCTTGGAAAGATGCCTGTCGAACCGTTCATCGAGGGCGGCGAGAACAGTGCGGCGGATATTGGGGTCGAGATCAGAAACACCGACCGTGAGCAGCTTCTCAATGACCTCTCCGACGACGGCGAGGGCGTGGTAGCTCGTCTGGTTGACGATAGGATCTCGGACGTAGAGCTGACAACATGTCAAGGCCGCTGCTTCTCGAATCTCGGGGTCGTCATCTTCGACGTATTTGATAGCTACGTCGCGTACGAACTCGTTCAAGACATGGCCTTCATATTCAGACAACGTGTTCAGTTAGCTGTTTGCTTCTAGAGCAAGGGGGTGTCGGCGAGGAACAGAGAGACATACCTGAGAAGTCAAAGCTACCCAATGTATTAAGAGCCAACTTGATCTCGGCCTTTCGGTGCTCATAGGCAAGGGGGTCCTTGGGGTCCTTCTGGATGACAGGGGCCGACGGGAGGGTATTGGGCTGAGGAGCACCCAGAGGTTTGAAGGGCTGGCCGCAAAGCACCTTGCTGAGCATGTCGAGGAGACGCTCCTGGATCGTAGCCTTGACCGGCAGTATGTAGAAGGCCATATCGACGAGGGCTTGCGTCAGCTTGGGGGTCAGCTCACAGGCGAAGATGGGCCCTAGGAGGGCTTCCATGTATTTGCTCAACGTCTGACCAACAGCGACGGCCAGCCGACTGATGCAGTCAAAGACGGGGTCGACGGATCCGCGTTTGCGAGACTGGACGCTGAGTCCTTCACGCACGTAGATGAGCACACCGTCGAGATACGGGGCGATGGCACTCTTGACCGCATTGGCAATGTTGCCAATGGCAAGAAAAGCGTCGTTGCGCTCCTTTTCCTTCTTCAACATGCCCGAGAGGTGCAACATAAACGTGTGAAGCCTTGTGGTTGCGAACTCAGATGGCGCATAGTTGGCGAGGTCGGGGATCAAAAACACAACAGTCTTGCGAATGGTGGGGTCTCGATGGTCCTTAAATCGAGACACGATGTCGCATGCCTCCTGATAGTGATCCTGCATGTACATGCCGCCCTGCTCCAGCAGTTCCTTGAGAACCAGGAGGGACGCGTGGATGGACTCCACGGAGCCGACCTTGAGAGAGGATATGGCCTCCATGTACATCTTGTCCATCCATAGCTGCTTAAGCTCCTGGTCACGCTCGCGCATGATTCGGAAGCAGGCGCTCACGGCCTCGGCAGACGTGGCGCGGATCAGGTGGCGCTGGTCCTTGAGACCAGCCCAAAGCAGGTCGAGGACCATGCCGACGTAGGCGTACATCAGGGTGGGCGCATTTCTAGCGAGCTCACGAAGGACGAGAACCGCGCTGTATCTTCTCTCCTCGATGCGATCAGACTGCAGCCACTCGAGCGCGTTCTTGGTCTCGGCCTCGACCAGCTCGGAGATGATAGACCCGCCAGGCCGACACAGCTTTCCCAGGACCTCGGCAGCAGGACGCATGGGGTTTATGTCTTTTCCTCGTAGGACCTGACGGAGGCTCTGTGTGAAGCGCGTGTACTTGGTAGCCACGTCGATGCCGTCAAAATCGACGAGGGAATCGATGATGTAGATGCCGCCGAGGCGCTCGGCCGTGTCGCTGCCATGGATGATGAGGTTGCTGATGGCCTTCTGCACCTGTGCGATAAACAGCGCGAAATGCTCCTGGGGGAGATCTGACAGTACAGGAAGTCAGTGCAGGAGCGAGGAAAGGGGGGAGGGGGGGTCGGGAGAAAGGGCGAGAGCTACACGTACCGCGGTGGCAGACGGCCACGACATCTCGAAGCTTGAGGGCGAAGCGCTTGCGCTGGTCCTCGGATATGGTTCTCGACTTGATCTCCTTGACCAGACTATCTAAGCTCTCGAGGGCAATGTCGAGAGGGCGCGATGCTTGGCTCGCCATCTTGGTTCGTGTAGGTGGCAGGTGACTTGCCCCTCCAATGGACCTCTCTCTTGCTGGGACCTATCGCATTCTTGGGAGCCCACGGTGTTTGCGGGTTCAGGTAAAGGTCATAAGAATGCCCAGAAGCGAAGAGGTCCTGCCTTCGGTATCTAGCGTCTCGTGGGAACGAAGCGGTATGGGTTTGGGAGGCGGGGCGGGGCGCGTTTGGCGATTTTGATGGAGGACTGGGAGGTAAAGAGGGAAGAAGGTCGGGAAGAAGGCAGTCGAAGGTTGCACTAGACGGCCCGAAAAAGATGAGCGCGTGCAGTGCTACGCAAACATGAGTTGGTAATTAAAAGAAGGTCGTGGATGATGCAGCAGGTTTGGCAGCTGTCAATATGAGGAGCTGTTGGGTTCAGTTTGTACCACCACCTTCAACTTGACCTCACCTCGAGGTAGCTGATGGAGAGGCGTCACTTTACAGTGTGAGATGTGACATGGGAACCCCAGCTCGAGAGACCCGTCCAATTCCACAGAGTCTGGGGTACGTACTTCTTATCGTTATCGTTGCCTGCCCCTAAGTGCATGTCCTCGGTACTGAATCTGTGATCTTCGATCCCTCCCACATGCCTCCTTCTACTCTAAACCGCCACTAAGCCGCTAGTGGATTCCCCGTTCGACGTTTTGCGCCGCCTCGCAATATTTACATTTTGCAATCTGAAGTCGACATATTACATCTGAGTAATACACCCTTTACTCAAGCATGATCGAATGGAATGCGAAGAATGTTCTGGGTCTCGATTTCCCGCCCACAACATGGACGGCAATAAGTGAGATGGTACGAGGGCCAGTGACTTGTTCATTACTTGTAGCCCGTGCGTGCCAACCAGCGCATCTACTCCGGCCTTTTTCTGTACATGGCTTCAGGGCCTGGCTGGCTTCTCGCTTCCCCTTTCTCCTTTTGTAGCGCAGACGGGGATGAAGAACCATTCCATTATTGAACTGGCATTTGAGACGAATAAAGAAAGTGACATGCAGGCATGGTAAGAGGAGAGTTGCCGTCAGGCCTTTCCGTTCAGCGCAAGCGCGTTCTAGGGCTGTCGACTGAGCCCTCGTCAAGGTCATCGACACCGCAACACGCAGAATGTGGAGCATATTTGTACATGAACACAAAATGCTACAATTTCATTCTGGCAAAGGAGCAAGAATGAAAAGATACCAAAAGCAGAAAAGGTTTCCCCAGCCTTCCACTGCACTTGACAAATTTACACAAGTTCCAGTTGCGTTGGCTGGTTCGAAGTACTTGAGGGCTCGTTGGACCCTGGTTTGCTCTAAAGTCTACATCAAATCGAGGTTCGTTAATGTACAAAACTGGCTGCTACCCAAAGGTCGTTCTTGCTTCTCGACCAACTATGGGCTAAGTACATGTATCAGAGGCGAAGGCCACCTGTGGCAACAAGATGATTCTGGATTTGCTCGACGTCGGCCGAGATCTACATCGGTGCGTGCGGCGCCTGTTGGGCCCGGGAGCACCGGTCACATTCGAGCAAACCAAGCGACAATATCAAGGATGAGGTTGACTAAAGTAGGGAGATTTCCAGACCTGAGCTCTTCGATTTCTATGCTTTAGGTATTGATCAGTTGCACTCTGCATGATACCATCAAAAGTTGGCACCCCCCCCCCCTTCTCCTGCCCCCTGAAACAATGATTAGGAAAAAGTACCTTATTATACTTCAAGATACTTATTTTCCTATCGCTTGTGCAACTTTCTGATTGCCCTCTTGCAACTCATATAGTTGACGGTAGCTGGGTAATCGCAGCTCTCTTCCTATTGGTACCTTTACAAGACTTGACATTACATAGGGTTAGGGTTCCAAACCTTCCAATACTATGTCCCGCGCGCCATGTCCTTTGCGAGCAGGCCAACAAACGAACCAACCGACATCACCTGAAGATCCCCAACACCACCTGTCGCAAACTCGCCTGAAATATCCCAGTATCTTCCACCATGGGTAATGACGGCGGCTCGATCCCGAAACGCCGCGAGCTCGTCAAGGAAGCGGCGCGCAATCCGACCGTCAGCGAGCTGAAAGCCACCGCGCTCGAATCTCTCAGCCATGCCTGGACACACGATCCCTTATCCTCCGAGTCTCTCGACATGGAGAACACCGTATCCGACTGGCGAGGCCGGCTCTACAACTACGAGTCCATCCTCAAGGGCCTCATGCCTAGCGACGTCGACGCAGACGCTGAGGACAAGGCGAACGGCAACGACATGACATTCTCGCAGACTGGCGTCAAGAGCCTCAGGGACATCGTCAGGCTCAGGTTCAAGCGCTACAAGCCGGCCGGCTCCAAGGCCAAGGAGATCTGGGCCTGCCCCGTCAGCCTCAAAGAGCTCGGGCCTGCCACCAAGTCTGTGTACATCGTGCCCTGCGGCCACGTCTTTGCCGAGGTCGCAATCAAGGAAATCACCGACCAGGAGCACAACTGTCCCGAGTGCAGCGAGCCCTTCGAGGACCAGGACATCATACCGATCCTACCAATCGAGGAGGCAGAGCTGGTCAAGCTCGAGAGGAGGATGGAGGGCCTGCGCGCGCAGGGGCTGACGCACAGCAGGAAACAGGACAAGAGCGGGAAGAAGAAGAAGAAGCGGAAAGCCGAAGACAAGGAGGAGGTTGACGGTGTAGATGGAGGCAGAGCCCATCAGGCCGAGTCAGAGGCTCGCCACAAGGCCTCCAAGACACAAAAGGAGGCTTACGGGACAGGCCGATCTGGAGGCATCAATAATCCGTTGACGGCATCGCTAACTGCCAGAGTACTGGCGGAGCAAGAGGACAGAATGAAGAGACGGAAATTGGCCTCAGCCAGTGGCTGATCGGCTGCGCGCACCTCGAACATGGAAGATCTCGATTGAATACATATCTCATACATGGGCTAAGCAGCATTGACTGCAAATACTAATGACACTTTGATACCCCCCTTCCTTTATACGCTCGCTCTATGATCTCAAGCAAAATTCCCATCTCTATGGTCCCCGAACTGCTGTTCCTGGTCCTTCCAACGTTGCTGCTGTCGCATTTCACAAGGCAATCCAGTTAAAATCCGTTGTGGTCCCTCCTTAGAGCTCGTCCTTGGTCCGGACGCCTGGCTCGTGTACGTCTTCACAAGCAGCCGGTGTGCCGACCTCCATCTTGTAGACACACTTCTCGGCCTCGCTCACCCTCCAGATCTCATCCGTCTCGGCACATCCGAGCCAGACGTCTGTCCGTCGGTGTGGTCCATTCCAGCAGCTCTGACCGTTCTCGTAGCGCATCACCAGGCGAGGTCCCTTGCCCAAGCTCTTGCCATCGATACGCTCCTCGTCGTCGGCCATCTCCATGTCAATGCGAGCAAACTTGCCCATGTTGGTGCTGCTGTGGCCTTTCTTGGACTTCTGGCTAGTCTTGCCAAGCCAGCAAACCTCGTACTCGTACTCGCCGCTATCGGTAGAGACACACTTATCCTTCAGGACCCGGAAGATGTCATCTGCGCCGTAATCCGTCTCGAGATCTTGCTTCTCCTCGCCGAGGGTCCTCTCCTTCTTGGAGAGATCATCCGCGACGGCTTGGAAAGCTTCCCGGGCAGCAGTGACGAGGACAGACTCGCTGTTTGGAGACGAGTTGTCGGCCACGATGCCGTTCTCAATGAGCCAGACCCGGAGATTATTGAGTTTGCCGTGGACGAACGAGCGTATAGACTCTGGAAGATAAGCCTCGACGTTATAAACTGTGAATTGTTAGTGCATTGATCTTGGTAAGAAATCAGATCTGCCGTGGAAGATAACGTACGAATATCGGTATCCGTGGTCTCGGCCTCGTCAAACTCCTTCCAGTTGATACCGGAGCTCTCCCCGTCCTCCTTGACGATCTCGACGAGGTCGGACTCGGCCAGATCGGAGGGCGTGGCGTCAGCAACCCTGGCAGCATAGTCCTCCCATCCCTTAACGGCAGCCTTGACGCCCTCGTCGTTGAAGTTGGGATTATACTCCTCCTTGAACTTCTTGAGGATCTCCTCCAGCTCATCGACACGGCTCTGGAGCTCGTCGCGCTGGTCGAGGACTTTGCTCAGGGATTCGCGGAGCTCTGAGATTCGTGTCTTGGCCAAGCCAACGAGCACGCCAAGCTTACCGCCCTGCCCCTCGGTCTTGACGACCTTGCCTCTCTCTGACTGTTCGACCTCATAGTACTTCTTCTCGAGTTCATCCTTCTTCTCCTGCAGGCCCTGAATCTCCTGCTCGAGGGAGGTGATCCTAGCTTCCACCCTCCGCCGGAGCTCACGAGCCTCCTTGGCCATGGTCCGCCGGCGTTTAGCAGCTTTCTCCTTGGCCTGGGTACGTGCCTCTTCGAGTTTCCTGTGTTCTTTGCCAATCACACCGCAGCGATCCTCGCACTTGACTCCGCCGACATGTGCGTACTCCTCAGTGCCATCGCAGCAGAGGTCATAATCGCATACGCCATCATTGACATAGACAAAGGGCACGTACGAGCCTATGTGTCCAGCATTTTCGCACCAGAAGCCCGGCAGGACATTTGTCGTGTTGGTTGTTCCGGTAAAGGATGCTGGCAGAGGCTGGGGAGGAGAGAGGGGGTTGAGACCGGAGCAGGCAGCAGTGCCAGGCTCATCAGAGCCATCGGGGCAGTCACAGCTGTTGTCGTTGATCTGAGATGGTTTGAGAGATATCGAAGGGTGGCCGATACATGTAAAGGATTCCTTGGTGGAGTAGTACTTGGCAACTGGAGTGCAGACAGGCCAAATTAGCATTCATGAAAACCAGAATCGCCAGGAGAGTGTTTCTGAGCTGCCTGAGCAGTAGCATCAATGACGACTTACACTCGGGGCCAACACCTCGAGGCAGGCCAGAGTTCCCAGCAGCGGCAACCACCAAGGTGCTGGCACTCAGAAGCACCGACAAGCCTGTCTGCTGCATCTTTTGGATGCGGCTGCCACTCTTCATACAATTAGAGAAACAGAAAAGGACAGCCAGAGGATGTGTAGGTCGGGGCAATGGCTGAGAAATGTAGGTTTGAGACAAGAGAACCTACAATCACTTGCCAAAAATATGTCAAGCTGGCATCAGGACAGCAACGGGCAGGTATCAGTTCGTTGCGGGTAGTCGAGTAGCTTATAGTGCTATGGTGTCCTGGGTGCCACTGGATGCCAACAGGCATGTACCCCGGTGCCCCACCTTTACTTGCTTGGCAGTCAAGGGCCAATCAAACATCCAATTGCGTTCAAGGTGGCAGGGATCCGTCACTGCCAGTGGCACCTGTTCTTGCTTGTATCGCACCTGCTACCCTGGTTAGCCATGTGAATTTCTGCCTACAAAAAAATTACCCCTCCATCTCAACCACTTCAACAACCACTTGTCGCTCGACACTGCCACCACCACTACTACTGTTACTATTACCACCACCACCAATACTTGTGTTCTTGGTGTACACAACAGATGGGTGAGGCTGGCAAACACATCGAAAACCATGCCACAGTCACCAGCTTCTTCAGGCGCACTCGAAGAATTGGCTTCGCTTACCAACAATGCTGTCCTTCTTATTGAGGGCATCGAGCAGTCCTTGAGAAGTGTTGTGGACTCAACTAGTGACGCTGGCTCTTCTGCAGACAACTGGCCTGGTGCAAAATCTGTGGCAGACCATGACAAGCAGCAGCAGCTGGACTGTCTAGCCTTAGCCCGCGACTCGGCAAGCCTGATCAAGGCTTACTCAACCAAGATTTCACTCTTCATCATAAACGAGCCCTTTACTCCGTCCGCCATCTGTACCGTTCTGCGGCAGCTCATCCAGGGCGCGGTTCCTGCTGTCGCCTCCGCTGTCCAGCAGTGCAACGCTGACCTCTACACGAAAGTCATCCGTCGGGATTTGGCCTGGAGGTGCGCCCGGCTTTTGAGGGAGCTCAGGGAGCTGCTCCAGAAAATTCCCAGTGATGGCAAAGTTCTGCCTGAGAACCAACGAAACGGTCTGTCGGGAGCAAAGGCAGAGAAGGGTAGTATCGTCGCCACAGGCGTCCTCTGGGGCTTGTGTGACGAGGTCATCAGTTTCGCCAATCTCGGCGTGGCAAAACACTTGGTCCACAAAGCCGAGCATTTACGGGATACACTCAAGGATGTGTTGGAGGAGCTGAAGGAGTGGAGTGAAGAGCAGGATGGTGTGGACGATGATGAGGATGAAGACGACGACGAGGCCGAACATGAAAATGAGGATGAAGTGGAAGTTGACCATCTTGCGGACGGCATGAACAACACCCATATCAGCACGCAGGCCATGCTGGACTCGTTCATGGACTCTCAACAGAACATTCCCCGCGGCGACCCAGAAAAGATCAGAGAACGCCTCGAGTCAACATTGCGGCGGTTGCGGCTCACGGTCTTGCTCTACCAAGCTCTCATCAAGAGGAGGCTCAAGACCCTACCTAAGCTGCCCCTAACCCATGACGCTGATTCAGTGACTGTTTCCCGGCTGGATGAAGTCATGCCTCTGCTCAGGCGAATTACGGATCGTTTCAACAGCCTCGCGGTGGCTTTTTATGAGCTTGATTCCGCCGAGATTACCACGCTTATGGATCAGTGTTTCTTCGACGCCTTTGCCGTGTCGGAGCTGTTGGCCAAGCCATGGGATGGCCAGCAGAAAGACGAGTTCACTGAATGGGTTGCCAAGTTCCAGGTGGAAATAAAAAAGAATTGATTTCGGTATTTCAAAGGTAGCACGAGCGCCCACCCATCATCGAGGCTATTTCTTAAAGGACAGCAGCGTGCTGGAGCGGTCGAAGAAATGATTCCAGGACCTACAGAATTGCACGAATATTCGAGCACGGCTATCTGTTACAGCACCATCGCTTTTTACAAGATCATAGACAAGCCAAATAATTCACTACATTTTGTCGGGGCCACCCCACAACTTCCAAGGTCAACCCGGACCGGCGTACCAATTCATAAGCCCCCGGCCTAACTGCGTCCCGTAGACCGACGCTTATGTCGGTCCCGGCCAAAGTAAAGGGACCTTACCGCTGGGAGAAGAAGGCTGCTCCTGGTCCAGCTCTGAGCAACTAAAACGGCATGTTCCAATTGCCGAGCCCCAGCAGCACCAGTCAGCCCGTCCCAATGATGTCGACTAGGACTAAAGATCGATCATGACGAGGGTTGAAACACTTCAAAAAACCGATATCAATGACGAGGGCAGGGAGATAAATCATATTACCTGTGTCCTGTTGTATAAGTATCACAACCCTCCTTGAACAGTTACGTCCTACCTACTCTGGATTCAGATTGAAGTTGGCAGGTAAACATTTCGGCTTCACTTACCCAATCTGTCTCGTCAACTCTCTATTTCATCTTTTTTTTTTCTTCTTTCAAACCACGGCAGCACCAAGGAAGAGGAACAAGATGTCTAAGCCTTTTGTCGCAGTAGTCGGGGCGACAGGCCAGCTGGGAAGGCTCATCGCCACAAGTCTGAGAAACCGCAATGTTCCAGTCAAAGCGATCGTCCGCCCGAGGACGGACCCAGGCCGTACGGAGGAGCTGAGGAGCGCGGGTGTTCGCATCGCTGAGGCCGATCTCAGCGACGTGTCAGCCGTGACTGAGGAGCTACGCGGGGCCACGACCGTAGTCTCTGCACTGAACGGACTCGCCGATACGATGCTGGGTGCACAGGGGACGCTCCTCGACGCAGCGGTGCGCGCTGGGGCAAAACGCTTCATCCCCTCGGACTTCTCGCTCGACTTCACCAAGACAGCGCCGGGTTCCAACCGCAACCTAGACCTGCGGCGTGAGTTCCACGTCGCGCTCGATGCGTCCGGCATCGAGTGGACGTCGATCCTGAACGGGGCCTTCATGGAGCTGCTCGCGGGTCAGGCGCCACTGATCAACGACCGATTCCGCCGCGTGCTGTATTGGAACAGCGACGAGCAGCCGCTCGACTTCACCACATACGCCGACACTGCTGCGTATACGGCTGCGGTAGCTGCAGACCCGCAGCCCACCCCTCGCTACCTGCGCATCGCGGGTGACGTGGTCATGCCCAAGGAGCTTGCCCTCATCGCTGGAAGAGCGCGAGGGGGCGGGCCGTATTCAACCCTGTGGGTGGGGAGTGCCGGGTTCCTGGAGGGGGCAGCGAGCTTCATGAGGCGTTTTGGCATAGGAGGGAGCGAGAAGGATGTGTTTCCTGCGTGGCAAGGCATGCAATATACGGTGAACATGTTCTCAGGGGCTGGCAAGCTGGAGCCGTTGGACAATGATCGGTATCCTGAACTCAGGTGGACAAAGGTCGAGGAGTTTCTCAGCCAGACTCCAGCCTGAGGAGTCGCGTGATCAAGTTCCCAACAAACCGTTACACTTTCTTCAAAGACTCATCAATCGAGCCAAAGCCTCGGCAATATCCCTCGCGAATCCTTCATCGTTGATATCCCTTTGGTCCTCCACAACCTTGATTCCCGATCCCTGCAGCCCCTCCCGAATAGTTGAGAAGAGCGCCTCGTCTGCCTCTTCGTCGGCGAAGGGTCCTCCAGCGGTCGATATCATGCTCACGCCGCCAAGAGGCAGCCAAACCTGTACAGAAGAGGTCTTCCTGGCAGTCCTCAGCTTCTCAGTGATGAACCTGCCTACTTTTCTGCACTCTTCCTCCGAAGAGCGCATGAGTGTGACTGTTGGATTATGCTCGTAAAGAAGCCTGTCCTTGTATGCCTCAGGGACCGTGTTCCTGGGCCCAAAATTGCTCATGTCGGTAGCCCCGACCGAGACGATGTAAGGGATGCCGGCCTCCACCGCTGCCTCGAGCCGGTTCTCGCCGGCGCTCATGACACCCCCTGTGACGAGATCGCAAATTTCTGTCGTTGTCAGGTCCAGCACGCCGTCGAGCTTTCCCTGACGGACCAGTCTCTCCATTGCCTTGCCACCGTGGCCAGTAGCGTGGAAGACGTAGACCTCAACGCCATACTTGGCTTCCAGATGGTTGCGGATCACATCCACGCTTGGCGTGGTCACGCCGAACATGGTGATCCCGACACGCTTGGCGGATCCTCTGGTGGTTGTCTTCTCCCCGTCATCATTGTCACTCTTTCGCCTTGTTTCGTAGGTGCGGGCCATGGCTCCGATCGCAGCTCCGGCATTGCTGAATATGTCTCGGAGAACTTGGTTGAGCCCTGCAACATCTACCACGGAATATATCATGGAGATGTCCGTCTCGCCAACGCTGTGGTTGGTAAAATGATCAGTCATTGATGGTCTTTGTTGGCACCTACAAGTCTCGATATGCCATTGGGTGATACTTACATAGGGCCGGTATCCCCACTTGCAACCGTCGATATGATCATCTGGAGGAAGAAAGAAGTAAAAGTCAGTCACGATTCTACTTACTTCATTAAAGGAGGGAAATAAAGCAGTCATTTTCCATATTGAAGGGTTTTTCTTCTTTTACATGCTTTGTCAAGTTACCTTTGGAAATCCTATAGGAAGCACTTCTCTCATCACCTGTGCAGCAAGCGAGGTGCCCCCCGAGCCGCCAGCCGAGACAACAGCCGAGATCTCGCGCCCTTCAAAGAGCCTCTTGACAGTCTGGGCTGCGCAACCGGCCATGAACCTGATGAGCTCGCTTCTCGGCAAGTCAGACGTAGTCTTCCCATCACCATGGTCCCTGACGAGCTGTGCTTGGGAGATTGTGATTTCTTCGTGGTCGATGTTTTCCCTTCCGACATCGAGCAGGATTGCTTCAGCGGCGCCGTCGCGTCGGATGCATTTCTTCAAGAATAGCAGCTCTTGGAGTTTGGTGTCACAGGTGCCCAGCACGAGCACTTTTGCAGGCATGATGGTGAAGGGGAAGGAATCGAGGTGAGGAAGAATCAATTCTATCTTGACGTGCAAGGGCGGTATTATTATAATATTCTTTCAAAATTCAAATTTGATGACGAAAACAACACAACGGCAACGAGGGTTAGTTTTCGTTATTATCTGCCGTGACGGAACCTCATAATGATGATATTGATTGATTGATGAGCAAGTATTAAATAAATACATAAATACTGCGGGGCTAAGTGTGGTAATACGAGGCGCGAGACAACTCAGCCAGTGACGTCAGGAGGAGAAATGTTAGGCACAGAAGAGGAAGAGCAGATGCTGTTTTCTTTTCTCAAGACACACATTTTCTCTCTTCTTGTACTTGAACAACACAATTCACGATGGTGCCGCCCACCAACCGACAAGAGATCCTGCACAAGCTGCGTGAGCAGATCGCAGCAGGCCATGCAGTAGTCGGAGGAGGCGCAGGGATCGGACTCAGCGCCAAGTTTGCAGAGGCTGGCGGGCTGGACATGATCATTATCTACAATTCTGGGAGGTACCGCATGGCTGGTCATGGATCTTTGGCTGGGCTGATGCCATATGGAAATGCAAATGGTACGTGTAACCCAGAAGTGTGATTCTGGATGTCTGCTGCAGCAGACCAAACAAGGTAACACCACAGTTACTAACCTTGACCCTCCTCTTTGTTGTTCTCTGCTGACGCATCCAGATATCGTCGTTGAGATGGTGAGTGTCTGCTTAGCTCGTTTATTCCCCTTGACATCGTCGGAGTTGGAGGTGGCGACCTGAGAGAGTAGCCCTCGCTCCAGCTTAACTGGGTGATGATTACGTGGCTGACACAATGCCCTCCTTCTCACGATTGACATAGGCCAGTGAGGTTCTCCCCGTGGTAAAGCACACGCCTGTGCTCGCTGGAGTCTGCGCTACAGATCCCTTTCGGGACATACCTGCGTTCCTGCGACAGCTCCAGGAGCTCGGCTTCGCAGGCGTGCAGAACTTCCCGACGGTGGGACTGATCGACGGCCAATTCCGGGCCAACCTAGAGGAGACAGGAATGTCGTTCGACAAGGAGGTAGAGATGGTCAGGCTGGCGCATGAGCGGGACATGCTGACCACGCCGTACGTGTTCACGGCAGAGGAGACCAGGAAAATGGCGGAGGCGGGCGCAGACGTGCTGGTATGCCACATGGGGCTCACCACCAGCGGGTCAATCGGGGCGACGAGCGGCAAGAGCCTGGACGACTGCGTGCAGCTGATCCAGGAGCTGCGCGATGTGGCCGTCGAGGTCAACCCAGAGGTAATTGTGCTGTGCCATGGAGGGCCGATCGCGAGTCCATCGGACGCGCGCTATGTGCTGGACAGGGTGAAGGGAGTCCACGGCTTCTATGGAGCGTCGAGCATGGAGAGGCTGCCTGTGGAAGAGGCTATCGCCAATACGGCCAAGACTTTCAAGGCTTTGGAGCTGAAGTCGTAAGCATGACTGAGATGAAGTCTACTGATGGTGGTGGTGGTGGGTGATGATGAGGGTTATTATAGTGAGAGGAGAAAGACGAGGAAGAGGGTACGAAACTTCAAAGAAGTCCCATTGACCTAGATCATGAGCGCAAGTTACTAGTTGCAACATGTACTTGCTACTCCACAGCCCATCAACCACTAATGATATCAAATCCGACCTGTCTGCTTGGGCAGGACCTGCTGGGACTGACTGTGGTACACCCCTGTAGCCTCTGCCCACCTCGTGCTGCTGTGGCCGTTGGGTAAGTGAGAGCGCCTCAGCCACCCCTGTGTTCGTCTCTAACCCCTGCCCATGACCCCTGTCCTATCCTATTCTTCCCGATGACGACCTTTTCAACTTTTGTCCTCGGCGGCGCCGCCCTCATAAATTAATCTTTTTTTTCCTGCCACCTTCTGCAATCGAATTGTCGCAAACACCCCCATACATTCAGCATTTCCTATCCCGAGCACCAGACATATCACCCCTTCAGCAATATTCTCTTTTTCTTGCCTCACATATACCTCTACTGCCTAGCGAAATAAATACAACATGGGTTTCTTCTGGGCTGATCCCGTACCAACCTCGTCCACGTCGTCTTCGAAGCCTTCGGCCTGTCCAGTCCCTCATCAAAAGCGTGGAGATGCGCCTCCTCCAGTAAGTCTATGCAGTACCATCCGAGAGGGGTTCTGAGCTCCCTGGCATCCCAGGGACTTTAGAATTAACAGGAATTACGCGCAGCCGAGTTGTCCAATGCACAAAAGCACCCAGGATGCACTGAGCTCGGCATCTAACCACCCTCCCGCTGCTGCGGCAGCGCCTTCGTCGTGCCCCGTCCCCCACGACCAGAGAAACACATCCAGCACCTCCGAAGACTCCTCCTTCCTCTCCAAGCTCAATCCTCTCAACTACATGTTCTCCGACCTCTCGCAGTCCCGCGCCCCTAACCAGACGCACGTCCTGCCGACCGAGCGCGATCCGAGCTCCATTCCCAAGGGCTCTGGAGATGGCAACTGGGAGTACCCCTCCCCCCAACAAATGTACAACGCGATGCTTCGCAAGGGCTACACAGACACCGATGTCACCGCCGTCGAGAGCATGGTCCAGGTCCACAACTTCCTGAACGAGGGCTGCTGGGCTGAAATCGTGGACTGGGAGAAGCGTTTCGGCGGAGGCTTCTCACGGGCCTGGCAGATCTGCAGGCGTGGCGAGGAGAATGCCCAGGAGACGCAGCGGTTGTTGGACTGGAGGAACAACACCACACCAATAGAGCCTACCCTTGTGCGGTTTCAGGGCCGTCCCAAGGATTTGACTCCAAAGGCCTTCATGCTCCAGGTTATGGGCTGGATATATCCCGCCAAGTTTGGGTGAGTCGACTCCACACCTTTTTCTTTTCCATAAGAAAGAATCCCCAGCCAATTTGCCAACTACAGAATCGCCAAAGACTGACTCTATTTTGCAGCACTGAGAAGCCTTTCGATCGACATGATTGGTATGTTTCGAGAAATGTCGACGGCACACAGAAGGAGGTTCGATATGTCATCGACTACTACAGTGGACCCCCAGAGCCCACTGGGGAGCCCGTCTTCTACCTCGATGTCCGCCCTGCCATGACTCCCACCGGCGCCGTAGAACGTCTGATGAGATGGGGCGGAGATGTCTGGTGGAGGGCATCTGGAGGGGCCGTCCGCGAAGCCAACCAAGCAACTGGAAAGTGAAACGGGCCTAAAAACCTCTCAGCAAAGCAGCCTTTTTCTCTTCTCCACATCCCCTTTGGAAATGAGCTTCATGTTTGTATCATCACGCACGGGAACCTGATATGATTTGTATTGTCCGGACTTGGATTTCCAGCTGGCGTTTGGGAACTGGTCTCATGAGCGAATGAATGGTTCGTCTTCTCTTTCTGGGGCCTGGCAAACAAGATGATCAACACCGGACCAAAACTCCTCTCTACCTGTATCAATCGAGGAAGACGCCACCATATACTGCTTCAAAATTGGATAGCATTAAGCACCTCCCTTCTTAATTGTATCAATCGCTCTATACCTGCGAGCTTCCTTGTTCAATTAAGCAAAGCTATATAGGGTCATGTGTAGTACTGATGCCAAATCCTTTCACAATGCATATACATAGGGACAAGTGGCTACCTAAGTATGTATTCAAGTAGGTAAAGACTTGTGAATGCGAAAAGTGGCATGGCCATTGAATCTTATCTATGATCAGACCCAGGAATCCTGATCCCCACGACAGCACATGGTGAAAAGCCCACGCCGTCTTTGATGAGTGAAGAAAGAAGGCGAAAACGATAACAGGCGCAATACCGATACTGAGAGTGAAAACGATCAAAGGGAGCGTTCTATAGCAAAAGCGATCGCGATGACGAGAAAAATAACGAGAGAAGCGTGCAATAAACCAAACAATATCCATATAATCACCCCAGATTTGATTAGATGAGAGAAATCTTTTCCTCCCAATCAACACCAATTTACATCAAGCATCCACATCAAACAAAATAAGACATAGCAAAGCCCGTCGTGCTTCTTCCCCTGACCTTGAATGTTGGCAGTATACTTAGGCTGGGCTTCTGCTGTCCAGAAAACCCATTCAACCTTACTGTAGTCAACACAACCTCAGACACCACTGAAGGCCATGCATCAAAAGTATAGCCTCTCGTCGACGAGTATCTGGGCATCCCATTCGCTCAGCCCCTAGTGGCAGAACTCCCCCTTGCGCCCTCAGAGAGATACAGTAGCGACAACAATTATCTTGTCGCCAACCAAGAGCCCTTACCCTGCATATGACCACCAAGAACAATCAATTACTCGCAGTCAAAAGAACTGACAGACCATGGCGCAAAGTAATGACTACGCCAGCCACACAAGCGAGGACTGTCTCTATCTCAGCATCTGGAGCATGAACAGTTGCCATGATCATAATGTAGCCCATCTACAGCAGCGCAAGTGATTGTGCAGAAAATGCCAGCTTTTGTTTGTGTGTGCGGCCTGCTCAGGCTTCAATATTCGTTGTTCGGTGCAGCCACTACATAGTAATAATATTGGATATATTACAGTCCAGGACTTTACTGCAACAATATATTACTCTAGAATTGTACGAATTTGTACTACACCTGCAATGTGATAATTCACCGCCCCCTCCCCCTTCCCAGAGAAGTCTCATTTCCTTGAATCATTTGCTCATCCTACAGGGCTCATGACACAACAGTAGCAAGCTGAGTAACCTGGTCCAGCAGACTCTGGTCCTCGCCCGCGGCATTCGTGAGGACTTTATCCCTGAGATGATCCACCTGCAGCGCGGCGTCCGTAGGCGGGTTTCCCTGCGCCGTCTGGATCCTGCTGACCTGCATCTCGAGGAAGAACTTGGGCACTTTCACAGCGAGACTGCCGCCCACGCTGCGGATGCCGGCCTCCGTGGCGAGGTAGACGTTCAGCTCGTCCTGGAAGGTCTGCAGGTCCGAGTTGGCGAGGGGATCGGCGGTGGCGAAGGTGTCCAGGGCGAACTGTAGTGGGGTGGAGGACGAGGTGGAGAAGTCGACATTGCTGAAGGAGACGTTGCCCGAGGTGACGTCTGGCACGTTGTCGATGGTCGTGGCCGTCGACGAGCAGGTGATGCTGGACTGGATGGCCGTGACCGAGTCTTGGACCTCGGCTGGCAGGGCGACGTTGCCGACCACGAAGCATGCGTTCTGGCGAGGCGCAAGAGGTGCTATGGTAATTATTTTGTCAGTCCAGAAAGTTTCTTTGCGCTTATGATATTGTACGAGCAGCAACTTACTTGCACGGCCCAGGCACGAAGTGGCGAGTGCCAGGAGCAGAAAGGTAGAAGTAGGACGTGACGGCATCTTGAAAATATAGCGCCGGCGCAGCAATAATGGCTAGAGAGAGAAAAGATATATAGTCGTAATAATTTAATGATTGGCTATAACGAGCGCGTGAGATAGAAAGAATGTAGAAGAAAAGAGATGCCAGCCTCGGGTGTTTAGTCGATCAAATTGATGGAAACAAGGACGATCATCAGAGGAACAAGAGACGAACATGTTCCCTTTTATTATGCAGTGTTCCTTCTCCTTCTCCTTTGACGCATTTGCGTCGCCATCTGCGCGCATCGCCTTACTCTCCTTCTTGTGGTAGCAAGTATCATGAGTGGATCCCCGGCTCCCTGTATGCACTACAGTAGAGCTTGGCAGTCGACAGTGTTGAATTATCACGACCCGACACATGACCTGGTTGGGGCGCTTTAATCGTAGGATCTTTGGCAGTGTGTGGCTGTCTGTACAAGGGGTTATAATGTCCTGATATGCTTAAGTTCATGAACCATAGTATGCTTAAGCGGCTTCAGAACAGCTTGATCGACCTGTCTCGAACAGGTTCGGGGGTTGAGCCCCAACCACCTGAAAAGCTTGGCACCCAGTGTGGCTGCAAGTGGACATGCCCGTGAGTGGATCGTCACGAGGCACAGGACTTGATTGGGTGCCTTGTGTACTACTTACTTGCTTTTGCCTCGGTCTTCTTCTATGAAAAACAAAGCATAGGTCACGCATTCAATTTTACTCCTGCAATTTGAGGCTTTCCCTGTTTCTAATACTCGGTATAATGTCCCATATTGGCGTCGTCGATAGTCTATTAGGCTGTGAGGCTGTCTGCTAGTGATTAAGTACCCACAATGCTACATGACCTTGGACATCGAAGACTTGAGGAGAACAACGTATGAATGGTGGGAAGGAAAGCAGGATAACCAAGTCCCACATTATCAAAGGCCCTATTCTTGTGTCGAGTACCCTACCATCAGCCTGCACTGCTGCTGGAAAAACTGAATGTCATTGGATAAGAAGGGGAAGAAAGGAAATGCCAAAACATGCAACACTCGAACTACTACTACGATAGCGCAAGCATGAACAAACCCCAGCAGATAATGGTGTCCCCTCAACATCTCACCCCGCTGAAACATTACCACGTTGGCTTGCTGGATCACCCCGGAGCCGTCTCATGCTGTGTGCAATCATGTTGACGTCCGTCCTCAGAACCTGCCACCCTCATCGAATTAGCATCTAATTATCCTTCTTAAGACACGAGGGTAGGGTAGGGTAGGAAGGAGATGGGTTCCTATGTAAGACATACATGGCCCTGGCCACTGCGCCGCCATCTAGTCGTCGTGCTGAAGCGGCTTTGCACCTGTCAGGGCCGAGAAGATAGCTGCATCTTCCTTGGCCCTCGGTGGCTTTCGATCCAGCATGGCTTTCATGCGAACAATATTTGACGGTCGCCTAGGGCGATAGTCCGTGTTTAGATACGCTCCGTTAAGATATGAGCTAACGACCTGGCCGAATTGGACACTCTTTTGGTGCACCCTGGCCAGGACTGACGGCCGCCGTTTTGTCCCCTCTGCTTCTCGCCGGTCGTCGTACCCATTGACAAGCTCTGTGTGGCCGTCCCACAAGGTTCTTGCCATCTCACCGATCGATCTGCAACCCTCCGTCGTCGTCACATCCTTTCCCTGCAGATTTCCAGGGCTTGGATGCCAGGTGATTTCTGTGACGCTGTTCCGCGAGACGATGGTTGCTTTTGTTGCGCTCGTCTTCTTCGCAATCTCCTCTTCGTCTGGATCGCCAGCCCCTTTAGTCATCACTGCTTGCGAGCTGGCGATTGTCGTGGCAGGATCTGCTGCGGTTGCGGGAACGGAACGCAAGGGCCTGAGAACTCGAGAGGGTGGCTTCGACGACGAGCCAGGAGAATCTGAGAAAGCCACCACATGAACTTGCTTCCTGAGTTGCTCAGCTGGGTCCGAGAGATGGCAGAGGAGGCCAGGCACTTCGCTTTCGCTGATCAAGTAGACATCATCGTCCAGACAATTTTCAAGTCCGCGCGTGACCGAGTTCACCTTGGTGGTTTCTCGAAGGTAGCCCTTGATTCGCCTGAGCAAATCCTTTGGATCGGCCAAGCTGGGCGTCGTCGCGCTGTCGTGCGAAAAAGCGTCCAGCTGTCCCGAGATATGTGTTTCCTGCTGCTCGGTGTCGGTCGTATTTGCCATTAGGGCGAGCAGTATCTAAAGAGAAAGGTCCAGGGATCTAAACCACTCAGAGGCCCAGCAACGCGCTCCAAGGACTGCCGGTCGACACAACAAGACAAGAAAAGGTGAGTGCATTCCACTGACGGAAATAGGCTACTATTCATTAGATTTTAGGCTGTCAGGTGTGAAATCATACTCGTGGCCGCATAGGTAAAGAAGGAAAAGATGTAGGAGTAGTGGGTGTAAGCAGCGCGGCTGTCCAGAGTATTGAAATACTTAGCACATCTCTGCGAGCTGCGAAAGTGATGATGATGGCAGGCACGACTGTCCATCTTTTTCAGATTTCAATCCAGGTTCTCTTTCTGAGTGAATGAACCATAGCAACGTGTCAATATGGCCGCTGGAAAATGGCCTCGAACAAGTGGTCCTCATTACCACACATGGTGTCCTCCGCTGGATTAAATGGCATCATCACGACAGGGACCTCACCGTAAAAAGATGCGTCAACGAGAGGAACGGGGTAAGACCTGCGTCTGCAGATTTATCTTGACTAGATAATTCTCAAGAGCCACAGACGGGACAATTGCAGGCTTTCTTTTAGGACCTGTTGCTTACTCAAGTGTACACGGTATTAGTTGTACCAAATCTCAATAACTTTTGGTTTACTGGTACAGTACCATGTAAGTAGATACAAGTATGTACAGGAACTGGGTAAGGGTTGTAAAGAAATAAAAATAGAGCGGGGTGGATGCCTTGCAGCAGGTTATTATCAGACGAGACGGCAGGGTAGGGGTCTTCTTATCGCTATCGCTATCACTAACCTTTATCGCATTTCTTTTCCACAGCATCCTTCAGAAGTTACTGCTGTCAATTTTCGATCTGACCTCAGCACACCACCAATCCCCAATCTCCAACACAATCCTTCATCCACCCAAAGTCAGCCACAGCCCGCCCTCTTCTTCTTCCATCATGTCATTTTGAAACGTGACAGGCATGAAGAACAACAAGCCAACCTCCAGCACATCCTCTCGCGAGCCTCTACAGGCAGACTCTGCACACCGCGCAGCAGCAGAGGCAAGCTACTCGCGCCTGCACATCACCCCTCTGGATCCAGCCCTTCTAAAAGTCGTTGTGCCTCCTTCTGTACTCCCTCACGCCCGCTGCGTCTCCTACCACACCATTCAAACCTTTCCCGAGAGGCCCTACGGCTTCATCGAGCTGCCCTCTGCCGACGCTACCAAGATCAAGAACAAGCTCAACGGGGCGGTCCTCAGGGGCAGCAAGATCCGTGTCGAACTGGCCCGACCAGACAACATGCCACAGCCATCTCCAGACGCCGTGGTGGACCACCCGTCCTCCTCCAAAAGGTCCAGAGCTGAAAAGAAGGACAGGAAGGACAGGAAGAGGAAGCGTGACCCTCAAGAGATTGTAGGGATCGAGCTGGAAGAGGGCCGCAAGGTCAAGCGCGGCTGGACAGTAACACCAGAAGAGGCCCTGGCCAAGAAGGAAAAGGAGAAAAAAGAAGAAAGGAAATCGGCCAAGTCCAAGGATAAAGAAAAGAAAGAGAAAAAGGACAAGAAAAAGAAGAAGGCCAGAGAACCAGAGTCTCTCTACTCTGAAGTGCCTGAGTGCCTGATCAAGACCCAACTGCCACCAAACAGGCTTGATGTGGCCGAAAATGCAGCCACAGATCACAAGAAGAAATCCAAGAAGAAGCAGGCAAGAGAGATTGTGGTTCATGAGTTTGAGAGGAACACCAAGTTTCCGACATTTCTCAAGCCGGTCGCAGCAGAGACCACAAAGGAGGCAAAGAAGGAGACCTCCTTCATAGAGGGCAAGGGGTGGGTTGGTGATGATGGCACTGTTGTGGAGGAGGTGAAAAGCACCAGGCCCAAAGCTTTCCCCAAAATTCAGGTCAACCAGTCACGCCATCCCAAGCCAAAGGAGACAGCACAAGAAGATGATACCAGCAGTAGCAGTGGTGATAGCAGCAGCGACGACGAGAGCTCTTCAGAGGACATGTCTGAACCTTTCCCGGTCAGTCAAATGAGCACCAACAAAGAGGTCATTTCTTCATCACTTCACAGCCCCACAACTGTACCTACAGCAACAACAGGGCCAGAGCAGGCGAGGCCAGAGTCTTCAGGCTCACTCAGGAGTCTCACTATCAAGATCCCACCAGCAACTCCAACACCTGGCTCCAGCAAGGTACATCCCCTTGAAGCTCTGTACAAGCGGCAGAAAGGAGACCAGACTGCCAACAGCAAGAGTGAGGCTGTTGATTCTGGGGCGCCTTTTTCCTTCTTTGGTGCCCATGGAGAGGACATTGACAGTGATGAGGATCTGGATGGGGAAGACAATGCTCTGGAAAGTGATCATGCTGCTGTGGACAGCCTTGGGGTGCCTCCCCCGGGGCCCCCAGTGCCCATGACCCCCTTCACCAAGCAAGATTTCGAGTGGAGGAACACCAGAAGTGCAGCTCCCACTCCAGACACTGCTCATCCCAGCAGAATCTCGAGGTTCTGGCCCTTGAGGGGGGAAGAGGAAAATGTTCTAGATGATGTCCAGGAGGACGCGAGGGAAGAAGATGGCAATGATGAGGACACAGCTGGTCACCATAGTGGTGCTCCTGGGGATGGCGACGAAGCTGAGAAGGGAGCCACCAACCCCAACACAGATTTCCAGAAGTGGTTCTGGGAAAACCGCGGTGATCTCAACAGGTCATGGAAGAAGAGGAGAAAGCTAGCTGCCAAGGAAAAGAGATATCGAGACAACAAGGCCAGGGCAGACAGAGCCGTCTAATATGAACCAACGAGGTTTGGTTTTGTTTTAATGGCAAGGAGCCTGATCTTGCAATCTCCATTTCCGTTGTTCCTATGTTCAATAACTGTTCCTGTGTCTGATGGTTTCCTTTCAGTTTGTCGTCCATTATAATACAGGGAAAGTGCCATGGAAAAGTCCAAACCATGAGACCATCCATCACCCTGTCCTTTTATCCCCCAAGCTCGTCTCCTTCCATTCAAGTCCATTCAATGTTCCATTTTACCGAAGTCGCACCCATACTCCAAGAATGCGGCATATGAAGCCCCTGCCGGCATTATCTCCCCTTGCGATGCTCTCAAACTGTGTGTCTTTCTGATCAGCCTTCACCAGATCCTGTCCTGCCACCAGCAGAAGCTAGCTTATGGCAGCCGTCGTCAAGTCAGTAAAAGAGAGAAGAAGAAAAAAGAAAAAGAAAAAGAAAGGATTTGTGCAGACCAACAATTCTGTGGTGTCGACTGGGGCAAGAAGACCAGTGTTGCCCATTTCTCCAACAGTCAGTCTCCCTGAACAATGCATTCCCCCCCCCCCCCCCCAAAAAAAAATCAAGTCGAGCTGATCAAACCACTCATCAGCTCTAGCCTTGCATGTCCCGAGCACCAATTTTCATGATGAATCTCATCCAGCTGTTCCTTACTCAGCATCACGTCGTCAATGGATTTTGGGAGGAAAGAGCAGGGTTAATGTTGCTGTTAAGTTGTCCTTGCCTCTTGAGGACCGAAAAAGGCTGCTGTTCATGCTGGTGTCGCCCACCAGCTATGGCAGCCTTCTGTTGTACCTGATGGTTCAGTCTGCTCGGGCCTTTCCCTTACCACCCTCATTGTTGTTCTGAATACGGAGGAGGCTATCATGGGCAGCAGCTGAAGCCACACTCTTGTTGCTATTCTCCATCACAGGGTGGTTTCCCACTTGACGAACTGCATGCAGAGGACTGTACTTCATGGGCTCCACATGAGGCTCATTGTGACTGTTGGCGGTGGCGTCAGTCTGAGCCAGGGAGTAGCTTGACATGGCCTGGTGGAGCAAGTGCTCTGTGGAGGCCTCCCTACCTCGAGCCTGAGGGACTAGAAGTTCGTGTGTGGTTCCCTCGTGTCCGTGCTGGTTCAGACTGGGCATTCGAGACAGGACACCGCCATCAGAGCTGTCATGGTCAGGTGTCACGGGCAGAGGCTTGGTCTGGTTGAAACGGTTGGCGGAACCAAAACCTCCACGGTTGCTGGCTTGTACAGCTCCAGCATCGGGATGGGCGACGGCCGAGGGGGGCAGTGGGAAACGTCTCAGGAGGTCGGTTTGTCGGGGCAACGATGACGACGCCTCAACGGGGAAGCCAAGTCGTGCCTGTGGTGCGAACATTCTGTCGGAGACCAGGACTCTTCCTCCAACACCTTCACCACCAACTGCATTGTCGTCCCGATGGAAAGTCTCCAGCTCAAACTCCTTAGGTTGAGATGCATGCACAGATCGGGGCTGACGGCGGCCCGTGTAGTCAAACTTGAGGGCAAACGGGAGGCACTTGTCCCCTGAGCGGAGGATGCACATCAAGAAGCAAGCGCTGCAGAGCAGGAGGGCGACGCTCATGGTGCACCAGGCGATGTTGATTGGGGTGGGACCCATGCTGCCGTTGTTCTTTGCGACCATCAACGTGACGACGACGACCAGGGCGACCATGCTGAAGCCGAAGACGCAGAGCACGGTGAAGAAAATGGCGAGCATCGTTATGTTGGCCCACTCGAGGAGCCCAGGCTCGCGACGGACCTGCTGCTGTCGCTGCCGCTGTCCGTGCTGGTAGCGAGTGTTGCGCATGTAGCCTGGCCTATTGCGTGGGAGAATGTAAGGGGGGATTACACCAGCAGCATCATCTGGAGGTGCAGAAGATGGTCCAGCGCGGGGGCCAGCACGGTCTGACTGCTGATGCTCGAGAGACGGGAACGGGGTCAAAGGGCGCCGCGGGACATGAGGGCGCGGCGTAGTGTTGACAAACAGAGCCCATCTGAGGGCTCCGCGGCGCATCAGCTGGGGCGGCTCGGGTCCACATCCCATGATCTCAAAGGAGCTGGGTCGTCGTTCCATATGAGCAGCCTGAGGGCTGGTGACCTGATCGTCCGAGTCCTGAGTTTGGTCAGAGTCATCTTGGGAAGAGGGTGCAGACTGTGAGTTCTTTGGCTGGCGTTGTTGCAGACTGATGGCGTGCTCCTCAGGCTTAACAGGGCGGTTGGACTGCTGATCCTTCTGGTGCTGGCTCTCAGAGGAGGCAGATGCAGATGGTTTGTTGTTATTGTCAATGTCGTTGACAGTGACAGACATTGTGAAGAATGGACCAGGCTCCTCATGAAGAGAGAGCAACTCGGACAACATGACAGAGCCCAGACGACGATTGAGAGTAGGTTTCTGGTGGGCCTGAGTGTCGACAGATGGTTCTCCAGTAGAGGACATGTCGGAAATTGACATTCTATGACCCTCGTCATTGCCTGTGATGGATCCAGCTGGAGAATCCAAGGGCGACACATCCTGGGCTGTCTCTTTGGTCTGGACAGGCTGTTGAGCGCTTGGTGAAGACATTCTGAGCAGTACCTGTTCAGTCTGATAATCAGCAGGTGTTCGTCCCAAGACATCAACAGGCTCTAGACAGAGCTCAGGAGGATGGACAGAAGAAAAGGATAGAATCAAAGGACGAGGCTTACCTAGTTGGCTAGCCGGCTTGATGGTGACGACTGTGAATCCTGAAGGCAAGACAAGCCATGCGATGCAGCAGGGTAAATGCGGATCCAGCTCACCAGTTCCTCTATTCCAAGAGCAGCTGGCGATGGGATAATTCCTCAAGGAGGTGAGGCTGCTTGAGGAGAGAAGGTGCTGGTAGGAAGGTTGTGGGCTGTATCAGACGCGTTGGACGCGTCCACGCTTGTGAAAGCACTTGGGTGATGATGGTCGGAGAAAAGAGAAGAAAACAGAGACCCAGATGGTTCGAAAGTGGCTAATGAGGCAACAGGAGAATGTTTGAAAGAGTTGAGGGTCTCAGTACGGCCTGAATATCTGGTTGGAAATGGAGCAGGGAGACAGGTATGTGCGTGTGCGAGGGTGTTGGGTCGATGGCATGCCTTTGAGGTCAATATACTCACGCCCACTGAGGCGAGAAGATCTCTGCTGTCGGACCTGAATACCACTTGGGTCTTTGGAGGTTCGGAGCATGCAAGGTGGTGTTTTCAGAGGAGGTGGATCTGAAGGGAACAGAGAGGTCAGGAGGTCGGGCATGAGATGGAGATGGGAGCTAGCTCTAGAAGAGAATATGAGAAAGGGGACAGGACGTGTTCGAGGTGTGTAGAATCAAAAGCTGCTGACTTCAAATTGGGCAATCGAGGACTCTGGCAAATATCGAGATTCGTTCGTCTGAAGTATGGTGCGCTGGATTGAGTGACATATGCTCTGTGTGCTCAGCATGGCAGAACTGTATTTACATAATATTTACAGGCATAAAACATACCCCTTGATTTTTGTTCTATTCACAGCCAGCAGCTATCATGTTACTGAGCATGGACGCATGGCTCGAGGTAGTTCTGCAGCCCTATCAATGAGCCTATCCCCAGATTATATCCCACATCAGAGGCAAAGCCTGGCAAACATTGTAGTCCCTTATTGACATAATGGGTTGCAAATTCTTGTTAAACTCAAAGAAAGTCACCCTAATAGTTTCAGCTATTGTAACTTAGTTGTGTAGTCGAGAAACCTATCATGAACAACCTCGACGAACAACTTGATGTTTGATAGGACCACAGTGGTAAACCCTGCATCCTGGCATCGTGGCCACTTACACTAGGAGTACTTGCAGGGGAGGGGGGCTGGCAGGGATGCTGCGCGCTGCAGGTCCTGGGGCATTCACCTTCTGGCGGCCACTGCAGTCACTACGTCATTAGCGCTCGTCAGTGAGGCTATTGGTACCTTCCGCAGCTTGTTGTCGGAATGTAGCTGGCTCAACTACCTCAAACTCATTTCTTCCACCGACTGTCTCCCCAGGTTTTACACCCCACCCAAAGGCAACATCACCCAAAGGCAACATCTGGATTATGTCGCACCACATGATACAAACCAACTTTTTGATATGAGGCCCCCCCTCTCTCTTGTACGAGGGCAGCCCTCATGCCTCCGGATACGCCCGTCCAGCCTGACACTTCCGAGATGCTCTGGTCCGACTGCGCACCCGATCTTCCCGAAGAGATGGGCATCCGGGTTTTCCAATCGCCAGAGTTCATGGCAGTGGCAAGGCTCTCAACATCAGCAACAGCAAGAGCAACAACACCAAAAGCCATGTCAGTCGTGGAGGAGACAATCACGGTGGCATTGGCATGGGAGCGGTTCGCAACGTGGAGCCGGCCCTCGGCACATGCCACCACTCCTGGCTGCCTCGAGTGGCGCCGCCCTGGGTACAGCTGCCTTTGTCGAGATCTCCGAGGATACGGATACTAGGGATGGAGAGACGGGAGAGAAGCGCATGCTCGAGGTGTCCCGCGCAGAGATCTCTAAAGAGCTCGACCCTGACGACACGGGGCTCTCGCGCCTGCGCCATAAGATCGTTTTCCTTCTTGATGTTTATATTTGGGAGCCTCTCTGCACCGGAATTCGCTTCCTGCACCTCGCCGTTATCTTCGTGCCGGTCCTTCTCGCCGTTCCAGTGATGTGGCTTGGCAGGCGACAGAAGGACCGTGACAATGAGAGGACAGGCACGTTGTGGTGGTATAATTTCCTCGTCAAGAGCATGGAGTGGGCCGGCCCAGCTTTTATTAAGGTGCGTACAACGAGGCGAGGGGGTGTTTCTTTCCTATCTGTTTCCAATAGCAGCTCACAAGCCTGTCAAATAGTTGGGTCAATGGGCCGCCTCACGCTCTGATATCTTCCCAAACGAGATGTGCGACATCATGTCCAAGTTGCACTCCAACGCGCCTGCTCACTCGCTGCATGCCACCAGGCGCATTGTGCAGGCCGCATTTGGCGGGCGGGCCTTTGACGACATCTTTGACGAGTTCGAGGAGAAGCCTCTTGGCGTAGGAGCCATCGCCCAGGTGTACAAAGCCAAGCTGAAACCTGACCTGGCCGTGCCGGGAGATATTGACCTCCTCGATGATGGGTCACAGGGCATTCTGCGCCATAACATGACTAGGGTATCCAAGAATGTGGGCACAGTCCTGAAGAGCACGCCGAAACGGGTACCCTCCTCTTATGTCGCTGTGAAGGTCCTGCACCCCGGTGTCGAGCGCACCGTCCGCCGGGACTTGCGCATCATGGGCTTCTTTGCGTCCCTCCTGAATGCCATACCGACCATCGAGTGGCTCTCCCTTCCTGACGAGGTCACCCAGTTTGGCGAGATGATGAAGCTGCAGCTGGATATGCGTATTGAAGCAGCCAACCTGGCTATCTTCCGCAAGAACTTCAAAAATCGGCCGACGGCATGGTTCCCATTCCCCTATTCCGAATTCACCACACGAAACGTTCTGGTGGAGGAGTTCGCTCAGGGCATCCCCCTCGCTGATTTTATGGAGAATGGGGCTGGTTTGTTCCGGCAGGATCTTGCCTCTGGGGGTCTCGACGCCTTCCTTCGCATGCTGTTGCTGGACAATTTCGTCCATGCCGATCTGCACCCGGGAAATATCATGGTACGCTTCTACGAGGCCGCGAGACCTGATCTACCTATGTCATTACATCTTAGGCACCAGGACGACGAAGACCGTGCACACCCCCAGGGCCAGAACGATGTTACAGAGCAGGTCCTGGCGAGATTGCGGCCGTTCCGGCACGGAAAGGATCCTGAGGCGTGGAACAGGGAACTGGCCAGGCTCGACCGAGAGGGCTACCGACCACAGCTGATCTTCATCGACACGGGACTCGTCACGGAGCTCAATGAGACGAATCGTCGCAACTTTTTGGACCTTTTCCGTGCCGTTGCCGAGTTCGACGGCTACAAGGCCGGGCACCTAATGTGTGAGCGCTGCCGTCAGCCTGAGGCCGTCATCGACAAGGAAATATTCGCTCTAAAAATGCAGCACCTGGTGCTCAGCGTCAAGAGCCGTACTCTAGCCCTGGGTAATGTCAAGATCGGTGATATCCTGCAGGAAGTCCTTGGCATGGTACGCGGCCATCACGTCCGGCTTGAGGGTGACTTTGTCAATGTCGTCATCAGCATCCTACTCCTTGAGGGCATCGGGCGCAACCTAGACCCCGAGATGGACCTTCTCAGCAGCAGCTTGCCGATCCTGCGGCAGCTGAGTGCTCAGCAGGGCAAAGGTATGGCCCAGCAGGGCGACTTCAGCATGCTCATGGTATGGCTGGGTCTAGAGACGAGGAGATTCCTCCAGATAAGCTTTGAAGATGTGAGTCTGTTTTTTTATCCATACCTACATATATCATGTTTTGAAGCAACTGAAAGCTAACCTTTGTCTACTAATCAGGTGGAGAGATGTGTGAAGTACGATCTCCTCTCACCCAATGTTTGAGCTCGCAATAGGCTCATGGTTAGCATCTCGTGAACACACGATGTTTCATTAAACAAATGTATAAAAGACAGGCTGGTATGAGTGGCGCATGGTGTTTCTCCAAGGGATATATTTGGGGGGGGGGGGTTGCATAGATGGATAAACACAGCAGAGGCAGCACACATCTAGAGGTTCCTTTTTGACAGCTGAAATCATAATGACCCTAACGAGAACCATGATGGTCATGTGTCTGAGTCTGAAGCGCTGTGATCAATCAAATGCCAGGCATATTAGCAGTAATCAGATGCTGTGAAGCCGAGTACATTTCTAGCAACGCGCACAGTCCTTCTTATGGTCAACTTTCAACGGTATTCTAGGTCCATATGAGATCTAAGAAACAGTGACAGAGAACCTACTAGAACATTGTAATATGGACTTGGGTTAATTAGCATGACAGACAGCCACAGCTCTATTCTTCCGTCAGGTAGATCATCTTCTCTCTAAAGCTTCTCCTAATAGGGGAGTTGAGCCTCCAAGCCAGGGTTCAGAAGAACCTGAACTTCCAGATCTAAGGTTTGCATGTTTGAATCATGTATATAATTCTGCCTCGTCGAGCTTCGTGATCCACGTATATTCAAGGGAAAATAAGTCAAAGCGGCCCCTTGTTGGCAGCCCCCCCTTATTAGCACCCCTGAACAAGCCATATCACCCACTTATATATATATTGTTTTATATACATTTCACTTCCTATTCACCTACCACGATGCAGTCCTCCTCATCAGTAGGTAATTCGATATCGCTCTCTTCATCCTGACTATCAACATTCCTATTGACTGCATTTTGAGCCCTCTGTATATCTTCAATATCCGCAAACCTCGAATTTGGGCTTGTATCTATCTTCCTTCTTTTAGTTAGCCTTGTAGCCTCAGCCTGCCTTTCCAGTACCTCGTTCTTCTCCAGAGCTCTTGCCAGTTCGAAGTCCCTCTCGTTGAATGCTTTTTGTATCTTCCTAAACAGTACTCGTTGCATTGGGGCTGATGAAAGTTGCTGCTGATTCTTCTGTAGCTGGTGGTATAGGTCTTTAGCCTTGCAAGGAGTTGAAAAGATGACTAGTAGGCTTGAGGAAGCTTTCTGGATAAGCTGAGATGCTGTTGATGTTTTTGAACTTGAATTCACTCTAGCCTGAGTGTGCTGAGAAGTGCTAGCAAGGAGAAGAGGGCTCAAGAGTAGCTTGAAGGGTCTTACAGGCTATAAACCAGAAGCTTTCCATCCTGATCTGATATTCTGACTAGAAAGACCTTCCAAACGAGCCTCATGATAGTTCTCGAGGAATAAACACTTTCCTAGCACTGTTGACTCGTTAGTTGTATGGCTGCTGTAGCTATCCAGGATTAATAGTCTAGCCTCTGAGGGGTTTGCTAGCTTGCTGCCAGAGATAAAGATCTTTTCCAGCCATTCAAGTGCTATAGCATTGTCAGTCCAGCCGTTTCTCGTAGATGTAAACTGCCAGCCCTTGAAGAAGTCCAAGAGGAGAGGAAACCACTGTTGTTGAACCGTTTTCCCTTTGAATATCACCAGAGGAAGAAGATAGGCGCCTGTAGCAGAGATACACTCGAGGAAAGAAGTCCAGGACCTCAACCCAGGCTCTTTTCGATGAATTGAACGTAAAGAAGAGCCACCGAGAACTAATCCATTCTCTCCTTGGCCCTCAACTATCCCAGCCTCATTCATATTCCATCGATTAGCTGGCTTGATGGCTTGAACTTGAGAAAGATCAAAAAGACGGAACCAAGGCTGTATTACCTCTGTTGTAGCTCCATTGATCTGTTCAGAGGCAATCCGTCGATTCTTTCGAACGTATATCTCTGGATTTCTCTTCAAAAAGCCCTCAGTCCACCTCTATCCTAGCTCTTGAGGGTCTTTTTGGACCTCGAGGATCCTCTGAGCAAAATGCTTAAGTTCGGAGTAGCTAGGTGGGAGCCCTAGGCTTTCCTGAACGAGGATCCATTCAGCTAACTGCTTTTTCTGAGTAAAAGAGAGCCTTTGCTGGTATTGATGGGCTGTTTAATGCGATTCTGTGCGAGGGCCAGTGAGTCACTGGCCCTAGGCCGTGCACGGCCCAGCCAGCCAGCCAACAGCCAGACCTGTTGATAGCCTCAGTTAGTTGCCCTCGTGGTTTTTCTCTTCTTTTCTCTTCTCTTTAGCGCACTGCAATACAAGCTTTTTTGCCCTTGCATAGATTCTCTTCCTGCTAGACGTTGTTGAAGAGTAGACCTTGATATGCCGTACTCGCGTGAGGCCTGTTTCTGTGACAAGCCCTTTCCGATAGCCTCGATGGCCTGGGCAAGCTCAAATTCGGTATACAGCTTCTTTTTAGGCATATCGAGGTTCTGTGAAGAGATGAAGTCATTTGAATAAGAATTGGTTGAGGAAACTTTGTAAAAGTAAAGGTGGTGGAAATGGTGGTGTGGCTGTTCAGGGGTGCCAACGAGGGGGGGTGCCAACGAGGGGGGGTGCCAACGAGGGGGGGTGCCAACAAGGGGGTGCTTTGACTTAGTGTGTGCAAAAGGTAAATTAAAGCTGAACATGCAAGCAAAGAAGCAACCCTGTTCTATATACGATGAGCCAATTTCCAAGGATCTTGACAGGTGCTTCTTGGGGGAGGGGGGGGGGGGGGCAAAGAGCCTAAGCAAGCAGACTCACCAACTGGTCTCTATTCTGACTCCAGTAGCAGGAACAAAGTAAGTGACTGCTTCTCCTTGTACACAACTGCTGAACGCCTCTCGCGTTTGCATAACAAACAGCTGCGTCTTTCTTCACTCAGGTATCATACTGAGGTCAGCTTTTATCTCCTGCAACTTGCTCATACCAAAGAGCATCATCACTTTTTCAGACGACAACTCGCACTAGTCCAAGTGTTTTTATTGGCTTCAATATTTTCTCTTAATTGACATGACGGCGCCAACCAACATCTCCTCTAACCCCGTAACCCTTGATGTGCCTTTTGTTTGTTTGGTATCCATACGAACCTCTTCCAAGACGCGTATCAGCAACAGCAGAAACATCACCAATTTCGTCCTCCAACCCAGCTTCAGTCACAACGCAGGATTTCCTTGACTGCAGTGTCGCCATCACAGACTTCAAACTGATTCTCTCCCCTGCCACTCTTTCAATTGCCAGCAAACATGTCCAGCCCCTCTTCAACTAACTGGGCAGCCAAGGCTGCAAAACTCAAACAGGAGCTGTTGTCTCGACAGAAGGGACCACTTGCTGCTTCTGCTGCTGCTTCTGCCTCCCCACACAGCAACAACCACATGCAGCCAGCGCCCAGTACCAGTATTCCACCCAAAAACTCTCAAACTGGAACAGCAGAGTCATCTCGTGGACTGCAGACTGCAGCAGCTGCAGCTGCTATCACCACCAAAGAGCAGGGATACGACCAGAACACCAAGAAGGTCACGTCTAACAAGCACCTGAAAGCGTCTGCAGACCCAGGTGCACCCAAAGATCTGGCCCCAAAGCCAGTCAAGTCATCTGTCAGCGACAACGCCTCATCAAAGAGCAGGGCCCAGAAAAGCCTCTCCCAGACCGACTCGGTCGTGATCCCAGTCACAGCCAGTGATTTGACAACTGCTACTTCTTCGACCAGCAAGACCAGCAAGACCAGCACGACGGCCACAGCCCCAACTAAACCCAAGTCCATTTGTAACAAACCCAAGAATCCAGAGACGCGTGCTGAGACTGTCACAGGCACCGCTCGTCCCAGCACCAGCAGTGGCACATCAGAGGCGTCCCACATGCAGGCAAAGTCCACCATCACCACCAAGTCTGCGCAGAAGCAATCTTCTCCTCCCACCCCACAGGCCCCTTCCGCTATGCGCGAGGGGTCAACATCGTCCCGAATACGAAATTCTTCTTCGGGCTTCATGCCCATGGTGCCTCCTCCTCCTCCTCCTCCTCCTCCTCCTTCAGCCTTGAAGCAGGAAGAAGGCAAGCTCAGCCGTACATCCCACCCGACCTCTCAAAAACCCCAACACAATCCTGCTCAACTCGTTGACAAAAATCGCGGAGAACACCCCAATCCGCGGCCCGAGTCTCATGCCGTGGATAAAGTGACCACACACGTGAGAAACGTAGCTCCACCGCAAGCTGCTACGAAGCACGTGTCGTGGGCTTCTTCTTCTTGGCCCTCACGGGCGCCCAGCCCCTTGCGCTTTTCACCGTCTGGTCTCAACACTAGCCGTCACAACACACGCTCTCAACTCAGCCAAATTGTCGCTAATGATCGTGACTTGAGAGACTGGCTTGAATTTACAGGGTTCGTCTGTAGTCCTCCATGAAAAACCTGATCTCGATTACTTCCTTTTTGCCACTCTTCTCCCCCCCGCGGCACCCCTTCTTCCCCCGTCCCTTCTATGATCCTTCAGCGAAAGGACCCAAGTAGCTGCACTGCTCTTCACGCCAATGTTGGCATAAAGTTTATTGACCTTGACCATGTCCGCCAGGTGGAACGACCCCGACTTCCGATCCCACGAACTGCGACGCCAACGCCGTCTGGCCGAGATCGACAGGGAGAGAGCTGAGCTCGAGGACGAAGGACGCCGTGACAACAGAACCCGGTGTGACCGTGCCGCGCCTGCGTACACACAGCATCCCACCTGGCAGTTGCCGCTCTCGCCCCGCCCGCTCCGATCCGACTTTAGCGAGCGCAATGCCGGCCGAGAGCTCTTTAGCCCCAGCCCCGAGAGGCGCAGGTTCCACCCGTCCGACCAGGTCTCTGGTTTCAAGCGGGGCCATGACGACGAGGAGCTCTGGGACAGACCCCCTCGCAAGATGTTTCGAGCCGACAGCACCACCAGAGGCTATGCAGGTAGTCATCGCCGTGGATCTTCGGCCTTGAACCAACGTGGACGTGGTGGACATCGTTCTTACAAATCTGGTAAGCATGACCAAAACCTAGTCCTGGGTCGGGAAACGCCTTGTTGGGGTTTTCAGAAGGAGCTGACTGACTGCTTTTGCCCCTAGGTTGGGACTCGTACACCCTCCCAGCGTCACCCACACGACCTGAGAGCCCTCGACCCGGTGTGCGTGACTCTGATCCTGCCAAACGCGGCATGAAGGAGGCTGGGAGCTCCAGGCACCGGTACTGAGAAGGTTACACCAGCGCTGAGTAACCCCGGTTGGTCGTGCGGGCGTCCCATTGCGAGAAGACTACGGATCTCTCGGTCCTCTCTTGGCCTGCCTGCGAGGCAAGAAAAGTTTCCTGTGGCGGCTAGGATAAACCACACATGGCGGCATTCTTGAGGAGTAGAGATAGAAAGAAGGAAAGAGATGAAAAGAAGAGAGAAAAGAGAGAGAGGCAAAAAGCGCAAAGATCACACTATGATCATGCGTGTACTTTTGCTGCCACAGCGGGTCGTTGCGGAGGTGTCTCATCATGGTCACAGGCTTTCTTTTGAGAGTGATGGGACATCTAGTCCACAGAAAGTATGCTGAGAGCAGTATATTTGGGAGGTGAGTGTGGAGGCATCCGCGTCGTGACTCTCTTGGGCTCGTATGACGAGCCAGTCAGTCTCCTGCCCTCATAAAAGCAGATGCGTTTTGACACCCTACACTGCAGCCACACGACTTACTCAGGCAGGTGGAAGAAAAGAGGCGAATAGAACGCCTTGTACACAAGAATACATGACCATAAATACCACAATCCCAATGCCAAGCTGCCTCGTCTTGGGTGCCCTCAGGCAAGCAGCCACCCACCAGTACCATGCTGGGTATCCGGACGAGATTCGAGTGATGATCTGGACATGGGAGGACGTGAAGACCATAATGACGAGCAGAACCTGCGCGGCGGCCATGGACCTCACGACGAGCTCCAATCGGGCGGTATCAACGCTCGGCCCGCCTGTCTGTTTCTTCTGGTAGTGGTGAGAGGAGGCCAGCCTTGACGCCTGGAAGAAGATGTCCTTGCCGCTCTTGCCCATGACGAATAGCATAGGTGCCGCAAGCGCGAACAGAGGGGCGTTGGACACGGTCCAGTACCGGAAGAGTCCATTGTTCCTGTTTAATAGAATACGATGAGCTTCGCCGATAATCTCGTGACGAACGATGTTACGACACAGCATGAGTGGAGAAGAAGAAAAAAATATACAGAATGGCAGTCAACGTACCAGTAGTGGCGCTGGACAAAGTTGTAGATGCTGGGCACGAGGCTGAGACACCAAGGCCGTGCTTCGGCTCCCGCTCCAGCCCCAGCCGACCCAGTGCAATATATCCTGTAAGCTACAAACTGGGGCATGACAGAGCCAGCAGCGACAAGCACGCCGGAGAGGCCGAGTACGGCCAGTTTCCTGATGTGGCGGGGGGTGGTTCCGGGGCTGAGGTCCTCAACGAGATCGTATAGGGTGCGGAGGAACTCAACAGCGAACGGGGCGCCGTTGAGCAGGCCGTTTGTGCGAAACACCGTGGCCAGGCCAAAGCTGACGGCGGCAAGCAGGGTCAGGACATCACCTGCGAGGGAGGAGGAGGACGAGGAGGGGAAAGCTTTCGATCCTGCTCCAGCCTCCGGGGCCGATACGGTGCAGCTCCGGACCAGAAGGAACCAGCCAACAAAGGACAAGAGGGCGAAGGGACTCTCGTTATAGGGAGCAAGCAGGAAGAGCCCAGCAGGAGACAGCACGTGGAGCAGAGCTGCCACAAGAGCCCAGGCGGAGTCGGCCCAAACCAGCAGGCCGAGGTGATAGAGGACCAGGACGGACAGGAGGTGACAAGTGTTTGTGAATACGACGCCGATCAGGGGCAGCAGATGAGCAGTGCCCGTGAGCGGGGAGGAACCGAGGAGGCCAAGCGAGGTCAAGGCTGGGGAGGCGTGTGTTAGCGAACGTTGGTGTGTGATCATCCGTAGGAGGGAGGAAACGAGCAGCAGTAGGAGGTGATGGTGATGACGATGATGGTGATGATGCACTCATTCACTCATTCACTCACTCACCTTGGTTGAGAAGGGAGATGCAGGTGGGGAGGGCGGGGCCGAAAGCCCACTCCTGCTCAAACAAGTAGCCCCTCTCGGCAGCCTTGATGAAATAGATGGCATCCCAAGAGGTCAATCTGAAAGCCAGAGGAGGAAAGGACCCGCTGTTGTTGGTGCTGGTGTGGCTACTGGCTGTGTTGAGGTCCGAGCCAAGGCTGAGGAGGCTCGCGGATGAGTCGTATGTCGGACCGACCTGGCTGCCCGCAGCTATGGCCAGGAGGACAGCCTTCCATGCCACGAATGCTGAGACTAGGATCAATGTGCTCCTGTGGTGGCCGCTGTCCTGCAGCAGGGCAGACCTAGAGGAAGAGGAGGTGATGGAGGATGCCATGCCAGGCAGGGCGGTCGTTGTCGGTGATGGTGGGGGGTGTGGTTGATGTACTGCTATGGTGTAATATGACGATACACAGTCCAGTGGTAGCTATAGCTGCTAAGCCCACCAAAGCTACTGCCCGCAAGTACGTGTTTAGCCTGCCAAGACATATCAACACTGCTGCTGTCAGGCTATTTACAGGGGCTCGTCAGGGCTTGCCAACCGAGCGGGTCCTTTGGCCCACAAGAGTCCGGCTTGTTCCGACAGGGCAGAAGAAACAGTGTTGTAGGTCCCTGTTCCTTGTTTATTTTCCCTTGTATTTCATCGTGAGAACCCATCCCAGGCGCCCACTCCACGCTATTTGACCTGCTGTACCATAGTACTGTACTGTAGCCCACAGGACCATGAGAGAGGACGTAAACCAGCCCATCATTCCTTTCCACGTGCCTTCTCCAGTCACTTTCTCACCACGAATAGTCCATGGTATCAGTTCATGGCTCCACCGACGAGAATAAATTTTATGGTTCATCACAATCATACTTTAGACTAGGATATTTAACACTGCCAACACTAATAAGGTCATTCATTACAGTCATGAACTCGTCGGCTCATCGGCTTGAGCGGCGGTCTGTTTGTGTTGGGCTATTCATTCATCCGTTCATTTTGTATTGTATTTTAGGGAATTGTTTCATACATGTGTGTGTTGGGCCCGGCCTGCATCTCTACCGTAGGATCCTAAGCTAGGGTAGAGCTGCAAAACCAACAGCCTTGGGCGTTGTTCCTTTTTATTTTTCTGTTTTTGGGATGTCGATAAGGAAATGAGGAGGGGTTTGTATTTTATTTTTGGATGCTGACAAGCTCGATTCATTTGATCAGGGTGTGGCGCGGTCCCTCGCGAGGGTCACACAAAGGGGGCATGAGGAAGATGACAAGTTGTTTGCGTGGGGCCTTGAAACGTGGTCCAAGGTTGTGGTGGAGTCTCTCTTGAAATCTCGAAATCTCCATTTTTAAAAGAAAGAAAAAGAAGAAAAGAAGAAGAAAGAAAAAATCGAAACATGGCAAAGCGCAGGCCAACCAAAGACCAACCCGCTCGCACACCCCACAGCCATGCAGATGCAGATGCGGATGCGGATGCGGGATGCAGGCCTCGTCCGAGATCCCACCTCATCTGGCCTCGCCTGGCCTTACATCTCACCTCATACACACCCTCTCTCCCACCTCACCGCATCATCCTCTTTGTTTCCTCTTCTTGCTCTTCCTGTAGGCTTGCTTGGCCTGACACTACTACCCACTCATTCCCTTCCCCTGTACGTGTACATGTACGACCAGCACGGCACTGCACTGCATTTGCATTGCATAATGCTGCGTGCGCTGGACGCATCCGGGCCCAGCTGAACTAGTCAAGTTACTTAGCTAGTCAGTAAACTTAGTCCGTCCCACCAAGCTGAAGCTTTGCCGTCTTCAGTGCAGCCCCCCCCCTCCTTCCCTCTGATTTTCCACGATAATTTCACTACCGACAGCCCCCCGTCCTCAAACCAGAACAATTGAATAACAATAAAATAAACAAATACAGTACAGCAGCAACCATCCATCTCAACATTAGAGTAGAACGTCCCTAGTTATATGCCGTCTATTATGTAGTCCAGCACGTCCAGTAAAACTTGGTGAGGTTACCCTACCGAGTGATCCGAACAGAGCCGACGCGTGTGCTTTTGGGGTCATCCCCGCTGTGCCTTCTCTTTGCGGGTAACTCTCGTTACTCTTAGGCTGCCATTCGTTAATCCTGACCCCCCTCCTCCCTTGCTCCTTCTCTTTCATTTCCAACCCCCCCCCCCGGAGCCTTCCTCTCCTCCTTCCCTCTCTTACTCTTTGACCCAGAGAATTCAAAAATATTAACATAGGCAACTCCGCATGCACACCTTGAACTATTAACATGGTAATTTCCTAAGCCACACCCGAACGCCTTCCTTCCCTTCCCCCTGCTCTCCCTAAGTACTTGCCGAAACAGGGCAACCTTTTATATTGGTTCCGCCCCCGCCTTCGCTCGTCGTCGTCCTCCTCCAACATCTCCTCCACCCTCCATACCAGTCCTTTCATTCCAGTTTGGCCTTGTTTAGAGACGAAAACTCAGGGACACGACCAAAATCATCATCTCTCGCTCTATGGCTCTTGCTGGGTCGTTCCCGACTGCGACTTACACGTGCTCTCTTCACCTCAATCGATCAAAAGAGAAAGAGACGACTGCGGAGCTTGTCTAGGCCTAGACTTATAAGTCAGTCAACCTAGACCAACAAGCTTCTTAGAAACCAAGACGCCAACGGGTGGGGAGTGGAAAGTCGGGCTCGCGACAAACTGCCGACGCCGATGCTCCGCCTGTCCTGTCAATTTTTTCTCTGAGAGAAGACGAGAGAAACGTGTGTCGCGAAGAAACGACAGGGGAGAAAGAAAAGAGAGAATAAAAGAAGGACAAGAGGGTCGCGAACCTCGTGGCTGGGCGGGAAAGCAAAGAGAGAGTGAGAGAAAGTGAGAGAGACTGGACAACAGCCTCGGCGCCGTCTTTTAGATTCGGAACCTCCGGACAGCATAGGTCACGCCTACCTCAGCCTGAACTTTGTTGTCTTCCTCAACTGTTCACCACAGCGACGGGTCGCCCATGCTACCCGTGCTGCCTTCTTCTTTCCTCGTGCTCCCCGTTCTCGACAGGAACTGATGCTAGGCTGAGGAGCTCGACCACCTCCTGCTCCTCGTCCTCTGTCCGTCAACATGTTTTTGCATTCGGGAGCGTCCCTTCACGGGCATGAATACACCAACCCCCAGAGCCCTTACTCACAGCAACGCAAGAAGCCATTTCTACGATCAGCCCTTCCTGCACCCATATTACGGTCCAGCACGTCTGCCTCCCTCACGGACAGACCCTTCTCGCCCTCTTCAGCGCCCAAGAGGCCTGCCGTGAGGAGGAGGCCCGTCTCTGACGTCTATGTGCGTCCCATCTCGAACCTGCTCGCGGACGACCCGTCACGGACCTCTGCTCCCACGAGCCCCGTCGTTCGCTTCAAGGAACCGGATGTAGTGGACACCCCGTCATCTTCGTCCTCCTCCTACTTGTCTCCCATGGCCGACGACGAGGACCCTTCCCTGTACGAGTCAGACGATACTTCACAGGCTACTTGCTCTACCCCCCGGCGCAGGCGTCGGAGGGCCACGCCCAGGAGCAGCACCACGTACCTGCTGGCCCACCCGGCGCCCCGGCCTCTGTCCAAGAAGAAGCTGTTCAAGACCATCCGCCCCAGGCTGCTCCTCCAGCTCCAGGAGCTCGCCCCTAACCAGCGGCCCAGACCCACTATCGACGTCTTCCCGGCCGCTCTTCTTGCTGGACCGCTCGTCGCCGCCCGTTATATCCACCGGTGTCCGCGCCTGTTTGGTGTTCACGGCGAGCTAGGCCCCCGCGATTTGGTCCTGTTCCGGTCCGAGGACTACACTGCCAGCGACGACGACGGCGACGAGCAAGACGGCGACGCCAGCCGCCAGCAGCCTGTGGCCGTACTGAGCCCAGGCCGCGGTCCGGGTGACAACGGAGCGGTCGTGTTGGAGGATGGCACCGTGTGGACCTGGTCGAGCCTGAAGGGCTACTACGAGTTCGTGCATGTCGACAAGCACGGCATCACCGTCACTGTCAGATGGGTCAAGAGGAGTAGTGTCTCGTCTTCCTCCTCCAACAAGAGGCTCTCGAGCGGTACGGCCCCGTGGCCTGGCAGCCCATCATGTGCCTTACCTGGCTCGCCACCAGCACCGCCCGGCGATTCTACCGACCCGGATTATCGATACACATTCAGCATCATCAACCCCCTCGCCAGGCGGCATCCCATCCTGGCCACACTCACCCCACACTCTCTAGAGGTCTACAACGACTACACAACACCTTCGTCATCCTCGGGACGATATCCTCCCACCCGCCCCGTCAGCGGTGCGTGCGAACATGCCAAGGATCCGCCGTCCTCTCCGCTCTCCTTCGAAGAACCTCCTTCCCGCCGCGAGACCCACCCCGTTGATGAGGAGATCAAGAACCTCATCAGGGTGACGGGCCTGTGGCTGGCCATGCGCCTCGGCCCAGCCGTCGACGTCCTCAACCCCGAAGCCTCCCCCGAAACCCCTCTCCCGCCGCCGCCGCCGCCGCCGCCGCAGCAGCAGCAGCAGCAGCAACAGCAAGACCCAGCGCTGGCAAGTGCACCGACCCCTAGCCTTCGCTCATCCACCACTCTGCCGCGGAGACAAACGACCACAGCCATCGGCAGCACCTCGCCGTCCATGCACTCGAGAGGAAGTCTGAGGAGGGCCATGAGCACGGGCGCAGCCTTCATGATGCAGAGGAAGAGGCGGCAGGAACATGCGCCCAGCGCGCCCAGCAGCGATACCGCACTGGTGGCGGGCAAAATCACGGCCATGGAGACCCCGAGGGAGGACGATGAAGGGATAGTGGATCCTTCTACTCCTCCTCCCGCCGGCGCTGCAGCGGTTTCTGCGGGCGGTACTGCAGCGAAACAGGCCCGGAGGGTGAGCTGGTTCAAGAGGTTGACGCATTAGATGTGCTTGTGCTGTTGAATGCGACCTTTAATAAGGACCACCGCTCCAATGAAAGAAATCAATCAAGAAATTGTAACATCATCTCAAAGCTCAAGAACCTTTGCTCGAGTGTCCTTGCCAGACTGTGATTTGATGGTAGAAGGCGAAAACAGAGATCAAAAATCATGCTGTCTCATCATCCCAACTCAATGTGTGTGTATTCCCTTGACCACCACAGATGCTATTAGAATTAAGAACACGCTACGCTACACGCTCATATGCAGAACCTTTGCTTAGGCATGTGCAGCATTGCCAGCCCCGTCCAGCTTCTTCTTCATTCCCCGTAAGAGCCATCTTCTTGTTATCCTGCCCCATCAACCCATCCATGCTCAAACAAAGGGGAAAACTTCTTCATATCATTCAACTTTAGATGTCAGGGTTTGGTGAACCCCTTGTGCCTCTTAGGCAGAAGTGAAAGAAAAGAAATGAAAGGGGGGAAAAAATAATCAAGCCATCAAAAAGTGACGGTGGCTATCTCGTCTTGAGACCGTACGTGCCCGCTCCCCCAATATTTCCCCATCTTCACGTAGAACATACTCGAGCTTATGCGTGAGAGGCCATTCCTTCTTCAGAGCCAATCTATCTGCTGACTCACGAAGTGAAAGCTCCGAAGCATGGAAGGCTTGGGGGGAAGGTGGGGTTGGGGAGCTGCGGCGCGCTTCTCCATCTATCTATAACCGTAACTCCTTCAAGATCTGGTCCGCCATGTTCTTGAACTGCCACGTGTTCCCAGCCATGCGTTTGAACTGGATCCCATGCAGGCTAATGACCGGCACCTTGACAATAAAGATTTCAAACTCCAGCACCATGTTGCCCCCAAGGTCGCTCTGCACCTGCGTGCTCGTGTCGCCCACAGGCCGCCGGGAGGAGTGCCCATGATCTCGGGACATGTCGATCTCGGACAGGTCTGAATTGCTGTTGCTGCGGTCTTCGCGGGTTCGGCCCGGCGTCCGTGGTGTTCTAGGCTGAGGCGGCGGCGCGTCCAGGTCCCGTAGCTCATCTGTTCGCTCGCCTCTGAGACCAAAACTGAAGCGTCTCTTGTGGCCAGGCAGCGTAGGGCTGTTGGGCGGATCGGTCACCTTGTTGAGGTCGATACTCGGGCTGTGGACGCAGCGGAAACCGCCCCGAATCTCGCTGTAGTCCACGCCAAGCTGCTTCAGCACGCGCTTGACCTCAGCCCTGATCTCTGACACCGGCCTCGTCGATGTCGTGCTGACGCTGAAGAGCCCCTTGAGAAACACGGGCTTTGCGAGGTCCGGGTCGTCTAGCCTCTCGTTGGAGAGGCCGCTCTGGTCAGCCACCTCTTGGTCTGTCTCTTCAGGAACGTTGGCCTCCCGCTGCTCCTCGCGCCTCGCACGCCGCGCCTGGATGCTCTCACGCCTGGCATGGCCCAGCGACTTGGCCCGCATGGAGACGGATCGCGAGGCCGAGGCCGTCTTGTTCTCAGCCTGCACTCTAGGCCGCTCCGTGGACTGGTCTGACCCGCTCGTCGGCGGCGGCTCCTTCACCTCGGTTCCTGAGCCCATCGTCCTCTTTCTGCGGAACTCTGCCGAGTTGACACTGGTAGATCGCCCAAGGCCTTTTTTCTGGCCTTGTGTGCTGCCGCCGGCCGAGAGGGGCGGGCTGAGCAGTTCGCTGTGGTGTGGCTGGCTACTTCCTGAGCGGAGACGTGGGTTGGAGCCATCGTCTCTGTCGCGCCTCGAGCGCCTGATGCTGAAAGATTTCCGAGGTGGTATGCCTGGTACAGGCGGCTGTTCTGATGGAGAGTGGACATGGACTTGAGGCGGATATGATCGGTCCTTCTCCAAGCGCTCCGGCTCCTTGCGGCGTCTTGTAGAGAACCTACGCAGGATTCCTGCCGCGGCGCTCTCCTTCTTGTCGGGCTTCTCTGTGGATGGTTCGGGGGCCATAGCGGCCTTGGGCGACAAGAGTGTCTTGTCAGGGACATCATCCTCTCCATGGGTCCGCGCTCTTGGCCTCGTCCTGCCGCCAGTCGCCTTTTCACCTGGCATCTCGTACGCGGAAGAGTTGGTGTGAGCTTCGGCAGGGGGGGCAATCTCGGGGAGCGGGTCTTTCTCCTTCTGGGCAGGCGGCTGTGTCGTTGAAGACAGGGTGGGAACGATATCCACGCGCTCCCTGTCCTGCTTCTCCCTGACCAGGTAGTAGATTGACAGGAGCGGGCTGAAGGCGTTCAGCGGATCGTTGCCCACCTGCAGAGCTTCGCTGCTGGGTGCAGTCAGCGTGTCCCTGCTGCTAATCGAATTGCGCCTCTTGTAGAAATCAAAAACCCCTCTCTTCTTATCCGCATCCCGCGCTGGCTGGGGCGTATCCTTCTCCAGCAAATAAGCGCGGACACCACGCTGATACTCTTCTGTCTCGATCAGCCGCGTCAACTGCGCCTTGATGACCTCTGGTGACCCAAAGTTGAAGCCAGTCATGGCGTTGATCACCTCCTGGTCCAGTGGGAGAGTGATGGGTTCCCGACGGGGTAGGTAGTTATCGGGAGGGCTGTTATAGCCTTTGTTCATCCAAGGATGGGACATGACCTCGGCCATGGTGGCGCGCTGCTTGGGGTCGGTGACGAGCATGCGGGACAGGAGGTTCTTACACTCTGTATGTGTGTGCATGGACAAACATTAGCTGGCGTTCTATGGTATATATATATATATGAACAAACAATAGACTCGTTGTGGGATAGATAGTCTTACCGCTGGACAGCCAGTTTGGATAATCCACCAAACCCTTCTTGATCTTTGCGTGCAGCGCAGGCATGCTCTGGTCATCAAATGGCACCTTTCCACAGACGAGGACGTAGAGGACAATGCCAAAGCTCCACACGTCGACCTCGGGGCCGGTATATGCCCGGGCCTGGAGCAGCTCGGGAGCAGCAAAGTAGAGGCTTCCGCAGAAGGTCTTGAGGTGATTGCGCGGGGAAAAGAGATTGCTCAGGCCAAAGTCAATAATCTTGATGTCGCCGGTCTTGCTGATGAGAATGTTCTCGATCTTGAGATCACGGTGGACGATGCTATTCCTGTGGCAGTAATCGAGAGCACTGGCAATCTGACGGCTGAACTTCCTGGCCTGCTTCTCCTTGAGCTTTCCGTGGGAGATAATGTAGTCGAGCATCTGGCCGCCGTTGACGTATTCGAACAGCATGTACCAATGATAGTTTGTCCTCACCACGTCGCGCAGCCCACATATGTACGGGTGATTGAGCAGCGTGACGATGGCAGCCTCCCTGGCGGTCCTAATCTCCTTGGAATGATCGTTTCGTTCCTTGTCCGCACGGCCGTGGTGGGCATCGTCGGCAGAGCTTCTCGGGATGATCTTGCATGCAACCTGTGACACGAGAGAGAAGGCGGTGGATTGTTAGTTCGTCTTTCGCGCCAGACACACGCATACAGACATGCATACGGACATGCATGCATGTGGCATGCACGGCATGCAGGACGGGTGTTTTTTGGAGAACTTGCCTGTTCGCTGCTATCCTCCTTCTTGGCCAGCTTGACCTTGCCCATGCTGCCAGCGCCAATGGTCTTGCCTAGGATCCATTTCCCAGATTGTGTAGGTATAGTAGTGCGTGATCTGGCCTTGGTTGCGGACCCAGAAGCTCGAGGATCAGCAACCGCTGGGGGTTGGACGGGAGCAGGCCCGGCATTTTGAGCAACAGCGCTGGCCATTTCTGCTGATGTGGAAAGTGATGTTGTCGAGAGGTGGTGGGCTGTAATGTCGATGAGGTCAAGAGAAGATGACGAGTCCCTCTCGGGGGAGAGAGTGGGAGGGGGGTCGGGATCTCGATGCCTTGTCTCGGCTGGTGCTTCGTCGTCGGCAGCACTGAGGATGGGTTATGCTTGTGCGCTCATGCTCGTACTATGGACTGAGTAAGGCCTGTTGCTGATGTTGTGAAGGTGCTCGCAGCAGGGGAAGAAAGAAAAAGAAAAAGGAGGATAGGAGGTCTGAGGCAGGTTCGGTTGGGCTGGATCAGGCGCAGACGTGACTGGTATTGGGCAAGTAGACAGAATGGCACAGCGTCGTGTTCTCAGCAAAGAAGCGGTGGTATGTTCAGAGCCAACAGGAACTCAAGCTGGGGGAGCAGGACTTGTTTCAAGACGTGACAGAGATGAATGAGGTTTGTCTGCCGAGGTTGCAGGTCCTGTTGTCTGGCCGGCCACAAGAAAGGTAGCACAGTAAGGAGGTTTGGGGGGGGTTTTTTTGTTACAGAAAAAAAAGGGAGTTCGCGAAACCTTGGCCCCTACCACGATGAGAGGGTAAGTTTCCCTTCGAGGTGCAGTTGGGGTTGGGTCAGGTTGCAGTCAGGATTCAACAAGGTTGGCAGTCAACTGGGACTACGCAAATTGATACTGCAGTTTAGGTGGCCTACTATGGTAGGCCTGGGCAGTAGGCAGTCCACAGGGCTTCTTGGTTGGTGAGCAAGGGGGGGTTGGGGTTGCCCGATGGAGCGCAAGCCTGCTGGATGGTTGATTCAGACAGGGGAGCCTTGGTATAGCGTAATAGTGCAGGTTGAAAATGTTCCAAACGTCATTCTCCACTACTACAGTGGAGGAAATGATGCTAAGCAGACGACAGATAGATGCTTTGATAAGTCCTTGAGCAGTTATAAGAAGAAATGCCAGTCATGCAGTCACTTGAATTATACTAAGCACTGAATCTTTGAGCTGGAGAAGGGCAGTCGGGGAAGACAAAAGTGACAAGGGCTGTGTTAGACTTGGGGGCCATCGGCGCTTCTGACGAAGTCAAGAGGACAGACATGCTTTCTTGCTTTTTCTCTAGAATTAGGTTAGTGAAATTGAATTTGAAAAAAAGTAGCGGCTGGTTCATTTTACTGCATCATCCAGCCTCTAGTTGGTCACTTGTGCTCCAGGTTCCCCCCGGAGCAGGGGAAGGAGAGGACTGGCTACCTTTGCCCAGTGAACTTCCATAAATACTCATGGGAATTCTACATTTATCCATTCTCTATAATGGGAAGATCTTGCTACTTGCACCGCTGGATCGCTATCAACCAACCATTATGGAATTCTGAGCCTGGCGAGGAGAAGGCCGATTCAGATCTTTCTTCTGGATTCATTTAAGTTAGTCAAGTCACTGTGTATATGCCCAGTTCAATGTGGAGTCTATTTCTTTGGGCCGTCTCTTAACGTATAAGCAGAAAGCAATGTATTTTTACAGATACATATAGCATGCTTCCTTGGTTTCCTCTCAGCTATGGGATGAACAAAGATCATCAATCAATCAGCCTTACCAAGACTTCCTTGCAGCGAGGTGGGGTTTCAGAGCTTCTTCTGAGTCAGGACCTGGGGGCAGCCCGTGCGCGTCAACTCTGGGGTCTACGCGGCGCTAAATTGGTCCATTCAAACCCCTGTCTGGCACCTGGAAACCTCACTGCAGCACATATAGGAATTTATCTACTTGGCAACCTCCAACAGCATTAAAGACAGTGACAACAGCACATGGACACACCCACACATTTACTGCAGACAGATACTTACCTCTAAAGTAATCCTGCAATACACACTCCTTAAGCTGGGTTTCCACATGTCCTCCAAGCGATCCCGTGCCACATACGAGGCAGATCTTAAGGCACAACAGTCCCCATTTGTGGTCTATGGCACACCCCTCCCAGCTTTTGACCCAGATGCCCGTGATGATGGCTCCTATGTCCCTATCTGGAAACAGGAGGTGACAGATGACAGAGGCAGAAAGCGCCTGCACGGTGCCTTTACTGGGGGTTGGAGCGCTGGGTAAGTCTGCCCTTCCGACCCTCCGTTGGCGTACTATGTCAGCTCAACGTCTGTTCTCACATGCTAACTCATTGATTCTCGAAGCTACTTCAATACGGTGGGGTCCAAGGAAGGATGGACACCTTCCACTTTTGTCTCCTCGCGGGCCAACCGCCGCAAGGACAACAAGTCGGCCCAAGACCAGCGACCAGAGGACTTCATGGACGACGAAGATCTCGCCGAGGCCGAGGAGTCTAGGAAGTTACAGACCTCCAATGCCTTTGCTAGCCTCGGTGCTACTGAGAAGGACGCCGGCAGGGTAGGCGCGCTGGCCGGTCTGTTCCACGTGCGAGGCGAGACCATGGGCACGAAACTGCTCAAAAAGATGGGTTGGCGGGTGGGCCAAGGAATCGGCCCCAAAGTGCGAAGGGGGGCAAACCTGGACATGAAGGAGACACATCCCGATGCGAACAAGACATATTACTTCTTTGCGCCTGAGAACGTCCTGATGGTCAGCTTTGTCAGGAAGACAGACCGAAAGGGTCTTGGTTACGACGGCGAGGGGAGGCTGGCACCACTGGGAGGTTCAAGATCGCGACAGCCTTCACCGTCAGATGACGAGGATGAGGATGGCGGAAGCCTGACTCTGGCGAGGCCAAAGTTCCTGGGCTCTGGAGCCTCCAAGAAGAAGAACACAGGTGGCGCCCGCGGCTCCATTGGGATTGGAGTCTTGAACGATACCGGCTCCGACGACGAAGACCCCTATGAGATTGGACCTCGGATATCCTACAATAGAGTGATTGGTGGTAGCAGCAAGGGAAAAAAGAAAAGGAGCGACGTCGTCCCCTCTACAACGGTCAACCCAACCCTAAAGTCCAAACCTGTGTTTTTGCCTAAAAGAGCCGTGGCTGGTGGCCAGTCAGGGGCTGGCTTGCGCAAATGTCACGACGGTCGGCCACCATTGGAGGGCTTTGTGCTCGGCCAAGCTCCAGATCCCCTCATCTCCATGATCAATTCTGATGGCAGATACCCACCGCCAGAGATCCCTGAAGGATGGACATCCGGCAAAAAGGCCGAGACCACCGCACAACCCTCACAGTATACGTCTACAGCAGACGCAGCCAAGGCCTCGCAGCTCAACCCGACAGCCCGTGCGGCTCTGCTCGGGGAGAAGCAGCTGCCGGGCAAATCTGTCTTTGACTTTCTCTCGACCGCGGCTAGAGACCGACTGGCAGCTGTCACTGGGAAAGGGGACCTACCGCAGGCCAAAGGAGAGATCCCTGAGGGCTATGCTCTGTCAGAAGAGGAGAAGAAGCGTAGCCTCCTGGAACGAATCCCCAAGCTCGATAAGCCGAGCGCACTGGCAGCCATGGCAAGAGGGGCCGCAGGCGGCGGACCATATGGAGACAACGAGGACAAACGAGCCAGATACCGGGGCTATCTAGAGCTACAGGCCGGCCTCACCAGCGAACCACCAGAAAGGGCGCCCAAGATGACCGGCGAGGAGTGGATACAGGAGCTGAACGAGTTCTACAATGTTGCTAGGATATTCAGGCCCATGACAGGGACTATGGCGTCTCGGTTCACGACGTCCAAGTCCTCCCCTACCTCGGACATGGCGAGGGGCTCAGATGGCCAGGTTGGGGATGCTGGACTGCTGTCCAAGCCTGTAGCCAAACCTGAAGATCCCGCAGAGGCAGCCGCCAAGATGAACATGTTTGGGCCCATGACGAGATCTGTCGGCGACTTCTTCCCCACACGGCTCCTCTGCAAACGATTCAACGTCAAACCACCGTCACATGTCCAGAGAGATGGAGATGTCAACACCAAGGGCGCGCAAAGAGGAGAAATTGCGCCGATAGAACCGCAGGCTAGCATGTATAGCGACTCTTCATCATCAAGGGAACCCCTACCTGCGCCAAGCGCCCAGAAACAGGGCGAGGCTGCTGTGGATAGTGGAAGGAACGAGGCTCTAGAGGGCAAACGAGCAGGAGATGAAGTATTCAAAGCTATCTTTGGCGATAGTAGTGACGAGGAAGGCTGAAGTATGCCGCAGCATTGGGAGTCTCTCTACCCAGAGCATCTAAGTACTTAGTCGCCCGGGGGGCCGTTGATACCAATGCAATCAAGTTAGGCGCTAGCTCTATACAGTACTCTGTTCTTGTTCTAAAGTCGGCCCCGTTTGGGTTCAAACGAGGTGCACCAGCTCCTGAAGCCATATCATTAGTCCCTCGGGCAGGCGCAAGTGTCCAACGAAGACGGGGTGCAGAACAACTGCAGGAGCACGACAGCAGCATACTATGACCGTCTGGGCACCTTTACCTGTACTCCGTCTCTCTGTCTCTCTCTCTCTCTCTTTTGCTTTGACGCTTTCAATGGGAAATGAAAATCATTTGACGTTCTGTACAGTTTGTTATGAAGCTCCAGGCTCGCTGTGAGAAAACCAAAAGACGAGTTACCAGACCAAGATCCACAGAGGGTGCTAAACATTGATGCTGGGGAAGCCTCTGTACTATGGTATAGCGGCTACTGCCCACTTATCATAATGGTGCATACGCTGTAGAACCTATGGCTTGTATTTACTAGTGAAGGCCCGGGCGGGGGGGGCTCGGCCTAGTAACCTGGCCCATTGATGGTGTGCCGGCAAAACCCCCCATGGAGAGTGCCTGGAGCGCTAATTGCCTAGACTCTAGCGTGCTTAGCTTGTCCGTCGCCTGGGTATTGTAGTACGTATAGTACTACTGAGGTGTGAGGATACTTGCTGTTAACAGCGGTTAGGCCTACCATGGATTCCTCGACAAACGTTGTTACGGTCCCTATCCCAACCAACCATCCACAACTCTCACCTCATTTCGATTCGCCCGCCCGCAATTTGACGGCAATTATACTACGCCCAAAGAAACCCACTCCATCAATGTGTGCGACCATTCTACTGTGCACTGGCGCTGTTTCTCGCTTCGACCTGCCATCCTCCTCTTGAAAGGCAGCGTTCCATCCTGTGACCCAAGGGAACTCACATACCACTTGTTTGCATCACAGAAGCGCCCGTCTCCCTCCTCGCCGTTTTGCTCCTCCTGCTCTTCCTCCTCCTTTGGCGTCTGATGCCGGCGTGGAGCAACTCGTTCTAGCCGCCCACCACCCCTCGCAGCTACATTCCCTTTCTCCAGAAAGGGGTCCAGAACACCATCCCGTAGTTACTCAAGACGGCAGATCACAGCACTCGCTCTCCCACACACCCACCCACTCCCACCACCTCATCGACACAGACTGATCCCGTCCGACGGAACGTCACTGCCGTCTCCACTTCAATCAAGTTGTCAGCGCCAAAGGAGTCCAGCCCCGGACCCTCGGCGTCCAGTCCTGGGCCATCTCCATCCCCTTCGAGGAGACGACTTGTCGTTGGCGACGACGCCCTGTGCGCACCCAATCAATCGACAGCCCACGACAGTCAGGACAGCTCTGCCCAGCCTGTCGACAACCACCACCACCAGCAGCATCCTCAACATCACAGCTCTACCTCCTCACTCGAAGACCCACTGCAGTCTCCGCCGCCACAGTACCCAGCTTGCGAAACCCCTGTCTCGACTCTCACCTCGGTCATCTCTTACCGTACAGCACCGCCGCCGCCCTTCTCCTCGCTCTTCGTTCCCTCCTCGTCCACCGATCAGCCGGACGCCGTCGCCTCTGCTCTTGAGACACGAGACGCCCCTGGCCCTGACTCGACCACCCCCTGCTCCTTCGACCATCCCGAGTCCCACGCTCGTGAGAAAGCATCTGCTCCTGCATACGAACCCTCTACCCCCTCTGGCCCCTCTGAACCCTCAACTGTCTCTCAGGACGCCGTTGCGGAAACCAAGCGTGCTCTCCCCCGTGATACAAAGGCAGAAGGCAGCTCCCGCGCCAAGGACGACGAGACCGAACCGCCACCAGCATACTCGGAGGGATACAGCCCCCTCCAGTCTTTCACATACGTGATGGCAGCCGCCGGAGGAGCTTCGAGTATTATTACTCAGGTGCAACAGGGCGGTCCGCCCATCAACACGCTCGGAGGTAAGAAGCTCTCGGATCTTTATGCATTTTGAGAAAGAAGTATGTCGCTGACTTGTATTGTAGATGTTGGCGCCGATGAGACTATTGCTATGGACCTACGGTAGGTCAATTTTGAAAATCCGTCCGACGTGTGACAACAAGATCAATCCGCGCGCTGACATGCATCAACAGGGGCACACGTTTTGTTCTCTCCAGGGACGAGCTATTGACGCTGCCGGAGTTCGTCCTTCTCTCCTTGTTCCCGAACGGCTTGTTCCCTGAAGGGCATATGGGTGGCACTGAGGGAGATGCCGTGCAGGTTGATGTAGGCCATTTCTCAGAGACTCCGTCCAGAGCTGTATCTACACACACACAGACTAACACGGGATGATCTACCCGTACAGTATGACCCAGAATCTCTGCAGTACATGCTCGATTTCTTTCGCAAGGTGGCATCATCCATCCCCTCGGACACGTCCCCTCCGGCATCACAAGACGGCGATGCGATGTCTATAGAACCACTTGTGGGAGCGTCACGCGACGACGCCTCCAAACGAGCGGGCATCATTGTGCTGCGCGAAGACCTCGACTTCTACGTCATCCCGCCCAAGGCAGGCATCCAGCAGGCAGAAATGATTGAGGTCAAGAGGGCCGCAGCCAGGGCGCTCCTGAAGCAGGATGGCATCTTCTCTGGGCTGAAGCGCAGTGATGAACCAGGAACCACAGAGGCGCATCTGATCGAGATGTTAACAGCAGGGTATGTTCTTCCCCACACACGCACAAGCACGCACGCGCACACACACACACACACACACACAGAGAGAGAGAGAGAGAGAGAGAGAGAGAGAGAGAGAGAGAGAGAGAGAGAGAGAGTCCATAAGACAGACCGTAGATGCCTCTGCGAGGATGGGAGACTCGCAATTGCTGACATGATCTCTCACTCACACAGTGGCTTCAATCATGATGATCAGTGGGGACACCGAGCAGGCGAGCCTGGCAAGGCTGTGGTGTGCAGTCTGGCCCTCGCGAGGCTGCGCAGTGACATCCGTGGCAACGAGATGGGCGGCAACAATGCGGTCGGTATGGCACAGAAGCTCCTGCTGTTTTGGCGGAAACCGGCCAGGAGATGCTGGTGGGAGGGCGTTGAGCTCAACGACGTTGAGGGCGTGGAGGGCAAGCTCAAGGTGTGGATCAGGCGAGTGTGGACTCTCGAAATGAGCGTCATTGGGCTGCGATGATTCTTCGGCATTGTTGCATAAGGATCAAGGGAGAGCGGGTTTTCTTCTTTTTTGTTTTCCCCCCTCATCACACGGGCGAGCGATATAAGAGGAGGAGAGGGGGTGGTTGGGAGGGAGGTTGAAGGCATACCCTCTTTCTTTCCTTTCCTTTTTTTGTTGCTTTGCTGAATGGTCCGCTCGGTACATCCTGGATACAGGCGTAGCATATTCACACAACAGTGAGTCAAACTCGACGGCAGGTTTTCTAAAACTGTCCAGGAACATTCAGCGGCATAATGCAGAGACCATTTATTGTTGAATATGGCTCAGGGACTTGACTTGTTGAGGGGAATCCATGCGTGAATACTCTCAACCTTGGGCTATCAAGAGACATACTGGGCCAAGTCATATCGCAGCGATTTTCATTATAACAACAGCCTATGAGGATAATAAAATGTTTCGTCTTCCTCCCAGTATTGACGTCAACAAGAGAGGTATAATTATGTCTGAAACCCTCGTCCCCGCGCCGGTTGTAAATGCTCACTACGTACGCCCAAACCAGGTTGAGAGACAAGGAGAGGCCAGCAGGAAATGGCGGCGGGCGGCTTAAGGAAAACCAGCCACCTGTAAGGGGTCCGTGGAAGGCTGATCTTCTCTTGGCAAGCCAAAAGGTGGCGAACGTGAAACCCTTCCAATCCCCATTTCGGTTTAAGTGAGTGAGTGAGTGAGGGCGTATACGTCAATGGATTCAAAAACTGAGTTGACCGAAGTGGATTTCATTGAGACACGGTCACATCGGCGAGGCTCATAAGACGGCGCATATATGGATTGAGGTACATCGGCCATATATACATCACCATCACATCATATCATACACATCACCTGTTACTGCTAAGTGTTGAGAGACCAATTCTCAAGTTTATGACTTAGAGTGCATGCCGCTTATCAAAACTAACTGGTAGGAATCTTGACCTTCATTGCATGTTTGCGTTCTTGCTTTCTACAAGACTTACGAGTGACATGGAGAAGAGGCAGGTGCAGTGGAATACTGACATGCGATCCTAGCTCTTGCCTTCCAACAAGATACAGTAAGTGAGTCTGCTTTGGTCATCATCTCTCAGTCTTCCCTTCTCCTTCCGTCATCAAACAAACCTTCAAGCGTGGACAGACAGACACCCCACTAATATGAGATCTCAGATATTATTACGAACATGGGACATCTCTTCAGAATGCTGGCTGTTATCATGACAGCCATCACATCTCATCCCACAACTCTCGTCCTGGCACAGTCAACCACCGCCTCTGCCACAACCACAACCGCATCCTCCTCCTCCTCCTCCTCCTCCTCCTCCTCCTCCTCCTCCTCGTCGTCGTGTCCAACAGTCCTGGTCCCCTCGTACGAAGCTCCGGTAGTGGGCTCAGGATGGACGGCTCAGCTGATCGCGCAGAACCTATCTACGCCCAGGGGGATTATCTTCGACCAGAACGGGGCTCTCCTTGTCGTCCAGAAGGGTACGGGCATCCTGCACATGACATTTAGCGACCATGGGGGGACTTGTCTCATTGTCGACCAGACCAAGACCTTGGTGGACAATACTGATGTGCGTAGGCTCATGTTAAATCAATTATAATTCTGACAAAACGACCTAAAGAACCCCTTTGCTTTATTCTCCTCTTTCCTTGCTGACAATTGTGGAAATGTCACAATAGCTAAATCATGGCATCCAATTGTCGGCTGATGGGGCAACCTTGTATGCATCTACCTCGAACGAAGTGTACCAATGGCCCTACAGTGCTGCCGATGGGACGGTGGGAGACAATGTCACGCTCATTACCAATATGAGCAATACTGATGTGAGTTCCATGAGAAGTGAAGCCTTCACATTCTAGTACGTGTTGCTGACGTCCTGACCTGGCGATCCCATAGCACGTCTCGCGCACTCTCCTGCTCTCACAAAAGGCCAACGGCACTCTGATCGTCTCCCGTGGCAGCTCAGAGAATATAGACCCGGTTGCCCAGCAGCTCGACTCTGGCCACTCCCAGATCAAAGCCTTCAATCTCAGCAACCTCACCACCGGCGGCCAACCGTACGACTTTCCCTCCGAGGGAAGGCTACTCGGCTGGGGCCTCAGGAACAGTGTCGGCGTCGCAGAGCACCCGCTGACGGGCGGCATCTACTCTGTCGAAAATTCGGCGGACCAGGTCAAGCGGAACGGAACCGATATTCACCAGGACAACCCGGGCGAGGAGATGAACTACCATGGATTCCTCCTCAACAACAATAGCTCGATAGACGAAAACGAAACTCAAGGCGACAACTACGGCTACCCAGCCTGCTTCGCGCTCTGGGGCACCGACATCCCCGACAAAGGATCGTTGACCGTCGGCAGCCAGTTCGCGCTAGACCCTTTCTCGAGCACCCTGAACGACACGACCTGCGCCCAAGACTTTGTCCCGCCGCAGCTGACGTTCCAGGCCCACACGGCCCCGCTGGACATTCTATTCGACGCCGACGGCACTGTCGCCTACATCACATTTCACGGCAGCTGGGACAGGACCGGCCCGGTAGGGTACAGGTTGTCGGCAGTGCAGTTCACGACAGATGGGACACCAGAAGCGCCGTCCGACAGCACCAATGCCACGACGGACATCCTCAGCAATGCCGACCTGTCCAAGTGTCCCGATGGGTGCTTCCGGCCGGTAGGGCTGGCTTGGGACAGTCAGGGAAGGTTGTTCCTGAGCTCCGACTCGACGGGCGAGATCTATGTTCTGCAGCAGGCCGAGGTGTCGACAGCCAGTGGAACAGGCACCCCGATCAGCTCCTCCTCCTCTACAGGGACGCTGGTGACCCCGACCACTTCGCCCAACCTGGCACCACGGTCGGCTAGGACTGGGCCTGGTAAGGACACACTCTGGCTGGCATGTGTTGCCACGGCTCTACCGCTCGTCTGTGGTGCACTTTTCATCATGGCCTAAGCGGATCAGGTAGATAGAAATATACACCACCATTTGGGGGGAGAACACAGGAAAGATGTAATACACGCAAACACACTCACGCTCATACGACTATGCATTTCTTCAGAGCGTCCAGACATGTTGAAATCTTGCCCTTTCATATCGAATAGCCAGCCCCACCCCCTATTAACCCGAACGCCGTGCAGCAGCAGCCTCTTTGAATGCATCCCTCAGCCTTCTCTCTAATTTTCCCCGTTACTCCTCCAGTGTCTTGACGACATCCCACTCGCCCCTCAAATTCTCCTTCCATAGTGTGACCTTGTTGTCGGCACCGCTCACAGCAAGAACGTTGCCGCTCAGGGACCAGCTCACGCGCCACACAGAGGCATCAAAATTGAGCACCTTGGAGTTCCACTGGCCAGGGTTAGACGGGTCAGACGTCCAGATGCGCACCGTCTTGTCCTGGGACGCGCTCGCAATGTAGCTCTTTTGTAGCACCGTCGGGCTCCAGGCGACATCGCGCACCCAGTCGGTGTGGCCCGTCAGGGGCTCCCGCTCTGCCTTGTAACCATTGGTTGCCGGGTCATAGACCCAGATCTTGACCAGGTTGTCACACCCTCCGGTCACGAACCGCCTGTTTCCAGTCGCGCCGGGGCCGGGGGCGCTCGAGACTATAGAGCCCGGGGTGGTGGCAGGCGCCCAGGACACCGAGTTGACGCCGAGACCGTGGGCAGGGAAGCTGGTGTGATCAAAGTTGTTGTCCTTGAACTCGACGACAGAGACGTTGCCGTCGGATGACGCACAGGCCAGCAGGCAGCCGGACTCATGGGGGGACCAGGAGACGATGTTGACCGAGGCCTTGTGCAGGGCGAAATCGAAGATGCGCTGCCAGGCGCCCTGCTGCTCGCGCCAAATGAAGACCTTGCCGTCGTATCCGGCTGATGCCAGGATATTGCCGTACTTGGGGTGCGCCCAGGAGACACACCAGACTGCGCCCTCGTGTCTGGAACACAGCAGCACCATGAATACTGTCAGCCCTCCTCTCCAGAACCAGGCCCATGTCTATGTCCTTGTCCTACTCTTCCTTCTGAACGACCATAACTTACCCTTTGAGCGTCTCCGTCAGCCGCTGGGTCTCACCCTCGATCTCGAATATCTTGATTGTACGGTCGGAGGAGCAGGTGGCGAGGCGACGGCCGTAGTAATCGAGGACAGCATCGTGCTAGATCAACAGCAGGCAGTATCAGCAGCAGTAGCAGCCAACAGAGAACGAAGGATGATATTGTCCCAAGCAGGTGACATCCTTTATTCATTGTGCCTCAGAGCAGTGGCTCAGGCGGGCAGGAGGAGAGTTGACGGGCAGATGGTGTCTGGTGCCTGACTTACTATCATGTCATCGTGACCAGAGTTGGAAATCACTTGCGTCGCCTGCTAAGCTGTCAGTCTCGAGCACATTCTTATAAGAGTCCCCGTCATCTGGGAATGGGTTCACGGACCATGTTGGCGGCCAAAAGAAGGAAAGAAGAAGCAGGTTGCAAAATGGAAAATGATGTTCAGTGAATGGTAGAGATGAGCTGATGTTGCTATGCAAGAGAGGCACCTGAAAGGGCGTGTCTGTTTCGCGATGCTGGCCACTTGAGTTAACAGCTAATCGATACCACAGGCAGTCAGGTACCTCCCAGGGCTGTACTGCAGTAGCTCCCCCCCTGACTGCCCTGCCCTGTCAGCCTGCAGTGCCTGCCCCCACCATGATTACAGGGATCAAGGCATGGTCCCTACTACCTGTCAGCCTGTTTCCCATCCCGGGTTACATAATCAGATATCCCCACATAAGGGCCCGTCCGTCACCGCAAGGCTTGAAAGACCGTTCAGGCTGTTGAACCTCGGCTGTTGTGGCCGGAGTTGTAGTAATTGGGTCAACGTACTGCATTCTCATGATCACCTCTAAATCTGGCCTCTGTTGTACTCTCGTCATCAAAGCCAAAAACGAGCGCAGATTTTTCTTCTTTAATGGCCTGACTGTCTAAAGCAACAGACCAACAGCAGTCAGATCAAATCTGAAGGGAAAGACAAAAGACTAGAATGTTGCCTTGCACCAGCGCCAGCCCCACCACCTCACCTCTCCTCCAACACACCTGGGCTTCTTGAGCACCACGCGCGCACGCGTAACTTTTCCCAATGCACAAACACTGCGCGCACATTTTATCACTATTGTGATACATCTCTGTGCAGGCCTGATCTGGAACCTTTTCGTGGACATATTTTCCTCTATTCTCTTCCACCGCATTCCCTCCTCTTGTTCAGGGGCTATTGTTGCCCACCCACAGTACTTTCTCCATCAACTATTTCTGGGCAGCATTTACTGCAGTCCTGTGCATCCTCTCCTACCATCCACCATCTCACCAAACCTTCTTCCCTCAACCCTCCCAACCAACATCATCGTCAGCCTTGAATTTTCTCGCTAAAGGCACACAAAATCCAAACAAAAAAAGGCATCATCAAGCCTGAGAAGACAAGCTTGTCACCCTTCTTCCTTTCCATCGTCTTCTTTGTGACCCAGGTTGCACAGTACAACGCTTTTGTCACTGATACCTACTACTTCCCATCCAACACAAAGCCTCTGCTGCTACGACGCGGGCAGCCCTCAGTCTCATCGCGTCGCGTCATCTACGATCACCACCGCCAACAACACATCGAAACAAAGCACACCCCAAGCAGCGCAAGCACCACAGCTGCTACAACCATGGCTGACAACATGTGTGGTCCTTCCAACCCTGTCAAGGGCTTGGCTCAGCACTTCAATCGCAGTTCTGATCGCCCAAAGGCTTGGGGTTCTTCTGCGAAAGAGTCCAAGTGGTCGAACTTTACTCCTGAGGTATGTGGTTCTGTTGGTTGGCCATTTTCTTCTAATCTTGTCTCTCTACTGTCAGCCAGACTTGAACTGACCATCTCTTACAGGAGTTCCGTGGAGAGGCTCGAGCCAAGCAGGCCAAGCAGGCCCAAGCTGCAGCTGATGCTGCCTTCGCTGCCTTCACCACAAACGCGCCTCACCATGGCAACGAGTTTGTGCACCCACCCCCTCACTTGGCCGATGGTGCTGCAACTCTTCAGGAGGCTGCCAAAACCCAGTCTGTCGAGCAAGTGTCCTGGGTCAGAGATTTCCACCGGAGCCAGGTTGCCACTGGCCAGCAGCCCCACCCCTACGGTGTGCTGGGCCAAACTCTTCGCCCTGGTGACCAGCTCAACCCTCATGCCGACCTCCCCAGCTACGGCCCCGAGGGTGTTCGCCAGGCCTTTGGGGTGGCTCAGGGTCCTTCCGCCATGCAGCTCCCCCTGTCTGCTCAGCATGAGGCTGAGATTTACCACTACATGAAGTTTGCAGCTGCTGGTCCTCGTGAGCTCTTCCAGCCCCAACCACAGCCAGCTCCTACAGGCCACTACAACAATTACCCTCGGACCACCACTCTTGCCAACACCACCGAGGAGGCCCTGGAGGCGGCCTTTGCTGCCTACGACCAGGAATTCCAGGGAGAGATGGACCAGTGGATGACTCATCATGCTGATGAGGACCTCAACAAGCACGACGATGCCCTGATCGAGATTGCCTACCAGGAGAGCCGCGCTCGTGACAAGAATGATCCCACCTTCCTTCCCCAGAACAAGCCAGAGACCAAGGCCATCTATGACCACATGCAGGATGCAGAGCTCAAGAAGGCTGCCCGGGAGATCATGAACACCTTGAGTCTGAGCTCCAACGAGAAGCTCAAGCACTCCAGCTTTGTCACTCTCATGAAGCAGCTGTCCAGGGGCGAGGTGGTCCTGAAGGGTAATGATCTGTTCAACACTGTCACTGGCCAGATTATCGATGCCACCAAGGAGCCCCCTATTGAGCCCAAGGAGATCAACGTCATCCCCTATTCGGCTGTGTGCCCCAATGCACCCGAGCCTGATGCTCACCCTGACCCTGCCAAGGAGAAGGAGATTCAGGAGATGACCCAGGCCTTCAAGAAGTCGCTCCGTGTCAAGATGATGACTGAGTCATCAGATGCCCTGCACAGTGATGAAACCGACAAAGATTCTCAGGAGGCTGAGGGTTCTCACAATGCTGCTTAAATATGGCAAGAAGTCTGGTTGGACTATGCTATTGTCTGATCAGACTTGATGGGGGACTCACATACTTGGAGACACCTGTCAAGATACTCGTCGAGAACACTTGTCATTGCTGTCACCCAAGGGGAAGTCTTCACCATTCGTCGTTCTTTCTCCATCATCTTTCCTCTAGGAGCTGTGTCATTTTCATCGGCAAGCATCCCCGTCCTCACTGTGCACACTGGACTTCCTGGTGTGCAACTTGTGTGGGGTATGGATCAGCTGATACGCACATGGCTCCTTGTAAGTGGGAGACAATACGACTTATCAGAAGGAGGGTGGGAAATTATGGTTATGGAACAAGACTGCCAGCTGAGGATCCTTTGCACCTCTGGCTCCTCCTCAACCAACAGTTCCAGGTCAACACGACGTGGAGATCCTTATAGGATCTGCCTTGCTACCTGGACTGAGGATGGAGCCACATTTGAGAGGGGCTACTTTACAGAAACTTGAGCTGGCAGTTGTTTCTTTATTTTTCTTCTTTTCGGATTCTTGCGACATGTTTTCTTTCCTCCAAAGCAATTTCATCCTTTAATGCGCCTCTGAGCTTCTCCTCGACGCCACTAGGTCAACACGACATGAGATCCTCATAGGGACCTTTACTTCCTGGACTGAGGGATGGAGCCAAATTTGGAGGGGCGACTTTTCACCTGCAGAAATTTGAGCTTGCAGGTCAGGATTTCTCTTCTTTTGTCTTTATTTTTTCCTTCCTTCCTCCTTTCATGATGGCGTTCTTCAATGCGTTCTCTTTTTTCATACGAATTCTGTCTTCTCCTCAACATCACCAGGTCAACACTAGGTGAGATCCTTATGGGATCCCAACCGCCTTTAATACCTGGATCGAGGATGGAGCCAAGCTTGGGAAGAACCACTTTGCAGGACGTTGAGCATGCAATCAGGATTGCGGTTTTTTTCTTTCTTTTTTTCTCAAGGGAATTTTGCATGCGTTTTGCATGCACAGGCCTACATTGCATAGGCCCTGTGCAGTCTGGATACCAGGTGCAGGTGGAGTTCAGGACACCATTTCATGGGAAAAGGGGCGGTGTTTTTGTCACTGGCACACTGGTTTTGTCATTCACATAGATATAAACATACAAACAAACAAACAAACGAAAAAGCAAAAAAAAATACAATATAATTATTAAAAAATAAAAACCCCCCCCCCCCCCCAAAGTCCCCAAATGCCAAAGATGATCTCCGGTTACCTGTATGTCTAATAATAAACTACGAGGCCCATGGCACAACCTCCCATATTGAGGCCCGTGCAAGATGGCACGATGGACAGGGTGAGAGGTGGAGAGGGCACCCATGCATGATTCTTCATGATTACTAAGAACCTTGTGCTGTAATAGCCGAAGGATCTAGGCTTGTGCACGGGCCACCACCACTTCCCACCACTGCACTGCACCTGCTGCATAGCGCATTGAGGAAGGGACCCAGAAGACGCAAGAGCTTCTTTCGAAACAAGCACCGCACCGCGGCAGCGCATCATCCCCAATTCAACTTTCTGCGACCAGCGCTAACCACCACGGCTTCCCTTCCCGTGATAACCTCTGAAAAGCCCTGCAGTATTCTTTGCTTTAAAAGGGGAGAACCCAGAGACAGAGAGAGACAGAAAGAGAGAGAGAGAGATCTGGAGCACAACTGCTGAACCTTAGCTGGAGCCTTGTGCAAGCGCATCGACGCCCTTTTGTGCTACACTGATACGAGAAACGGCTGCGAGACCGGAAGAAGAAAAGACGACGATTTAAAGTGAGAGTGACAAGAGCCTCGACCGTGCCTTGAGAACGCCCCCTTCCGAAGAAGAAGAATAAGCGCCTCTCTCGATACACAATACTTTTGTCCAACCCTCGCCCTCCTCGACGTCTGTACCCGCCCTACCGTTGCCCTCCTCAAGCGCAAACGCCACCTCGGCTCTCGTGCCACCGCATATTCGAATCCCCCCTCTCTCTGACAAGCCCTCCAAGGCACCGCACCGCACGCACGCCTCTCTTCTGCCTGCTGGCTCGCCGTCGCGGGCCGCCGTCAGCAATCGCCCAAGATGATGCCCAATCATCCCATGTACGGCCAGCATCACTACCCCCAGGAAGCTTCGGCCTGGATGCACCAGCAGACACACCACCAGCACGCTCAACAGGCGGCTGCTGCTGCTGCCGCTGCCCAGCAAGCTCACTACAACCGCGTCGCTACGTCGGCCTCCCACGCGAATGCCCTCAGCGCTGTCCACCAGGATCCTGCCGCCGATAATCCCAACATGTCCGAGGACAACCGTCGCACCATGGCCTACATCGCCGACCTACTCAACGAGAATACCCGCGAGCAGGCCCTGCTGGAGCTGAGCAAGAAGCGCGAGCAGGTTCCTGAGCTCGCGCTGATCCTGTGGCATTCCTTTGGTGCGTTGGTGCTGCCCTTACGCCCCCCCCCCCCTTCCCCCTCCCTCTTCTCCGGACCCTCTTCGTTCTATCTGTCTTTTCCCCTCTCATGACCCGTTTCCGCTGGTGGGCGCAAGCGCTGACCATTACCAACAACAGGTGTCATGACCTCTCTCGTCCAGGAGATCATCTCTGTCTATACCCTTCTCAATCCTTCTCAGCTCACCGCTGCCGCCTCCAACAGAGTATGCAACGCCCTTGCCCTCCTGCAGTGCGTAGCATCCCACAATGAGACCCGGACCTTGTTCCTGAGCGGTATGTATACCTTCCCTCCTCATCCCCTAACCCCTTCATTCCATATCTGCCTTTGCTGACTTGTGTGTGCGCCAGCGCATATTCCTCTCTACCTCTACCCTTTCCTCAACACCACCTCCAAGTCTCGCCCCTTCGAGTACCTGCGCCTCACCAGCCTCGGCGTCATCGGCGCCTTGGTCAAGAATGACTCGTCTGAAGTCATCAACTTCCTTCTCACCACAGAGATCATACCTCTTTGCCTCCGGATTATGGAGACGGGCTCCGAGTTGTCCAAGACCGTGGCCATCTTTATAGTCCAGAAGATACTGCTGGACGACAACGGCCTCAACTACATTTGCGCGACGTACGAGCGTTTTTATGCCGTAGGTACCGTTCTGAGCAACATGGTAGGACAGCTGGTGGAGCAGCAAACTGCCAGGCTGCTGAAGCATGTAGTCAGGTGCTTCCTGCGGTAAGAGAGCCCCCACCGGCCTTTTCCAAAGATAAATCTTTCTCTTGTTGTTGCTCTTGGTTCATCGTGAACCCTGTTTGGTTACCCGGAACATGCAATTGACACCAGCACAGACTCAGTGATAACGCCAGGGCCCGCGAAGCTCTCCGACAGTGCCTGCCCGAGCCGTTGCGCGACGCGACCTTTTCTGCCGTCCTTCGTGACGACGCAGCTACGAAGCGATGCCTCACGCAGCTGCTCGTCAACCTTTCGGACAGTGCCATGGCCGATATTGGCAACCCTGGCCTCTCCTAGAAAGATGCGCCGACCGCTGTCAGGCAGGTCCGCCCGAGATCGAGCACTGGCCGCAAAATAAGCAAATGATTTTCCTCCGGAACCGACTTGAGCGGTTTTTGGAGGGGCCTGTGTCAAACAGGCCCACGACGAGGCAGTGAGCAGGGTCGCCTCCGTCTTCCTTGTCTATGCTGTTGACGACAGCACTCTTGTTGATGCCCTAGCTCGACAGGGGTAGGGTTTCCCGCAGCCAGTCCGTGGACAATCTATCCTAGCAAACGATATTCCTCGCGCTCCCATGGCTATGGCGGGGGAAGGGTTTCAGCTGCTTCTGGTATAGGGCTTTAAAAGGCGGTGAACTCACTGAGTGTATGAACAAAATTTGGGTTGGGAGTCATTCTTGGTTGAAGCTGGAGGTTATGTCTGTGTTTTTCTTTTTCTCTTTATCTTTTTTTCAAAACTCAAAAATCTTGGGGGTTGACAGAGTACTTGTGTGTGTGTGTGGGTGTGTAACACGAGAGGGATGGACAGAAGAAGGGGAAGAGATGGAGGGGGAGAGAGAGAGAGAGAGAGAGGGCGTACAGGTTGCAGTCTTGGTTTCATGATACGTGCAGGCGTTTAAGCAGCCTTGAGTGCTTTCACTACGTTTGCATAGCGGTTTTGGCGGAGGCGGTGGCGACGGGGAGGGAATTCTTCTAGATGGTATACCCGTGGCGTTTATTATTTCTACGGCTCGGCGTTGCATCGGTGCATGGATAACAGGCGGGTAGACATCACAAACACGCACAGAGGAGGACGAGGAGGACGAGGAGGAATGAGAAGACGGGGATCTTGAGAGAAAGGGAAGCTGGTACAAAACAGACTCTGGAAGCGGGAGAATTTTCATTTTGGATCCCTGTATGAGTTGATTCTATGTCCCCCCCAAAAAGCGACGGTAGTAAAGAAGATTGCACATTTGACTCTCAAGTCTTGAGTGCTATGATATTTAACTTGCAACAGCAGCAGCAATAGCAGCAGCACCATCTGCATGAAGCAGATATGGGCTCATCCGCAAAAGAAAAGAAGTGAAGAAAGAAAGAAAAACAAAATCATACAACCATGAAACTCCCGAGATACACCCCAAAAAGACCGCCGACAACAACGCCATATATCCTATTGTAAACGCCTACCCGCAAGCCCTCCTCCTTCCCTTTTCCTTCCCATTGGATTTTTCCTTTTTTTTTTCTTCCTCCTAACTACAAGAAGATGGCAACGAAGAGCCATGATGAAAAGAAGACCAGGCCGCCAAGAGCCTGATTCGCCAGCCCAGGCGCCACGCTCCTGCGGCCGGCAGCAGATGTATGGACGGCTGCCTTGGTGGTAGTGGTGGCAGCTCTAGCCGTGCTCTTGGCCGTGGTGGTTGGCGAAGTCATAGACGAGGTGGCAGTCGTCGTCATAAGAGTGCTGGCCGTGAATTCTGAGAAGATATTGGCCGTGCTCGTGGTCGCAGGAGTCGCCCGCGCCACCAGCTCTTTGTTGAGCGTCAAAGTCCAGCCTGCCTGCGCGGCAGCGACTGTGCGTCTCTGGAGGTTTTCTGTGATGGTCTGTTTTGTTTTGAATACACATGTCAGTCAGATCTCCCTTTTAGAAATTATTCTCTTTGGTTACTTCACGTACCGTTTCGTACTCGCCATTGTCGAGGTTCAGTCCAATCGTCACTTTCGCGCCTCCCAGGACCGAAGCCAGTTGACCGCCCCCAGTGATCGCAGCCGTAAGAGCTGTGCTAGTGGCAGTCACCGAAGCTGTCCCATTGCCAGTACTACCAGCAACCGAGCCTACAGAGCCGGTAGGCAAGCTCACGAATAGTGACTGCGGAGGCTGAGGCGCACCTGTGGCGCTTAGAGAGTCAGACACTCCTGCTGCCACTGCTGCTGCTGCTGCTGCTGCTGCGGTGGCGTTCAAAGAGTCCCTCGATGGTGATGAGCTGACGACCAGAGAGCTGCCGTTGACTGAGATTCCACTAGACGCGCTACCGCCGCCAGATGCGCTGCCACTGGACGAGCTGCTTACTGAGATGCTGCCACCAGACGTGCCACTGACTGACGAGCTGTCAGATGCTGATGAGGAGGAGGAGGAGGAGGATGAAGAGGAGGATGATGATGAACTATTTGTCGCTGCCGAGCCACCGCTCAGGAAGCTGACACCGGAAGATCCGCCCATCGATCCGCTCCCAGACGCCGAAATACCAGAAGTCGATGACGAGAGGCCACTGCCCGATGCACCCGCTCCAGACGAGGCGAAGAAGCTCGAGTTGCTAGACGCTGCTCCTCCAGAAGACGAGGACGACGAGGAGGCAGAGGAAGCGGCAGAGGAAGTGCCGCCCGAGGAGAAGAATCCTGAGGAGGACCCAGAGGAGGAACCAGAAGAGGAACCAGAAGAGGAGGAACCAGAAGAGGAGGAACCAGAAGAGGAGGAACCAGAAGAGGAGGAACCAGAAGAGGAGGAACCAGAAGAGGAGGAACCAGAAGAGGAGGAACCAGAAGAGGAGGAACCAGAAGAGGAGGAACCAGAAGAGGAGGAACCAGAAGAGGAGGAACCAGAAGAGGAGGAACCAGAAGAGGAGGAACCAGAAGAGGAGGAACCAGAAGAGGAGGAACCAGAAGAGGAGGAACCAGAAGAGGAGGAACCAGAAGAGGAGGAACCAGAAGAGGAGGAACCTGATGAGGAAGAGGAACTTCCACTCAAGGCGCTTGTTCCTGTGAATGAGGAGCCGGAGGACGAGCTTTGTGACGATGATGATGACGATGATGATGACGATGACGAGCTACCGTACGCTGAGGATGCAGAAGACGATGAATTGTATGCCATGCTGCCTGATGCCGAGCTTCCATATCCCTGGCCTCCAGACTGTGTTGAAGATGAGTACAATGATGAGCTGCCGCCCCCACCATAGCCAGAGCCGACAGATGTTGACGATGACGATGACGCGCTGTTGATCGATGAGCCGCCAGATATGGAAGATCCAGAGGTCGAGGTGTTAGATAGAAGACCGCTAGAGGATGATGAGCTGCCACCTGCAAAGCTAGCGCCGCTCTGCGAGCTGGCCTGGGAACTCGCTGTGCTGCCTCCGGAGCTCGCAGTGCCTGTCAGGTCGATGCCAGAGCCTCCAAGCACGTTGGTAATGTTTACGCCGCCACCAGTTGCTGGTGCAATGCCTTCATCGTCGCAGCTGTCGTCAGACCCATCGGTTGACTCTCCAGACCCGGTTGTGAGTAAAGGACTGCCGGTGCTGCTGGATGCAGCGGCATATGCGCCACTGGCGCTCGCTGCCATTCCTGAGCCACTCCCGCTATAGGCTCCTCCTGAGACAGAACCCTGAGAGCCACTACTTGCCCATGAAGTATTTCCGCCTGCTGCTCCTGAGATAGAGGTTCCGGAATTGGCGGTATCTTGCCATGAAGAGCTTCCGCCAGATGAGCTTGAGCTGTCAGAGCTCACAGCCCCGGCTCCTGAAAGGCTTTTCTCCGAGCCAGAGGAGGAATATATTCCAGATGAGGAAGAAGATGATCCAGAGGAGGATCCAGAGGAGGATGACCCAGAGGAGGATGACCCAGAGGAGGATGACCCAGAGGAGGATGACCCAGAGGAGGATGACCCAGAGGAGGATGACCCAGAGGAGGATGACCCAGAGGAGGATGACCCAGAGGAGGATGACCCAGAAGAGTACATTCCAGAGGAAGATAATGATCCGGATGAAGAAGCAGATGATCCAGAAGATGACAGTCCTGAGGAAGAAGCCATACCAGAGGAAGATGCTCCAGAGGAAGATGCTCCAGAGGAAGATGCTCCAGAGGAAGATGCTCCAGAGGAAGATGCTCCAGAGGAAGATGCTCCAGAGGAAGATGCTCCAGAGGAAGATGCTCCAGAGGAAGATGATCCAGAGGAAGATGCTCCAGAGGAAGATGCTCCAGAGGAAGATGCTCCAGAGGAAGATGATCCAGAGGAAGATGATCCAGAGGAGGATGACCCAGAAGAGTACATCCCAGAGGAAGATAATGATCCGGATGAAGAAGCAGAAGATCCGGATGAAGCAGCAGACGACCCAGAAGATGACAGTCCTGAGGAAGAAGTCATACCAGAGGACGACATTCCTGAAGAAGCAGAGGCCATTCCTGAGGAGGCGGATGATCCAGAGGAGGACGATCCAAAGGTAGACGACCCAGAGGAAGACGATGACCCAGAGGAGGAGGATGACCCAGAGGAGGAGGATGACCCAGAGGATGATCCAGACAGCCAACCAGCAGAACCACCATTACCGCTGCTGGAGCTGCCGCCCATTCCCGAGCTGGCTCCACCAAGTCCCATGCTGCCCGCGCCCGTCATGGACGACGAGCTTGATCCCCCGCTGGAATACCCCATGCCTGCAGAGCTTCCTCCAGACGAAGAGTAGATGCCTTTGCTTCCAGAGCCGGCTCCTGAGCCGACAAAGCTGTCTCCCATTCCAGAAGAGGAAGAAGCGGTGGCAGAAGAAGACGATGAGAGACCGCCACCGTAGCTGCCATAACTATTGCCAGAATTGCTGCTGCCAGAGCTGGATCCCGTACCCACGAAGCTATCTCCTCCCATCCCAGAAGAAGCAGACGAGGAGGAGGATGATGAAGAAGACGAGAGCCCATTACCGTAGTTGTCATAATCGCTGTCTGAGCTGCCTCCCATCCCGGAACCAGCCCCAAAGCCAGAGCCACCTGCGCCAGCCATGGACGACGATGTGCTTCCGCCATTCAACATGGATCCCAGACCGCCAGAGCTGGTTTCGTCGCCGAAATTGCTGAAGAGACCTGATCCGGCGCTGCCAGAAGAGGAAGAAGCGGAGCCCATGGAGGATGCAGCCGATGCAGTACCCGATCCTGACCCGAACCCGGCCATTGCACCGCCTGACCCAGCGACACCACTCGGGCTGAGAAGCATCGAGATGCTATCGCTACCACTACCATCGCTTGCGCCCGAAGACCCAGAGCTGAAGGTGATGCCTCCTGTGTTCGAGCCGGAGCCTGTGCCTGTAGCCGCTGCCGCCGCCGCCAAGTCGGTATAATAAGGTAGCACATTGCCTGCAGGTCCCATGCCGCTTTGAGCATTCGCAGCTACGCTCAAACCACTTGGGCTGACACCCATCATGGAAGCGCTGTCGCTAGAGAAGCCAGAGCCCGAGCCCGAGCCCGAACCCCAACCAGAGCTTGAACCCGAGCTTGAGCCAGAGCTTGAGCCAGAGCTTGAGCCAGAGCTTGAACCAGAGCTTGTGCCAGAGCTTGAGCCCGAGCCCGAGCTTGAACCTAAGCTTGAGCCTGCCATCGACAGGCCGGTAGCCGAGGACCCTGAAGCCGCTGAGGCATAGGCAGGAACGCCAACAGCAGCAGCGGCAGCGCCCGTAGCGGCGGCAGCGCTCCCGCCGCTGGCAGCAGCAGACGCCATGCCACCACCGCTGAGGCCGCCCAGACCACTCGCGCCGAGACCCATGCCACCGCCTGCTGCACCACTTCCGCCGGCAACGGCTGTAGCAGCTGCGCTTCCTCCATTGGCACCCGAGAGCATGCCACCACCACTGAGTCCGCCGAGGCCGCTTGGGCTGGAAGCCATGCCTGCTCCACCACTTCCACCAGCCATCGCTGAATTCGCGGCAGCCATACCAGCACCAGCACCAGCACCAGCCGAAGCAGAAGCAGACCCAGAGCCCAGGCCTCCCGCCAATGCTAGTCCTGTAGCAGCGGGACCTGTCGCGTCGTTGGACAGCAGAGGCATGCCGCTCGGGGACGATGAGCCCAGCCCCGTCGTCAGGACGACAGCTGCGCCTCCAGTCTGGCTGGCGCCGCCGGACCCGAGCGACAGTGTGGTGATGGCAGAGTAGCTGTCTGACGTGGACCCTGAGGCGGTCACCTCCTCGTCATCCTTGACAATGAGAGCCTCAGCTGCTACGGGCTTGCCGAGGCTAGCCTGTTCTGCAAAGTCGTCGATGTCAAAGTCCATGCGCAGGGAGGGGTTTGCGGCCATGTCTGCTGCCCAGGACGTCCAGTTGAATTGGGCGCTGAACAATGAGTTCTCGCTGCTGCTGCTGCTGCTGCTGCTGCTGCTGCTACCCGACTTGGTGTCGTACACAAGTACCGCGAGGAGGCGCAGGTCAGATGTGGATGATGAGTTTGATGATGAGTTTGATGAGGAGGAGGAGGAGGAGGAGGAGGAGGAGGAGAACAGGCCCGAGGGCTCCTGAAAGTTCACAAAGGGGTCGGCATGGGAGCTCAACATGTTATTGCTCATGTTCAGCTGAGTGTACGAATTCATGGTCATCTCCTGCTGGACGAACAGCAGGTAAGACTCTGACCCGAGGTAAATGAGCTCCGGGTCGCTGCCGGCGATCTTCAAAATGGGGATCTCGAGGCCCAGGGCGAGGTAGGAACTGTTGGGACTGCCAGCCGGCAGACTCAGAGACGGTTGACTTGACAGAACTGCAATCACGCACAGGTTAGCTTGGCCTTTCTTTTTTTTTTTTTCCTGGTTTAGAGGTGGGAGGTGCTCGAGAAAACTTACCCTTGGCTGATATTTGGCTGGTTGGTGTCACAGAGAATGGAACGCTGTTACTACTACTACTCCTGGGAAGTACATATTTGAAAGAAGCGGCAGCCTGGCCGTGTAACAATGCCATGGTGGCAGCGGCAGCAAGGCGCTGCCTTGAACCTGAGAACTTCATGACAGGGAGGAGGGGAAGGAGAGGGAAAGAAAGAGATAAGGAAAGGGAAAGGGGAATGAGCTTGTTGATCAGAACCAGGACCTCTCAAGGGTGAAAAACGGTGCTTGTCTGTGCCGGCGACATGCAGAAAAAGAAATGCGAAAAATAAAATCAAAGGAAGAGGGCCAGCCGAGAGAAGAGGAGCAAAAAAGACATGCAAAGAAACAGAGTCAACAAGGAAAACTGCAAGACAGCCTGCTGTTGTGTGGCATTAGGAGAGACGAGGCGATCGTGGGGTGGGGACAACAGCTGGTTTAAAGAAGGGCCTGGCGAGGACACCAGCAGCATCGGACGGAGGGGGCTCAGAAGCCAGGTCCATCACGAGAGAGGAGAGCGAGGCAGATTGGAGAGAGGAGAAATCATAATAATAGCTACATATCTGCTACAGGCAAAAGGAGGAAGCTCACGGAAGAAGCGGGTAGCCAGCATCTGTGACCCATTGCGCGCAGCAAAGAGGCCGCGGCCTTTGCTAAGCATCTAGAAAAGACAAGTAGAAGAGGGGAATAAGGGAAAAGAAGAAGGAAAGCCGCCCTGGGTGGCCGCCGAGAGGCTGTCAAAAAAGAAAGACGGTCCCGGGCGAGGGCCGCCGGAGGAGTTTACCGACGACCAGGCACGGCGGCACAGAGGCGGACGAGGGAGACAAAAGTGGACATCCGGTCTCTGGACGGGCTTGGCCGTGGGTGGGCGTGAAACAACCGAACAGCAGCGCGAAGGCCTTTTGAATAAGGGCCGAGGGTTTCAGTAGGCAGTAAGAAGGATCGGATGACATGACTGTTTGAGAGAAAGAGAGAGAGGGAGAGAGATGAGTGGCCGCCCATAGGGCCTCGAGTCTGACAGATCAAAGTCAGCATACTGTCATATAAAGTAATAAGGAAGGAGGCCACGTTGACTCTTATTAATAAGACAACGGAACACTGTTTTTGGCTTGTTTCTTCTATTCTTCTTTGCCTTGGTGTCACCAAAACGGCCTTTTGGAACCAGCGCATTGAACACAGCTGATGCAGATGACACTCGAAAGAGGAGTCGTGGAAATGTTGATGAGGCAAGGAGGATCGCATGCGGCATGGATGGATGACTTGCTCATTGGACTGGTGACAAATGGTCCCAGCAGGTAAAAGATGATAGTCACAAAAACTGAATGCTTCAATTAAAGAGTTGCATCAATCAATGGCTAAGTCTGGAGGCAATTCAGACAAGTCAAGAGGTGATGTAGGATGGAATGAATGTCTGGAGGACGCAAGGCAAGTCCAATGAAGGAGAAGGCTGATTAGCTGATGACGGTCTGACGATCTTGGGCTTACCCTAGCTCCTATGCTTAAGTAATCTGAGTTAGGTAATGCGAGGGCAGGGGTGGAGGGGGTACATGATGCAAATTCCCGACCAGCCTATCATGTTATGAAGTCTTTGTCTGTCGATTGGATCCCTCGCCTTTTCTGTCTTCTTCTTCTTCTTTTCTCCAGACAACAGAATTCAGACATGATTGAACTGGTTGCAACCATACCATACATATCGATACTTCCCACCTGACACCATTGCAAGGCTACCAGAGAACATCACATGAGAGCCTCTGTGGCGGTCTGGGGTAGACTCGGCGCTCTTGGCGACGGCTGGTACAAACAGTACAGTGCATGGGTTAGGCTCTTCTTTGGCTGTTGGTTGGGACTTGGGATGGGGTGGGTGTGACCCAAGCCTGAATTGGTCTGGGACTTCTTGGCAACCTTGATAAAGAATTCTTGGAAGATGGAATCCAAGCAACTGTATTGGCTGTGGGGGAGAGGAGAGGGGCACAGTATTATAAGAGAAAAAGAAAAGCATGATCAAGTTGGGTGGCTCCACCTCCACACATGATTACAAAATGTAAATGTGCTAACTGTACGCCATCCTCTCCGTTTCCCCAGATGCTGTGTCCTACTATTATAGTATAGTAGTATGCAGTACCCGAGTAGTCGTCGGAGGGGGCTGAAGGCTGTGGTCCCACCTCGACAGGACCCCTGATCTTGATAAGATCAATGATACGCTCCCTGCATGTGTCGGCTGCGGGTGGGTTGCAGCAGGGCAAGAATGATTCCATCCCAGAATGCCGGGACTGCGTGTGTGTCTCGGATGGGTGCACTTGGCTGGTGTACTTGATTCAATCCACAGTGATGATAAAATCAACAATTGAAAACATGAGAACATTGCCTACATAGATTCAAGAACAGAGGCGGTGAACCATTCAAACAGTCCTGCTAGAATGTATCAAGCATGGCATTGTAAAGTAATTGCATAGTCCAGCAAGTACTGCAGGCATGTACCAACTTACTTAGCTCAATACACACACACACAGTATTTGGTGAACAGTAGTACACAGTATTGGCCAACGGTATTCAGTAATTAGCATTTAGATAGCCTCGGCCCCAGCCGTTCCCAGCGAGTTCATCACCAGATTCCAGCGCCGCCTATTCTTATTCAGCGCCCTGCACAGTATGGCGTGCTACTTGCTTGCTTGTACAATGACTAGCTACTTACAGAGAAATCACGTTAAACGTGCTCAAGAGGCGTCGTCGGCTGGTCCCTCTTTTTTGATCACCGGCATAAAGACTAAGTGGCTCCTTCCTCCTCCTCTCTCGCGTCTGCTCAGCCTCTCCGCCTAAATTATGGTCCATCTATCATAGCTTAAAAAGGATCCACAACTCAGATCGAGGGCAGGCCCAGGCTCCTCCTCCTCCTTCTCCTCCTCCTCTTCCTCCGTCTTTTCTTTCTTCTCTTCCACAACTTGCATAGATAGTAAATTACCATTCAATCACATCTATCAAGTAAAAACAACATACGAGGCACAGGCTATCAGCGAAAAGGTTGATCCAAAAGAGTGGTCACTCTTATTATATCTCGAGGCCCAGGCTTCGGCCAGCCTTCGCCCTCCCAAATCTTCACATCCTCACATCCACCAACGCCGCCGCCGCTGCCACCGCCATCCACAACCATGGAACCTCTCTTATCACCACGAGCCACAGTGGCTCCCCAGGCTGGCATCCTCGAGGGCGGCAACCCTGTCGCCTACAATGCATCCAACCCGGTGCTCCTCTTCATCATCCAGGCCATCATCATTATCATCTTCTGCCGTCTCCTCCACTGGCCTCTGTCCTACCTGAACCAGCCGCGCGTCATCGCAGAGGTCATCGGCGGCATCCTCCTGGGCCCTTCCGTCATGATGCGCATCCCCGGGTTCCAGAATGCCATCTTTCCGACGGCCTCGATGCCTATCCTCAACAATGTCGCCAACCTGGGCCTGATCATCTTCCTGTTCCTCGTCGGCCTCGAGGTGGACGTCCGGCTCCTCACCAGCAACTGGCGCGTCGCCCTGACCGTCGGCCTGGCCGGCATGGCCATCCCCTTTGGCCTGGGCATCGCCATCGCAAAGGGTTTGTACGAGCAGTTCCGCGTCGCCGAGGCAGACGTCAGCACCGACCCAATCGAATTTGGCGTCTACGCCCTCTTCATCGGCACCGCCCTGGCCATCACCGCCTTTCCCGTGCTGTGCCGCATCCTTACCGACCTCAACCTGCTGGGCACATCCGTCGGCGTCACTGTTCTGGCCGCTGGCATCGGCAACGACGTGACCGGCTGGATCCTCCTCGCCCTCTGCGTCGCCCTCGTCAACAATGCCACCGGCCTGGCTGCCCTCTGGGCCCTGCTTTGTGTCGTCGGCTGGGCTCTGTTTCTTTGCTATGCTGTCCGTCCTTGCTTTATCTGGTGTCTCAGGAGGACGGGAAGTCTAGAGAAGGGGCCTACACAGGGCATGGTGGCCTTGACCCTTGGCATTGCCCTCGTCTCAGCCTGGTTTACTGGTGCGTCATGTCTTTTGATCTCTCCTCTCCCCTCCCTCTCACTCTCTTTCTCTGTGTGTGTCTCTCAAAAGGTCTACTTCACTTACTTACACATATACAAGGCATTATCGGTGTCCATCCGATCTTCGGCGCCTTTCTGGCCGGCTTAATTTGTCCCCACGAGGCAGGTTTTGCCATCAAACTCACCGAGAAGATCGAGGACATAGTCACAGTGCTCTTCCTGCCGCTCTACTTCGCCCTGTCCGGTCTGAGCACCAACCTCGGCCTGCTCAACGACGGCATCACCTGGGCCTATGTAGTGGGCGTCATCGCCGTGGCCTTTTCAGGCAAGATTATCGGCGGCACACTAGCGGCGCGGTTCAACAGGCTTGAGTGGCGCGAGTCCCTGACCATTGGCTGTCTGATGAGCTGTAAAGGCCTCGTTGAGCTGATTGTGCTTGTAAGTTAGAAGAAGAAGGAAGAGAGGGAAACGAGGAAAAGAAAGAGGTGACATCCAAGACAAGACTGCTGATGCTGACTCATTTTCTTTACAGAACGTGGGCTTACAGGCCAAGATCCTTTCTGAACGTACTTTTACCATCTTTGTTGTCATGGCCTTGGTGAGTTCTCGAATCAAACCCACACCCTGCTGCATATGGAAATGAAAAGAAGAAGAAAACCCATAAAAGAGGCGCTATTTTATATACCCTAAATAACTGATTGACTAACTATTTCCCCTCAGGTCACAACGGTATCTACCACACCCTTGGTCAAGTGGCTCTACCCACCATGGTACCAGGCCAAGATGGAAAGGTTCCGAAGAGGCGAGACAGACAGGGACGGAAACCCCATCAACCCAGCTGGCGGCCCATCAACCTCGAGCCATGGCGGCGCCACCATGCACGAAGGCGACGAAGGCGACGGGGACAAGGAGTGGAAGCCTACTGCGGAGATCCGTCGCCTCCTCGTCTACCTTCGCTTAGACAGCCTGCCAGGCCTCTTCACCTTCATCGCCCTCCTCGGAGCCGACGGCCAGAACCAGGACAACCACGACGATGAGGACCAGCGTGGCAGCGAAAGTTATTATGAAACCACGACGGCGACGACGACGACAACAACACCAAGGAGAAGAAGACCCCTACCTCCCCTCGAGGTCCACGGCCTCCGCATCCTCGAGCTCACAGAGCGCAACTCCTCCGTAATGCAGCTGACAGAAGGCGAAGGAGGCCCCAACCACCTCTCGGCCCGCGACCCCGTCGTAAACACCTTCCGCGCCTTCTCGCGCCTCCTCCGCTCATCCTACAACAACATCATCGCCGCCTCCGGCCGCGTCGCCGTCGTGCCTGCCCCTTCGTACGCAGAGACCCTCGCGCGACAGGCCGCCGACATCGCCGCCGACTTTGTTTTTGTGCCCTGGGGCGAGAACGACAGCAGCAACTTCAGCGACAGGGACACGACGACAGAGAACCACACAGACCCCGCCTCGTCGCTGGTCCTGGACGGAGCCGCCGCCCGTACAGAGGAGCGCTTCGCCAGCCGCAGCCACCTCGACTTTATCCACCAGGTCCTGCACAAACCCGCCTGCAACACAGGCGTCTTCATCAACCGCGGTCTCGGTGGTCTACTGCCTCCTGTGGACAGCAGGAAGAACAACAACAACAACAACAACATTAGCAGTAGCAACAAGGAAGGCGGCGTCAGCGTCACCATGTCCAGCAGCAGTCACAGCCTGTCCACAAGAGACAACAAGACCCATCACCAGATCTTCGTTCCCTTCCTGGGCGGCGTCGACGACCGCGTCGCCCTGCGCTTCGCCCTGCGCCTGGCTAGGAACCCCAACGTCACCCTGACCGTCGTCCACCCCCACCAATGGGGCGACGATGACGAGGTCGAGGTCGAGCAGCCAGGCCACAGCGGCGCAGCCACAAAAGAGGGTGCCCACAGCACCAGCGTCAACAACAACAAGGTGGTCGAGGGTGCCTCGGCGCAGGACATGGCTCTCCTGTCGTCGTTGTCGTCATCCCCACCGCAGGGGCTCGCCGGTCGCTTTACGATTGCAGAGGTCGACGCCACGCGCAGGACGGCTGTGGCAGAGGCTGTGGCCCGAGCGAGGGCCCACGTGGGCAACTCACCACAGAACGCCGGCGACCTCGTTGTGGTGGGCCGGTCACACGTGGACCTCGGCGATGGAGTGGTCGAGGTCGATGGCGGAGACTTGAGAAGGACGGTCGGGGTTGTGGCGCAGCAATTCGTCGACAGTGGTATCAAGGCAAGTCTATTGGTTATCAGGGCTGGCGGGGCGGGACTCAACTGGTAAAGGAGGGATCAAGCATTGGTCTCTTCTATCGAGCTCGCGACTATATTCTAGTATGGCTACACACACACACACACACACACACATATATATATATATATATATATATATATGTATGTATGTATGTATATCCAAGAAACATATCTGACAAGCACCTCTCTCGTCTTGTCATCCTCCCTCTCGAGCTGCTGTGGATAATTCGAGACAAGTCCACGGCGCGAGCAGTAGTGATGCCGCGCCCAGATCCGTCAACCTCGTGAAGCAGCCCTTATAACTGTCCATCGTGCTGGTATCTCTATCATCGAGCGGACCCATATTCCCTCTTGGTAGCTGGTAGCGGATGAAGACGGAGCAGCCAATCCAGATCCCTTCTTCCGATCGCACCTCTTCTGAAGGCCCGGGGTTCCCATGCAAGGGAACTTTCAGCTCTTCTGAGGCTGTTGCGACCATACTCTTGGGCAAGACTTTTTGTGTGTACAGCAAAGGCCTGGTGCATCATCAGTATCCTATCGACGCGCCGCTCAACCATTCTGCCTCAGCCTAGCCAAGGCGGCTGCCACACCACCCCCGAGCTCCTCCTCCTCCTGCTGCTTCTTCTTCTCCTCGGCCATCCGTCTGGACTCCTCAATGGCAGCTGCAAGCTCAGCATCTTCATCGTACTCTTCCTCCTGCTGTACGGGACGGGATAGCCTCGCCCTCTTAGCCTCCTGCTCATCAGCCGCATCGGGCCCCGGTACACCCCGGCTCCTGGACTCTGGGGTGCCCGCCATATCGCGCAGAGGCACGCGCCCCAGGGGGACAGCGTCTTCGAGTATTCTCCTCCCGGCGCGCGAGCTGTCACCGCCTTGTTCCAGCCCTCTTTTGGCGGCCCTTTTGACACGAAAAGGCTCCTCGACTGCGTCGCACCAGGACTTGACCTTCTTCTCGCCCCATCCACTAATAATACCGATGGTCTCCGGGTCAGCATTGACGGCGGCTCGCAGGCTGCCAAAGGTGCTGACGAGGGCGACGGCGTCGGCTTTGTTGACGGCGCGGGGTACGGTGACGAATTCAACGAGCTTCTCAGCATAGCCGGTGGCCTGGGCGCCCTTGATGGCAGCGAAGGAGGCGTGCTCGTAGGACTTATACAGCTCGAGGTAGCGGGCGGCCTCGGCGGCGGACCAGCACAGGATGAGAGTGACATTGTTGACCAGGCTGGTCTTGGAGAGCTCGCGGAGGGAGTCTTCGTGGTTGGGGATGTCGACCATGGCCAGCAGCACGCGGAGGTTATAGCGGCCCTGTAGGTTGCGGATGCGCGTGTAGATGTACTCGGGGTGGAGGCGGTGGTACTTGAGACTTTTGGTGGGAAAGAGGACAGACAGGATGGGCTACCAGTCAGCTGGTGGGAAACACATGGGACACACGTATACAGCAGATGCATATACAGTCACTCACCTCAAGAAGAGGGCACAGGTCGTCAGGCCCAAGCCGTAGTCGGCGGGAATATCGCTGTACTCCCATGCCACAGACTTGAGGCATGCCAGCACTGGGTTACCCTTCTGCCTCGGAGAGACCAGGATGGTAGAGCCCGCCGACCGCTGTGGTAGGGCCTGGGGCGTGGGCTGCTTGACACCTTGGGCGGCAGCAGCAGGTGGAGGAGGCCTGTCGAGCCTCTGAGGCGTGGGCTCTTGGATCTTCCGAGGCACTGGCTGCTGCACGCGACTCGAGCCGGGGACGGGTGAGGCAGCAGCAGCAGAAGCAGCATTGGATGGCCTGGCAGGTGTCATCGATGATACCGAGGCTGCCATTGCGCTGAGGAAATCAGCGTCAGCACCGAAGTCGTCCTCCATCTTCGTTCTTCCGGCTGGCCTCGCCGTTTCAAGATGTCATCTGGAGTATTCTTGTCTTTCTTGGTCAGTCCATCCGTCAGCAATAGAAATCACATGTCGTTCTGTCAAACGATAATCGCGTCTGGTGTGGATTCTCAAAACAAGGCGTTCATGAAATGGAGCATTTGCCTTGAACGGTATCTTTCTCACGTTGTGACTTCCTTTGACGTGTATCGCGCCTTCACAGTTTAACCCTGTCCCCTCTGCTCTTTCCTCATTGGGGGGAAAGTAGCGACCACTGACCAGGGTGCCTACCTCATACCCTGGTACCTTAGCGCCTAATGCTAAGTAGCACCTGTTGTTTTGTATGCGGTATGACGTAGCACAAACAACGGTCAAAGTGTGCCAGAGCATCTGATCAGCACATGTCTAACAGAACATGGACATGGCAAAGAGCACATGGCATATGGGATCGAAAATCACCATTCTTTGTTTGAGACAAAAGAGGGACATCTGCAAGTCATTCCATGTTGTCTCATCTTTTCTTTTGCTCGGTTCCTGTCTCCGACAATACAAGTAATTACAAGTATTTAGCACTTTGATGAAGCCTGCCGGGCAACATCCACTTCAATAATATTTAGGACAAATTCAAAGATCAAGAGATGTGTAATTAAAAAAAAAAAAAAAAAATATGATATTAAGCTGGGCCACCTTGTATAAAGCAACCCAAGAAATAGAAAGTATATAATAAGAGAAGTAAGAAATGAAGAGTAAACACGAAGACAACCGAAGAATCTGTTCCTAGTCCAATCCAGCCCAAACATTCCAACACCGATGCTTCCCTCCGTTCCATGAATACTTGACTATGTAGACCTTTTCCCATGCCCATTCACATTGCCCATATGCCATTGCCATACCTGTTTCCCTAATGCCAGCCCAAATTTGAGATATACATGTCCCAATCTTCAATCCACCTCCACCACCTGGAGCCCCTCAATCTCGCCCTCACTGGGACCTACCTTGACACACTTCTGCCCATCCACAATCCTCTCATGCGCTCTGTACAGCGCCCGCAGCCACACCTCAAGCGCTCCCTCCAGGCCATTCACCTCCTCAGCCGGCAGACCCTCCATACCACCACGTATCTGGTCCCGCAGCCTCTCGTACGCCTCGATCATAAGCCACATCTGCAGCTGTGGCACCTCCTGCTCTGCCGATGACGACGACGACGACGACGGCGATGATGAAGACGATGGCGCCGCTCTCTGCGATAGACCACTTTTGTTGGTGCTAGTAGTTTGCCTCGCCGCGGAGGTGAGCTCTCTCGCGAGGAGGTCCACGCAGACCTGCATGCCCAGTGCGTCCTCAAATCGGGGCAGCGTGCTCGTGCTCGTACTCGTCATGACGGGCGTGAGGGCGCCGTCCTCTGGAATGGGCGACAGTGCCTCCGGGGTGAAGGCCGGCTTGAAGTAGATGGTGTCCTCTTCAAAGTCGACGATGGTCGTGTCTGACATGGGCGAGCCCTCGGCTTCTGACTCCAATGACGCTGTTGTTGCTGTTGCTGCTGGTGGTGGTGGTGGTGGCGGCGATGTGGGCTCTCTCGGTGATTGTGGAAATGGTACCTGCGGGCGCGGCGATCGTCTCGTGATCGCCGACCGGATGGTCTCGATGCTGTGCAGCCTGGTCTCGGTGTCGTGCTCGTGTTGTCCTGGCTCTAGACCCTCTCGTCGCTGCTGCTGGTGATGGTGGTAGTTGTGGTGGTCGTGCTCATCAGCAGCAGCTCCTTCTGCTTCTACCTCGTCTCGGAGCCTCTGGCAGCTCCGTGCCTCCAGGAGTGCCCTGTACTGCTCTGCAATGCTGGGCTCGACATCGGGCGTCCTTATTGTCGGTATCGCCGGCTGCTGCTGCTCCTCGCTGCCTTCAAGCTGGCCTATCCGAAGGACGGGCGTCTTAGCGTATCGCCGCATCATAAAGGGCGACCTCAGCGCTGGTGGCGTGCCAGTACCATCTTCCTGTAGCGGCGGCGTGGTCCTGGTCGTCGTGGTCGTATCGACGGACGATCTCGACGGCGATTGCCTGACCGGAGCACCGTCCTTGACTGCCAGGTGAGCAAACTCCGGGACGAGCTTGCAGGGCGACCGAGATCTATCATTGCAGTCCGGCCGTGGCGAAGTCTCCATGGGGCGTATGTAGTAGCCGCTTTTTCGTATATATTCTTGCCACTTCGGATCGCTCAGGTCCGGAGGCAGTAGGGGCCCCTGCTTTGCGTGGCCATCACTCGAGTTTCGGGGTGAGTCTGTCGAGGCTCTGGGCGAGACATTGGAGATGACGGAGCCGGGGCGGTGTTTGGGGAGTTTGCGGAGCTTGTTTCTGCTCTTTGTGGTCGGGGTCGGGGTCGGGCTGGGGCTGTCGAGTGACAAGGACGACATGGCTGGCAAATGAGGATGATCTCGCTCTGTGTGTGTGTGTGTGTGTGTGTGTGTTTCCTCTGCTGGTGGCAAATGTTTATGGTTTGTTGACCTGCTGTATGGTGGTGACCTCTAGGTTTCGTTTCGTCATACGAGAAGATGATATGATATTCAGTACGACGAGAGAGAAAGAAAGAAGGATGTCGAAAGAAGGAGGGAGGAGATAGTAAGTAGTATACGAGAAGCACAGCATTCAAGCTTGCAGGTCTAGAAGAGCAGAGGGGCCAACGTGTGCCAGTATTCTTCCTTGGTAAACACGTTAGTGGTACTACTACTACTCAAGTAGTAGTACAGTATTACCCCAGAAAAAGCACATGCATAGCCTCGACCAGGATGACGTTTTCGTGAAGGATCCTGGCCAAGGACACAAACACACTTACACGACACGCCCACACCCACTACGATTAACAGGCACCATAATGGAGGGGGGCCAAGCCCATGCCATCCATACCTTTAGCCAAGACTGGCAGAGCCTGGGGACCTCGAAGGCGGTGGCGGCCATAAACAGACCCGCTAATGCAGCATCCACCCACACCCAGCAATGGTTCTGGCCCCTCTTCCTCCCGACTGGTGGACATGCTAAGGACAAGGTCTCTCTTTCCCACTCTGGGTGAACTTTTGCGCTGCCATGCACTCATATTGCCGGATCTGCAGGCACTGGGCTCTGCTGCCATCCACACACATACACACAGGTTCCTGAGCCCTGCTCCACAACCCCGGTTTTTCTTTTGTGTGCGCTGGACAAGTGAGTGACGCATGAGAGAGAAGGAGAGAAGGAGAAGAAGAGCTTCATAGCATGGCTGACTCTGACTCTGGGCTGTGGTGCTTGGGGGCCTTTTTCTTGCTTTTCCCTCCCTCCCGTTCATTCCTCCCGCTCCTCCACACAAGACGTTTCGTCCGATCAACGCGGATGCTCGGCTCCGAGCTAGTTTGTGTATCCATTAGGTAGTATGTTGGTATCGTATCACTCACACCAAAACACATTTATATTCCAAACTAAAGAGAGGAAGCGATGGGAATGAAGGGGGCAGGGGGAGATTAGAGTGGCTGAGTGGCTGAAAGGGCGACACTGTTGATCGTGGGGCCGCTTCGAGTACTGTACATTCAGTCTTCAACCTTCAGCCGGACAAGCTGATTGAGATGACGGACCCAAAGGCCAAACACCAGCCACTTGGGTGTAGTGACGCGTTTCTCCCTTGCTCTCATCCTCCTCTTTCCTCCTCTTCTTCCTGTCCACGTTGCAGCAAGCACGGTCGATAGAGACGGAGGAGCAGCCGGACAAGCGGTCAACAGTTCCCCCCCCCCTGCCACTGCCCACACACACACGCATCTCGTCATCAAGAATCAATTTGTTGTCCAAGGCAGAGAGTATGTGCTTCCAAGTTCGCCCTTAAGGATAGTAGTGGTCTTGGGCGAGCGGGTCTAGAACGGAAACCGCGGAATTTGGCGAGCCGTAAGCATTCGTCCACGCCATGCTTCTTCGTTGGCGTCAGGCATATGCGACGCTAAGGCTGCAGTATGGCTGAACGAGAACGATGACGAGATTGGGAGGGGATTCAAGAGAGAGGGCTGTTTCACGAAGTTTATGTTTGTGGCACGTGGGAGAAAGAACGAGGGTGTCAGTTAGAAGGGAGGGAAAGGAGGAGGGAGGGAAAGGAGGAGGGAGGAGGAGGAGGACAAGGGGTGGAATCTCTTCACCTCACAACATGCCTTCAGTTGCTCATCTCTACGATGTACATCCCAAAGCTTCTTTCCTGATCATCTACTATAGTACTTGATGACTCGACTATGCGCAAGAGTGAATTAGCTGCACTTGTGACATCAGTTGACTCGGTCAGATCTGATGTTTTTCCTCCTCAGACGTTTACACAATGCTCCTGCGCTTCCTATGATCTCACTCCTTTTGCATTGGCGTTAGCATCATTAAAAGGATTTCTTTTTCTTTTTTTTTCTTTTTTTGTCAAGACTTGGTTTTTATTTCTACCCTCAACTCCAATGTCGCAAATCTCATGGGTCTATTTATGACCTCCATCCTTACTGCTCTCAATGCACAGCACCACCGAGGTAGGTATTGTGTAACCCAAGATGCCATTCATCAAATTCATCCTCGCCCACGTTGTCTTCTTTTTCAGTTGTTGAATCATCTCCTGTCACGCCATCTGGTCCTCCGTATGCTAGGTGGGGAAGAAAGACCTTTGATCGTTCATGCTATCAGAGAAATTCGTACCGAGAAGGGAAAAGAAAGAAACAAAGATCGCCATGTGGGTGGAGACTGCAGCGTCCATCGAGATGGATCAAAAAGATGGCAGGACCATTATGCCATAACCGACGCCTGAGGAAAAGTCCTCTTTTAAAAATAATAAAAACTGGTCAACAAGAATCGAAAGCAGGATGAGTGCTCCGGTTCGCCCAGCACCGCAAGCCTGGGATTCACCCTGCCAAGAGAGGAGAGTCTTGTCAAGGGTCGCATATTACGGAAAACTCGCATACGGAAAAAGAAGCCCATCGACTAGAAGAAAGGCGCCGAAGGGGCTTTTGGGGGAGGAGGGGGGTATAAAGCCGAGAACAGGGGGGAATTCGTGCGCCTGTTATGAGCCCGCCGCGTTCGGTGCCCATGGTTCTGCAAAGCTGCGAGCCTACATGATGATCGCAGGAACGTCAACGTTGGCCTTGATGGACTTGTGGGGCAGAACACTGCCACCATTGACATAGATCTCGTCGCCGATGGTGACATCGTCACCCAGGACGGTCACGTTCTCCAGGCGTGCCCACTTGCCCACACTGCTGTTCCAGCCCACGATGGCGCTCTTGACCCAGGCATGGTCCTTGACCTTGGAGCCGGACAGGATAACACACCGCTGCAGGCGCACGCCGTCGCCAATGACCACATTGGGGCCGATGGTGACGTTGGGGCCAATCTTGCAGTTCTTGCCGATCTTGGCCGAGGGGTCGACCATGACATTGCCGCCAAAGACGAAGGGTTCGGTGGCGGGTGCGAGGAGTTTGGATCCCTTGCGGGCCAGGGAGCCGAGGTACAGGCAGGTTCCGGAGAGGAAGTCCTTGGGCTGGCCAACGTCCATCCAGAAGCCCTCGAGGTCGAATGAGTGCAGCTGGCCGTCCTTGACCATGGCGGGGAAGGTCTCCTGCTCGATGGACGTGGGGCGCAGGTCGATGCGGTCGAGGACCGAGGTGTTGAGGATGTAAATGCCGGCGTTGATGCGGTTGCCGACGAACTCGACAGGCTTCTCGACGAAGCGGTCGATGCGCGAGGGGTGGTTAGGCTTGTGCACGATCACACCATACTTGGACGGCTCCTCAACCTTGGTGACCACAATGGTGCCCTCATCGCCGTGTGCCTTGTGGAACGCAGCCAGTTCCTTAAACGGGTATTCGCAGGTGACATCGGAGTTGAGGACGAAGAAGGGGCGGTCATCCTTGCCGAGGACCTCGGCGGCAAGCTTCAGGGGACCGGCGGTGCCCAGGGGCTCCTGCTCAACAGAGAAGGTGATCGTGACGCCAAACTCTTTCTCGTACTAGATCGAGGCCGCAGGGTTAGCTGAGTGAATCCGACAGAAGCGATCGACTAACTGGGTGGGTGCAAGACCACGCCAGCCAGGAGGAGAGAAGACAGCAGAGGGCGGAGAGCACCAAGGGGGAAGGAGGGAGAGGAAGTGGGAGCGGGGAAACGTGGATTGCGTAGGGGGATGCGCAAGACTAACCTCCTTCAGGTGGGCTTCCATGATCTCTGGGCGGTAGTTGACAGCGAGGACAATATCAGTCACACCAGCCTCAGCCAGAGCCTGGACCTGGTGCTTGATCATGGGCTTGTTGGCAAACTCGACGAGGGGCTTTGGGAGGGTCAAGGTCTGCGCGCAAGTTGTAATAAAATCAGCCAATTGTTCTTGTTCTTCTTCCTTTTGTTGGTTTTAAATCTTATGCTTTCTTGCCCCTGGGCATCACCATTTTGCTGTCTGTCTAGCTTTGATGGTGGTGCACAGGGCACGGCGTGTAGCTCGAGGGCGGGGAAGCGGTCGTGGTTTGGATCATACCAGAGGTCGCAGACGGGTGCCGAAGCCACCCACGAGGATGAGAGCTGCATTGATGAGGGAACATATTAGCTCTTTGACTTCATCAAGATCTTTGGTGTGGCCAGAGCCTGGTCTGCAAGTGTTTGACGACTAACCCTTCATTGTGGTGGTGGTGGTGGTAAAAGGGTATTGAACGAGAGTTTCGAAGGGAGGGGAAACGACTGGAGGAAGGGTTGCGACAAGATCACCAGATGCTTGGCACTGTTGGCAAGATCGAGTGTCGGCAGTGAAGATCTGCAGAAGTGATTGTTGAATAAGCACTTGGTGGTCAATCCCTCTTGTTGTTGAATGATTGATCAACTCGACACAGCAGGTCGAGGATTTGCGGGTTTGGTTGGTTTTTAGAAGTCGAGGTCGAGGTGGTGGTAAACGAGGACAGCTGTAGCTTTTGGGTAACACGACTGCAATGGTAGACACAGACCGGCCCTTACAGTAGAGGACAGGCAGAGTGATCGGTGCTAATTGGGGGGGAGGCAACTTACTGACAGGGGTGGCTGTTGCCCCCCCAGATTTCAGGGCCCACACAGGTTGTCAAGGGACAAGTGTTATACTACTATTATAGCCTAGTAATTACTATCGTACCTGGTAAAAGGGGCCCGCCAGGGGTTCACAGGCTGGCTAGGTGGGGTTGAACACGGCTTGGTCGCCAATCAAACCTCCATAAGGGCCAGCACGGGAAGCCCAGCAGGTCTAGCCTTTACCATAGCCAATCTCTTCCGAAAAAGATGAAATTGACTCTCTCTGTTCCTTTTAGTAACACCTGACCTCTGAAACCCCCTTTTTGAATTCCTCCTGTTCACTATACTATTCTTATTCTTATTATTAGTATTGTCCTCATCAATCCTCCTTCTTCTCTTTATTATAACTTGCTGCCTGTCATTATCCTAATATAGTATGTATTCATTACCTGTTCAGCGGGTGCATTGAATCCTGACAGGGCAGAAATTGTCAGTTGATGACCCTGAACAACAGGGTTCCAAGATACACACATATTAGCCTTCTGGACTGTCTAGAACATCGTAAACGAATATGCTTATACTAGACTAGTCTGTCAGAACCCTATTGCCTCGTATGATTTACCAGAACAGTAAGGCAACGCTCCTTGCACGACGCAAACTCATCTCTTCTCTCGTAAAGAGGGAGTCGTTCTCGTGACACTTATACGAGACATACACACGCCACTACACCAAAACCCAAGACCTATCTTGTACCATCTGGAGAGTACAGCTGTCCTTTTTCTCTCTTTCTCTCTTCAAGCCGCCAACACTGTTCAGTGATACAAAGTCAACTGTGGCTCTCATCTTGTCAATAACTTACAAGAAAGATGTCCTAAGCCATTGTATAGTCCGAGATTGTGGATTGCCCACACGTGACATGCCCCCCCCCCCCCAATTGTAACCCATTTGGACCAACTGACGCCCCCCCCCCCTTGCCTCACGTAGGTTGCCTGCCCACCCAAAAGGAGGGAGGGCAGAGACGGACCCTGTTGTAGTATTGGGTTTTCTATTTTAAGAGTTTTACCTAACTTACCGGCGGCCCCCTTTGCCCCTCCCGTGCGGGCCCTGCCGACCCTCCATATCCCAGAACAACCCTCCCAGATTGTGTAGAAGGGGGTGGCTACGTTGGCCTGGGATCTGGACATGTCGGTGGTTCCCCTTACCCAAATGTCCGAAACCACGCAATCCAGTGGGTTGCACTTTTCACGTCCCTGATAATTTGTTGGGATAAGATAGATGTCTGAGAGGGCGCCCAGGTGGTGTGGGTATGAAACGAAAAGGGAAAGTTGCTTTACTCTGTAGTAATTACCACATAGGATAAATGTCTATGCGCCAGCTGGAGAGACGCACGAGGTGGTGGGTGTGGTCATGAGGAAAGAGTCGCTCGCTCCTTTAATACTACGAGTTGGGACAAGATTATCTGCTGCAGAGGCTGTGCGGCATGGAAATGGAGGGTATTCATTATCATGATTTCTAAAAAAGGAATTCATAAAGGTCGTACAAATCGTTACTCTGTGTTTTTTGTCTTCTTCCACTCACCAGGATGGCTCCTGTTGCCAACGAGGAAAATGATCGTGGGCAGTCCTGGAAAAGAAACCTCTCATCGACTCGACTGATGATCTTGAGCCATTCAGCAGCCATCATCTCCACCCACACACACTGTTCGATCCGTTCCGAGCGACCACCCCGGACATACTTCTCTCAGGGCCACGGCCGAGAGACATCACATCAAACCCAGCGCCTCGTCAATAAGAACCAGGACAAAGGTATAGCGGGAATCCAATAGAGACGCTCATGAGTCGAAATGCAGTCGTTAAAAGAAACAAACTCATCTTGAATAAGAAATTGAAGAAGAAGGAAGAAATAGAAGGACCAGAAAAAGGATAGAATGTGGTTCCGTTCCATTTGTGGTAGCCAGAGGGCAAAAGTCAAATCCAGCGTAACCGCCGCCACGCTTCCTCTGCATTCCACCCATGAGAACATTGAGGAGGTAAAAGTGCAAATCTATCTTTCCTCCCGTTTTGGAACTTTGAAAGGTCCATAAATGTGTGTTTTTTCCAATGCCTTTTGTTTTTATATTTTCATCAGAATCGTCCTCCATAAGGTCCAAGATCTAGATTGCCCCGGAATCGTGTTTGGGGTATGCTCTTTATTTGTTGAGAAAGAAAAACAAAGGGAAAAGGAGAAGGAAAGAAAGGCGGCCGACGCAGCCTTGGAGGACAGCCCACACCCGGCTTGTCCATGCATATAGCTCAGCAGGTCATCAAATCATATCTTTGGTATGTTTGAAAGAGAGGAAGAGGAAAACGGTTGGCGAAAATGAGCCAGACAGAGAGGCTCGATCTTTTGAATTAAAGTCAAAATGCCGCGATGTTCGATTGATCGAATATTCATTCCTTTTTAATGTCGTCGTCGTAAGTCATTGATGTCGTTAAAAGCCACGCCAGATGCAAAGTTGTTTTTTTTCTCTCTTTTTTTTTCTCGGTTGTGGTATTCGGGTGAAAGTCATGATGATGGAGGCAAGATGAAAGATCGTCAGGGGAAGAGATGTTGATGAAGGTGAGTCCCGTGTGCGGGGGTAGCGCTTGGTTGAAGATGACGCCGTGAAGCCTCCGTACTGTCGGTCGGCAAAAATGGAGAAGAACCAATAAGAAGTGTAGGACGAAGATCCGGAAATCCCCCTCTCCTCGTGTACTTGTTGGATCCGGCTTCCTGGTCCTGGGTCTAAAATAGACCTGCTCCCTAATGAAAAATGAGAGATCGTCGCAACCCCTGGGCGAGACAAGGAGTTGTGCTCTTATGCCACGTGGTTTGATGCAGGTTGTAAACTTGATCTGCGTGGTGGCTTTTGCGAGGCGAGTAACCCCCTGGCCACCTCGTGACGCGCACGTGCCCCTCCCTGTGTTGCATGTAGGGCTGTGGAGGCTGCCTGAGTCCGTCTCTCATGCTCTCTCAGTCGCCCCTCAGTCGCAGGATGCAGTCGAGCTGCCCGAGGAGTGGTGCCCAGATCGGCCTCTGCGCCCATGGTGGTGGTGGTGGGAGGGTGTCGAGGCGTGGCGGCTGCTCTTTCTGTGCTTGCGGTTCGATTCGTCCGCCGGCAGACCCTGGACGATGCCGTTGCGGGCCAGCATGCCACCATTGACGCTGAAGTTCCTGCACACCATGAAGGCGCGCATGGCGGCGTTCTCACGCGCCAGCTTATCAGTCTGGTAGGCCAAATCGGTCTGGTACTCGCGGCCGTTGACCAGAACTAGGCAGGTGTAGCCGGAGGGCTCTCGGTAGCATTCGTATGTCGGCTCGGTCCATCCACGTCGCTGACAGAGACCTGCGAACACCTGCATTAGCCATGTGTCTTTCCCTTTGGATATGCACGTATGTATGTATGAGGTGAAGTTTGTCGCCCTGCTTGGTGCCCAATCTCACGTGCCCCTGACTGGCGCCCAACTGTCACACTGCCACACACACTCTCTCGCGTATTTTCTTTCTTCTTTCTCTCTCTTCCCTTGTCCCTTTCTCCCCTGGCCCCTTGCCGTTTGTGCCTTTCACACACGTCATGCCGCCTCTTTGCCATGCTTTCCACCGGCCCGAGGCATGTCCAGCTAACATGCTGGGGCGCATGCCAGGGCGGACGGGTGATGATGCGAGGAAGAGCTGCATGACAGCCCAATCATGCACAACATTCCAGCCCTACACCGTGCAGCGCCCCGTAGATGATGAGATGCGGCTGCAAATATACCCAATGGCCACTCTTTGCTGCGCTCAGATCGAGAGATGAACAGGCCCAGGGTGCCATCCAGCCCCCTCCACAACCCTGTGGGGAGCAACAGGAGCTGGAAGTGGAAGCAGAAACAAAGACGTGGCACACACGCATCCGCACGTGTATTAAGGCAGGGGTCCTTCTTTTCCATCTTGGATGGATGGATGTCTCATAACATTTCCCCACGACTTCTTATCCGCACCTCCACTAAGACAACGCCCAGGAAAGAAAGTCTTCGTAATAGATGCTTCCTTTCTTTTGAAAAAACGAAAGTGCCCATTGGGTAATAGAATTAGGCCGATTGGATCCCAGATGTTCAACTTACTATCAAGGTATTGCATGTAGAATCCGTCGGTATATTTGTGGGCTTGGGCCGCCATGGCTTGAGTGATACACAGCTGAAGAGCGATGTGTAGGTGTGTATGTCTTTCGATGACAACCGAGACGAAGTCCGCAAGCCGGCAGGCTAAAAGTGGAACACCAACAAAAAAAAGTAATAAACAAAGACGTCGTCCGGTGCTCCAGCGAGGTACTCGAGCTGTCAAAAGCTGACGGCGGCGACAGGAGAGTGGAAGTGAGAGTAAGATTGGGAGGGAGAGTGAAGGGACACGATGGGTCGTCCTGCAGGACCGATGGGGGGGAGAAGAGTTGATGCAGTCGAGCCCAACCTAAGAACAGCCCTGGGTAAATGGAAGGCTAAGCACGGCGACGTGTAGTAGATGGGGCAGCAATGCTGATGTCCAGGGATTGGGGAACTCCTTCTGATGGGTGACCTTGTTGTTTCTTTTCCTCGTTTTTCCTTTCCTGGAGAAAGAAGAGGAGCGGAACCTTGTTCTTGTTTGGGTTGTTCTCCTGAGGATATGAGAGAGGGGATTGGAAGACGAGACGAGGCGAGGCCAGACGAGACGGGTTCTTGCTGTTACTACGAGGAACTTCCAAGGGCTTGGGGTGTGTGCAGGGAGAGGGACGAGCCAGCAACGGCGAGACATGTGTGCTTTATTGCAGAAAATGCCATCCGCGTGTGCGGGGCTCCTGTCTGGATACAAGACCCAATTCCATGTTCAGGAAGAGGAAATACCGGCGGGAGAGCAGCGTGTGCCGGGATGGCATGGCCTTGGATGCGCGAAGGGGGAGGGGGGGGGGCAAATGGACGAGGGAGGCAAGGAGGCGGGAGGGTTTCGACAGAGCCAATGCAGGTCGAACTTGCGGCTCTCGAGAGTGTGACCCATCTTGATGCGCTGGCGTATGTCGTCGCCAGTTGATAGAAGACGCCGCGACTAGAAAGCTCCACCCTGGTACATGTGGGTGGCCATAAGAATGCAGGACAAGGAAGGGAATAGAAGGAAGAGAAACACCGAGGGTACATGGGACAGGACCCATACGGGTAGCGTGTACAAGATACAAAAGCCCATGCGAGGAGAAGAAGGGGGGGGGGGGAGACAACTAGGGGACCGTAGTATGTGTGTAGTAGTAACAATAGCAACAGGAGCAGCAGCAGCAGCACAGCAGCACAAGGAGAAGGAGGAGGACGAGGACAAAGTAGATCGGCCAAAGAGGATGATGAGAGATGAGGAGATTCGACCGTGATGACGGTTGCCGGCCTCGAGCTTGGCGATAACGGGAGCTTCCCTAAGCAAGCCCTTCTCCGCCTGTTCTGTCAATCTTACTGGTGTATAATATACGGTGTGTACGTATCTCTCTCTCTTCTTTCTCTGTGTATGTCTCATGTGCTGCTCGAGACAGGGAGAGCCAGGTCGGAAAACAGTGACCGCAACTCCTCCTCCTCCTCCTCCTCCACGATACGGATCCGGGACCACGAACTGCGGCCGAGCGGGACCCTCTGGAAAGGGAAGGGGAATAATCGTATGAGGTATATCGACCGGCACGGACACCAGCTGCGGTACCAGCAATGAACATGCCGACATTTGCCTTCCCTGAGTGCTTCCCCGCCTGTTCGGTAAGTACTGTACGATGTACTCGACGGGCGCCATGTCTCCTCCTACCCATGCTAGGTAACAAGCGCAGTGTAATGCATGCCGAGGAAAGGGGAGAAGAAAAAAGAGAGAGAGAATAGAGATAGGTGTGATGTGGCAAATAAACCCATGTTGCCTCAGCTGCAAGAGACAAGTAAATCGAGGAGGGGGTGAGGGAAGCGGGGAGGGGATTAAACAAAAACTAAAAAAAAAAATAAAAAATAAAAAAAAAAAAATGGAAAGCGTTTCCCAAGTCGACCTCCCCAGTCAGATTAGGCGCCAAAGCGACAATCTGAGCTATAAGTAAATCTGTGGAAGGGATATGCCCGCTTCCAAAGGCGACCCCCCCTCTCCTTTGGTCCTACCCTCTCCCAATGGCTCCTCGATCGCGACATCTGGTGTTGAGAAAGGCGCGGCAAAAAAAAAAAAAGGGGGGGGGGGGGTTGGAAGGAGGAAAGAAAAAAAAAAAAAAAAAAAAAAGGCCCCAGCCACAAGTCAATCTTTTGCAAGCTTGCTCTGTGCTTGAGCACAATAATCTAGGATCCCAGAAACGGCGATACGCTGAACTGTGGGTGTTCTACTAATCTGGGATCATCATTGCAAAAACCCCCCCCAGTCTTGGGTCCAGGCACGACACTGGGCGGCGTTCCGCTCTGAACATTGTTCTCTCTCTCTCTATCTCACTCACTCTCAAAAACTCGGGACACCCGGGGGCGTACCCAAGTTTGATATTCCAACCCCGTCAGCTGGCTTATTATTGCATCTGCAGCCAGCAATATGCTACTCGATCGAGTATGGCGTAATGTCGGCCATAAATTTCCCGCAGCTTTGTTCCAGAAGCAAGCTCCTGTTACCAACGGTGGGAAATATTGGACAGGGCCGGTGCCATTTTGGATGCATAGGTTTCCATGACTGGGATGACGCCATGTTCGGGTCGATTACTGTGAGCGGTTCACATTCTCTCATCACACGATGTGGTGGTGTTAAAAATCTTGGGGTTTGGCGGTGGGGCCCCAGATGTCATCCCAAGAGAGCCGTCAGAATATCTGTCACATGATATAAAAGGTAAGAAAGAAAGAGAAAGAAAAAAGACGGCGGGGTCGCTGATGAGCACGACTGTGTTCCATTGCGAAGCCATAGATGGGAACATAGTAGTATAAATCTTAGTACTGGTGACCGAGTGTGTGGGTGAACATCGATATCCGGCATGGACAAATCGACCCGCACCCCCTCCCCCCTACTCTCCTCTGAAGAATACCAGGAACCGAGATTTGTGGGACCGGATGGACACAGCAGCAAGGGCAGACTATCACAATTGGGTAAGATTGAGGACACCAAGAGAGAAAGAAAAAAAAAGGTACAAAAAAAATTCAAGCCGGGCAGTGATGGCGACTTTTGTCCAGAAGCACGAAACCGCCAATATAATGCGTATCTTCGGAGTGTTTGGGATCATACCCTCGGATGAGAGGACTCGGATCCCGCATAAAGGGCGCGATGGTGAGCCGGCGCTCGTCTCATGACGAGGAGTGCATGTCCAGGCCAGGCTATTACTACTACACAAGTCTATACTGCAGTAGGGGCAACAGCTGGGTCGAGGCTAGCGGCGGCCACGTCGTGCGAGGGGAGGTAGGCCATGGTCTCTTTGGTGCTTGGATGACAAGATTCTCGACGTTGTAGAAATAACAGGGTGCAAATGACGGATTTCTACTCCGCAACACACACACACACGCACAAAAGTTACTACTGTGGTACAGACAGGTGAGGACGTGGAGCTAAGCCTGCTAGAGCCGCCACAAACCCATAAGCAAGCTGGCTGAATGGCGGTATTTTTCTCTCTTCATTTTCTTGTTGTGTTTTTTGTCAATGGTTCTTTGGGTCCATCCGAGTCGGTGAGAGGCAAAACGAGAGCGACATGAGATGCATGGAGAGTGACCGAAGACTAGCCAAACCCTTGTACAGGCGTGCAGGATGGGGGCCACTCTAACGCAGTCGAGAAGCCGGAGTTTGATGGGTGAGGAGTGGTTCTATGAGTGGAGGAGACACGGTTGTAGCAAGCAGAGCTTTTCCCAGTCCCGTACATGGTGGTAGTACACCACAAGGGATGCCCGTCCCGGTACCTCCTCGGTAAGGTTAGGATGGAATAATCAAGGGCCTTACCTATTCATGCACTGATGAGCTGGCAATGCGCCTTGGGAGATTAAAAATCTGACATCCTGACATCTTGTGCCGTCCAACACCCCGACACGCAAGTATTGTCGTCGTCCTCCTCACCCTCTTTTCTTGACGTCCCCACACACCTTGGCCTTGTCTTTTTCCTGGCACGTAGCCTTGTCAGGACCAGACAGCTGATATGATAAGACAAGAAAGAGCAGAAGCAGGAGAGAGAAGACCGAGACAGACCCAGAGAAAGAGAGACATTGATGAGGATATACGAAGATGTATACATGATACCGTCAACAATGTGTGGGTGTGGTGTGGGTGTGTCCGTCCCTGAGCCTGGGGAGATCTGCCAAAAACAGAGGCACAGCAAGGCCCGGCAACAAGCAGGTTGGATGAATGCAACGGCCAAGGCCCTGGGGCTGGGCCGGGCTGGCTGTCAGGGGAGGCCCAGGACAAATGGGCAGATCGGACCCAGATCGACTTTCGAACCTGTGGAGCGCCAAATGGAATCGACGAACGAGACGCCGAGAGAGGAGGGGTCTTCAAGTGTACCATGTATGTACCGTATTCCACACATGATGCAAGACAAGGGCCAAGCTTGTGTACGTACATCCACTACTGCAAACATACCTAAGTAGTAGTTTGGCAAGAGAGAGAGAGAGAGAGAGAGTAGAAAGCAATTGACATGCAGGGTTGTGCATTGGGACTCGACATGTGAGCCAATTGGCCGTGGAGGGATTCGGAGAATAAGGTATGCCACACACTGATGCTGCTGATGCTGCTGCTGATTATCATCATCATCATCATCATCCTTCTCGCTGATGATGTTTTGTTTGGCGCAAGGAATCCAGTAGAGGCCACGATCGATTGACTTTAGCAGGAGAGAAGAGGGGGGGGTAAACGGGGGCCTGAGGTATGGGATGCTAGTGCTTGGTACAGTACATACATAGTACAAATACAGAGACTGAATAGACTTGAAAGAATTCCTTGATGTTCTTGACCACGTTGGTTCGAGCGTAACGATATCTTGCCAGGGGTCACTATAATATTGGGTGGGGTAGCAGTGGGTGGTCGGTGGTTGGGGGAGGGGTTAACCTTTGGTAATTGAGTAATTGGGAAAGACGGATGGGGGAGGGGTGGTAGTATGGGAGGGGTGAGGAAGAGCCGGGGAGGGGGTGGGTAAGGGGGGCAAATGTCCATCCATGATGGAAAGAGAGATGTAGTGGACCCTGGATGCTACTACCACAGAAAAAGAAGAGTGAAAAGGGAAAGGACAAGGAGGGAAACCCCGCCATCAACATCACCAAACCAAGGAAGGTACCTATACAACCTGCTAAATCTTGACGCGGTCGATTACTTGTTTTAGCCTTCTTCCCTGTCACTACAGCTTCCCGAGGCGCGCGCCTCCGTCGCGTGGTTGTTCATGGTCCTTCCATGAGTCTTTTCGTAGGCGTAACGAGAATTGCTGCTAACCTATCATTCGCGTAACTCAGGACTCGACTCAACTCAACTCGAGTCGACTCGGCTCGGCTCAGCTCAGCTCAGTTCAACTCATATTGGGGAAACGTAAGACGTGAGAGGCATGGGAGCGGTTGCAGGGAGAACACAACAACGGTATTACAAGGGGGGGAAAAGACACAAAAAACAAAGGGCCCAATTTGTGTGTGAGCAATAAGAAACCCTAGTGTTGTTGCATTCCGCAATCCGTTACCGTGTGTTTCGTAGCTCTTTGCCACAAAATCAGTGACATCGAGGAGCTGGTGAAGAGGGCAAGGACGAGGACAAGCAAAGAGTCCTGTCCCTCTTTCCTTAGCTAGACACACGTACGCACACCCCCCCCCCCCTTCTTCACCTTCCCCCCAAAACCCAGCCCCTCTATTCCATTGCATACCATCCCACTTCCACCATCCATCCCACTTAGTGGTTACCTACCAGCTCGTCTTATCTGCAGCACATGCAACGCAATCCAAGTCCACGTCAAAAGACTTCACTCCAACGTAACGTCATACTGCGTCTTCTTCGTCGATGGGCAACATTTGGGTTGGAAGATTCTCCTGGGGGACGACGATGCACAGGACTCCACCATCTCAAGCCATGCCAGCCTCTGTTGTCTCGAGAAAGACCTCGCCCATTGCCTTACACATACACGTACACGTACACAGACACAGACACAGACACAGACACAGACACACACACACACACATGAGGGAGAAAGAGTGGGAAAACGCTTTGGGAAGCCTCTGACAAAAATCCCGTGCGCGTTCGTGGCCTGGCCTGGCCTAGGCTAGGCTCTCGGTGCGGGTGGGAGTGGGAGTGGGAATGAGTGGCACCTTGTCTGCCACGAGGCGCTCGTCGAAGATCGAGGCATCCATTACACAGCATGATGGGTCACCCGCTCCCACATTTCGTCTCAGATGCATCTGAGTCAAAACAGAACTGAGCAAAAGGGTGAATAAATAAAAAAATAAAAAAGAAGAAGAGATAAGGGGGAAAAGAACAGATGTGGGTCTATACTCGCTCTAGCTGCCAGGCCTCTTTGTCTGTCAGTTGTCACCCTCCTAGGAAATACCACCCCTCCAACCCCCCCTTTTCTATTTATTATTTGATTTAACTTTTTTTTTGGCTTTCGTTTTTCTCAGGATTCCGGACGGCCCCTCCCTTCCTCGGGATGAGCCACTGGTGAATATCATCTGATATCTGACCGCATAGTACGTACATGAAAACTCATGGACACGTCAACAAGAGGCCCGTTATGGCGGCCTGGTGGGCATGCAATGTACGGTCAGAGGGCGTCATCTCACCAAACTTTCGGCCCTTGGACAGCAGACGCCACCTCGGGGGGATCCTCACCCTACAGTTGGTCCTTCTCTTTTCCTATTTCCCCTCATCATCATGGTGTCATGAGAAGTGGGTAGGCGGCGTTGCGCATCTGCAACAACCTCTTGGAGGGGATCTGCTGCCACGTATCGGTTAGCCAAAGAAAGATCGTTCAACATCACGCTGTGGTCGTCTTCCTACAGCCTTTTCCTGCCACCCGGAAACTTCGCGCATCTCTGGTGTCCGAGGATAGCGTGAGTGTGGCGTTCGTGTCCTTTCGCCCCCCCGTCCTCCCCCAGCACGACGAGCAGCAGATCTCGACGACACCGCCTGTGGTGATCCTGTTACTGTGTGGGTAGCGGTGCAGCAAGCCGACTTGCCAGCACGCAGGGCCGGTAAGTGACTACTACTGCACATAAATGCGGGCCTTGGTCTCATGTATCTCACGTCTGCCCATACTGGTCGGGCGCAAGCCGACCTTCGGATACATGACTAGACCTCCCTGCCATCCCTCAACTGGTAAGTGAGCAGGCTGACGGAACCAATCTCACAGCTGGGAACAGACGTGTTGCTGCGTTGGCACATCTGTATGCCATTGCCAAGCGACGATCCTACATACACAAGCGTACACACAGACACACACACCAGAACCAGGAGCCTTTCCCTCTATGCCCGTCATCGTTGCATGCTCCCAATACTGTGCCCATTGGCCACCAACTAAGCCCTCCGTGTACTGTATCTTTCGGGAACGGGCCAGGCTACAGGCACTCACCTCCGTAGTAGGCTCGTCCTCCATGTGTGTCATGAAACCGATGTCGTTGCGCTTTCTCGCCACGTGACATCCGAAGTCGAGTCCCTGATATGCCGTGTCTCCTCAAGAAGAAAAAAGAGCGTCTGCCATGCAGACGAAACGTGGAATCTGGAACATTCCCAACCAGACCTTCACCATCCTATACACACACACGTACACACGTACACACATGCACCATGCACCATGCACACACACACAAGAGATAGAGAGACCTCTGCCGTGCGAGCCTCCGTCAAAAAAATTACGAAAAGCGAGACAGGCACAACCCAGCTCAGGCTGCGTCATGTCGTATATGTGATGGCAGGAATGTCTCAGATACCAACCCCCCCCCCCTCCTTACTCTGTCCCCCCTCCCCGGTCCCACCAAAGCAGTAAGGGCGGATGCGGCAGAAGGGGTGGGAAATGAGCGTTCTAGAACCCCTGCTTCGCGGCAAAATAGGCCTTGATGTCCGTCACGCAACTGATGGGGACTGCGTAGACCGGATGCAATGCCGCGATGCGGTCTTGCTCGTCAAAGACCTGCACTTCATCGAGATGCGGTGATACCGACCACGACGCAAGAGCGGCAGAAGCAGCAGCGGCCGTGGTGGCCTCGTCCATGGCCACATCGGTCTCATCCCCTGCAGTGGCAGCCGCGGCAGTTCCTGAGCCCACCTCAGCGGCCAGCTTCCACTTATGCTGTGCGGAACTCAGGCCCGATAGGACGTAACAAGAGTGGTACGCATCTGAAGGGCTGTGAACGAGCAAGCAAAGTTAAAAACGACAAACAGACGTCAGCGGGTCTCGGGACGGGACAAGACATCAAGGGGTAGAAAAGGACAACTCGCAAGGTTGGGAGGAAGGGGGAGAAAATTGCATTTAAAAAAAACAAAAAAACATACCGGTTGGGCTTGTCTCGTAGGCCACCGCGTCTGCCCAGATCTTGACAACAACACATGATATAGCGAATCAGGCCTTCCCGGCTGTACAGGCTCTCGTCGTATGGTGGTAGCAGCAGCTTCCCTTTGCGACCAGGCTGCGCTGATAGTGGTGATGCGGAGCCGCTGAGTGCGGCCTCGATCAGCGGCCAGCAGCCGCCGACCCAGTGGCTGTAACATCCATCCACAAGCTTGTTAGTGCGGCCAGAAAATCCGCCCTCGGGGGCATACTGGCGCGAGGACAGCCAGGAGATCAGCCGTGGCACATTGAGATATCTGCACACCAACAAGACCAAGAAAAAATGAGGGACATCTCGTCAGCATGCGTTGCTTCTTGTCAACCTTTGACTGGCCAGCGGCAGGAGGGAGAGGGGCGCATGTGGCCGCCTGTTTGGGCTGCTTCCTGTACGCCCCCCCCCCTTTCTCCCCTTCCCCCCTCCCCCTCCTCACTTTGAATCTCTGTGACTCTACTCTCTGTGTGTTTCTCTTGCTTACCTCGGGAAGATACGATCAGGAGAATCCAGAATGGCGAGACAGCCTAGTGCGCAGAACGCATATGCACCATGTGCTTCACCATCAGGGTGGGCCGATATCCCTCCCTCAAAGGTCTGGCCTGGGAGGTAGGTAGGCTGTTAGTTGGCGGTCATCTGGGGCCCGATGAAGAGGAGGGATGGGAAGGGGAGGGCCGGGGGTGCAGGTGTGTGAGAGGGTGTGATGGTGGAAGGGGGCGACTCGGGAGGGACTTCTGAGGTACTTACACCTCTGCACATAGTCGGCAAGCTTTGTATAGAGTGTGGGACGGTCGGGAGTCCATGCCGGTGACTCGGGGGTGAGGTCCAGCGGTAGGTTCAAAAGGGAAACGATAACCGCTGCGCAGTACGCGCCTCTTCGGTGGTGGGGTTTTATTAGCAAACGATACGATAACATAAGGGCAGGATGGGATGGTGGCCGAGGGAGGTTTGTGCCGTTTGGTATGCGTGTGTGTACTGCATCGCTCGCTCGCTCACTCGTTCACGCAATCACTCACCTCACGTCGACCTCTCCGCCTGTGGCCATCTGAAAGCCCCCACCCGGTTGCTTCAGGCTGCAGAGCCACTTCCACAAGGCTCGCCTGTCGACAACCTCGTAGGCATCTGCCCCGCCGACCAGGGCTAAGGAAAGCACGATTGCGTATGTTGTAGCCAGATGGGACAGTTGACCATTGCCACCTCCGAAGCCACCCGACTCGTTTTGCATGGATTGTGCCGTGCGCACCAGGCTCTCGCGGTAGGGGGAGACATCCTCGCCCAGTAGGCTGAGGGCGTTGAAGCACCAGTAGAGGAACCAGGGCCGGCTGGCGTCTGCAGCGACGAACGGAGCTGGTAGCTGGCCCAGCTGCTTGCGCAGAAACATGACGTGCCTTTTCCTCTGGATGTGAGGCAGGCCGTGTTCGTTGTACGGACCGCCATCAGGATTGTCGCCTGACAAATAAGGCAGGCACAGATTGACCGTCTCGTCCTGGGCCGTCGATGTAGCTGTCACAAGGTCATCCTTCAGAGGAGGCCACGAAGTGAAGAGGTCAGATATCATGCTGGCGGCGGCGGCACCATTGTCGTCTCGATTGCTCGTTGCAGTCTGTGTAGTGGCCATCGTATCCTGCTGCTGGGTCGGTCGCTGTAGCGGTGGTGGGTTGTCTCTGCCCTTGGCCTGAAGGATGGAGGCGACGACAGCCCTGCCGGGAAAGATGACCCTATTTAGAGAGCCAGGTCTCTTTGTTTGGAATCTCATCCCACGGAGAATCTTGGAACGAAAAGTACCCAGCCGTGGACCAGCCAGCCGCAATTGGACTGAGGCGACGAGAGAACGGAGGAATCTGGCGAGTCGATGTGGCTTTCTCAGCTTGCCTCACCTCACCTCGACCGGTGCCTTAGTTGTGTATTCTTGTGTTGTCTGAAGCAGGCCACAAGGGAAAACTTGTGCCTGTCCTATCCCCTCTTTGTCCTCGTGTTGCTATTGTTCTCGACAGTACAATCCAAGCCTTCTGGGTTGACTGCCCGGATCCCACTGCTTTGTTCTCCACCAACGGAATTGTTAGCTGTGTCCAGGAACTGCTTCCCTCTTCCCTCTCTCTCCCTCTCCAGCCGCTGTTTGATTGGTGTGGTGATTGAGTAGCTGTTGCCCTGAGCAGCTGGTGTTGTCGCGGAAGATCCAGATTTTTTTGGGGGGGGGGGGGGCGCGCAGTGTTTGCTTGCACAGGTGTTGAGTTTTAGCCTTGTGGTGACATGACCAGACCCAGCAGCCCCCATGACAAGCTACTGCCTTTTCTTTCTCTATACTGAGCTCGACACATTTTGAACAAGGAAAAGTTGCCAGCTCACCCAAGAAACATTGGAACTGCAATACAATTCCTTTCTCTTCATGCTGAGTATGTTGGTCTGTACTGGAAATGGGAGTTTTTCTTATTATAAAAAAATAAAATAAAATAAAAACTAACAAGAAAATCAAAACCACCACCCAATGTGTTCAAACAGGACAGCTTCAGCATCGCTCTTATTTGACATGACAGCCAAACTCGACCAACTGGACATGCTGGGATGACGTGTTTATGTTTGCTTATGAGTGACATCAATTTGATGCTGCGGAAGGTATGAGCGTTTGGGCTCCTTCCAATCCATCGACTGTACCTTCCCTTGTTCCTCTGCTGCTCCCAATGGTCTTGCCGTGGCCGCATCCATACCCAACCCAATATGGCCCATCCATCCATCCACCATCCCATCACACACAAAGTTTGCCCAACTACACCATCGATGCAAGCCTGCCTGATGAAATGCAAACAATCGCGATCACTTCTCCAAATCAATCGATCTGTTCTCTCGACGGACCCCATTTCGAAGGACGTCGTCCAGATTCGGAAAATGCTCCGCCGATGATGGGTGCTGACGCTGACCATTTCATCTCGCAGACTTGATGAAATGAGACTGGTCTTCGAGAGGAAGCCGTTGCGAGTACGCACCCGTGAAGCAGCAGTCTATCTGCTCAACCCTGGCAAAGGGTTCGGGCTGGGCTGGGCCGAGATCAGTCCCTCTCTCCAGAGGCAGGCGAGGAAAGAAGCCCTGTCAGGAGCAGGAAACCGAACCGAACGTGGATGAAGTCTCAGGCACCATTGACTTTCATTCTTCGTGCGCAACTCACTGCTTTGGGCTGTCTGCCTATCGAGCGCCTCCATAGCTCTCCAGCTCGCCCAAAGACTTTGCCCCAATCTCAATCGACCCCGGGAGGGGGGGGCTGCCCTCCAGCCAGAGCATCAGTGAGGACGAAAACACTGCAGTTGTACGGGTGAGATATCGGGTACAGATCTGGGCGTTGTCGTCCGACGTACTTTGGTCCTGCAGCTTCCATAACAGCAGCAGTCTCAGCCGTCTCGGAACATCCGAGGCCCCCATGGCCAGCCAGCACGGCGCAGTGCTCCTCCGCCCGGGGTCCCGTCGAAATTCTCGGCGGTCATTCTCCAGGTGTGCACGTCCCGAGCTGCTGGCTGTGGAGCACGTATCACGAGAATCATGAGCTCGTGTGTGCCTGGAAGAAGGTTTCCTGTCCCGATGGATAACTTTCAACACAACAGACAAGTGTCCTGTTTGGATCCACCACCAAGCCCCATCGTTTCAGAGGCCGACGGCATACACTTCATCTTGCATATTCTCATTCTACTTTGATACATGGATGAGGAGTCTCGCATGGCCGAGTCAGGCTCGACTCTCACAGCACCGATGCTTGTGCACCGACCAAGGGAGGGCTCCGTATGTTCATGCCGAAGGCACTATGGTACAAATTCGGAGGATCATGTCATGTCATGTCAGATTTTCGCATGACCACCAATGGGACAACACACCAGACAGGCTTCGTACTTCGTCCCTTCTAGGCAAGGGTTCCGAGACATTCCTGGTGCCCAAGAACTGCGGCCACGACACGATGGGCCGGGCTGCTTTTTATTCTTCTCCTCTTCATCTCCTACGTGCCGCGTGCCTGCGTGCCAACGTGCCAGCGTGCCAACGTGCCTATATGCTACCCGCTACATTAGTAGTACTACTGTATGGGAACTATGGTAAGTATGTCTTGCTGTCGCGGGTCGGGATGAGAGGCATGGCACCAACACGTGCTCATGCCGTCTGTCTCGCCCTCTCTCATTCTCCCTTCTCTCTCTCTTACTCCCGCTCCGCCGATCATGGCCACTCCCAGGAACAGCTCTCCCCATTCAGTAACGACAAACTGAGGGGCTTGAACAAAGCAGACCTGCAAAGACTAGGTGGCTAACCTCCGAGACGCCACGCTTGCCACGCCGACCCGTGCTTCTCTATCTTGCTTGTGCAAGTAAGTAGCTGGGCTGGAACCTTCTCCTTGAACCTGCAGCCCCAGACCTGCAGCCAAGAGGATCCCAGATTCATGCCTTAGCTGCACGAACCTGCGCAAAAGACGGCGTGCCGCTCGGAAAGAGAGAAAGGAAAGGGAAAAAAACAAGTTAATGTAGCGCTGGATTCGAGAAAGACGGGCGGTTGGATAGATGGATGGGAAAACAGACACAATCCGCACGGTGGTCTCAGAAGCAGGGTTGTCCCCGTTGGACGAGAGGCCATCTTGCTCGGGTTCCCGCCTGTCATGTCATCCCGCTCCGGCGCGCAGATTCTCGATGGAGGCCTGCATGTTCAGGGCCATCCTCTCCCTCTGTTTTCGCGACCACCAAGTGAGACGTGCGCGGGCGAAAAACACAGCATGCGAGGCACCACTTCCTGCGAACCATCTGGGAAACGGCTGGCTGGGGCGCGCGGGAAGCAAGACGTCCTTGTCTCGCGATAGTGGAGTTTCTCTCTACTATGCACGATATAGGCCCAACAGGCGACCTCTCAAGGACGGCGGGCAAATGGCGGTCAGTTCGAAGCGGCTCGTCCTGGCTGGCTGGCTGGCTGGCTAGCTCCCTACTCTGGGGACCAAGCGCAGGGACCTCTTTCTGTCTGATCGCCGAGGGCGTCTCGACATTGGCCGTTCAACGTGTGGAGAGGGAAAGAGAAAGAGACGTAGGCCATCATGGCAGGAACAGATAGCATAGTACCATAGTAGGAGGAGAATGGGACAAATGGAGCAGAGATACGAAGGAAGAAAGGCTAAGCCCCTGCATCGCCAACACAAGCGTGACCCCGCGAAATTATGGGGCATCAACTGAAGGTGCACCACGCAAGCAGAACAAGGAGAAAGTGCCATCTTTAAGCCTCATGACAGACACAGCCACCTATTTTTTGCTGGTCCTGGATTCTGCCCACAATGTGATTGATCGATCCCCTTCTCCTCTCCACCGAGGGCTCTTCCTCTCACACCATCCCCTGGGGAGATGGGTCAATTGTTCTACGGGAAGATGAAATGGGAGGAAGGAGGGGATGGAATCGAGATAGCCGTTGCTGACGGTTGCCGACGGTTGTATCCTTATTGCCACCGGACCCCGGAGTCACCTTGAAAGATTTCGGCACAGAGACAAGTCTGGCTGGCAGGGTTTATGACTGTATACTGATCAGAGTTGAAGAACAGTAACAAGGAGAGTCTGGAGCTCAGCACGAACCTTTGGCAGCGCATCTTGTTTTTTCTCCTGCCTACAGTCTAGTACTACATAGCTCTAGGTGCTACTAGTACATACAGTAGTGATATTATTACCATGTACACACTACAATGTAGTATGGTAATAGTACAATATAGAGTACATGCTCCCAGTACAAAATAGTAGACTCAAAAAGTATGCAGCAAACCGATCGCCATCGCTCATTCTCTCCAGCTATTGCGCCAGCGCCAGCGCCAGCGCACGGCACGGTGGGTGTATGTACGGAACTTTTCCCGTCCGGGAGGCATGGGAAGGGGGAGAGAACAGGGTGGGGTTGGAGCAGACAGAAAGATGGGAGAGGAGAGGAGAAGGAGGAGTGGGTACGCGGGTGGATGATGATGGAGGATGATAATGATGGGGGTTGCAGTGTGTGGATAGGTTGTATTGCCCTCTTTTCAACCAAACAGCGTCGGCCGCGTAGCAAAGTGTGGAGCCCGTCCTGGGTTGTGGTACCGCTCTAGGGACCTACTAAAACGTTGTCGCCTCAGAGATGCACGCCCCAGCGACCAAAAAATCTGCATCCAGGCGAACATATCCATAGTACCGTGCTGTGGTACTACTACGACACCACTGCATACACACAGTCGTAGTGGTACCTTGGTCAGTAGAACGATGCTTATGCGATGCGATGCGATGCAGCTGATCCTATGTGGATAATACGGAAAGGGCCCCGCTGATCGCCAAGTGCTTGTGGTACAGCTCAGAACTTCGGTTCATTGTGTCGGTTCCCTTGATTGGCAGGATCATCAAGGCTCTCTCTCTGTGTGTGTTCCTCTTCTCTCATTCTCTCTCTGTCTTTGGCCAGAAAGGTAAAAAGGGCATTGTGGGTTGTGGATTGCAAGGGGATTAGGGATGCCCCTCCTCCCGGCCCCCCAGGCAGTCAGTCGTGTCAAGCAAGTTAAGTTCTGTCTTCGAAACACACAACAAAAGTATTCCCCATTGTTTCTCGACTCGTTGAAGAAAACAAGAGAAAAGGGGGGATGGAGAGGAAGAGAACAGCAAACCATGTGCTATGCTTGCTACGACCCAAGTCAGTATGTATGTAGACAGTACTTACAAAGTTGAGTATACAGTATGATAATGGTATGAATGGCACAGATAGGTAGCCTATCAGACGGCTCTCTCCTGTGTGTATGTCTTGAACTGAACCTGCCACACTGTAACGAGATTTTTGTCCACCAGATAGATGTCTCAACCTTGGCCTCAACCTAGCGCCAGGTCAAGTCACAATGATGGGGCCATCTCGCTGCATGTTTCTTCAAGCGCACCTCACCAGTGTCACAACTTGTCTGTGACGACTCAGGGAAAAAGAAGGGAGACTGATTGGGGAAAGGGGGGAGGGGAGGAGGAGAGGGAACATGGTGTTGCCACACACACACACACACACACACATATGCACCATCATCGATCCAAGCAAATGCTTTGCTGACATGATTTGACTTTGATGATCCTTGACAAGATTTACGTCGTCAGGGCACACACACAAAGAGAGAGAAGAGAGGAGGAAATGAAAGAAAAAGCATTGTGTGCCTCTTCGGGTCCAAGGGGAGGAACATGGGGGTGACCTGCTAGTGATATGACTCTGCGGAATGAACACAGCAAATAGCAACACCAACCAGCAGACGCTTTATGGTGTTCAATCTAGAAAGAGATCTCTTCTTCCCTTCTTTCTCCCCCCCCCCCCCAAAAAAAATACATAAGATGAAGATTCAGACGGGATTGTGAAATCAGAGTCAGTCAGATCTTAATCAATGATTTGTCTCCCTCTCACTGCGCTCAACAAGGTCATCTGCGCAGATTGTCGCCGGTGTGGCAATAGATTGCGAGCCGTGCCTGCTGACATTTGTCTCAGCAGCCATCAGCACTACCACATAAACTTGGTGGTGGGTTGGTCTTACTGATGCCACACCTAAGATCGATAGAAAGGGACAGAAGGCCAGCGCCCCCCCCTCTCTCCAACCAAAAAAAAAAAAAAAAAAAAAAAAAAGGAAAACCAAACAAGTATGAACCCATCCTTGCTCGCAGCGGGTACACCGTCTGTTCACGATAAAATGGTGGGCCTCGGGGCCTCTCTCTCCTCATCTTGTCTCACCACCAAAATTTGTTGGCCCATAGATGAATAAGCGACCATCTATTGAAGAGAATTACACACATTCAAAGCAGCCCATTTAGAAGGGAATGCTTTCGTCCCTACCCTCGCTCGAGTCTATTCTTCGTGTTTTGTCCTTGTTCTTTCGGCAGGCAAATAAAGGAGGTGGAGGAGAGACGAGGAGGAGGTCGGGACGAGATTGGGGCTGGACTTTCTCATCTGGGAAAGGGTTTATCTCGAGACAGTGCGAAAGAGGTTGTGCGTAAAACCAAATAGGAAAGAAAAATCGTCCCTTTTGTCGCCTTACGGCATAAGTACTACTAGTATGTATACAGATTACAGGGTTGCGAATATGGAGGGAAAGAGCGAGAGAGCGAGTTTTCACCAGTACTACCTTGGGGAGGCGCTTGCCTCGACTTAGGGCACTGTACTGTGTTGTGTTATGTACACTGCATACAGTACTGTTGCATACTATAGTATATCCTGCATATTGACTATGTATTAGTATGTACAACTTGGCCGTCCAGACAAGCCCAGGTCCACCTCGAAAGTCCCCCAGCAAGGACGAGGATGAGGATGGGTCTCCCAGCATCCTCATCCTGAAGAGGACCCAAAGCTTCCATCCAGGCTTCCATTCTATTACCAAAAGAAACAGGAAAAGAAAGAGGAAAGAGAAAAGACCAGGGGAAGAAAGCGATGAGCAAGAGAAGAAGATGCTGTCTTGTCTCTGCCCCATCTCCTCGTCCAGTTTCTGGGTGGCAGGATTCGAGAGCTTGCCCCCGGGGTCCCAAGAGCTGGGGGGCTGGCTGGGGACAAGCCGTGGCGTCGATTGGTTCCACGATGCTACTATGTGGGACAAGACTACTATGGTACACACAACGCCCCGCTTTCTTGGGTAAGGGTACGTAGCGTAGCGCAGGTCAGGGCTTGGGTTGTATTGAGGTGGGTTGCTCCTGCTTTCCAAGGGTGGTGGCGTCTCCTCATGGGAGGGGCCGGTCCCGAAGATTCGTGCATGCGCCTAGGTTGATTGGCTGGACCAGGGCTGGCTGGGATCATAGCAGTCCGACGTGCATCTGCTCACCGCTTCTTTCTTGGGGTCTCCGGTTTCCCTGATGGTGCGGGACTTTGGACCTGGCCCATCCATCCATGATTGCGAACGGGACAGCACAGGACCACAGACACCCAAGACTGGGAGGGGAGGGAACACACACAAGCCAGAGAGACACGAGAGACAAGAAAGAGAAGAGAGACGATAGGTCAGGGAAAACTGACAGAGAGAAGAGAAAGAGTCTGTGTGAGAGTGGGAAAAGAGTAGAGGATCCAAATCAGGGTCTCGTCCTCCTCCAACCTCCACCACCACCTCACTCCCCCCCCCCCCCAGAGCCTAAAGGTCACCCTACTCAGACAAACTGGTCTATCTCTACTCGACTATCACTTTCATCGTCAGACTTCCCCCTCCTCTCTTTCTTCTCTCTCTCTCTCTCTCTCCATCTCCCCTCCCTCCCCCTCTCGTCCGTGTCAGCAGGCGAACACCTCGTCATCTCGTCTGTCTGTCATTTGTCTCTCGTCACGTTATTTCTTGTTCGCCCCTTCTTCCCGACTACGACCCTATCAACTTGAGAATCGAGCCACACAACGCACATTTGAGATAGAAACTCGTTGTGTGTATGTGTGTGTATGTGCCTGCGTATTCATGTTGGCACAACTCCTGATCTTGACGGACAGACAACGGGCCTCGATCCTCTCTTCCTGACGACAAACAAGACAAAAGACCAACCACACAAAATATTATCTATCTCCCTCTCCTCCGCACTCGCAACACACGAATCAATCGTCGTTTTCAAGGGTCTCCTGAGTTATTGTTCCTACCTCTTGGCGGGACCACGCTCTCCTTTATCTCCCCTTCCCCCAGATCGACACTGTTGCTCGCGCCTCCTCGTGACCATTCCCTGATTGATATCTCTTCTTACCTCTCCTCCTGCTTCAAATTTATTGTTCCCTCGAGATCCTTGTGTGTCTGTGTCTGTGTCTGCGTCTGTGTGAAAGAGCGGTGACCTGAGAGGCTCCGCCCCACGCAACAGAGGCATCTCCATACCACAAACCAAAACCATCCGGGACTCGCCAATCTCAATATCAATCGGTTCCTCCTTTTCCGCGGATCCCTGATTCTTCCCCGGCAGCCATGACTTTTGACTTCAACGCCGCCCACCAGGGAGGACAGGCCGCATTGCTGGAGCAGCTTGCATTCGACCCTCGGGACCAGCAGCGATACGCCACCTTCGCGCCAAACTCAATACCGACCCCGACGACGACGACCTCACCGTCTGCCTCGACCGCCATGGTCCAACAGCAGCAACAGCACGCAGGCCACCACAGTCCTGCGGGCTCCTGGCACATGCCCTTGGACATGGCCGCCGCCGCCAGCAGTGTCTCTCCCATCTCGATGCACTCTCCCAACATCAACAACACTATTGTGCCGCCCTCGTCACCCGAGGACCTCCAGCACCACCACCACCACCAACAGGCACAGTCGCCGGTCGGCCACCACAGCTCAACCGCGTCGAGTCCTCACCAGCAACTATCGTCGCCATATACCACCGCCATCCCGCAGCAGGCCTCCTCACTCCTCGCAGAATGGACATACCAGCAGCAACAACAGCAGCAGCAGCAGCAGCAGCAGCAGCAGCAGCAGCAACAGCAACAACAACAGCAACAGCACCAGCTGCAGACCTCTCCACAGGACCTGTCTCACTTCATCCAGGACTCGTCCACCGCCCTCATCAGCTTCAACCCCTTCGCAGCGGCAAACCTGCAGCCCTCACCCATGGCTTATCTCCCAGCCACCACGCAGGCCGCTCTCGAGGCCGGCCTGCACCAGATGGACCCTTCCAGTTTCAACATGTCTCCCGTCGAGGAGACAAGCCAACAGATCTCAAACTGGAACATAGGCCCCAGCATGAGCACCGGCATGGCCAACTGGCAAGACTTTGAGACCGCCATGCAACCCCTGGCAGACGGGCTGCCCAGGGCCGTCAGCATGGGAAGCAACTCACCCACCGGCACCTACCTTGTGGTGCTGTCCATGAACTCCAGCGAGGGCGGCTGGGCCATGGTCGACATGTATCATCCCAACTACGACTCCTTTTCCCAGACTCCACAGGCACAGAACGTCTTCAACCCCAGCCAGACCCTGCACCTGCGTACCAGCTCGGACTCGTCTCAGTCGGACGGCAATTCATTAGAGCTGGGCAGCTGGGAGGAGGTCAACTTTCCCATCTCGCCCTTCTCACCTGGCTCGGACTCGTTTGTCGACAGCACCAGCAGTCACCGCAACTGCTTCCACGGGGATGGCCACCATCACCATCACCACCAGCACCAGCACTCGCACGAGATCATCAGCCCCAGTGCTGCTGTGCCTCCCATGCCCATCCGCGCCACAGCTGCCGCCACCACCGCCGCCAGCAGCAGGGCGAGCCCTGTTAGCGGCTCCGGTGTTGGCTCCACAGCCTCTTCTTCCGTGTCCCCCCCAGTGAGGCGCACCACGGCCCCTAGGAAGAGCCCCATTGCCAAGCCCCCCACAAAGGCCGTCATTCGGAGAACGTCCAACGGCAAGAAGGACGGCACCGGTGAGAAGAAGATTGGGAGACGCCGCGGGCCCCTGCTGCCTGAGCAGAGAAAGCAGGCCAGCGAGATCAGAAAGCTGCGGGCCTGCCTGCGGTGCAAGTTCCTCAAGAAGACCTGCGACAAGGGTGAGCCCTGTGCCGGCTGCCAGCCCTCGCACGCCCGCCTCTGGCAGGTCCCCTGCACACGTATCGATATCAAGGACATTGGCTTCTTCATGAAGGACTGGAAGGCCGACTACGAGAGACATCTCGACCGCGGCGTGTCCGTCTACAACGTCAAGGGTTTTGCCCAGAAGGAGACTCTCATGTGGATCACCCACGGCTACGGCTTCTGCCTGCCCGTCATGGTGCGCGAGGTCTTTGTGGCCGACGAGAGCTGCTTCCAGGTCGACTGGGTCGAGTCCCACCTGACGGACCAGGAGCCCATCGACTTCGAGATCCGCACCGAGAAGCTGGACGTCGGCCGCGAGGGCGTCTCCATGGATGCCCTGTCCGAGTACCTCGACAAGCACATTGACCAGTCGTTTGAGACCTTCATCGACGACCACTTCGAGGGCACCCCCTTCATCACCGAGATCCTCAAGACGGCCCACCGCTTCTACATGAAGGAGAAGATGCCCGTCATCCGCAAGGCGCTCAAGCTCGTCCTGGCCTACAACCTGACCCTGCACATTACCATGGTCGAGCAGCAGGGCTCCGAGGACCAGCTGGACGGACAGATCGATGACGAGGACTCCAAGTACTTTGGTAAGGTGGTGGCACCCGTTATGATCAACTTCCAGATCAAGTGCGCCATGGCCGACATGTGGCGCGAGCTGCAGAAGGACATCCTCGAGGAGCTCTCGGCCCTTTACTCGAGCGTCTACAGTGGCGATCGCCTCAAGAACTGGCCCACCATCTTCATGCTCGCCTCCATCCTCCTCGCCGTCTGGGAGGAGATGCAGTTTGACTGCCACTACCGCGTTCCCGACCCTGTGGCTGTCAACAAGTTCTGTGCCGACATGGAGACCATCCCCGTCGGCGTCATTGTCGGCCTCTTCCACGCCATCTCCCAGAAGCTGCCCGCCTTCACTGAGTGGGATACCCGCCGCCACGGCCAACTTCTCAACAACAATCCCGCCGTCTGTGAGGCCATGACAGAGGTCCGCCAACACGTTCTCAAGCATGGTAAGTATCTATCTATACTCCCCTTTGGCACGTAAGCATCAAATCTTGATCTAATTCGCTGACAATCTTATTCCAACAGAGGCGTATCTGCGGACAAGGCCCGACACCAAGTTTGACAGGGACGACTTTGACTCCCTGTCCAACAAGTTCCTGTCCAAACTGGTGATTCGCGCTAACTGAAGCGGTCCTCCCCAGGACTCGTTGTTTTCTTTCTGAGTTTACGTATGGACGATTTCTGGAGGGTGGTTTCATCATTTCTTTTTTTTTTTTTATGGAAGCGTCAGGGAATTTCCTAGTTTTTTGGTGGGCATGAGAAGCGAAGGCGTTTTTGTGATTTTTCCTTTTCTATTTCCTGCCTTTTTTCTATCGCATACACACTTGCGCATCCTCACTCGGCCGGGTCGCCGCCACAATCGCGACGACATCCCCAAAGCTCGAGTGCCGGAAAGCAAATAAAGCTTAACGACACACTTGACGACCACGACGTGTACGACTGAAACACAACAAAGCGCAAATGAATTTTTCTGGTCCCAGAATACACGAGCCAGGACGACAAAAAAAAAAAAAAGACTCGGACAAACAGCGTCTTCATTTTTATTTGATGAGCCCCCACCACCACCTTTTCGCAGGCAAATGGCATATAGAACTTATTATATGCGGCGGCGGCAGCATTGAACCGGCGTTCGTTATGACAGGCGATGAGACTCATGCCTTGAACGACCAATGATGGCAATTATTTTTATTCTTAACAGTGCTTCTCTTTCCCCTTCCTCCTTTCCTCCCCCTCCTTCCCAGGATCAACTCATGTTCTGCTGGGAGGGGAAGTGGGAAAAAGGCTGGGGAGCTATTCACTCGACGACAGACAGTTTTAGATGCCTGTATCTTGGTTTTGTTCTTTTGAAAAGCGCGCACTGGTTTTTTGTTTGCTATGGAAATTTGATGGAAAAGTTCAAGTGTGTGAAGGGTGCAGGAGTCAGAGCTAGACGGTCAGAGTAACAATACGATCCTCAAAGACTTGGAAAAAAAAAATACAAAAAAAAAAGGAGCAGTTCAAACCTAAACGCTTGCAATGTGTCTGTCCAGTGGAAGATGGTATCAGATGTGTCCTCAAGCCGGTCCAGTTCTCGCATTCCTGGTTACATGGCTATGTGCTCACCGCCATTGCAATTTCAACGGACAGCAGCCGTTTTGAGGGGGGTTGCTTGCAGCAAACCTGCACGGATTGCTTACGTTTGTACCACACATTCTTGAAATACCGCCCTACTATACCATGTCAAAAGCGCGACCGGTCGGCTGGCTGCCACGCTGCACAGTCGGAAGAAGGCTGGTATCGGGTCATCGGCTCGGCTGTGGGAATTACTGGAGCCTCTCATCCTGTACTGGCCCCAAATATGCCCTATGTGTCAAAATACGTCGCAACTTGCAGAGAATTTGAGAAATGCCGAAAAAGGCCAGCTGAGTGTGCTTGATTGAGCCAGTGGTCGCCTCGGAAGAGGGTTGTCTGGAGGGTGACGGCGCTTCAAATATGAGGGGCAGACGAGGAGGGGTTTCGAGTGGAAGAGAGAGACCTTGTGGTCGGAAGGAATGGTGCGTCCAGGCTCGTTCCAGCAATGGATTGAACGGCAAGGCGAGAGTCTGAGGTTGGTTGTGTGAGTATGGCTGGGCTGAACCCATCAGGCCATCACCATGCAAGATTCTCGAGCGTGCCAAGGTTGTTGTGTTATCCTGGAGGTGTCCCATCTGCTTAGCTCGCAGGGGTAGGAGGGGTCGAGCACCAAGACAGAACCACGGAGTGTCCGTACTTAGACCACTGCAGAGTAGGTATGGCGCCATCTTGTCACTTGTATGGTCCTTTGGTAGGTACTCTTATGTATGCACGGTCACACTTCAGGACGTCTCGTCTCGGTCTGGCCCAGTTCATGACGTCGATTATGGCGGGTGTGGGCGATAAGGATGTGCCTGCAACACACTCTCACTTTGCATGGAAAGTCAAGTGTTTGTTCTTCAGTAAAGAGGGCAAAAGAAAAGATCGTGATGAGTACGACAGGATGAAATGAACTGATACCTACAGCGTTATTACGACAGGATTTGATTCAACACACTGATGAGAGACGAGGTGGGGTTGGTTACAAGCCCTCGTGACGTGTGGTTCTTAGATAAGGAAAGAGACGGAAGAGGGGGACGGAGCAGGCCGGGGGGCCCGGGGGGTGACGGATGGGTGCAAAGAGGCATTAAGGTTCAGCTGCTTTATCGACCCTTCTTCTTTCTCTTTCGCTGCAGGACGAGAACATGCCCCAACGTTCTGGAACTCGCCGTTGGCCTTTCGCCCTAACCTCGCCTGCTCTTGGCCTAAGAAGTGCACACACACCCTCATTGTGCACAGCACCGCCTATGGTGTGCGATGTAGTAATCCATACTTGGTACACATAGGCAGACGGGTACGGTAGTGGTTGCCTCTCTATTCACCCCAGCCACGCTTGCGAATCGGGGAGTCACTTGCACCCTCAGGCGAGAGGCTGTTCAGTCGTTGATTGGCTAGTTTTGCCCCACCCTCTGCCTTCAGACCCACATTTCGGACAGGGGAGCGGGGGCCAGTAGGCAGGAGTGACAAGGGGGACCCACCTTCTATGGGTGTCTCTGGCATTCACCCACCGCAACCGATGCCTTGTTTGCCTCCCTTGGCCTTCCCCTCCCCCAACCTGCTACACCTATTTAACCTCGACCCAAGCCCCCAACCTTTTCTCCTCGCCTTTTCTCTTCCTACAACTAATCCATCCATAACCTAACTTCGTTTTTTTCGTCGTTGGCAACCACCATCTCGCATCATCAAAAAAACAACGATTTTTGATACACCAAAACTTCTCTCTTCATCTCCCCCAATCTCTCATCATCAGCCAAGATGCAGATCTTTGTCAAGACCCTCACCGGCAAGACCATCACTCTTGAGGTCGAGTCCTCCGACACTATCGACAATGTGAAGGCCAAGATTCAGGATAAGGAGGGCATCCCCCCAGACCAGCAGCGCCTGATTTTCGCCGGCAAGCAGCTTGAGGATGGCCGCACCCTTTCCGACTACAACATCCAGAAGGAGTCCACTCTTCACCTGGTCCTCCGTCTTCGTGGCGGTATGCAGATCTTCGTCAAGACGCTTACCGGCAAGACCATCACCCTCGAGGTCGAGTCCTCCGACACCATCGACAACGTGAAGGCCAAGATTCAGGACAAGGAGGGAATTCCTCCAGACCAGCAGCGCCTCATCTTTGCTGGAAAGCAGCTTGAGGACGGCCGTACCCTCTCCGACTACAACATCCAGAAGGAGTCCACTCTCCACTTGGTCCTTCGTCTCCGTGGTGGCATGCAGATCTTCGTTAAGACCCTCACGGGCAAGACAATTACTCTCGAGGTCGAGTCTTCGGACACGATTGACAACGTGAAGGCCAAAATTCAAGACAAGGAGGGTATCCCACCAGACCAGCAGCGTCTTATCTTCGCAGGCAAGCAGCTGGAGGATGGCCGGACACTTTCAGACTACAACATCCAGAAGGAGTCGACGCTGCACTTGGTGCTGCGTCTGCGTGGTGGACAGTAAGCCGTTCCTCGTGGATGGTGGAAAGGATAGTCAAGCATGAATACGGGGGGTAATACGTGGAAAGGCCACTACGATAATCACTTATCATCAATGCAAGGGAGACGCTTGGTAGCATACCCAATCTGACACAATTGTAGACTTGGTTGTTCAAGTCTACGCACACAAACACACAATCTCTGTGCCATTCGTATTACCTTTGTGACATGTGTACTGTTCTGCGCTGTAGGATGAAGGCGATTTCGTAGGAGTAGTTGGGTGGCGGTGGCGGCTTGGCCTGGACACGTTTTTGTGGCGGCGGTGTCGCCGATAGACGACGCGAGCAAATCAGATTAATACATCACTTGGGTTACCGTAGCAGAGAGACCACAAGATGATTTGTAAAGCATAAACACCTCTTGTGAAGTTACATGTATCTGATTTGGTGATGTTTGCTTGGTGTCGTGATCAACACGTCATTGAGGGGCGTCCCCCGAAATGCAGCGGGTCAACAAGGGCTCTTAGCACGCCTAGTAAGTAGCGGAACCCCACGCGCTTCGCCTGTCTGACGAGAATTTCCCGACCCTCGATGGATTGCTGTGCACCACAAAACTTCTGCGCCTGCCATTGCACAAAAGTCGCCTTCCGACAAGAGTCTGGATGTTACAATTATGATTCACCCTTTCACACTTTCCTTGACTAGTAGCGAAGCGGAACAGCATTTCTTGCCACCCTGAGGAGGAAGCTGGAAACACGCGGAGCTTCTAACGGTGCATCATCAATCTAGGATCCTTGGACAAAGGACCTTCTGCCGCTTTCTGCAAGACCTCGACGTCCCTTTTTTTCTCGTTGCTGTATCATTTCTCAACATCTTGTGGCTGATCCAGCGAGCGACGTCCTGAGTGGCCACATCGCCTGGGCTCGAGACCCTTCGGGCTCACCACAGATAGGGAGAAGAGACCACCTCTTCTACCTGTTCTCGAAGTATGCATTCATACTCTTATCATCTAAAAATAGAGCTCTACCCAAGGCCCCTATCGACTGCCCCCACGGTTAGCGACAATATTGGCGGGACGACGGCGGCCAGCATCTGGCAGCGAACTCCAGAAAGTACAATCTTCGACATCCTCCCCTCCCACCCGCGAAGAGACGACGACGGCCCAACCTCGACCCCTTCTACGAAGCGAGACAAACAGAAGGGCATATCCCGCCTTGAAGAATACCTTCCTGCCGAGGACCGCCGGCTCCTGCACCACAACTTGGCGAGAGTGATCGACTGCGGTGCCTCGAGGTCGTCACCCGTGGACGAGGGCCAAGAAGGCGACAGCAGCAACAACGAGTTTGTGAATACGGGCAAGAGGAGGGAACGGTCCAAGAGCTTTCCGGCTCCAGGCTTCCGTGCCGGTATAGGACCTCGGACGGCAGCCAGGGACTGGCGTTTCGGGCCTATCCGGATCGAGAGCTTCGACGTTCACGACGGCCAGATGGCAGACAGTCACCAACCCAGCCCAGCAGCCTCGCTGGGTCCCAACCTGGGCGGGCCGGGGACGGAGACAAAAGCCCGGTTCATGCCATTAGAATGCAAGAATACCGAGGCAGGATGGGGCATCGTGCATCTCTACCGCGAGGCACACGGCCTCGAGCCCGCCGCAGATGCGGCAGGCGAGGGTTTGGACGGCGAGGATGGCACGATCCTGTGCATACCTGCCGTGCCGAGTTACCTTTCCCCAGTCGGCTTCCTGAACTTTGTGGGACAGAGATGGTTGAGCGATGTGGCACACTACAGGATGCTGATGACGAGCACCCTGGGCACCTACATGGTGCTGATGAAGTTTCGCGACCGCAAGGCAGCCGAGGCATGGAGGAACGAGTTTGACGGCAAGGCTTTCGGTCCTCTGCGGGACGAGGCCGTTTGTCACGTCACATTTATCAAGTCCATCACCATCGAGACGCCCTCCCATGGTCCAATCGCCAGTTCTTTCTCGAGAAAGACCTCCGCCGTCGGGCAGATCAACTCGCTGAAGCCCTTCCCACCACCGACGCCGGACCTCGTCGAGCTGCCCACATGCACGGTGTGCCTCGAGCGCATGGACGAGACGTCTGGCCTCATCACCATCCCCTGCCAGCACGTCTTCCACTGTACATGCTTGCAGTCTTGGAGGGGCTCTGGCTGCCCCGTGTGCCGTGCGACGAACCCAGCCCCGATCGCTGCGGATGCGAACGACCCATACTCGCACCCTTTCGGCCAGGGCATCTCCAACATATGTGGGAGGTGTGACACGACGGACGACCTCTGGATCTGCCTCATCTGCGGGAACGTGGGCTGCGGGCGCTACAAGGGGGCACATGCCAAGGAGCACTGGAAAGAGACGGCACACTGCTTCAGCCTGGAGCTGGAAACGCAGCACGTCTGGGACTACGCAGGCGACATGTGGGTGCATCGGCTGATCCGCGAGAAGGGCGAGGGCAAGGTGGTCGAGTTCCCCAGCACGCACATGGCGGGGCGCAACGGCCAGGCGGGGAATGGGCAGGGCGGGCCGGACGCGGATGTGGTGCCCCGCGCAAAGCTGGACAACATCGGCATGGAGTACACGCATCTCCTCACGAGCCAGCTGGAAAGCCAGCGGGTATACTTTGAGGAGATCTTCAGCAAAGCGGCCGACAAGGCGGCCAAGGCAGCAGCAGCAGCAGAAGCGGCGTCCTCGCAGGCGGCCGAGGCGATGAGCAAGCTGCGCGTGCTGGAGGCGGACCACCAGGCCCTCCGGGACGGGACGATCCCACAGCTGGAACGGGACCTCGAGCGGGAGCGCAGGCGCGCAGACAAGTCGACGGAGCTGGCACGGAAGCTGGGGCAGTCGCTGCAGGAGGAGAAGCAGCTCAACAAGGGCCTGCTGGAGAAGGTGACGCACGTCAACAAGGAGGTGGACAGGCTCAAGGCGCAGGCAGAGACACTGCAGGCGGAGGTGGCCGAGCAGAAGGACATCAACCACGACCTGACCATGTTCATCTCGGGCCAGGAGAAGCTCAAGGAGATGGAGGAGGAGGGCAAGGTGACGCAGGAGGAACTCGACGGTGGCGAGACCAGCGTGCCAGAGAAGAAAGGCAAAGGGGGAAAGGGAAAAGGGAGGGCAAAGAGGTGAAGGCGATTACCCTGCCAATCTGAATAAATGGTTTATAGCGTCAAACCAGAATTGTCTACTATCCTTCTTTCTCTTTATTCATTTATCTAATCATTCCCAGTGTTTTCCCTACGCTTGGCTTTAGACGTCGGGATAACGGCAACGGCAAAGGCAACGGGCATATCTAACGACCTACCACAAAGAACCAGTAGTTGGCTTGCATGAAAGACGTCTTTTCTATCTCTTGATTGAACCCCCCAGCCGAACAAGTAAGAAAAGGACAAAAGGAAAAAAAGCCAGCAGATTCAGGCAAAACCCTGTGGGATGTAAACGTGAGCCCTGCTGTTCTGGTCAAGAGTAGGATATGCATTCTGCAGGCCAGCCAATGCATCCTTTTCAACAGAAGCTGCATCCTCAGCTAGTTTATTTGACGTAGTGTCAAATGAAATTTTGTTGGGAAGCTGAAATGCATTTGGTGAGAGTCTGCAGAGGGCTTCCCCTCCCTGGAAAGCTGTAATGGAGGGGGAAGGGGGCGCGGCGGCCGTAGTGGTGTGTTGTAGCAGTAGTAGTACATACTAAAGTAAGTACTTACTGACATTATATGTAGACTATGATGGGTACTAGCAAGTAATTTAGTAGCACCAACAGCAGAAGAAAGGCTGCAAGGCCATGTCATGGTACATAGCAGGCTTCCATCTACCCCGCAGCCCTATCATCTTTATCGTCATGGTTGATCATGACATATGCTCTTATCTGCATTTATCCTGAACAGGATTTTTTTTTTTTTTTAAACCAGGAAATTGATGCAGTGAAACAAGATGCCCTGATGAGCAAGGCATAAAGAAGAGGTCTTGAGGAGAAGGGGAGAAAACAACTTGCCATGTATTCGGGCATGATGCCTACCATGTACAGACTATGGTGGTTGGTCTGTGTGTACTTTGCAGCGGGGCCATGATTGGGCATGGCCTAGATTTTGGGGGGTGGCATGTGCAACGCATGTGCATGTGCTCGTGCTTGTGCTTGTACCTGGTCACTGTACTTGGGCACTGTATGCACTTCTTTCCAATAGCCATGTGCTGTATCCCTGGTCACGTCACTGCCCATAGCACGCTGGACGGGGGGGCGCCATTGAGAGGCGATCTGCTAGGGGCGGGGGCCCTGCCCTTGATATGGATAATGCAAGGGTTGCCTGAGATTTTTCGAAGCTGCCTTATCCTTCTCCTCCTCCTTGTTTCTTTTTCCCTCCATCTTCTCGTAGACACACAGATTTTAAGAAAGGACCAGTCCTATATCTACTGACCCTGTTCTTCTTTTTGTTTTCTTTCCCTTTTGACCATGGTCACAATATTCAAGTAAAACTCTCTCCTCCCCCTCCCCGGCATTTTCTTCCCATTTCCAGAATTACTTCTCCACCTCTCGACCCGCCCTCTCTTCCTCTCTCATCCCCGATTGTCCCGAGTCGAAGCCGGATGAGATAACATACACAAAATCCAACTAGAGACCACCCAACACATACAATAGATCATACAGCGCAGAACTTGAAGCGGGCCAAGGCCGAGGAGGAAAACAGCAGAGACGCTTCCTCCAAGATGGCCTCCGGCAAGGGCGCGGACGAGGCGCCTCCGCAGAGCGCGAGCTCTCCCAAGTCGCACACCGAGCTCTACCCCATGAGCAACTGGAAGTATGACACCTTTCTGTGGTGCATGTCCATCTTTGTCGACCTTTTCTTCCGCGAGGTCCACCCACGAGGCTCCTGGAAGGTCCCAAGACAAGGGCCCGTCCTGTTTGTCGCCGCGCCACATGCCAACCAGGTAAGCTCTCGCTAGTGTCTGTCGGCAAATGCTGGCGATGGTGATGATGATGACGATGCGAGGACGACTGGCTAACAAGGAGGCCGCCAATGCTGTCTGCAGTTTGTCGATGCCCTGATCCTCCAGCGGACTCTACACAACGAGGCGAAACGGCGCGTGTCCCTCCTAGTGGCCCAAAAGTCCGTCCATGGCTTCATCGGCTGGGCCTCACGCCAGACAGGTGCAGTCCCCGTCGGCCGGGCACAGGACGCCGCCAAGCCCAAGGACGGCACTGTCTACCTGCCTGAACCCCTCAGAGACCCGACCCTGATCCGCGGGATCGGTACACATTTCGACAAGGAGGCTGAGATCGGCGGCATGATCTTTCTGCCCTCGGCCAAGGGCCAGGCGAGCACCAGCGTCGACGTCGCCGAGATCTACGGGCCCGAGGAGATCAGGGTTAAGCGCCCCTTCAAGACGAAGCTGGCGCTGTTCCAGCTGACGGGCCGCGAGGACATCGACGAGTCGGGAACCTTTACGGACCAGAGCCTCAAGGGCCCCAAGCAGGGCTACGAGGGGACCAAGTACAAGCTGGCGCCCCACATCGACCAGACCAAGGTGTACGAGGCCGTGTTCGACCGGCTGCGGTCCGGCGGCTGTGTGGGCATCTTCCCCGAGGGCGGCAGCCACGACCGCACAGGGCTGCTACCTATCAAGGCGGGCGTGGCGATCATGGCGCTCGGCGCACTGGCTGACTCGCCTGATGTCGACCTGAAAGTGGTGCCAGTAGGCATGAACTACTTCCACGCGCACAAGTTCCGGTCGAGGGCCGTGGTCGAGTTTGGGCAGCCGATCGAGATCCCCACGGAGCTCGTGGACATGTACAAGCACGGGCAGCGGCGGGAGGCCATCGGGCAGCTCCTGGACTCGGTGTACCAGGGCCTGGCGGCGGTGACGGTGCAGACGCCCGACTACGACACGCTCATGCTCATCCAGGCGGCGCGGCGGCTCTACAAGCCGACGGGCAAGAAGCTGCCCCTCCCCTACGTGGTGGAGCTGAACCGGCGGCTGGCCATGGGCTACGAGCGGTACAAGGACGACCCGCGGATCGTGCAGCTCTCGAGGGCGGTCAAGGAGTACAACCAGCAGCTCAAATACCTGAATATTCGCGACCACCAGGTGCAGTATGCGCGGATGCCGATCCACACCGTGGTGTTCACGGCCGTCTATAGGGTGGTCAAGCTGCTGGTGCTCCTGCTGGGGACGCTGCCGGGCCTGATGCTGTTCACGCCCGTGTTCGTGCTGACCAAGTACATCAGCATCCGCAAGGCCAGGGAGGCGCTGGCCGGGTCGTCGGTCAAGATCCAGGGGCGGGACGTGATGGCCACATGGAAGATCATGACGGCGCTCTTCTTCGCACCCATCCTGTACAACACGTACATCTGCATCTTTGTGTGGCGCGTGTACGCGGACCGGCTCTGGGGCTACTGGGACTACGTGCCGGGCTGGCTGCCGCTGTGGGTGGCGTTCCCGACGGGGTGGATTCTGTTTCCGCTGATCACGTTTGCGGCGCTGCGGCTGGGCGAGGTGGGCATGGACATCTTCAAGTCGCTGCGGCCGCTGGTCATGTGCATCAACCCGGCGTCGAGCTTCAACATCCAGCAGCTGCGTGAGAGGCGAGCGGATCTGAGCGAGCGGGTGACAGAGCTGATCAACGAGCTGGGGCCCGAGATGTTCTCCGACTTTGACAAGACGCGGATTGTGGCGGACTCAGCGGTGACGACGACGACGAGGAGCAGGGATGGCGACGAAGAGGAGGGCCGACCCAAGACCCCTGGGGCTGGGGCTGGGGCCTGGCCAGGGAGACGCGACAGCGGCATGTCTATCTCTGCCGAGGCGGACAGCCCGACGACGAAGCCGCTGGTGCGTCGCGACACCAACTCATCGAGCCTGGGTCTGCCTCGAAACGAGTCGTACAGCAACATTGGCAAGGTGGGCATGTTCTCGACACGGCCGCCGTCGCGGTCGCGGAGCCGCAGCAGCAGCAGCGGCGGGGCGTTTGGGTCAGCAGGATTCCCCATCAGCGCGTTCACGACGCTGGACTCCAAGGAGGGGCTGGACGAGGTGAGCCGCAGGATCCGCGAGGAGATGAAGGGGCGGGGCGAGCTGCGGCGGCGCAAGAGCGAGGGGGGAAAGAAGGCGTTTGCGCTGCAGGGCGAGGACGACAGCGAGGACGAGGAGGAGGGCAATGGGAATGGGATTGGGAATGGGAATGTGGACGGAGGGTACCGTTCTGGGAGGAAGGCGACGTAGCAGCAGCAATAGCAGCAGGCTTGCTAGCTGGAGGACGTCGCGGCCCGGCGTGGTTCTGCACATCTGTGTGAACCTGCAGCAGCACTAGACGACGGCAAGATGCCAAATACTCATCATCATTCATCATTCATCATCGTTTTATGAGTATTACGACTATCATTATTATTATGATCCTACGTTGGGATGACAGAGAGACACTTGTGCGGGATGAATGCAGGCTGAGGTCCATACCCAGTCCTCTCCATCTTCTTTCACCCTCCTTACGACGATATAAGAACATAGATTCCAAAGTTCTGAAGAAAGTAAATACAGGAGGGATATGCAGAAGCAGGCAGAGTTGGTTTGGAAGGAGGGCAGGGCTCGGAGATAGAGACAAACCGAGTCAGCCTCTGCACACCCATCCTGCAGGACTGCAGGACTGTTCCCAGAGTGGAAGAGATGATATAGTTGAGCATATGGGACATGCACGTATACGACGATGACAGCAATGATATGCAGGTCGGGAGGGGATAACGGCGTATTTACGGAGGAGACAAGAACGGGGCGGGACGGCGGAGGATGCTTGGCGTCGGTAAGACGGCGGCAGCTCGGGGATACGAAGCCCTGTAGGTGATGTGCCATGATTACATACATAGTATGCCAGATCCATACCAAGTATGCAAAGTGAAAAGGATTTAAAAACAAAAAAAAAAGATTGGGCCTCTCAAAGGTTGCTCCGAGATGTCGACGATGACCGAGATGTGCTCACTCTTACCTTTCTCTCTCTCTCTCTCTCGCGCGCGCTCTCTCTATTATAATACACATACATAATTGTGCAGATATAAGTAGTTTCAATATCTTTCTATTTCTTTTTTTCTCTCCACACCTATTCCTGTATTGTCAAGTTTCCAGTCATTTTCACTCCTCTCACGATAAGGAACTGAACACTTCTTACTTAAATACTTACTGTATACGTTCTTAAAAGTACCAAGTACCTATAGAAAGTAAGCTCCTTCCTTGATTATCCGGTCATTACTTCCCTATAAATTGATATCCAATATCCACCACCACTTGGCAGGAGCCACAGGCATACGTAGTACTTTCCCCTCCCTCCTCCAACCCCACCAAACCCCAAAAAAGACAGCAACACCCAAGCCAGCTGCAACATGTTCAAATCACTGGTCAGCGGGGCCAAACGCCTCGCCAATGCCAACTCGTCCTCCACGCCAGACCTCTTCCCCAAGGTCACACCCGAGGTCGACGGCGAGGACTGCCTGCGCGACTGCGAGTCGTGCCATGTGCAGTACCCAAAGGGCTTCAAGGTCGAGCTGCACGACGAGCTGTATGGCCACGTCAAGGGCTGGGCGACACATGTGCTCGTGGCCACGGGCAAGTCGGACTGGGTGCGCGATGTGGCCAACGAGAAGGGGAGCGTGATGCAGGCCATCGAGGCTGCCCAGAAGCCCAGCAATGGTGTGAGTGCTCTTGTTCTTGTTCTTGCTCTTGATCTCGTTCTTCTCCTTTTCTAAGCTGACTTGCCTTCGTTTTTTTTTTTTCCTTTTTTTTCTCTACAGAGACTGATGCTATCCGCCTCCAACATCCCAACACCACATCACACAAGTGACTACGCAGAGCCAACAACAGTACTCCTCCTCCCCGCCTTCGCCATCGTCGAGAACGTCACCCCCGCCAACGTCCCCGACCTCATCTCCAGCTACATCAACAAGTCCCCCACCAGCACCTCGGCCCTCGCCCCCGTCTACGAGTCCCTACCAAGGTCCCTCCCCCCTCCCGACGTGCCCGAGGCCGCGCCCAAACACTCTGCCCTCGCCTCCCGCCCCTCTCCCCATGCCGCCCTCGTCCTGCTCTGCTCCCAGCGCACCCGCGACGCCCGCTGCGGCCAGTCTGCTCCCCTCCTGCGCAAGGAGCTCGAGAGGCACCTACGCCCTCTGGGCCTGTACCGCGATCTGGATGATGAGCGCCCGGGGGGTGTGGGAATCTACTTTATCAGCCATACAGGTGGGCACAAGTACAGCGCCAACATGATGGTCTACAGGCGGCCTGACGCCTTCGGCCTGGACGGGGTCAGCAGGGCTGGGGCTGGTGCTGGTGCTGCTGAAGGGGAGGAGGAGGAAGGCCAGAAAGAAGAGGGCAAGACGAAGAACGGGGAGAAGGTGCTCGTGCCCGAGAAGAAAGACGTGGGCGACGAGGGCGGCGTAGGTGCGGCACAGTGCATCTGGCTTGCCCGCGTGCGGCCCGAGGATATTGAGGGTATCGTCAAGTATACCATTCTGCAGGGCAAGGTGGTCAAGCCCGAGAGCCAGTTAAGGGGCGGGTTTGACCGGTCCAGGGGTTTGATGAGCTGGTGAGACTATTCTTGCTTTCTTTTCTATTTTTTTTTATTTTTTTTTTTGTTTGATCCTTCATCTTCTCAGGAACAAAAGAAGGCATACTCTGGGTGGTGTCTGCATTATACTACAGCTAGAAGCATCATTTCATGGAAGAAGCAGAAGAAGAAGGTATGTTGGGCTCTGTTGCATCCCGGCCAGGGCCAGCTCATGTTACACTATATAGATTATAGACATATTATTCCACCAGCCAGCAGTCTCCTCCAGATCCGAGCACCAAGCAAGGAAGGCCTCATCCAGAGCCAAGATACCAGACACTGAGTCCCCTTGTCCTCTCTTTTCTATCATGTAGTCTATGCCGTCTCTATTAGTCATGACAATAGGAGAAACAAATACTTATACAAGAGAGAGGAAATGTCCCATGCCAAACCACCTATTTCTAGGCTTCTTCTTCCCCAGGCTGCTGCTTCTTCTTCTTGATACTCACCCAGCTCAGACCCAGAGCGGCAAAGAATGCAGCAGTCGCGCAGGCCACTGTGATATAGTATGTATTCCGCAGCCCAGACAGGTACGCCTCCAGCACGGCGGTAGTATACTGCTCCATGCCCATGGACTGCAAGATCTCCCTGACCTGGTCGGCACCCGAGTTAATAAAGATCTGCGGGTCCAGGCCAGGCGCACCACGCTTGACGCCGTCGACCAGTCCATTCTGAAAGACGGTCTGGGCCACGGCGATGAAGATGGCACCACCAAAGGACTGGAAAAACTGGACACAGGCCGTGGCCACAGGGATATCCTCAGGCGGCAGCACAGCCTGCACGACCAGGATGCCCAGCTGGAAGCCGACGCCGATGCCCAGGCCGGCGAGCACCTGGTAGCCCAGCCAGACGCGCACGGGCGAGTCGAGGGCAAAGGTCGTAATCATGCCCGCGCCCGCGGCAAACAGGACCATGCTGGGCAGGACGATGGGGTTGTAGTAGCCGATGGCGGTGATGAGGCCGCCGCTGAGGACGGAGGTCAGGACGGTGGCGAGGAGCAGGGGGAGCAGCTTGATGCCGGCCTCGACGGCGCTGTCGCCCTGGATGGCCTGGAAGTACAGCGACAGGTAGTAGATGAGGGGGAAGAAGGCGGCGCCGAAGAAGCCGGAGAAGAGCATGGCGCAGAGGACGTTGCGGTTCTTGAAGAAGCGCGGCGGGAGGGTGCCCTCGTCGCCGCGCCAGAACTGCACCGCGACGAACAGGGCCATGAGGGCGCCGAAGCCGACAAAGAGGCCAATGATGCGCGAGTTGTTCCAGGGGTACTGCGTGCCGCCCCACTGCAGGGCGAGCAGCAGGCAGACGACGGCGGGGATCAGGGTCGCGGTGCCCAGGAGGTCGAGCTTGAGGAGCTTCTCGCGCAGGCTGGCGCCTTGTTTCCTCTGGCCCTTGATGTGTAGGAAGAAGAGGATGGCCACGATGGTGACTCCGCCGATGGGGAGGTCTACACAAACAATGAGTGTCAGTCTTTTTGGTTCTTTTTTTTTCTTTTTTTCATCTTCTCTTTTTCATATCTTTATTTCTTCCGAGGCCTCAAAGAAGCTTTGAAAATAGCGACGACAACGACAACAACGACAACGACAACAACGACAACAACAACAACAACACCGTTTAAGTACTTACTAATGTAGAAACACCATCTCCAAGTGATGTGATCTGTAAAAACACCGCCTAGACTTTCCCGTTATAAAGTACATGTCAGTACGTCAAGAAAAGAAGTAGATATGACAGAGAAAAACAAAACGACATATCAAAAAAAAAAGGACAAATTGCTTACAGAGGCCCTGCAACACTGGCAATCCCCCACATGCCACCAATAAGACCAAAGGCGAGCGGTCTCTGTCTCAGCGGGAGGGTATACGCCAAGATGACAACGGCACCCGAGAACAAGCCAGCAGTGCCCATGCCGGCGACGGCCCTGCCGACGATGAAGGCGGTGGAGCTGGGCGCGGTGGCGCAGACCAGCGACCCGACCTCGAAGACGACGACGGCACAGATGTAGACGATCTTGACGGAGAAGCTGTTGTAGAGCTTGCCGTACAGGGGCTGCAGGGCGGTGGTGGTGAGGAGGTAGGAGCTGCCGTACCAGCCAATGTCCTTAACCGAGTCGAACTGGGCCGTGATGGCGCCCAGGGCCGGGGCGATGATGGTCTGGTCGAGGGCGACGAGGAAGATGGACAGGCAGAGCGAGACGATGATGAGGAGTCTTGTTGGGCCGCTGGGGTACACGACCTCTTGTTGTTGGGTGGTGGCGGTGGTGGTATTGTTGATGTTATCGTCATCGTAGTCGTGGGTCTTCTTTGCATCGTCTTCTGTTGCTGTGTCGTCTTGTGATAGTTGGGAGGCCTTCTCGGCCTCCGTCGCAGAGACTGAGGCCGTCATCTCGAAAATCCTCTGTATTTCTCTTACACGATATGGCAGTCCAAGGAGAAGAAGAAAACAAAGAGGAAAGAAAATGAGAGAAGAAGAAGTTGGCCGACTGGAGGTAGAGAGAAGGTTGTTCTGTTGTCGGTGTTGTTTCCACAAGGGGCTGGTCTTATCTTTTTCAAGCCACAATTTCTTACAAAAAAAAAAAAAAGCAAAAACAAATAAGTACTGTTTCTCCTTTCTTTTTCTCCCGCTCTATATGCACAATATAAGCCCTCTCTCTGGTTGTTGTTGGGTGAGGCCAGATTAGGAAATGTCTTCCATGAGGGCTTTCAAAGTGCGTGAAGATGATGACGCACAAGGTGAGACGTCTGGTGTACTAAGTAACTTTATATGCTTCTTCTCCAAAATCTGCTTGCAGCCAGCCAAACAAACAAACGCACCATATCCATTAGAGTGAACGGAATAATAAAAGTATAGAGGGAAGAAAAAAAGTCAAGTCGTCAGGCCTTCTCACCCCCTACAAAGTTCTCACGCTACATAAGATCAGATGACTAAACTAGAGGGGGAGGGGACCGGCTCAACCTGATTACGGACTCGATATTGAGCCGCCCCGTGTGCTGGGCTCGGGATGGGATCCTCGGGTAGACCAAGAACTTGTCCTTCCGTTCCTCCTCCTAATGATTTCAGCCTTAACTGCTGGGGCCCGCTCTCTCTCTCTCTCTCTCATGGAAAGACAAGTCGATTGAATTGCGCCTTGGACGTCCAAGAATGTAAAATACCAAGTTACAATGGACTAAATAAAATGCATGTTACAGTAGAGGTGAAAGGGGGGGAAAGAAAATAGGAGGTGAGAGTAAGCAGAGTATATTTTAGCATGCTATCACTGTAGACAACAATCGACTGAATAATTGCTGCACCTTTCTCTTTCTGCCTTTGGTGAGTTGCTCAGCGGCTCTGCTGTGCAGTGGCAGCATGTGGGGAAGAATCGGTCCTCGGCCATTCTAGGTTTGCCGAGAGCGCAGCCTCGTCGTGTTAGCAATTGGCTCCCCAAAGGAACAATTGACGTGGGTATTTCAGCTGCCAACGCAGCTCGGATATAGAGACGGATTGGGAAATATGCATGCCCGAGAGGATGTTGCTGACGATTGTGTCTGTCATTCGGATGAATATGTGAAAAGACATTGGAAAGAAAGAAGAAGGAAAAAAAAATAAGAAGTAAAGTAATGGTCAAAGTGGAGTGATTACTGGACAAGGCTGAGGGAGGACGAATGGACGCGCATATGCGGAAGATTAGACCACCGATGTGCTGGTGCATCCTAACAATTGAATCTCAAGTCTTATTTTTATTCTTTAATGATTACTCCTTTCCTAGACCTAGTAATACCAGGTTGGCTACATTCATGGCAGCAATAATCAGCCAGACCAATACAGCTATGATAACAACTGGTATAGAATTGGCCATCTTGACATTCTCGCCTGCTGAAACCGTCGTGGTCAGAGCCGGAAGTTGGTAGTCCTCGTCATCATTATCTTCTTCTTCTTCTTCTCCGCCTCCTCCTTCTCCCACTACAGCAGCCGCCGCCTGTCGTGCTCCTCGAGCCCGTCCCGAGCTGACCTTCATGTACTTGCTCATACAGGTGAAATAGATCAAGGGCGCCGAGACAAACGGGAGCACCACGCTCAGGACCACCTGCGAGCCGTTCAGGGCGGCATCAAGCCCGTCTCTTCCCACGGCACCAGCGATAATGATGCTGGGCGTGATGCTGATGGACCGCGTCATCAGCCGCCGCAGCCAGGGCCGCATGTGCCAATCCAGCGCGCCCTCGCTGACCATCTGGCCCGCAATCGTGCATACGATGCCCGCCGACACGCCCGATAGCAGCAGGGCCAGCGCAAAGAGAATCCCGGCGCCCTTTCCCAGAGTTCGCGTCAGGAGGCCGTGGATGGCAAAGATGTCATCGCCCTGGGCCTCCTCGGATCCATATAGCGAGGAGCCCGCGATGATGAGGATGGCCGAGTTGATAAACAGGGCGAAGCTGAACAGCGACACCGCCAACTCCGTGACCGAATACTTCCAGCAGTGCCGAATCGCCGCCAGCGACGGGATGTAGGGTGTCTTCTTCTTCTTCTTCTTCTCCGACTCCTGGCTGCCATTTCCCCCTGCCGCCGTGGTCAACCTACCATCGGCGGCAACGGCGTCCAGGAGAAGAGACCCTTGCTTGGTGTCAAATTCCTTCAGCCGGGACTGGGGCATGCCCGAGCCTAGATAGAGGCTGTGCGGCATCACCGTGGCCCCGAGGATTCCACATGCCTGGTAGAGGCCCTGCTGCTCGACGATGGCGGCGGACGGAAGGTAGCCACGAAAGACCTCGGCCGCGGTGGCGTTCTGGATGAAGGACATCTGGATGCAGAAGCAGACGACCACGGCCAGGACCAGGGCGACGACGAAGGCCTCAAAGGCCCGCAGGCCGCGCATCGAGCCGTTGGGGCTGTAGAACAGCAGGATGAGCATAACGTCCAGGATCGAGATGGCACAGCCCGCCACTAGCGGAACCTGTGGGAGGAGGAGGTTGATGGCGATCGCCGTGCCGATGACCTCTGCGATGTCGGTGGCGATGATGGCGACCTCGGCCAAGATGTAGAGGACAAAGTTGAGCCAGGGCGGGAGGTGAGCCCGGCAGGCCTCTGCGAGGTTCAGGCCCGTGACCGTGCCCAGCTTGATGCACAGGCTCTGCAGGAGGATGGCGAACAGGTTGCTGAGGAGGATGATGAACAGCAGCCTGAACCTATAGGTTGCGCCGGCGCTGATGCCCGTTGCGTAATTGCCAGGGTCAATGTAGGCAACAGCAACCATGAACCCAGGCCCGACAAATCTGCCAAAGGTGGTGATGGCATGGCCTGCCCGATGCAGCGGCGAGCGGTGTGATGCGCCACTTTGTGGTTGTTTTTGTTTTTGTTGTTGTTGTTGTTGTTGTTGTTGTTGTTGTTGTTGTTGTTGTTGTTGTTGTTGTTGTTGTTGTTGTTGTTGTTGTTGTTGTTGTTGTTGTTGTTGTTGTTGTTGTTGTTGTTGTTGTTGTTGTTGTGGCGAAGGGCCCCGCCTGGACAAGAAGGAGAGCATCTTGGACGATGCTGGTAGGCTTGCTCGAGACAAGGTCTTGCACGAAAAGGGCCTTGGCGTATGATGATGCTGACGATGATCTGAGTGCTGCTGCTGCTGCTGCTGCTGCTGCTGCTGCTGGTGCTCTGGGCTTGTTGCCTTCTTGACCTCGTTCTCGACTCGATCTGGTACAGCACCTGCAGCCTGTGCCGGAAGGCGATTACCCATCTTTCCTTTCTCTCCCTCCGCCCTCTCTCCCTTTCTATATCCCAACGACCACTCCGTTGCAGCAGCCCAAAGCGCTTGATGCTTGGTCCAACTTAGTCTCCATGAAGCCGATGCCTTTCTCCTGGTTTCCTCTTTGCTTTTATTCTTTTTTTTGGCTTTTTCTTTCCCGACCCAGATGTGGTTGATGCTTTGTTTTACTCTTCTTTTCTTCACTCCGCGACAGAGAGCGAAGAAGGGGGGGGGGGGTATGTGGAAAAAAAGAAGAGAAGAAAGAGGGAAAGTGAAAATGGAGGGTGGCACTGCAATGTGTTACTTCACTGACTTTGCAGTGGATTATTCTGGTCAGTCAAAGTGGGAGGAAAAATTCAAAAGAGTTCACGACGACGAATGGTGAGAGAAGACAGGCGCCTGACGTTAGTCGTTGGTTTAGTGACTGTAGGGTTTCATGGATGACGCTGTGAACAAGACCCACCAGGATCTAGGATGGGAGGGGCCTTGTACTTTATACATAAGTAGTAATTCATGAACAACGAATGGCTCAGTTGGGCAAACTGTACTTGCGTTTTGCTCGTCTTCAAAGGTGCCTCCCGATTTTGTATAGACATTCATTCCCTTGACGGTGGCCAGGGTAATTTCGGTGGAAAGGCCCCCCCCCTCGCTGCAGGCATAATACTTGACTTCCGAGGTTAACATGGCAAAACTTGGAAAGTACACACTATGGGACTACGCTGAACCATAGTATGCATATTTTAGTGTGCATACTATACTGTGGTAGTCTCACACCGCACAGAGGTTGGGCCCTCATCATGCACGTAAATATCCCGGGTCCGTTGCGCTACTTGGGCGCGTCATGGAGGGTTTTCTCCTTGCAACTATACAATGCAAATCAATAGCGTCCCGAATTAGCATTTGTGCACAAACTCTCCCTGCTGTGCCCGGTTTGTTTTCTTGACTTGAGGTTGTTTTCACTTCTCACCCGATTGCTGCTGTCACCGGGCACGGAATATTTCGGCATGCAGGCCAACAACTTCCCTTCTCATGGTTCTACATTCATGAGCTCCACCTACAGTACTGTAATCCTCCCTATGTTTTCCCCTCTCTCTCTCTCTCTCTCTCTTATGTGTATGTATGATGGTACACAAATCCTACCATCCCCCAGCATGCATCGCCTGTCGAGCAATCCTCCAGTCCACTCTTTCAACGCCCAGTCCCATCAACAACATCTCTGTATCTCCCCAAAACTCGTGCAAATCCAGATCGCCCCAAAAGATGCGCCTCTTCAAACAGCCCCCTCCCCCTCCCCAACTCCATGCTGCAATACACATCACTCGCCCACACCCAGTCATCCGCCCTGCGTCTCAGGTGTAGCGCAGGGCCTTACAACTCCTTCTTGCGCTCTGGCTCCTTTCCAGCGGCCCTCTGCGCGTCTCGCTTCTCGTAGATGCCCGCCGTAAAGGGGTTCTCGTACTGCAGCGCCACCAGGTACACCACGAGCACCCACCCCGTCAGCAGTATGCCCGCCGGCTTGCCGTACAGCAGTGCTGAGCCCAGGAAACTCATCGTGGAGCCGTAGTACATGGGCGCGTCGCAGATGTTAAAGGGAAACCCCGTGACCATGTGGTCCATGAGGATGCCAAAGTAGTCACCCAGGAACGTGCCCGTGATGCCCAGGGCCCAAGTGGATGTGATGACCAGGACATTTCCGCACGCGATCAGGCCATATCCCAGATATTTGACCAGGTCGGCCTGGAGGAGGGGGTGCGAAGGCTGGTGGCGCAGGGCTCGCTCGTAGAGGAAGTCGCGGATGAGACCAAGCGAGAAGATGGTGGCCGCGAGGGCGTAGCATGCCGTCTGAGCATTGCCCCCAAAGGCCTTGGTCATGAATCGCGTTCGGTACTCTGCCTCTGGTGGTTAGGTGGACTGAATGCTCAACCCCCCGCGATGACGCAGCTCTCAGGGTGATACTAACCTCGGCGGGCGACGATGCTAGTCAGGACGAGACGGTTAGATCAGGCACAATACCTTGACAGACAAGAGCAGAGGGTGCAACGCTCGGGAATTCACTTACTTCCAGAACGTTGGATTGAACGCTATGGCAGCGGCAGAGACTGACGGGTTCCCTCTTGTTAGAAAACTGCTCTTGGAGACGACATCACCGTCTGTAGAAATAAATGGACTGGAGAGAGCAGACGTGGGGGGTGGAGGGGGTGGTAAGACGCACTGAACAGGCTCTTCTGGCTGAGGTCCACCAGCAGATGTTCTTGTTGAATGGATGCCATTGTCAGTTTCGGAGAAGTACTTTCAGTGCCTGCAATCGATGCGTCCTAGAAGAGAGAAAAGCGAGAGCCGGTTACAAGAAGGAGGAGGAGGGCGAGGGCGACGACCGGAAGAGGGTGATGGTGAAATTGCAATTGACCTCAAAATTGAGGAGAGGACACGGCAACCCAACAAATCAACAACACACCCAATAACACGGTACAGAATAGGAAGGCAGACAGCTGCTAGAGCTATCCCCCCTCCCCCTCCCCCTCCCAAAAAAAGTTTACGTCACGCAGCATGTGATTCGAGCAATTATTAGTGCTATACGGTAGAAGCTACAGTAGCAGGGTAGCTCGCCCAGGTAACACTAGAGAGGAACGAGATGGGGGTCAGTGGCAGGGGGGTGGCTCCCGGCGGTGGCCGGTAACCGGTAACCGTTGGCGGGTCCAGGCTGAGCTTACTGTGCAGTGCTATGGTAGAGTAGGTCCTGAGGAGAGGACCCCAGTGGGTCCTATAGTACGATCGTAGTACGCTGGTGTGCTGGTACTATGGTATACCCACCATACCACCACAAAAGGGGTCCTAACGCCATGGCTTCAGAACCCCTGTAGCCTCCCACCTCCGTTTCTGAACTGAGCTTTTGAGCTGTTTCAACCTTCGTGGGGCGGCGACAGGGGGGTTTGAGAACAGCTTGGAGGTCTGGACAGGCAAACCCGTGTTTATTATCAAAGTGAGCCTCTCATCAACCTCACATCTACATCGTACAAAGTACATACAAAGGACAAACCACCAAATCATCCTGGAGCAGCTGGGCCTGCATCTCGGCAACAGTCTTTTTTCTTCTTGGTTTATTTGTATTTATTGGGTTTATTTGTCGAGATCAATTCTAAAACGCCCTGTACATATTCCCCATTCACGGAAGAGAGACTCCCTAATCCGCGTCGTCATGCCACCCAAGAAGCCAGCCAGGAAGGCCAAGCAGGCCACCGTGACGGATGTCAATGCCTCCTTCACGCAGGAGGCTTTCGAGAAGGAGCTGAAGGACCTGAGATCCAAGGCCAAAGAGGAGACGTGGGCCAGATGGGGCCAGGAACAAGCTACCGTCTACCTCAGGTCCCTCGTCCTGATCGCCTTGGCCGCCGTCTATGCCAACGTCTCTGAGCTCACATTATCACCCGTCTATGGCTCGATACCTGTATCCCTGTGGCATAACAAGCTCATCGTGGCCTCCCTCTTTGTCGGATGGGCCTGCAACCTGCACCTCGGCCGCCTGGTGCCCATCAGGCTCTCCTACGTGCTGCCCATCATCGCCTTCTACATCCCTGCCGCCCAGTTCTACCTCTTCAAGGTCAGCGCCACCCTGACCGCCTACCAGGGGCCTTTTATCACCGAGCTCCTGACCGTCGTCCCTCTGGTCATATTCTCGGTCGCCTGTACTGCCAACTACCTGGAGGGCGCCGACCTGTCCGGCCTCCCGGGCTTCATCCGTGATGCTGCTCCTGGTATCACCTCGTACGGCTACTACAAGCTCGTCGAGTCGCTTTCTGGGAAGTTCCTAGCGCAGCACATTGGAAGCACCGTCTTTTGCACTCGTGTCGTGTTGGAGACGGTTCTCAGCACGTCCTACGCGCTGTTCGCGCCCTCCAAGTATCTGGTTCTGGCCCTCCCAGCGTTGCTGCACACGGCTTTCTTCAACACGCATGTTATGACGCCCATGGCGGCGCAGTCGCTTAATAGCACCTTGACGGCAAACAAGTGGCTGCTCGTGGACAGGAAGGAGTCGTCGACAGGCTACATCTCTGTTGTCGATAGTCTTGAGAACGGGTACAGGGTAATGCGCGCTGACCACAGCCTCCTCGGAGGGGAGTGGATCCGCTTCAAGGGCAAGAGGGTCGCCGAGCCCATCTATGGTGTGTTTACTATGCTGGAGGCTGTGCGCCTCGTCGAGACACCGGAGCCCATCGTGGACACCGAGGCAGAGGCACTCGTGATGTAAGTTCTCTCTCTCCCTTGTAACCCTTTCTCTCTCTCTCTTCTCTCTCTCTACAATTGCACCAGACAACTGACCCGCTCTTCCAGAGGTCTTGGGATTGGGACGCTTCCGGCAGCGCTCGTTGCCCACGGTGTCGACACAACTGTGGTTGAGATCGACCCTGTGGTGTACGAGTTTGCAGCGAAATACTTCCAGCTACCATCCAACCATACTGCAGTCGTTGCAGATGCCATCACGTATACCGAAGAGCTCGTCAACAAGTCGGACAGCAGATTTGACTACATAGTTCATGATGTCTTTACAGGCGGGGCAGAACCGGTACCTCTGTTCACCTTGGAATTCTTGCAGAACCTCCATACTCTGCTGAAGCCCAACGGCGTGGTGGCGATTGTGAGGCCTACCCCCGCCCCCCCTCCCCCGAATCTGAGACTTCAAGAAGCGTGTACTGATGAATATATGTTCCACAGAATTATGCAGGAGACTTCATGCTTCCACCCCCCAAGATTGTTGTGCAGACGATTCGAGAAGTGTTTCCCTCATGCCGCATTTATCGCGAGAACCCACGCGACGATGCTGTCATTGAGGAAGAGAAGCGCGACTTTACCAACATGGTTATCTTCTGCACCAAGGCAGAGGGGCCCGTGAAATTTCGAAAGATCACCGCGGCGGACATGCTCCAAAGCCGCACGAGGGAGCTGTTCCTGCCGCCCAGGTACGAGGTGACCGAGAAGGACTTTAGGGCATCTGGTGAGGTGCAGACGTTGAGAAATAATGATACCGCGGCGCTGGAAAAGTGGCATGAGAAAAGTGCCCTGGGGCACTGGGAGGTGATGAGGACCGTGTTGCCCGACATTGTCTGGGAAGGCTGGTGATGGGTGAGGAAAATGAGGAGGAGCAGGAGGAGGGAAATAAAGAAGAACAAGAAGGATGCGAGGAGGCGTTCCATAAATGGATGTATGATATTCGGGGGAAAGGTGCACAACTCAATATTAGAGGGAGTTTAAACATCTGTCAGTTTGGTCTACCTTTGTGTGTTGTGACGATTGTTTACTGCTGGTCCTCGTGACCCTGTTGCTGCAATCAACCATCTTGTTGACATAGTGTGGCCAGTGAGGTGCTCTGCAAGGCAAGCACGTGGTGGTATACCATCAGAAGGGAGGGAACAACAGGTGGGCCAAGGAAGCACGACAACCTTACCTCACTGATGCATCTTGGTTATATAAACCAGGAGCTCACCTGATAAGTAAATTGGAATCCGATTGAAGATGTGGTGCAACGGCTAGAAACGCTGACTTCTGTCTGAGTGAATGGCCGGAGACATTAAGTGTACTCAGCACCCTCGGATTCGTCACCCCCGGAGACGAGACTTGGTCGGCCCTCAAGCTTCGCGCTGTGTGTTGGGAATGCCCCGTAATCCTATGACTATAAACAAGCAGGGTCAGTGGTGATTTTTGCTGTTTGTTCTTCATGTCTCTCTTCCTTTTTTTTTCTAACTCAGGAACAATCTCCTTCAGGTGGTGGGTGCAATAGGCCGTGGCGGTTGTTGGTGTTGGTGGTGGTGGTGGACGGTGGAGAGTTGTGGTTGATGAAGGCTGGGAGAGGGAACAAGTCACTGCCATGATACCACTTTCGCTGGTGGAAAAGCAGGCCAAGGTCCATGGTTCGAGTCCGAGCCAGGTTGAAATCATTTTTTGACTTTTTTAACTCTAATAAAAACAATAGATAGAGACGTCCACATCCACAAATCTGAGTCTTCCTCCATCTCATCCTATGTCTTTTCTTATGCCTTCTCTGCCCTATTCACCCCCATGACCCTCGTCGCTGCCTCCACTGCATACTCCCTCGCTGCTTCGTTGAGAATCTGTACTATGACGTGTGGAGGCACAGGCATCTGCGCCCTCTCCAGTATAGGGATCGGGTCGCCAATTGTTTGGCATACAGGCAACACACCCCTCCAGATGTGCATGTCCCCCATCTTCATCTTTCTTTTGCTTTCTGTCGGTGATGAAGATGACGCAAAAGAAGAAGAGGGCACCTACTCCTCTTCCCTCTCCTTTCCTTCCTCCTTTGAGCACATGTTTTGGGGCTGTTGCTACCTCTAGTCAGCCGCATCAGGCCGTTGGAGACAGGTCCAACACTTCTCCGAGGCCTGTGTTCGGCTTGGCGAAGGAGCCCATGAACCCGACCATGGGGATGATCATGAGAAAGGAGGACAAGGTCCGTGTTGAAGAAGACATGGGGGATGGGACTGGATTTGAGGATGCTGTGAATGGTTTCTAGCTCTTGCGTTCTTCACATGAGCCTGGGTCGGCAGCCTTTACTTATAGAAGTAATTGGGAGGGCGCCTAAAACAACAGGCAGACATTTTGGACCCTCTCATCTCGGGCACTGGACCTCTTGACAGTGTTGTAGGGCTTTTTGAGGTGTCCCAGGGTTACAGAAGGAATCTTTGTATACACATGCACATGGTCATCCAAGAACAACGAGGATTGAGTGCTGTGACGTGGGCTACAGTGTCTGCTTCCAATTCAGAGATGGGCTAGCTTGTCCGCGAGCCAGATGATATGGCCTACCATTGATTTACACTTAGGCAATGAGTATCTTCTTGCAAATCCAGAAGATGCGCAGAACTACTGCTGTATAGGCAGAATTGATAGTCTCAGATGGGATATAGGCATTAAGAAGCGCAAGATAGCATCTCGCGCAGCCGTTTTGGGACGTCGATCTATGCCACTGAACATTGAAGAGACGCAACTTTTATACTGTACCATGGCTGAATATCATAATACCTCTGAGCTCACTTATACAAACACGCAGCTATACGTAGTACTCGAGAAAACAAAAAGGGATTTAAAAAGATGCCCACGAAGGCCGGTAGGAAACCGGGGTAGGCCAAGGCTAGGCGAGGTTACAGCCTGGTACGTACCGTGGTGATGTTGTAGCAGCTCTGCTCTTCGAAGCAAGGATGGGTCCTCCAGTTGGAAGCGCGCGGGTGGAGTGCGATTTGTCTCATCATTCGCCCCTTCCTTCTTCCTCCCCCCTTTCTCCTTCCATTCTGGCCCAACCCTGGCTCTTACCTTTTTTGGACCTCGTCAATCAGAGGGGCCTTGTCTGCCAAGGACCCGTCGTTCTTTCTTCTCCCCTTTCCCACGCACCTCATTCCTCGAAACCCACCCGAGAACCTGGGCAAGCCGCATGAATTATCCACGGTGAACCTCAGCTGTCAAAACCACAGCTCCTGGACCCAATCTACCAAGCTTACCCTACTATGGGTAGTCGATGTAAACCCTATCTACTCTAGATCTCTTTTTTCCCCCCAAGAGCCACCAGATCTGGAATATCAGGAACCTTACGTGTTGATTGATATCTCCACCCCCACCTCTGCATTTGCCTCTGCTGTACCTCTTGCCGCCCATGCTTCATTTCACCTCTACTGCTGCTATGTATTGTGCCTCGAAATCTGTCAGCAGAGGTTTGCCTCGTTCTGCGTTTGGTGTCATTATTTATGATGCTCGGACCGGCGTCGTCCCTTGGTGAGTATCCAGACATCTGAAATCCAGCACTCGAGCACTCTCTGATTTCTGTCAAAACTCTTCTTTTGCTGGCCGTTCTCAATCCTACGGTTTCCGGTTTCCAATGACAAGCTGGTTCCAATCATCTGTGATTTGATCTGCTTCGGTTATAGCGCAGTCTTGGGGGCCGCCTGTGCAGTGTCGTGCTGGTCACTTCTGTGACACCTGAAGTTTCAAGTGCAACACCAGTCCCGCAGAGGGTCACGATGCAAGGCCCCCTGGCAGGCTTGGGATGCGAAGCCGTGCCTGTCCCTGCCTCGTCTTGTTTGACAGCCGCTCGCACTACTCAACCAGTGCCGCCCTGGTGAGCTCGCCTCGGACTTCATGTCCCTTTCGGTCTCTCTCCAGCAGCCATGGTTTGAGAAACCTCATACCATCCCTCTATCGGAAGACCTCTCCCGCATCACGATTGTGGGCCTTGGGTGTGGACTAGAAGGGAGTGGGATGAATGCATCCCCTGAGGATCTCCTTGATCTTCTGCCGCAGCCTTGCACACCTCCTCCTTGTTCTCGCCTGCTTCAGACCGCGCTGCCAATGGAGAACGGGTGACGAATGGGGGCTGTCCATCTCTGTATGATCCCAACCGACCTTGTTTGTTCTCCCTCGCCCCCTCTCTGTGTCTCTCGCGCTCTCTTCCTCTCTTTCCCTCTTTCTGTCTCATCTCTTCACGATGCTGGAGCATCGTCTCTGACGGCATACAATCTGGAATCAACCGAAATGGAATACACGAGTACTGTGTGCGTGTCTTTGTAATACCCCAAAGTGTGTTTTCTCATGATCACGACATGATGAGGTGTTTAACTTGTCCTTCATAACCCTTTCTTTGTATCAACCGAATTCCCATTGATTGGGCTGGCTTTTCTATTCTCTTCTGCCCACCGCCGTCTGGCGTCACCAACCATGGTGATATCTGGAGCCACCTCGGCGCTCATCGCCGCCTTCACCTTGTTAGTATCTCTCCCCCCCCCCCCCCCCCGGCCCCGAAGCCCTCTCGCCCGCAAGTGGTGGCCCAGGTGTGACGAAAGAAGGAGGACGACAACAACATATGTACTAACCAGCAGGGCACAGTGGCGTCGTTTTCAACGCGGCGTCGGCGGCTTTATTCCTCAACGTCAAGGGCCATGGCTCGTCGGTCTTCCGGGACGGCAAGAGGCTGGTCCTCGTTTTTTTCCTTCTCAGTGCCGCTCTGTGGGCGCAAATCGACTTCGTCACCACCCTAATAGATCCGACCGGAACGCAGTTATGTCAGGTCGGCATCATATTCACGACGGCTTTTGACCAGTTGGCACGATTCTCCATCGAACAGTTCTTGCTGTGGGTTATATTCGACGGGAGGAAGCCATCGATGGGACAATATCTTGTCCAAGGCGCCCTGGCCGGCCGATTTGCGCTGGGCGCCGTCTTTGTCGGCTTCTCAAGACCTCAATTCGACACCGCCTGCGTCTCGCTGTCGTCCGTCTTCATCATCGCGGTCATTGTCGTAGCCGCGGACGCCATCATCCTCATGGCACTTGCCGGCCTGGTCCTCTCGAACGGAGGCATGGGAAAGGCGCAAGATGGTGGCCAGCAGACTGCAGGCCGGGTCAAGGCCGTGACGATATTACTTGTTGGGCTGGGCATATGGCTAGCGGTCAGTATCCTTGTCTTCTTGCTCTCATCATGGGTGTCCCTCTGTAAACTAACACATGCATGCGTATAATTTCCTACTTGACAGACCAGCGTGGTCATGCTGTTGGGAATTTCCTCAATCGATTATCTTTTCAGAACCAGCTTACCTGCAAGCGGCCTCGCCATTCTCATAGTCATTGTGACTGCGGTCTCGCCTTCCCTCGTGGCTTCAGACCGTAGTGACCGCGAGAGGAGGATGCCTGAAGCCCCCTCGCCGCGGCTTATCACGAGAGCTCGGTCTTACTCTACCTCAGCCTCCAATGATTACTACCCGCCGAGTCGATACGAGGAGATCAAGGCAGAACAGGTCAACTCGATGACTGCTTTTGTCCAACCTCGTGAAGTACCCATGCCGGGTCAGTCAAGGGCCTTCGCACCGCCGTCCACCATGGCCATGGACGGGCAACAACGGCAACAACCACCACAACAAGAGAAGAGGTCTCTCTTCAACTCCGGCAAGGCTCCAGCGAGAGCCATCACCGTGGGCAAGCTGGCCATCTCGAACCCTGTTCTCCAACAGGGTGGTACCAATCCTCTGGACAAGGTGGCCACGATGGACCTAGCCACGGCCGCTCAGATGGAGAGGGAGAGGAGGGAATTGCTGATGATGGCTGCACAAGAGTCCGCCTCCG